AATTCGGTTGTCGTCGAGCGGCTTTTCGAAGTCGATTTATCGATCGTTAAGTAAATGCATTAATTTTTCTCACCGCTCTCGTGGTCATGTTCGCCGAGGTAAAGAGGCTCAGCATGCATTGATTTATATAGCCAGTAGAAAAGCCAAATTGCCAAGTTGTCAATTAATTATGGTCATGTACGAAGCTGGGGACTTTAATTTCTCAAACAATTCGACTGCAATTGTCGAAATGTCTGCATTAGCTGGACATATTTCCACCCAACAACTTTATCTCTACTCTTTTACTATACAATTTTCCCAGTTTGATTTGTTTATCCAACTGATTAATGTTCGGGCTGTTGTTTATTGTTAGGCAAGCATTTCCACTTTACCAGTAGCAGAGCGAAAAGCTTTCACTTGACTGCAATTCAATGGCAAGTCCATTTCAACGGTGATCCTAATAAAATTTGGTATTCAAATTGGGCTGACATCGGCAGCATGCAGGTAGGCACACACAACTTAATGCAAAATCTTAATTAAACAAAGTCTTGTGAGTGCCGAAATCACTTTACATTGAAATGTTTGTCTTGGCTCGGATTTCAGTGCACTCAAATCAAGTGGTCAAAAGCCGTACACGGAAAAAAATACATCTAAGACTGCAGCTAGACAAGGAAAACCAATTTGAGTCAACACCTCGGTCTTAGCTAACATTCTAAGCATGATTACAATACAAGAAATATGTTTTAATAATGCCAGCCAGAAGAGATTTGGCAATCGAAACGTTGGCCAGAATCCGCATGCATTAGCCAAAATGCTTCCAAGCTAAAATAAATTTTGATATACAAGCACCAAGAAAAAAATTTTTGGCCCATTGGCTTTATGGGCTTAAAAAACCGCCAACGAACACACGGCGACTACCATTAGATGTCGAATGCAAAGTGGGCGATTTTTTACTGGCGGTTTTGAAATGCCAGCGCGTTTAAAATCGCACAAAAGCCTTTGCCTAATGCTTCCAACTAAATGGTACTCGAACATTTTCATCCATATGCGGATTCGTGATCATAAACATTTGTCATGGCTGAATAATGCTGAGTGGTGTTTTGTAATGATTTCAAGGTTCAGAGGGCGGTACAAGTGGAAATTGATGGATAATTTATGGGAGATATCTGAAAATCTAGTTCAATGGAAAAAACTACTTAGGCATTTCGAATTACTAAATATATAATTTTTTTTTACTTAATTACAACCTATGCTTTATTAACTTTTTAGAAAATCACGTTTTCTTTAATTTATATAATTATGAGTAATTTAATATGATCTCCATTATTTCCACAATTTAATTAATCTATAATGAAATCTATGCCTTTCGCCTCTTTTCCAATTTTGCAAGTTTTCATTTGCAATTCTCCACACTTGCTGACCCTCCGCTGGGTCTGTGTTGTTTATTTTATGACATTTAAACAATTATTTTTCAACACAAGCAACTGTTGTTGAAATATCATTTGATTTAACCAGCCAGTTGGCCGGGCCCACACCCTCGTTGGCAGTGGCCAAAACGAGTCTCGGACAGGGATTGGAGTTTACTGCATTTTGCTGGTGTCACAATGTCTGGCATCGCCAAGTTCTGTGACTTTTTGTTGTTGTTGTTCTCGCAAACGCAAACGCCCCGCAGCTAAACATGAGATGTATATTTTATTTTTCATAATTTAAAGGCAAAAAAAGACTTGCCAAAAAGAAAAAAAAAAACATTTTGATATGAACCTGCTGTTGTTGTTGTTGCTGTGGCCGAAAATCGAATTCTTGAATGAACCATTAATCTTGTTGCCAGCTCGGTGGACTCGGTCATTAAATACCGCCGCTGTAATTGCATTGCCAGCACTGAGAAAAAATGTTATACCGTGTATATGTGGGAATAGGGTGGCATCTCTATTCAACTTGACCTATCTCAGCGTGGGTGTGCCCAGATGAGTGTCCAGAAAGAATACTCGCGCGGGGAAATGAGTAGTTGTATTCAAGGAGTTTAAAGAGGAACAAAAACGCAAGAAGACGTAGACAGCGGAAAAACTTAAAGCTAAGTAACTGTTTTAAACTAAATATAGATATTGTATCAATTTAAAACCTTAAAAAACTTTCCCAGTGTGAGCCATGGAGTCTGGCTTGCCGATTTTCTCAGTTTCGGTTTCGCTTTAGTTTTTGCAAGCAAATTAATGCGGGTTTGTCATATTACAATTACTGGCTTTTTCTGGCCCGGCTTTGTGGCAGCTGGCATTATTACACCTGCGCCTCAATGCGACGAGAAACGGAGAGACTCCCCCTTGGGGTTCCAGCCATTTCGATCCGATCCGGTTCGGTATTGCGGTTTTTTGCCTCTGATATAGTTTTTGGCTAGTAGTCAGTCGGTCAACTGCCTCGTTTTGCTCATTTGTTTGCCCCTTTTTGGGAGCGGCCAAAGTTCAGGCAAACGGTTGACAGTTCATAAGTTTCAAACATGATTTGTTAATCCCAAAAAACTAAAAAACAAAAATTCTGGTGTGTTCTCACGATTATAATTTGCCAAACATTTAAATTGGACTTAGAAGTGGGTTGGTGTAAAATGCACGAACTTTGGGCCATAATGACTTATGTCGTAAAGATATCCTACTGTCATAGAAATTAGGCAATGTCTTAAGATATCATATGTAATGGACGATGACCTGCGTTTTTCCTAACAAATTACAGTATTTAATGGCATCCTGTTTCCATCTCACTAGCTTCGATCATCTCCATCCAGCGGTGCAAATTTTATGATGCACTTTTTTCACGGTAGCCACGGCAACTCCCCTTTCTCAGCGTGTGTCTCCGTTGTGGACAAATTGCCGAGCTGGAAAAGTGAAAATCACCTTTTTCAGATGTGATTTTTTTCAATTTTCAAATTTTCCATGGTCCCCATGTATGGCAGGCATAATTTGTTAATTATTTTCCAAAGCACAGCTCGTGTGCCGGCTACAACTTAATCAAAGTGATGGGGCCAATTAAAACGCCGCCGCGGGAAGCGATAAGAGATCCCAGACCTCACGACGAACTAGTTTAAAGAAAGCCTTTCCACCATGTGAAAGAGTGTGTAAGTAAAGGAGAAAGGAGGGGCTGGGTGGGATTCGATTGGATTTTGTTGGGTTGGTGAACCGCAGCTTAATTACGATGAGATAGAGGCGGTGCTCAACCTACGGATCAATAGATCTGCAGATCGATGGATAGGAGTTCAGCGCCACGGAATTCCCCAAGCTGATCCCGGTAGCTTTCAGATATCAGATTGAAGCCTGTCGCTCAGAGATATCTAACAGACTAAGACCTTAGAGAGTTTGGGTAGGAATTAGGTAGCTATACTAAGAAAAAAGTTTCATATAAATGTAAAAGACTAATACTCAATTATTTGCTCTGTAAAAATAGTAAAAGGCTTATAGAAGTAGTTAGATGGTTGACAGCCTGTGGGCAGACTTGTTAACTCGAACATCCTCCAGCGGAAGTGGGCGACTCGTGGTCGTGACTGCAAGACCCAGAACAAGCAGACATCCGCTGATGGAAGAGAACCAGAGCACTCAGACACACGCGGGCGGAGCAACTTGTCAGATATGTTCTTTAGCCAAATCACATTCATCAAACGGGTCAAATTGAATATGGGCTCCAAACCCCGGCACTCTTCTACTACCATAACCATAATTTCAACAACTCTGTTAAACCCCTAATCGATGATCTAAAAAAAGCAGTTTGATCCCTTGAATTTCTTTGCTTTCAATTAATTTCATAACAGTCCCTTGGGATTCCTTTGGCTGGCTCCAAAGTCCAAAACTGCTCCCTGGGCCCCAACCACCTGCCTCCATACACACACCTCCTGCCTGTCAATTAATGGCCTCCGACTTCGTCTCCATCGCCGTCTGGCGGAGTCAACCAATTTCATCTTATTATCCCACACAGAACCCAGAAACTGGTTCTCAGATTCTGTTTCTGTTACCGATTCTGGCCTGGAAATCACGTTTCAGAGCTTTTCTGTGCCATGTCCAGTCTCTCGGCCTACCCAAAATCAGGAAAAAAAGGAAAAGAAAAACAAGAGACGGCGAAAACCAACGCAGACAGAAAATGATTTGCAGTTCATTAAGACCACAAGCCCCCTGATCCAAAGGAGCCAAAGACTAGACGATGACTAAGGCCTCGATCGCGGGGCATTTGTGGCGCATGTGAATGAAATTGGTTTCGGTTTGTGTCCCGTCAGTTCGGAGGACAACAGTCTACGATCTGAACATGCTCTGGGCTTCACAAAACAGAGGTACACTTGGGAAAATTATTGTATTAAATAGTAAAGTATTGCTTGCTTGTAACAAGCTTTTCACTTAAACCGAATTAGTGACTTCAGAAATTGTTTAACAGGTCTTATAAGCTTGTGAAATCTTTGTTAACCTTAAAAATTTTACATTTTCACAGCATATTTTAGCACCCCAATTGTTTACTCTCATATTTGATTTTCCTAATGTTTAATGTGTGACAGAGCAGACACGAAAGTAAACTTTGTTTTTAAGAGATCAAGGTTAAAAGCATAATTTCGTTAAGTGCAAGCTTCGTCCAATGGAAATTTTTCAGAGTGTGCCCACCAATCCGGGCTGATCTTGACATGATAATTATGTCTGGTCCGGGTGGTAAAGCTGTTCAGTTGATAAGTCTGACACTACTTCGGTTTAGGGCTGGGACAAGGTGGGTTTTTATGCCTAGAAGCACCATCTCGTTGGCTTTGAATCTATGGCCATTTAAACGCTTTCATCTCGGGATGGCCCACACATGTGACCAATGAAAAAGTAACGCCTTCCCTTTGGGGCATGCTCAACTTTGACGAAAGCTGTAAGATAAGTACACCGTGAGAAAATCTTTAATATATTAAAGTAACAGTAATAATAATTTGTATGAAAGCGCCAAATGGTTAAGCTTTTCTCTTCCTGTACATTAAACTTTCATCATTGATAAGTTTTTGACTCTATTGCCATATTTTCTTGCAGCAGCACCGCCAGGAGTCGCAGTCGCCGGATTACCACCACCGCTATGCGAGCAATGGCAAACTGCCCCGGGCATCGGCCTCTACCAATGGCAATGGATCCAACGGCAACATTCAAACAGTCACCGTGGATGTGCACCACCAGCACCTAAGTGGAGGAGTTGCCTCCGCCGCCAAGCAGTTGATGGCCAACGGCAATGGCATAAGTGGCCATAGTCGCAGCAACAGTCTAAGCCACAACATCCATGTGGCGTACAGCGAACTGAGTGCCGCACCACCGGCCTTTGCCACACCGCCGACGCGTAGGCGGTTCTTTAACCACAAGAATCTGCGCAGTGCCCTCACTGGAGGAAACAGCGGTGGTTCAGGCATAGGAGGCGGTGGAGCTGCAGGTGTGGGCGGCGGGCATCGACGCACTGCCTCCAATGGGGGTTGTCCCATTGACACGGCATCAATCCTATCAGGAGGTAAGTTCAGGATGGGGTTCGGGTGTGGGTCAGGTTCAAAAGTTGACATACAAAAGCCGATGTTTTCACAAGAAAATGAAAAGTTTTTGTTGAGACTCGACTTAAAGAAAGTTTTAATAATAAGATAATATTAATTTATAAAGTTTATTAAGAATTCATGAACAAATGAATAAGTTAGAGGTAGGAAAACATCCTCGAAAAGTTAACTCACCCAGCATCCATCATTAGATCATCCTCATCAGCATCATCACCATGACAACCAGACGGTGGGCAAGGAGTCGAATGCCCTTAACACATCGACCTGCTCGGATTCGGCGGTCACAAGAAGGCGGCGGAAGAACGTTAGCAATCACAACCTGAAGACCTCGGCTCGCCATGGAGCAAGTAGCGAGAATCGCCTGAACAGGCTCAGTTTGGCTGGAACCTCTGTCTATGCGGGTCATCTGTCCTCTTTGGTCTTTGGCAAGATCAAGTCCCTGTGGAGCGTAAACTCCTCCACTTCCAGTGAGGCGGGATTAAATCAACTAGCAGGCATGGATGCGTTCCTTTGTCGTGCATCCTTCACTTTTTCGTCGTTTGCATGTTGCATCCTCATTGTCGTTCATTAACTGAGTTCTTTTCGCAATTTTGCATGTCTTTTAAGTTTTTAAAACAAATTTTCTGTGTATAATTAGCATGCCTATTATATTAAAAACCAACCTTCTAATACGACTTAATCTATTTCCTATCACAGGAAGCGATGCCCTTGACCATCACTCCTCGCTGCTCAACGAGAAGCTGCAGAAGGACCAGCTTCACGCTCGTCTCGGCCTGCTGCTCAATGATCCCGGGAGCAATGGAAACAGCAGCAGCAGCGGCAGTGGCTGTGAACCCATCTCGGCGCACTCCACCACCAGTACCACGAGCAGCAGCGGAGTGGGTGCGGCCAGCACCACCACAAGTGGTTCGTCGCAGAATGTCAGTCCGGAGCAAACGCTGGCCAGCGGAGCTGGAATGCTCAGCGGAAGTCAGCTTTCGGTGGCCACCAGTCATGGTGTTAAGGATGATGCACTCAGTCTGTGTGGCAAATTTAAGGCAGGCTGCTCAATGCTGCACGTTTACGAGGCACTGCCAAGCAAGAGTCGCAAGGGAAATGCCCGGAGATCGACGCGTGGTCAGCAGGGAGCCAGTTCCAGTTCATCAGCAGCAGCGGCAGTGGGGTCGAGGGTCACTGCCTCAACTTTGGCTGCGGTGCAATTGGCTCTAAAGCCCCTGTTCTTTGAGGTGCCATTGCAAGAACCCGATCCCCCATATGTGGGTCGCCAGTGGCTGGTGCAGCAATTATCCAATATTTTACTGGGAACCGAGACACGGGTTGTGCTCATCAACGGACAACCGGGAACTGGAAAGACCGCATTTTGCCTGCAGCTGGTTGAGTATTCCTGCTTTGGACGCCGTCAGATGCAGGATGATCCGGATGGCATCTACAGTCAGCTTCAATTAGGCGCCCACTGTGAGCGGATGCGCGGTTTGGCGTCTCACATGGTCGGTTACCACTTCTGCCAGGCGGACGCCAATCTCACCTGCCAGGTGCCGGATTTCGTGCATTCCCTGGCCGCCCAACTTTGCCAGGCTCCCCAGTTGACCGCTTACAGGGATTACCTGTTGTCAGAGCCCCATCTTCAGGATATTCTCAGTGTTCGCGAATGCATAGCTGATGCGGAGAGAGTGATGAAGTTGGCTATTCTGGAGCCGTTGGCCCAGCTTCACCGTGCGGGAAAGATTCCCGCCAAAGTTGCCGTCATTTTGGTTGATGCATTGTGCGAAGCCGAATACCATCGTCCCGATCATGGGCACACCATTGCCAGTTTTCTAGCCCAGCTCACTCCACATTTTCCGGCCTGGCTCAAACTAGTGGCCACCGTTAGGACCCAGATGCTGGAGCTGGTCAAGGCGCCCAGTTACACCCAACTTACTCTGGACAGCTGGGCCAGCAGTCAGGCACTGCAACAGGATATGCTGGACTACATAGGCGCCCGGCTGGCCGACAGTCCGGAAATTCGCATGAACATCGGCGGAGGAGGAGGTCAGAATTCTCAATCGGGAAACCAACCCCAAACGAAGTTCGTGTCTCATCTGCAGTCCTTGAGCAGAGGCTCCATGCTGTACACCAAGCTCATCTTGGATCTCATTGCCCGTGGCCAATTGGTTATCAAATCATCCAGCTACAAGGTGCTCCCCGTCTCTCTAGCCCAGATCTTTCTGCTGCATTTCAATCTGCGATTCCCCACTGCCCGCAGTTTTGAACAGGCTGCTCCAATCCTTAATGTCTGCCTGGCTGCTCTATATCCTCTGACACTGGACGAGATCTACTACAGTATGGAGGCACTTGGTCATGGAAGGGAAGCCCTCAGCTGGCCAGATTTCATGCAGCGCTTCAAACTGCTGGATGGATTTCTGATCAAGAGGCTGGACAATACCTACATGTTCTTTCACAGCTCCCTGAGGGAGTGGCTGATGCGCCGGGATGAGGGCGAGTCCAACAAGTTTCTCTGTGATGCCCGACTCGGTCATGCGGCCATCGCCTTCAGGCTGTCTCGCCTGCAGGCACCATTGTCGCCCCAGCTCACTCTGGAACTTGGTCACCATATGCTAAAAGCACATTTGTACGGGGGCACAAGTCCAACTCTTCTTTCTCCACGGGATCTGCAATCTTATTGGTTGGCTGGAGCGGCGGACAACATCTCATCCTCGTTGGGAGCTCTGCGAAATGTTTACAGTCCGAATTTGAAGGTATCCCGATTGGTTCTACTGGCAGGAGCTTCCCCGAATCATCGCACAGATTACATGGGCGGAGCCCCGATCCTATGCATAGCTGCGCATGAGGGCATCCTACCGATGGTCAGCCTACTTCTAGAATTCGGCGCTGATGTGGGTTTAACCAACAGTCAAGGCTGTACACCCTTGATTCTAGCCGCCATGCGTGGACACTGTGACGTCGTGCGTCCGTTGGTAGCCGCCGGCAGCAGTCTTGGTCAGTTGGACATCACACAACGCTGTGCTCTGGTTCATGCCGCCCGCATGGGTCACCTTAGTGTGGTCAAGTATCTCCTGGCCTGCGACTGGTCACCACGTCCACACTCCCAGGATGTCACCAGATCAGTGGCTTTGCAGCAGGCACTGATTGGAGCTGCTGCACAGGCGCACTGCAAGATCCTCGAGGATCTGTTGGACCTCAATGAGACCGAATTTGACCTGGATGTGAATGGCATGGAGCCGAGCAGTGGCGAGCTGGCTTTGACCGCTGCCGCCCGTCACGGATGTGTCGATGTGGTTGGTATCCTACTCTCCCGCGGTGCCCAGATTGATGCTAGAAATCGCCAGGGTTACTCAGCACTTTGGTTGGCCGTCAAAGAGGGCCACTGGAGCGTTGTGGAACATCTGCTACAGCGTGGAGCCCTTCAGGATGAACCTCTGGGACAGACACGCAAAACTCCGCTGATGATCGCGGCCGAAGAGGGCCACCTGGAGCTTGTTGAACTGCTACTGGCACGTGGGGCGGCCCGGGAAGCGCAGGATCATGAGGGATTCACAGCACTTAGCTGGGCATGCTTGCGTGGTCACTTGGCTGCGGCAAAGACCCTCATAGAACATGGCTGCAATCGTCACCACGAGGACCATAATGGTCGAACTGCGCTGGATTTGGCTGCTTACCAAGGAGCTGCCAGCCTGGTTCTATACATTCTTGACCAGGGAGGCAACCTGGAACACATCGATGTACATGGAATGCGGCCGCTTGATCGGGCAATAGCCTGTCGTAACATTCAGGCTGTCCAGGTCTTTCTGCGAAAGGGCGCCAAACTGGGACCCACCACCTGGAGCATGGCCATGGGCAAGCCGGAGATTCTGGTTGTGCTGCTCAATAAGCTTCTGGAGGACGGCAACGTGCTATACAGGAAAAACCGTTTCCAAGAGGCCGCCCATCGATACCAGTACGCATTGCGCAAGATCTCTGGACTGGAACAGTTGCTCGAGAGGAATGCCATATTCGCCCAGCTACGGACTAATCTGCTGCTGAATCTGTCACGATGCAAGCGAAAATTGAATGTGAGTATTGAAAAAAAGAGATGTAAAACAGAACCCTGATTAACTATCTATCTACGCAGGAACTTGACGCCTCCATAGATTTGGCAACGCAGGCGATTGCCCAAAAGCCACACAGCTACGAAGGATACTATGCCAGGGCCAAGGCGCGTATGGAACTCGGAGCTCTTAATGAGGCTCTGGTGGACGCCAATGAGGCGATGCAGCAGGCCGCCCAGAGTGGTGTTCTATGCGAAGTGGTCGAGGTGCTTAAACGCATCCAAACTGAGCTCCTCACCCGTATCACCATCAGCAGCGAAGATCAGTCCGGAAGGATGTCAAATATCGGCGGCGGGGCATCCGCTGTTTACGAATCTCATCACGAGATCACCGATTTGTAAATGTCGATTGTTGTATAATGTTGTACTCGTCGTATCCCCTTCAAATTAAGCACTATTCTAACTTAAGAGCTACCCTAGACCTTATTTTTTGCTATTTATTGCCTTCGAATGATTTTAATTTAAACAAAACTGAAACTATTTTTGTAATTTCATTTAAAATTGTCTTTTTAATTGTGTCTACGCATGTAAAAATTAGTTTTATACTCTGATTTACCATAAGGATCAGTTCTTATTCATTACAAATATTAAATAAATGCGAATTTTCGTAAGATTTAATAAAAAAAACTTTTAAAGAAACCTGATTTGCTTTTCAGTGCAGCCTTTTGGGGATATGCTTGCTTTTTAAATCTTTCTTTAGAATTTTAAGTGCATAATTTTCGGCTGGTTTTCTTAAAATGCCTAATGTTAAACAGTGGTCATGGAACTATTTTGTAGATTTTGAAATACACATTATATAAAAAACAAAATTTAAAACAATTACATAAACTTATATAGATGTATGTACAATTTAAGCTTAATCTATTCGAGGGAACATTATAACATAGGAATGAAATAGTTGGAAATGAAATGTAGCTCCAGTTAAATACTTGAACAGGAAATAGGAAGTTTAGAGAGCTTTAAATGCTGTATTAAAGCATTTCAATTAACTTTTTTCAGGCAATGCAGATGACCTTGCCATAAAAAGATTTTGTGCCGCAACGTAAAACTTAAGTACATTTAACATAAACAATATCCTTATTTGCTCTAGTTTGAGCTTTCTGTTAACACGTTTTCCCATTAAGTTTACTCAGTTCAGTTGGTTCTCCGGCATCGCAATGTACCAGGCGCGAATCGACAAGCGGAGTCGAGATCTGCAAATGCAGAACATAGTCGGGAGCTGCAAAAACAAAGTTTCAGTTACACAAAAGATCTCAGTTAATGAAGATGTAGGAGACTAAATGCAGCAATGTTGTTTTGGGAGTATTCAAACAGAGGAACAAGCTGTGAATGAAAGCGTAGGAAATTTAAAGCGTGAGAATTGTCTTGTGCACCAAGGATGATCAGCGTGGATGGAGAAAATATAAGAACTTGGCTCACTTTGCTCCAAAAGCATTTCCAAATCATCAGGACAGTCTATCGTGGGGAAATCGATGTTGGTCGACTCCTTAAGAATAATCCCAATGTCCTTGTCAGCACCCATGAGGAACAGAGGCACGTTTGCCTTGGCGAGCTCCTTTTGCAACGAACCCATTCCTCGGGCTGCCGTGAAATCGAAATCTATAAAATGGATATTTGTATTTATTAAAAGAATAAAATGATTTTCTTATTTAAAAACATACCATGAACATGAGCGCAATCCAGGACCACAGGAGCTGTTCCGTGAATGGTCAAAGCTTTGGAGATTCCCGAGCGGACCCATTCAATGGCCGGAAAGTACAGTGAACTGTGCTTAGGACGTATTAGAATATAATTAATACCGCTGGTAGTTTGCAGTTTGGAGACACTAAGTACAGGACGGGCAGCCCGGTAAACCAGGAATGCCACATCGGAGCTCACGCCCAGCAGAAGGCCTATTTCTACGCCCACAGCCAAACTCATCACAAAGGTAATGGCACCCGGGAGCAGTTCACGCCGGCTGCATCGCCACAACGGTTTGATGACCTCGAACTCAATCATGAATATCACTGCAGAGATGATGACCGCACTGAGAGCAGCTTTTGGGATGTACTGGAAGTAGGGTGCCAGAAGTCCGAGGGCCAGAAGAACCAGGACACTAGTGTAACATCCTCCAAGGGGTGTCCTTACCCCACTAGCGTGATTGACAGCACTCCGCGAGAAGGATCCGGTCACAGGCATGGAACTGCAGAAGGCGCCGCAAATGTTGCTCATGGAAAGGGCAACCAGTTCCCGCGTTGGACTTAGCCCGGCTCCTCCAAACGCTTTCGAAATAGCTACATTACCGAGAACAGCAATAATGGGCAATATCAGCATGGAAGGACCCAATTCAGAAAGCTGAAAAAGAGAAAAGTAGATTTAATGAATAAACTTATTTATAAATAATCTGAGGTAACGGGAATAATTAATCTTAAAAAAACACTTTGGTTGATTATCCAATAAATCAAGTTTAAAATTAAAACAAGTTTAAATTATTTTAAATGTGTTTATAAAGCTCAAAGTCTGACTAGCTATAATACAACAGCATCTCTAAGTGAACGATTAAAAAACAAGAAATTCTACAAGTAACTCTCTCAAACAAAGCAACAACAAGTCACATAGACTAAGCCATTAAGTTAAACAGATGTTAGACCTTGATAACAAATTTATTGGGTCAGAAAAAAGATCATTTTGTTACTTTTATTCACTCACCATCTGTTCAAAGTTCTGTCTGATCTCGGTGCCATTCCTGTCCAGAATCGTAGTCTCGAACTTTGGTAGCGACACATTTGGCAGACCGCTTTTCACCTTGCCAGTAAGGATGTACGGACAGCTGTCCATTTGCTCGCACGTGCTGTAGGCCAGCGCACTGGTAACTAGCACTACCAGGGCATTCCGACCGGTGGCTATAACCCAGATGCTACCACTTATTAGCTGCTGCGTCCGTAAGTTCCTGATTCGGCCATCTAGCTTTACGTCTTTGAGTTTCTAAAAGAATTAACACATGATTATAGACCACATGATTACACACACCACATGAAATCTTACCCGCAGCAGCAGCAGTACTATGATAGAGATCAATCCAAGGGTAAAATCACCCTGCCTGACATTATGCAGATTTCCAAATACCGAGCGCATGGTGTTGATGAAATCAGACCCGGAACCACCTCGCAGACCCAGCAAACCCTTCAACTGTGAGGTGCCAATGATAACGGCAGTGGCCGAGGTAAATCCCACGGTAACAGGCAGTGATATTAGATCCACCAGGGCGCCCAATTTTAGCACAGCCATTCCCAGCTCAACTACACCGGAGATAAGGCACAAGAGTATCGCGTAGGCTGGACCCGAGCCCAATCCAAATCCCGTGTGCCGACTAGTCATCAGGGCAAGCAAAGCTGTGGGTCCAATGGTAACCTGTCGGCAGCTGCCCAGCATGGCGTATATGATGCCTCCCACAAAAGCGGAGTAAAGGCCATACTGGGGCTCCAATCCCGCTAGCGTCGCATAGGCTAGTCCCTGCGGCAATACCGTGAGTCCAACTGTTACTCCAGCTATCAGATCCGCCACTGCATCCTGGCCGGTGTATCCGTGCAGCCACTTTAGACCTGGCAGCAGGCGATATCCCCAGTCCCTGAGGGTCATAGTTGATTTGTCTGTGGAATTGAAAAAAGAAAGTAATTACTAATTAACCTAACAAAAACTGAATTAATAAATAAGATTTACAGAATATTACGTCGCAGAATATGGAAGCTCGACAATCCCAGGTTCAACGACTTGTCCAACTTTGCATAATTATAGTTTTGATTTTGAGACTTCTGCGTGACAGACAAGCCCAACGAAAAAGAGACGTCAACTTATGTTATTACCAAAAGGCAAGTCATAAATAAACCTCGTGGAATTCAAAACAAAAGAGGGAATACGAGTTTATGATAAATCAAAAAGAATAGCAAACAAAACTTTAGCTCTTACAAATGTCTCTATGGATAAAATAGATTGTGTTAATTAAAGAAAACTTAGAAACTGGTTTAATTTTAAAAATCGATTGAATCCAAATGGGAATAAATATGTAATAAATAATGCAAATGCAAAGAATACAAGACAAATTACATTTCTAACAAGCATTTCAAAGATAAAGTCTCAATCTGAACATTTTATGCAAATGAAATTTTTCTTTTAATAAGTAATTTTTAACTGCCAGATGCAAGTATCTATATTTAGGGTTAAAGGATGATGGTAATTTTAAGGGCCAAAATTTCATTAAAATCGAACATTTCAGAGTCAAAAACAGTTATAATCTAACATTTAATTTTAAATGAAAAAGAGATTATTTGTCTAGCTGTTCCTAGAGCAACGCCAAGTATGACTCGAGACATTTAAGGCAAAATTACTGATAAACATTGGCGTCAAAAAAGTCTTCTATCTAAAATTTGTTTGGAAACTCACGTATTTAAACAAATGTTTTGATGTTGTTGTCCGTACGAAGGGCACGTTCTTTTTGAAAGTAACGACAGAGATCGAGATCTGAATTCTTTTCGGGTATAAGGAGAGCGCAGAACTCTAGAGGAGCTCAGATCCGTTCGGGAGCTGGCTGAAGACTGAAGAATGATCGCGTGAACGAAGAATTACTGATCAGTGATCACACGACCGCCTCAATTAGCTCAACAAGTGGTAGAGTTGAAACGTATTGGTTCGGGTCGCTTAAAACGTGATCAAATTGCTCGATCGATAAAAACAAATACGAACACGAGATATGTGCACGTAAATTGAATTTCGCATTGTTTTGCCGACGATTTATTTACAGTTTAGAGCCAATAATTATGGGGAAATCGTTAGCTTGTTATGTCATTTGTTTATGAAAAGAATAGGAATAATATTACTAAAATAAAATTTGTATGGTTTGAATTGGACACTATTAGTCACGCTGACAAAGTAAACAGTCTACGATCGTTTATAGAAATAATGTGAAATATTTATCAGAGCGAATAATTGCAATAATATAGTATAATTTATCTTATAAAAAGGTTGTTAAGTAAAGAGCGCTTTTTGAAAAATCTTTTATAAACGGGGAATCAACTTCAAAGAGCCAACAAAACTAAGTTTTTAAGACAAGATTTAGCATCAAGCAATAAGTTATAAAAAGTTAAGTCAACTTAATCGACCTTGCAAGTTCATTAACAATTAAATTCCACAAGTGAGATAAAAGAAATCCTTATCAGCATTGAAATGTTTGGTTCAAGCGGTTTTATCAGCAATATGTAATCAAAATTACTAAAAAAAATAAAAAAAAACACAAAAACGAGCAACTATAAAGCGTGAAAAGTTTATTAACCCTTTTAAAGAAACTGGTGAAATCCGTTCTTTCCCGGTCCACAAAACCAATATAATTGGAGAGATCTCAGACGTATGTACATATGTAGATATGTGTATATAAACATAATTGCCGATTGGAATCTGCCTTTTCTTTAAGTTTTTGCTTTCTTTTTACTTTGGCGCACTTCAAATAAACTAGCTTTCGTGTAGCTGACAATTGTAGTGGTAAAGTTGTTTTAAGCAAACGAAAGAAAAATAAACCGAAAACAGGGAATCCAATTGTTTAGATCCGATTGTTTATTTATAACGCGAGCTAATTCTTCAAGAATTTGCAACAACAATTGGGTTAAGGTAAAGGAAAGTGGCACAGACACAGAAAATCAGGAAAGCAACGGAGCAACCCTTGTTTATTTGTTTATTATGAAATATTTACATATTCCTTAGTTAAAACCACTTAACACTTGATTTAAAGAAGAACTTTTACCGGTGAAATTGAAATAAATAACTTATTTGCTTTCCAACGAACAGCTGAACGGTAGGGTTGTTCACTGCACACACCAGCGCCCTCTGTGTGGCTGCTGACGCCAACTAATAGCAAAGCAGTGCTACAAAACACTCAAATAGCTAGGACATATTTCTTATTTAGTTTTATTTATTATGACTTAAGTTGATGGTAAAATTAGCGAATTTTACAATTTTATTTACCGATACAAATGTACACAACTCAAAATTCAAAGTAGAGCCGCACAATAGTGTCAAAATTATCGATATTCTTGTAATTTGACGTTGTTCAGCACTGGAATCAAAAGGCAAGCGCTTACCCACACTGTCGGAATCACGAACATATTATTTTATTATGGCACTTGCGCGGCTCGCAAACAAAATTCGCCGATTATAGTCAATTAAAAGTCATCGTCGAACACCGAGGACTTTGTCAGTTAAAGCTCCAACAACATAGGACCGCTGAGCAAGACGTGGAAGTGCCGAAAAGAAACTAATTTTACCAGCTTGCCGCCTTCTCTTTTGCCCTCCGCGAACATAAGGAGACGCGGAACGAAATATTCAGTTTGTGCTAATAGCTAAAATCCACAAAGTTTATCATCGAATATTATGAAATGGGTAAGCTAAGTGCGAAAATGTGTGGGTGTACGGATTTTCACATCGATGGGCCGGTTTTCAGGGCATCGGTTTTCCATGGCATAAGAATTGCAAATGCAAATGCATCTTCAATGCCGCTGCATGTGTGTGTGTGTCTCGTTGCCGTATGGGTATGCGTGTGTGCAGTTTTCGTAGGGCGTTCTAACTGTTTTTCTTTTGGTCCTTGGGTGCTTAATTTTATTAATAAAATAAAATGGTTCTTATGACAATTTCCTCCTTACCTATTGGTAAAATCTTCTCTTTTAAACCCAATGTCAAAATTCTTAGAATATTACACTGTGCCGTTGTCAGTGTCATTAGAAAATTGGTATTGAGTAATGACAAGCACCGGCTTGCTGCGAAATACTTCTTAAATTACTTCGATTTTTTACCTTATACTCGTATTTTGTTCGAAGCAGGCTGAAAGAAGCAGTTTCTGCCCTTAAAATTTAATTATTCGCTATCTGTACGCATAAGCCAATGGAACAGGAAGAGGTGAATTAATAAAAATGTTATTTAAATACATAATCTTGGGCTAAACACCCTGATACCAAATGTTTAATCAATTGATTTATTATTACGGTTAACACGACATAATGTTTCTAAAGCCTTTTTTGCACCCGAACTGCCCAATTTAAAACCAAGTTATAACTTAACCTTAAACTATGATGTCTCAATTTAATTACGAACAAAGATAAACTCGTCCAAGTAAATCGACACAGACATCTTATAAAAACAAGCTATACCTAACGGTATCTATATTCAGCATCAGTATTACATGTCTTGTCCGTGATCATTTGAATAAGTGTTAATGAATGCGATACAATTTTGGTATAATAGTCTTGTAAGGGCAGATTCAATTGTACATACATATTCCGATTCCCCTGTATTTGATCAAGAGCATTGATCGCCAGAATCAAAGCGTAATACCATTTACCCAAGAGGAACTTGTTGCTTGAGGCTTGGTTGTAGGTCAGTGCGAAGAGGTGGCTGATCCGGCGGCGAAGAGTGCGCACCAGGCGACGTCCGGCGACGATGTAAGTAGCGCCCATCGTAATCCCAATCACTCCAGTAACCACCTCCAAGCAAATATCCAAAAAAAAAAAGTTTCTTTCACATGCCTTTGTTTTGTTATTGTTTGATTTTTTCGTTCTTCTTTCGTACAAGCAGCAAAATTATAGCACCTCTAACAGCGATATTGGCCAAACTTCAATTACAAACTCTTGTTTAGTTGCGCTAACGTGTTTAACCAATTGGATCAGCTATTTTATTATGTTGCTAACCCTCACCCCTCACAAATACACAAAAACACAAGACACTGGGTAGAGCAATTTCTTATTTAGCCAAGATCACGAAATGGGGAATATAATAGTAAACTGGATAAATTTTTCATAAAAGTCAAATCGGCTAATTATTCTTGAGTTTTAAAAATAAATTGGGAAAGTCGTAATGGAATTATAAGCAAATCTATCAAAAACAGTAAAATAATTAAACATATGTCTACACTTTGTTTATATGATTGACTATCATTGCTCTGCCCTTTAAATTTATGGAACTCATCTGTAAGTGATTAATTCGTAATTAATTCGTATCTTAGATGGCACACCAAAACACACAATCCCACACACAAATGAACACTGTATCCCTCAAAAAATGTAAAATATTACCCTGTCGTTTGACCCATAATCGATACCTTTCGCAGACAATGCCCTCGGCCATCAGTGGCGCGGCACATGGCCAAGTCCACATACCAAGCAACGAAGAGTGCGGCATTCGGGACGTGTGGAAGCATAACCTGGAGGAGGAGTTCCGCACTATTCGCAAAGTGGTGCAGAAGTATCACTATGTGGCCATGGACACTGAGTTTCCGGGTGTGGTGGCAAGGCCCGTCGGCGAGTTTCGCTCCACAGCTGACTACCATTACCAGCTGCTGCGCTGCAATGTAGACCTGCTTCGGATCATCCAATTAGGCCTAACTTTCATGGATGATGATGGGAAAACGCCGCCTGGCTACTCTACCTGGCAGTTTAACTTTAAGTTTAACCTGAGGTAATTTTGAATTGACTAATCTAGAATCTACTCTATCCTTTGTATCTCTAGCGAGGACATGTATGCACAGGACTCGATCGACTTGCTGCAGAACTCTGGCATTCAGTTCAAGAAGCACGAGGAAGATGGCATTGATCCCATTGAGTTCGCCGAGCTGCTAATGAGCTCCGGGATCGTGCTAGTGGACAACATTAAGTGGCTATGCTTCCACTCCGGCTACGATTTCGGTTACCTTCTGAAGTTGCTAACTGATCAAAATCTGCCCGCAGACGAGGGAGACTTTTTCGAGCTGTTGCACATCTACTTTCCCAACATCTTCGACATCAAGTATTTGATGAAGTCTTGCAAGACCCTGAAGGGCGGTCTGCAGGAAGTGGCCGATCAGCTGGAACTGCGTCGAGTGGGCCCGCAGCATCAGGCTGGTTCCGATGCCCTGCTTACGGGCATGGCTTTCTTCAAAATGCGTGAGGTACTGCACACAAATGATTTGCACTTTGACCCAGAAGCGCCCGTTGTACTCTTTCCCTATCTGCTTGAGAACACCATGAACATAAAGCCGTCGGTCAGCCGGATCGACCTGCTGAGCCGTCCGGTGTACATCGGGGGATCTGTCCCCGACGACTCTGCGATAATTAGCAGTGGCAACGGCACGGGCGACAACAGCTCCTCCAGCGAGGCGCTCACCTCGAGCGCCTTTATGGTGACGCCTCCCGCTACTCCCGGTTCGCCGGAGCGCAATGGCTCATCGTTGGCCCACTTGCTTTGCGTCTACTCCGATTCGATGGCCAAAACCAACTCGGATTATTAGACAGTAGTTCAGTTGCCGAGCCCTTGCCTCTACTAACACAACTTGCCTCCGCCCACATCATGATCATCACCCATTAGGTTTAAGGTTTTTTATGGTTGTCACAACTCACTCATTTTCATACATAGGATGTATATGTATTTAGTTGTTATTGCCTGCAGAATCTGCAGCGCCTGCGACCCACAATTTATAAATGAAGTCTATAATTTGAAGTGTTTTTAGTTAGTTTGAAACTGTAAAGCCATGTGAAACATGATTATTTAGTTTTAAAGCTCGTGAGACAAAATGAGATGAGAGACTTGCTGGATTTTAATGGAAAATTAAATGAATTGGAATTAATTTTCTTTTTAAATTTTTATTTATATTATTTGGTGTTTGGGCATTGCATTTACATCTTAATGATTATCAATTGTTATTTGAATTATTACGGCTTGGTTTACTTAATGGAAGTATTTTTATTCTTATTAACCGCATCTAAAACATTTCGATTTGTAGCTCATTTTAGTTTTAAGTTTAAAGATATTCTTATTTTTTTTTAATTCATAAAGTAACGTTTCTTTTTTGCAAATTAAAGCGCTTTGCTGACATATGTTTTCACACAGTGCACTGTGTGTATCAGCGTAGCAAGTGCAACCCCCCAAGCAAACCCCACTCCCATGCTAACGAACCAAAATAAGAAAATTAATAGTGTAGAACCTTCATCTAACCACCATCGGTAAACTCCATTTAATCATCATCGGTAAACGGTATGTAAATAATATTTATAAATAACTCCGATCTCATTGGGGATACACTAAAAATTGCTGCGGTAGATATGTATGTGCTTTTAACGCTTATTAATATCAAAGTAAACTTGCTGGCTTAGGTGATCGTTTTTTCATACCATTTCAATTTTCAGAAACTGCTTTGTGAATCGTTTATCCTGTCCCATTCCAAACCAGATTTAAAATTAGATGTCCGCCTAATGTAATTTAAAACTTTTTCAGATGTTCTTCGAGGACAACATCGACCATGCGAAGTACTCTGGACACCTTTACGGCCTGGGCACCTCTTTCATCGTTAATGGCACAAACTTCCACGAGAGCAACGGCGAGACGAACAGTGCTTCATGATTCGTGCTAATGGGGAACGTGGTCGTGCACGACAGAAAGCTAGAGCAGGAGGGATCACCAGGTGCGCAGGCATCTGTGCAGGCCACACCACCTGGTCAACTACTCCCCGCTGCAGCAACACCTTTGCAATAGCCTGTCAACAGTCACAGAACGTTCTCATTTATAATCATTTACCCCGTTAGCCATATAGCTACTCTCTTGATGTTCCCACGCAAGTTCAGATAAAAACCAACCTTAAAATACAAAAATGGCATGCAACTAAATGTAATTCGCATAAATTTTGAGACAACCGGAAAACTAAAATAGATTCAATTTCAAATTCGGCATTTCTATATTCTAAATGTGTTACGAATACAGAAATAAGGTAACTAAGCTAATATTGTAAGCCAAAGGGCAAACATAGAATATTATGTATTTGTAACAATATATTTAAAACTTTTTAATTTAGTGTATATCGTAAATACTCTTTTAATGGAAAAAGAACTATGAAAAAACCTAGTTTTCAAGCACAAAACTAGATCATACGAGGGGTCACATTTCTGGTAATATGGTTAATGAAAACGTCGAGAACAAACCTTTATTACGGCCAGGTGTTCATGCAATATCGAATGTATTCTGGTGGAAGATATGCTCAAAGATGTCTCAATTTCACAATATGTCACATGACGATCAATTCATTATCAATTCATGCACGGCATCAACGTTCTCCGGCACAACAACTGATTCACCCTGACCTTCGTCTTCAAGCGAGCATCGGCCACGATGGAATTCATTAATCCAGTTTATCACAGTGCTATAGGATGCGCTTCTTCACCATACAAAGATTTAAGTTCATCTATTATGCACTATTGTCGTGATAATCCACATCGAAAGTTGTGAAAAGTGATCGCTCGAAAGTGTCCACGAGTTAATTTCATTTTTCTACCGAGATAAGTTTTTGATTAATCAAACGTTTAAGCTTTTATAGGCAAAAGTCCTTTTTTTTGGGTTCGTAAAAATATTTTTGAGAATTCAAAAAGACGGGCACCTTAAAATCGTGTGCAGTCCATTGGAATTCCTTATATTATTCTGTATTTACAGGGATTAAATCCAAGTTCAAATAGTTGGTATTTTTAAAAAATGGAGTACGGTCACACCAAGCTGTAGTCCTCTTGCTTATTTTATGTTATTAGAAATATATTATTATTTAGGATCTTTCAAGGCAATTCGATGGCATCAATGTCTCAGTGCAACCAAAGTGTTTTTGATCTGGTGACCCACCTGGCCACTTTGTTGGTCTCGGATGAGCAGACACCCAAACTTCCTACAGCTGCGTTGGTCGCCAGAAGGCGCTCAAAAATATATGAAGCATTGCTCTTTAGTAGGACGATGTCCACGCAGGAAAAACTTGAACTGCTCTACCAGGTGAGCAGCGAGGTGAAACAGAACTTAAAACAGAGGGACAAACTACACTCATTTGAAAATCTGCTAGACGGACAAGATGCTAAAAACCCTCAAAAAACAGAGAAGGTTACTGAAATCCCCTCTGACGTTGTGATAAGGCGTCTTAAACCAGGGATACTGCAACTAAATGAAACCATGGAACCCCTGACGAAAGAGCCATGGCACCCAAAGATGCTAAAATCCATGGATCAGATGAAACGTGCCCTAAAACCCCTGCAATTACAGCCCTACTCAGAAATTCTGATTAGCAACCAAAAATCCGAGCCTTCTCAGGATAAGCCACGTCCCAAGATTATGCAATCTCATTTGTCAAGGTTTGGCCTTGTGGAGTCTATGGCTCGAATGAGGGGGGACAGTGAACCACGAATGGAACCACCTCCTCGACTGCCAGTCTTAAAAGATAAGACCCCCGTTGCCCAGGCGGAAACGCCTTTTGTGCGGAAACCTGGTCCGGAGAAATTCTTTATTTCAGACCGCATGATGACCAATGAGCTAAAGCTCCTTCAAAACAAGGATTTGGAGCTCTACTATATGGAGGAAGCAACACTAATTGATCACCTAAAGAAAGCAGCAGCAGGGCTTCCGTCGGCATCGTTTCCATGTTCGCCGACAGATAAACTGGAATTGGTAATGAGACCTAACACCACGTTGCGCACTGTGCTACCGGAGGTACTGGAAGATTTTGCATATCCGTTTCTGCGTGCCGGTTCTGCCTTTCGGCGTTTAAGTGCTCGCTCAAAGTTAAACAGAAACTCCAGAACGCGCTTGGAAAGGCCCCTAAATCGGGTGAGTCGTACTTAAAACTTTCTGCTGATCGATTCCAAAATTGAATTTTGTTTAAGGCCATGCGAGAAATCTTGGTGGATTTCTTAGCCACCAACCGGCAGTTTATGCTCACTTTGCCAGCCGATAGCCCCTTCCAGCTGCTGTTCTATGCCCGTCACGCCATGGAGCTAGTTCATCAGCTGGAAATTATTTTCAAAATTGAGCCAAGATGTAAGATTTCATTCTGCTGAAATAATTATGAAATGGATCGTTGCTTAATTGATTTTATTTTATATTTAGTAAACGTGGACACTGGGGTATCAGGTGCCGTTCTGCTTAGTCGCATTTGGTGGGCCATCAACATTTGCGGAAACGTTGATGTCCAGGATCTCCTTTTGTATATAATGCGCTTTGTGACCCAAAGGTACTTTGTGCAATTACAAAAATGGATTTACCGAGGAGAACTGGACACGGCTGTTAATGAGATTTTTATCAACCGTTGCCTTAACACATCAACATCGCTGGTAAATGAGTGCAGTAAGGAGTTCTTTGACAATGGCTATCAAGTGGTCATCGAAGAGGTTCCAAAATTCTTATCTGGCTGTGAGCATGAAATCCTTCAGTGCGGGAAGTACAGCCAGGTGCTTAAGGCATATAACCCTCAGGTTTGTAGAGGATTATAAGCAAAGAAACATTTATATTTATACCACTGCAGCACCCCGTCTTTAATGTGGAGTACCCAGATATTGTGGTTTGTCTAACGGTGGAGGAGGTCAAAGAGATGCGTCACAGGCTGGCCAATAAGTATGCCGGAATTTACCAACGATTTGGGTCGTGTAGTATGCAAAGCATCTTCGAAGAGCGCATGGCGACCAAACGAGTATTTGCGAATCTCATGGTTCAGCGAACACAAGCTTACTTTGACGCATGGGAAGAGGAACAACGTGTGCTTCAGCTGAAGGCAAATGCTCAGAAAAAACTACTATATGATAAAATCAATGCGGAGCAGGAACTTCATCAGCAAAATCGGCTTGAGAAGCGGAAGCAGGAGATAGTCAATGAACTTGCTTTTATCCGGGAAAGGGAACTGCTAGAAGATATACACCTGAAACGGGAAAAACAAGAGTTGCAAAAGGAAGTGATACAGCTTGCAGCAGACTTAATCGAAAAAGACACACATGAGGTTATCAGTCCCGACCAAAGCACATATAGCGACCTTAGTTATACATCCTGTCTCGAAGGACCTGATTGTCGAACAGAATCCATATCAGACAAAGATGGGGAGAAGCTAAAGGATGAAGCAGTTGGACAGTCTGATAAACCACCAGATGTTAAATTAGATCAGCCAGGAGATGTGGAGCAGCGAGATGTGAAAGAGTTACCAGTTTCACTTTCCAATTGGGTTCAGTATCAACGAAGTCACTCCGATGTACTTAACTCCAATGAGCAGCCAGCCCAAACAGAACTTATACGCAATCGACAGCATGCACTCTCCTCGGATCAATTTCAGGAGTGCCAAACACGAGTAAATGTAAAACAAACGGACACATCAACCACTAGTACGAGTTCTGGATTGCGCGCTCAACTTCCTTCTGACATTAATGCAAATCTTAATTGCCCTGAAACAGAGGCATTAAGCGATATGCAGCGCAACCGACGGCGAAATGAACAGCATGATGGATTTTCTAGTTTTAACACCTTAGACGATGAGCACACCAACCGTTTACATTGGCAAAGAAATTCTAATACGGAACGCGCCAAGAATCGGCGGCGGGTTTTGGAGAGCGAATTTGGTATTAGCCTGGGCGATACGGAAAAAAAAGCGATGCCTTGCTTGCCTTTAGAACTCAACATGCTCCACGTGGAAGTACCTTTATCAGTGCTAACGCCAATGTCCACCACCTCCGACGTTGATATCGGTGGTCTCACACCAAAGGAATTCACAGAAATTGCAGATATGCCTGAAATAGCTGACAACGATGCTGCTAATAATAACAATGTTGGTGAATACAGGGAAACTTTGTGCCCGGAGTCTAAAAAGGCCGAACTTGTAAGTGATAATCCAATGAAACAATCGGAAGACCTTAGGCATGCTTTAAGACTGCCCTCGCCCTTTAATATGGAGGAAGAAGATGTCGGACGGGAGTTGCAAAACGCTGTTCCCAATATATCGGACAGTATCGATCCTTTTATGGCCCAATATTGGCTGCAGTTTTCTGTGATGACTCCCGTAAACGCATACTATGCCCTTCTCCGCAATGAGGTAATTAGGATCTTTCAGGAGATGCGTATCTGCGAACATTTCCGCAAACTCAGAAACTACTTTTTTCTGCTAGACGGACAGTTTGGAGAAACACTGACTAGTGATATCCTGAAAAAAATAAAGGCTGGTGTTGATCCACCGAGTCTTTGCCAAAAAGGCATTTTAGACACCATCCTAACCAATGCCCTATCGGCTTGCTCATCGGATGAAACCACGGTGTCTCAGAATCTTACTCTTAATTGCACTACTATACCAGATACGCTAAATTTCCTGTCTGTAGACGCCACCTCCATGCTAATGCTTCACTGCAAAATAGACTGGCCTTTAAACCTCGTGATTAGCTCGGAAACGATTGCCAAATATGGCCAGATATTTGGGTACTTACTGAAGCTACGTCATGTAAGCTTCGTCTTGGAAGGAACCTATGAATATCTACAGCAGACGGGAAAACTTCTTGGACAGGAACTTCGGACATGTGCACATTTTCGGCACTTGCAGATGATGCGCAACAAGCTGTCGCACTTTATGACCTCGTACCAGACGCATCTGGTGGCCAAAGCTCTACAGGCCACATGGAAGAGTTTCAAGGAGCAGCTGTGCTCTGCTGATTCCATAGAAGAATTGTACAAGCATCATGCCGCATACTTGAAGAGGGTGGCCTTCCTGGCTTTACTTAATCGACGAAGTGCTAAGATAAAGGAAACCATCGATAATATTCTTGTTATCATACTACGCTTTTGCAAGTTAGTTTTATTCTTAACCAAATGAAACATTTTTTATATTTCAATTATTTTAGAGTCATTCAGTCACAGTCTTTCATTATGGATCAAGATAATCAGTTTGTGCACCCCCGCTTTAAACGTCTGTTACAAGAGGAAGTCGAGTTCGAGAAGTTTATGAACTATCTCATCTATTTGGGAAACAAGGCAGCCGCCTCTGGCTACCAGGAGGAAATCGATGATCTCATTTGTATTATTAGTTTTAATAACTACTACAAGGCATCTGAGGAAACGTAATCTTAAAAAATCCCCCCTGTAAATGTTAAAGGTTTTAAAAGAATGGTTACGTTGTTAAATAATTGAATGAATTAAACAATTTATTTTAGAGTTAAATTGTGGGTCTTGAAAATGTATTTATTGGGTTATACAAATTTGATAAAGGTAGCAGAGTGTGTGTTCCAGTCGGAGTGGGATTATATCAGTTTGAGTCAGCTCTGTGACTAGTGAGTTATAATTTTAGTGAAATGACTTGTGGATATAAAGGGCTTGTAGTTATTAGAAATTATTTTAGTAACTTAAGTCCATATGAATTTGTTTCATTAAATATTAAAAGCTTAAAAAATTATCATATATCATATAAATTTAATTAAAGTTGTTGTCTTTAAAATTTGTAAATGTCTATATATATATATATATATATATGTCTTTAAAATTTGTAAATGTCTATATATATATATATAAATTTAATAATATTAACATTACTATGAAAATATTACTTATCAACAATTTGAGCTTTACGCTCGTTAAGTATCTCTAAAGATGCCATCTCTAAACGGCTGACCGTATGCGATGTATCGGTATTCGCTCCATCCCTGGTCATGAGTCACTTCGTTTAGAACATTTCAATTTTATTTTTAGTTTATAAAAACGGTGCACGCTTTTGGAATTTGATTTTACTGAATTTACTTAAATTATTTATATCCCGAAGTAAAATCTTTAAAAATGCAGGTAAGTTAACAACAATGATTAAATTATATTGTTTTGATTATTCAAACAACAATGGGTTTCCGATTGAAATTGAGATTGTGGGTGTGATTTTGTTGCACCCAAAAATAAACTCCATATTTGGTAATGAAAATTTATGAATGAAAACTCACGTGGCTTTGTTCTCCGTAGGATCCAAATGAAGACACCGAGTGGAATGATGTGCTGCGGGCCAAGGGAATCATTGGACCAAAGGCGAAGGAAGCTGAAATCACGGAGGATCAAATCCAAAAGTTGATGGACGATGCTATTCAGCGGCGTACGGATCTCCCACTAAACGAGGGACAGAGGGACAAGAAAATTGACGACATGTCGCTAGACGAACTCGACGAACTGGAAGACTCCGAGGATGAGGCTGTTCTAGAGCAATATCGTCAAAGGCGCATCGCCGAGATGAGAGCCACCGCCGAAAAGGCACGTTTTGGATCCGTGCGCGAGATCTCTGGACAAGATTATGTCAACGAGGTCACCAAGGCCGGCGAGGGTATCTGGGTGGTTCTTCACCTGTACGCTAACGGTGTTCCACTTTGCGCATTGATCCACCACCACATGCAGCAGCTGGCCGTCCGCTTCCCGCAGACCAAGTTCGTGCGCTCCATTGCCACCACCTGCATACCGAACTTCCCTGAGAAAAACCTGCCCACCATTTTCATTTACCACGAAGGATCGCTGCGCAAGCAGTATATCGGTCCCCTGGAGCTCCGTGGCGAGAAGCTGACCGCCGAGGAGCTTGAATTTATGCTGGGACAAGCGGGAGCAGTTCCCACCGAGATCACAGAGGATCCACGGCCCCAGATCAGAGACAAGATGTTGGCCGATTTAGAAGATAAGAGCTCGGATTTCTACTAAGTCAAATTATAACCGTCATCCCACGTTCTGTACTTTAGGGTGGGTCAATGTTTTAAGAGTGAGTCATAAGGCAAAATCCAAGCTTAAACCGGTATTCAGATATTTTTTAATATAAAAGATTATTTGCAAATAATCAATCTTAAAAATATGGTGCAAGCTTATTTAAAAGCTGAAAATCGTATACAATAAAATATTGTATAGACCTAGAATATTATAAGAAAGCTGCTATCCAATGCGAATTTTATTGATCGATAGATTACTTGAATTTGCCTATTTGATTTTTGCGCTTTCTTCATCCGTATATATTGATCCAGTCTAAACTTAAAAATATCTCTTGCACGTATTCATTTCATTGTTCTGTGGCATTTACATACCCTCAAATAAATTGTTTACTTTTCTACTGAAAGTCACTTATTATGATTTTGCTTGGTGCTGCTGGCCGTGGCCTTTGCTACGCTTTTTGGTTTGCCCCTAAAAATGTTTGGATCGATGATGTTGTACGGATGCTCGCAAGCGGGATTTAGTACTCGCCCTCGTCTTGGCTCATGTTCCTCAAGAAGATGCGGGGCCAGGAGCAGAAACAGCTGCTCTGTCCAAGAGGGCAGGCCACAGGTGGAGAAGCACAGCTCCCAGTACGGCAGTCCCAAATGGGCGATGGCCATTCGGAGGTATTCACTGAAAGTGTCTGCCAAAAACTGCCAGCTCAAAGTGCTCAGCTCTAGCAGATAAAACTTTGGATTGTTGGAACTTGTGGACTCGTACAGCATGCATACCTATTAAAAAAAAAAATATCAAGTGACTCACATAACTTTCTAGAACATTGTATAAAATCTAACAGTGTAAAGATTATTACCTTGGCCACTTCATTAACATTGTTGATCTCGAAAATTTTTGATTTAGCCGTTATAATGGGCGTGGCGTTGCCCCACTTGTCCTTGCCGGATGAAACCGGAGGTGGAATGGATTGTGAGCTGCTTGATGCACCCAAAACATCCGAGTTGCTATTGGGCAAAGCCGTTGAATTGGCGGAATGGCTAGCAGTAGTTTCGATGTTCTCTCGTAGAAGAGTCACCTGCAGCAGATGAGGAAAGTGAATGTGACCCACACGACGAATATCGTTAGCTGAAATGGGAGAGATATGCACCGGAAACAGGGAAACCAGAACATCACACTTACGAGCATACTGGTAACTCCAGTTCAGGATGAATCCGTCCGAGGATATGTAAAACTTCTTCATATCTTCAGGGAGGTAAACACAGTGTCTTTGTTCCCAATTGACCACCTGGCAGGAATTCAGTGGTTGTCGTCGCTCCAATGTCACATTACATACTCTTGGCACATTGGCTGGAAGTTTGGAAGCTTTGTATTTTACAGGACAATAGTCTTCCTATAACTGCATACTTACAGAGGGTCCTTATAAGGCCTAAGGTCAAATTTTCGTAAAATGCATCCTCCGGCGAAAGCTTTTTGTTCATCATCAAAAAATTTGTCTCAGAAAAAAATCAAAATTTATACGTCAGTGGGTTTTCTATAAATATATAAAACAAGCTGCTACGACATAAACAAAGTTATGTTGGAATGGTTGTCGTGGCAACGTCTAAAATGGTTAATTTTTTAAAAGGGGGAATTGTCTACAAAATCTTTTAAAATAGAATATCTGATTAATTTCAGTTCACGACAACACTGAAAATTATTTATTTACAATATTTATATTTGCGTTTAAACAAAAACTATAAACTGTGGAGCATTAACAACAATAGACATGATTAGATTATTCTAAGTTAATGATTTTGGAAAGGAGACGAGAATTGGTTATTGCATCAGGACATCCTGCTGCTGCCTCATCTTTTGTTTTGGTCCTGGGCCTCACTTTCGGCCTCCTCCTCGTGTCAGGAAACCTCCCATACGGTTGATTCCACCGATCTTCGAGGTCGGGCTGCCACTTCTACGTGGGCATCTAGTCCATCGCTCAGTCGACTGAATCGGCGAGCCCAGCTGCCTCGGGCAGTTACTTGGCTTCCGGCGATCGATGCTCGATTACTGGTGTCCCGGAACAGGCTCATAATGTCTTGGTTGTCGCCCTGAGCACGCTTGATCCCGTGCTGATACTTGGCCTCTTTGGCCAATAGTTGCTCTCGCTGCATTTGAGTTTTTACCTCGGATGGGACATCCGGAATGATAAATTGCATAATGCCAGTGATTACAAACACCACGTGCTGGAAGTGCAGATATAGATTATTGATAGATTACAAAAAATACAATTTGGTAATTAAACTCAAATAATAATAAGGTTAAAGTAATATAAATTTGAATATAATGAAACCACATTTTTATACCAACCTCAAAAACCACTACGAAGGCCAAACGAGCAGCAAAAACATGCCAATAATGGGGGCTCAGTCCATAGGGCTCGTAATCCTTGGGGCCGTTTCTACAAGTGTTGAATATAAAGATATGAAAATCCAACTAAGAAGAGATTATACCCACCTATAACCACGATATTGGCAGGTGTCCGGATCTCGTTCACTGACCGAGGCACCCCATTCTTCCTTGTAATCGGAGGTATTAAAGATGGACAGCGAGTGCTCAATGTAACCAGCCAAAGTGTGGGTTTCAGAATAAACGAATTTGTAGACCATCCGTGGTATAAAATCACTTGTGTAGGCTATCACAAAGGCATTCGAAACGACTGCCGTGTATGTGATGATCCGAAGGATACCGTACCATGCTCCAATATCCTCGACCCGTTCGGCCAAAGGACGTCTAGCTTGCGTGACCATCTTGTAGGCATCCAAACGTATCTCCGCCACATTGTTCAGCAACGCAAAAAGCGGTGCCAATGGAAATGCAGCTACAAACAGAGTGACAAAGCCATATTGAAGAACTGATAAAAAGAAAAAAGTTTAAGAAATTATGGCCTTGAGATATATGTCAAAATTCTTACTCATTTCAAGATATTCATCAAAAAGTGCCAGGCGACCTGGGTCCTGCATATGATAGTCCTGCTCCCAGGCCATATGTAAATGAGACTCATCCTTGGTGGCCTTAAAATAGAAAAAAACAAATTTTAAATTGAAAAGAAAAACCGGTTTTCAGTCCATCATTATATAACTCACCTGTTTATGTTTCCGCTGCCGCCACCAGTTCCAAAATTTTGGAAACAAGTACTCCATGAAATTGTTCCAGCACTGTTTACCCACCATTATGATGGCCAATTGGATGCAAAGTTCGGATAAGCAACCTGCCGGGTCGCAGATATCATTCTTCAGCCGGAAGAACTCACTTTTGCGAGCTTGATCATCTCCCGGATAATCAAAGAACCGGCCCTTGAAGAAAGCGATATAGATAAGCGAAGAATAGAAGTTCATGAACTCGAAAAAGAATATCTTGAAAGTGTAGGAATCCTCGTATTCAGTATGGGTGCGCGGATTCTCCAAATTGGTCAACCTTATGGCCATGCGGTGGTATATCTGAAAATTGTAAGTAGAAAATAAATTCCCTTTGATTTCTAGGTGATTGAACTTAGACTTACCCGTGTTAGTAACATAATGACCACCAAATTAATCAAGGCTGCCGTAACACTGGTAAAGAGCTTGGCATGCTCCTTCACAAAGAAACCTCCTCCACCATAAATAACTGACACCAGAGTAATACGATAAAGTATGGTGCCCAGCACGGCAGATAAAACCACTGAGATCTTAAAAAGTCATTTCATTATATTGTATTTCTTAAATAAGAAGCTATGGGAATCTTACCATAAAAAGGACGGCACTTCCGGTAATTACAAATCTTATCGACCTGTTCCAGGTGGACATGTAGGGTTCCTTTTCCCGTGTGACGGGATTCATGCGAAATGTAGTGGCATTTGTTTCGAATTCTGGACGGTTCTCTTCATCCATATCTACGTTGTGCAAGTCCCACTCCCAGACAAGAACCGATTGCTTGCGTTTCCAAAGCTCCAGGAATGTGGTGGCTGTTTTTAAGATAAAAATTAAAATTTATAAAAAAACAAAGTTATTTAAGAGGTCCTTTAAAAAACCTACCCCAGAAGGACATGAAAATGGCGAAGAACACCGTCGAGGGATTGTCAAAGAGATAGGTAAGCCGTGAAAAAAGGCACGATTCCGAGAGTCGCTGGTAGCTGCAGGCTTTATCGCAAAGTGGACATAGGGTAATATTGCCCGTGCCATATTCGTTGCAGATCTCCTTGCTAGGAGTATTGTCTTCCGATTCCAAAGTGGCTAATCCGTAGATGAAGCAGAGGGTACCCACCACTGACGGATAGACGAGCATCTCCGTATAGAAACCTAGCCAACAGAAGTACAACGCAATCTTGTCGCCGAAGTACTTTCTGACCAGGCACAGCGGTTGCTTCTTGTACCATTGGGAAGGATGAGCCCATGTCTGGTAGAGAACTCGCCGATCAAGGGAGATTCCACTGGAGTGAGGTCGGTCGTACCGCCCCTCGTGGAGAGGAAAGCAGCCTAGATAGGTGCCGTCATTCATCAGCCGCCTAATGCCGCTGCGGTCACTCTCATCGAAGGGTGTCCGGATGAGAACCTGCATCACCATTAGCGATCGTTGGGCACTGGTGAAGGCTGTTGCGCGATCTTTAACAATAAATCTATTGCGGAGGAATGAAAATTTATTATAAATAACAGTTAAACATTATAAAATTTTTATCTTAGTTATCACTAATTTTTACAAACACTTACTGCTCTTCAGGGTTTCCATTAGCTGTTGCAGCCTTAAATGTTGTCTCTCCCTCCAGAAGGGTTTGGTCTAGCTGTATCTTTTTGGTCAAGCGCTGCCAGACATCTTTCCAATATTGCACATTTCTAAGCACAACGTTCTCCTCATCCTATAAATAAATATATTGTGAAAAAATTCCAGGTCCAGTATAGAATGGTATAAAATATCTCACCCATGATGGCTTAACGGATATGGTGATGAATCTTTTGACGGGTAGCTTCAGATTCATGACCTCAGCCAGTCGTGTTTCCAGTCGCCAAGGCAAATGGATTTTCAAAAAGAAGGTCTTCTCGTTGAAGGACTGCGACTTGTCCTCCAGCTCGACCTCGAGTCCTTCCTTGATAAGGTTCTCCATGAAAGAACGTCGGTTATCGCGACGTTTGGCTTCCGCCTCGGTCATAACGCCCAGATCCTCCTCTTCCCAGGCCAGCACCATGTCCACTTTCCGTCTGCCATCGCGGAACATCAGTGACTCCGGATCTAAGCCCTCTCGATCCTGTTTACTAACTCTTCTTTCATCTCCGGATTCGCCTCCCAGGCTATTGCTTTTGCTGGCTTTCCGACTGCCGTAGTAACTTCCGCTAATGGAACTCGTTGCATCCGAGGCCTTCCTTTCCGTGGGAACAAGTTGCCGATAGCCAAATTGATCGGGTAAAACGTTGGAGTGTGATGACTCCATAATCTCATAAGATTGATTCACTCTTTCAGCGGAACCGAGAGTGGCACTCAAGTTCAATCCCAAATTTCGTCGCATTGCCGTGCCAGGTATATCCTCCTCATGACTTCCCACGATCTTGGGGCCGAATGCCTGCGTGGGACTTGGTTCAGCCGATTCCGATTCCAAATGTGTGGGAAGTGGCACCGTAATGGAGTTGGTTTTGGGGAACAGGGGATTGCCATTGCTGGTCCGCATCACCGATGAGTTAAGCCACTTTTCCGTATATGCAGCTGATCCTGCTCGAGCCCGATTGGCACTTAACTTCGATTTGGGTGGAATCGGAGTGGCAGGTTTAGTGTTCCCTACCGGAACATTATCCTCCCCTTGGCAGCTGTATGTGCTATCTTTTGGATCCGTTTCGATTGGTCTTGACTGTAGGTCAGAGTCAATTAAAACACCCTCCTGGGGATATAAATTTCAATTGTGGTAAATTTTGAAATTTAATGCCGTAGTCAAACTCACCCCGTATCCTATCAATCTTCCTGCCACTATGCCACTATCCTGGCTAAGTCTTCGTGGTCGCAGCTTCGTCTGACTCCGGTGGCTCATGCGCTCACTTTTGGCCGGACTGGACATCACCTCCCTCCTGGTGGATGGGTCTGGGGAGTGGCGCGAGCTTCGCAGCGTTGGCACCGAAAGAAATCCTGGAGAGATTATTGTTTTTTTATTAAATTAAAAAATATACAGATTTAATTTATATTTCATATAAGTTTGTCTTTTTATTAGAGTTTATTAATTAGCTTTTTTCCCATTCTATGTATTCGGTTATTTACTTACTGGGAAATTGAAAGACCGATTGCTCGCTGGATCTGTCGACCTCTCGGGCGGCGCTGCCGATGAGATCCTCTCGTGAACTGGCCTCTGTTATGGGGGCGGTGCTCTCATCCTCAACGCTATCGATGCGTATCTGAAAGATGTGTGACCTCTCGTGGGACCTTCCTTCGTGACTGCTCATCGTCTTCTCTCCGTTGGAGCTATGGCGTCATGGAATTCTGTAGAGCGTAATTGAATGGACGGCAGGTCATATGGGGCCACTTTCTAATTTGGCCTAGTTTGAAGCACCTGCTCCGTTACCCATGATAAACTATTTAAAGTGACAAGTTCGGAAACTTGAAGGGGAGCCTTTTGTGGGTTGTCATTCAAGAATTGTCGCGCGCTGCACATACTTTTATCCCCTGATTCCATGGGAGTCCAACTGGCATTAACTATTCATGTATGTTTATACTGCTGGCCTCGAGCTGGGCGTTAATTTATACCCTTAAGAGTATTTGTATCTTCATTTGCAAGCGCGTTCCAATCAAAAGGTGAACTCGGGCACGCATTCGACATTGACCCATGGATGGTGTTTGTATAGCCCGATATGGGTTTTAGTGGTATGGGAAAAATACTACAACCATTGGGAATAATGCCTTCACATTAACGTTAGTACACTATGAGAGCGAATCCAGTTGGAACGCAAATGGTGGTAAGCAAACTTGTTGCTACGAGTGTTGAACACTTTCCCAGACGGACGAATGACAATAGTTCTAAATAATTGCCCTAGATTTCGTATTGGGATATACTCGTATGTACAACGTTTGGATGTGAAAATGTGGTGGTCAGTGAATTGCCTTTGGAGGACAGACAAACAAATCCATTCGCGGACTCTACTCGACTTGAACTCGTACCTGGATCACTAATAAGCGTGCGACGGACGTCCTGGAAATGTCAGCGTTTGTTGGCAGTTGTGAAAAGTCCCATGCCATTGAAGTAATCACAACAATTGAAGGTTTATTGATTTGCTCCTGTCGGTTCCCAGCTGTACTCGTATATGAGTAATCGATTATTGATTGCAGCTTATATTCAGATGGAGTTCCGTGGCCAAATGATTACACTTTCACAATAATAGATCTCTCTTTTTTTTTGAGATCTGTCGGTGCTGGGCACTCGACTATATTTAACTATTCACAGTTCGAACTGAACAATTATTGATTTTGTGTGGCTTGTAATTATTATCTTTCAATCAAAGTTCACATTATCCAAGCACACGCTCGCACGTCCATCCCGACCACTTTAAATACCACTTAACTTTGACAGTATCCGCCCTACGTATGGCGTACCGTTCACCACGACGGTTCCCGACCAATTGACCGACCAGGAGCTATGACCCTCTGGTCAGGACAGTGACACTCTGGGACAGATAGGTAATCACGGTAGTACTCGTAGTCACCGCTCTCTCGCTAAGTGGAACTCGACTCGTAGGCGGGAGTACTATCAATAGTGTTGGGAGGTATGTGTTCCTATGTGGACCCCTAAAAAGGTATATAAAAGGTATGTATAACGTATCTCACTTCAGTTAAAGCATGATTCCTTTGGACGTTTTCTGTAATATGTTACTATATATAAAAAGCTCTTTAAGGTTCTGCATAAAGTCAGGAGGAATATTAAAAATGAAATATACTATATGGACGTTCCCATCACTGGCCATACCACCGGTCACACCCATTCCAAATTGGTTTGTGGGATATGCGGAGGTTACTTTTAACACGAATATCCTATTAATATAGTATTTGACTCGGTGTAGCGCGAGGTTCTTCGTGATGACTTTCTAATTTTAAATCAGGCTGACAATCCGTGTCCTTACCGCTGTACTGATAGTTGGCAATGACGTCAGTGATTCACAAGGATTATGGTCGTCATAGCATTTTGACTCTTACATATGTAATCGAAGTTGGCCTAAAGGCAACATTAATTTATGGCTTGAATGAAGCTATCCCATGGGCTCTCTAAACAACGCACCCTTGATGATTACTCGCCCAAATTCGTGGCCATAAAAATAGAGTTATATGCGACATTGTCTGGAACTCGTATGTTGTAAGTACTATTATTGTACGGCTGGGAATCTATTTTGATTGAATGCACGTCATTAATAACTCTGAAACCCTTTCTTAATTTTGTTATTTCAGGTTAGTGCGTGCTAATTTGACCGTTTGTCGCCGTCCCTTGTTTTTGATTGACAGTATCGTTCTGTTAGTCAAGTACACGTAGAGTATTTATGTACGCAAATGACATTTATTATGTTGCGTCAGTGATCTTTCTTTCAAGTTGACGACCTTATATAAGAATATATTTAGAGAATCGGAACTGGAAGTGAAACTATAAGAAGTAATTTTGTATTATACGAGTATGTATTTGACAACCATCACCGACTTAACTAAATCAGATCAAAAGTGCATTTAACCGAGATTGTCACTGCTGATGACGTCGTCTGTATCAGTTTTGCACTGCTGCAGGACATCCACTTCACAGACGCTTGTCAGCTTGTTAAAGAACTCTCCATGGGCGCATTCTCCATCGATCTTTTGTCCATGGACACAAGTGAAATATCCCCGGCAGTTGTCTGCATCTCGAGCCAACTGTCCATGCTTTCCATTGCATATTCCAACTCTTTCTCCGTTTTCCATTAGACAGGTACCATCATTCTGGCGACAGATTCCCAAAAGACTGTCAAAACTTTCGCCATTGCGACATCTTTGGGACACGGCTTCATCGTCTTCGCAACTGGTATATCTGCGACAGTCACCTTGCTCAGCTACGGAAGCACCATTTCCGATAACTTCACATATTCCCGCAAATGTGGTGGCAGCGTCTTTGCAGATTCCGGTCGTCGTAGCCTTCTCCTGACCAACCAGATCCATCTGTCGAGCTTCTACCGGTTTATCTGTTGGATTAACCCCATCAGAGATGATCTCATAGGCCTGACATTGCTGCAATGTGGCATTGAAAAAGTAATCCGTATAGCATAGCTCATGGCGGAGTTTTCCAGAGACGCACAGGTAAAAGTTATTGCAGTTGGCCGGATCGGGCATAATATATCCATTTTTGCCTTCGCAAACAAGCGGATCTGGGGGAATATATTGGTTATTGGGATCGTCGTCATCATCTGGAACAGATTCTACCAGTGGACAAGAGCCATCGTCTGCGACGCAGACTAGTTTCTCTGGATCGAAAAAGGTTCTGGCATTACATCGCTGAGCAGTAGCCACTCCTCCGGCGCAGATGAAGTACCGAGTGCAGTCAGTCCGATTTGCTAGGAAGCTGCCATCTTGGAGGTTTCCACAGCTGTAAACATAACTCACATTACCATCCAACTGACCATTAAGACATGGCTGTAGGGCCTGTGATTCCGGTTCACAGATGGATAGTACCGGATTGAATTGATGTTGTATGGGACACTCAACGGGAATAGCTAATCCCTTCACGCAGGCATAGTACAAATTGCAATAGAGCTCATGAGGGAGTTTTACTCCGTGCAGTCCGGAGCACAACTTTGGCTTAGTTTCAGTGTCCTCGTCATTGGAAACGTTTCTGCACTGGCCATGGTCCACTCGACAAATCGAAAGCAAGCTATGGAAGTACTGACCCTCATCACACTGTATTAGTCTAGTTCCATTCTGGCTGGAGCAGCTGTAGTAAGAACGGCAGTCCTTTGGATTTGCCACTAGTTTACCATCTTCTAATCCCGAACAAATTGCCAGTTGGCAGGAGCCATCGTTCGGGCGGCAGTATCCTTTAACAGAGTCGAAAAAGCTACCAGAGGTACAGCTTTGCAGGAAGGCAGGAACTTGTTGCATGCAAAGATAGAATTGAGTACAGTCCGAGGGATCTGGGACGCTTAGGCCATCCAACTGACCCAGACACTGATTCTCAGTTGGAAGATCCCTCAACTGTAGTTGGCATTGAGACTGCAACTGACACTTGTTGAGATTACCGGCGAAACTATGACCCCTCAGACAGCTGCCCGTGTGCCATTCCTCTGCCTCACAGTAAAGGAATGTTTGAGAGCAGTTTCTGCCAAATTGAGCCTTGAGCTCTCCCTCCCGGCAGATGCGTCTCATTCCGTTGTCATGGCAACTTCCATCGCTAGGCACACAGCCCAGCATTGGTTCGAATTGCTCTCTTTCCTGACACCGCTTCCGTATCCACTGCCCATTCGAACACAACTCATAGCTATGGCAACTGCCTACCAATGATCGGCTATCTCCGGAGGAGCAGTTCAACCCACTCCGTTCCACGGGCAAGGAACACTGTTCGGCGTCATTAGGTAGGCAGTAGTTGTGCTCTCGACTGAAGTACATGCCCAAGGGACACTGATGTAGCCACCAGTAGTTATCCAGGCACATCAGGTAACTGTGACAGCCACCTGCCGACGATGGGCGCACTGCCAAGTGCTGGCAATTCTGGGTGGTAGAACCAGCTAAATGGCTTCTAGCCAAACTGCAATTGGTTTGATTCTTTTCCTGCTCATGACCCCTCGGCCATGGTAGACATGATCCTATCGTTGGAGAGTAGTAGTGCTGTTTGGGACAATTGCGAAGGCGCCATTTGCTACCGGAGCAGCGGAAGTACTGAAGACAGTTGCCACTTTTAGCCATAACTGTCTGGGACTCGCTGACATTGGTGCAGGGCGGTAGATTTGATACCTTTGCATAGGCACAGACCAGATCATCACGCGGTTCTAGGCATCGCTGCTGTTCTGGATTGTAGTATCGTTGGTCAGAGCAAGTGCGTCGACGCCAGTGGCCATCAATGCACACCTCGTACTGGGAACAGTTTGCTGGCACCGAACGCTTCTCATCCATGTCGCAGATCTAGAAAATTAAATTACAAATCTTTTAAGAGAATGTCTTAAAATGGAATAAATTACAAGTAATTTAAGAATAATTCCTGATTCGTTTAGGCTGATACGTTAAACTTGGCCCAATAATGAACTTATTATTAATATGAATCCCACATCATTACCCGGTTATAGAAACTATAAATTCACCTCATGACTTTTAAGTCACGACTGATGAAACTTCCACAAAAAGAACCCCCTTACCTTTAATGTTGCACTTTCTCTAAAAGTGGACAATATCCACATGTTCCATTCTATAGGCACACAAATTAAAAGCCGAAATTTTGATGATGAATAACATCTATTTTTGAATTTATTTTAGCGAATATATGGGTAAAATATATTATTGGGTATTTAATACGTATAGAAGTGGAACAAGCGGAACATTCACATAAAACGTAACTCATAAATAACATCTAAGGTCATAAGGTAGTGTATAAGAGTATAGAAAGCTAGCTTAAAGCTGGCTTAGAAAAGTTTCGGGAAGTATTTCTTGAACAAAGACAGGGACCTTACGTTTTCCTCCGCCTCCAAGGAACGCTTCTGGATGATGTGGCTGTTACACATGCCGAGCTTGGCGTCAAAGACCAGGCCTTCGGGACATGGATGATAGGTGACACTAATACGCGCCTGGTCATCACAGGAACAGAATCCTGACTTGGTGTTCTCGGCAGCAAACGGCTCGAATTGAGTTCGCTTTAGACATTCCTTCAAGTTGCAAGAGATCATAGCAATGGTGTCCTTTAGAATACACAATCCCTGGACTGTGTCAAACACTTGACCGGTTTGACAATGATGGAATGTTGGCAAACCATCGCAGGAACAGAACCCTTCTGTGGTATTCTTCGCTTCGAACGTAGCGAAGAAAGCCTTGTCCAGGCAGTTTGTATAATCGCAAGCCTTGACCACACAGGATCCCACACTTTCCTCGTAAACGTGCTCATCGGCACAACTGGTAAAGGTGGAAACTCCCACATCCTGGCAGCTGCAATATCCACTGCTTGTATTTTGGGCAGCAAACGTGGAGGCCACAACGGCACGGCTATGGCATCGAGTGGCATCGCAAAGGCTTGCTTCACTTATCTTGGTGGAGGTCGCAATACAGGCACCTATGAGGGAATTGAAAGTGGCATCGTCATTGCATTCCTTATAGATCGGTGTTCCCTCCACGCACAAGCAGAAGCCTTCATCTGTATCCAGAGCTGGATAGGGGGTGTAGTCATTCAATGTGTCGCATTTACCCGCTTCGCAAATGCACTCGGATGCCTAAAAATATTAAGGAAATCAACGACATATCAAAAAACTCTGACTTTAATCATTTACCGCTATAACTCCGCAACGTTGTTGATCCTCCAGGTATACCATTTCAGGGCCGCACACTCCAAGGAACACCTCATCACCATTACAATAGCAGAAGGAATTGCTATTTTCGGCAGGTGATTTAGTTGGGAAGGTCTCGAAATCAGTATAGCATGAGCACTTGTCGGCATCGCAAAGGGCAGCTACGGATTCATCCTGTGAATTTTATAAAATCGTAAGATGATAATAATATTAAACGAAAGTTAAAGAGAATCTGGCGAATGAATTTATTTATGATTGCACCACTCACCTCTGGTTCATAACAAAGTTTTAACTTCTCGTCATAGACCAGATTATCTAAACATTCCCTATATATTGGGCAGTAGTTAAGGCAGTAGCAAAACCCGGATGGTATATTTGCGACGGGGAATGTATTGTAGTCCGATTCATTCTCACAAATGGTGGCTTCACAAGCATTCGCAGCACAGGTGGTTTCTTCCTATAATTATTCGTTAAAGATAGCTAACAACATTCCCAGAAATCCGCTTACATCAGTGCTTTTGCAAGCGCCTAATTCGGCGTCATATTGGGCATTATCCAAGCAGTTGACGTATTTGGGAACCTCATCCACGCAGAGGCAGAATCCATCGGTTGTATCGAGGGCCGGGAGAGTATAAAAGTTATTTTTTCCTACGCATCCATTGCGGCAACAACGCGGCTATAAAATGATTTTTTAATTTTTCATTTCTTCATTATAGGGATTATGGCTTACGTCCGGCTGGGGAATGAGAACGCATTCGAGTGTTGTGCTATCGAAAGTGTAGCCAATGGGGCAGGGCACTGAGACAGGATCGTTAGCGCGGCACAAGCAGAAGCTATTTGGGTCCTCATAGTCTGGAGACACATAGTACTCCTCCTCGCCGGTGCAAACCTGAGGATCGCAGTTTCCGCTCTGTAATCAGAAAACAATGGGTTAAATTTCCTCCTTAGCCCTCTACATTCTTCACTACTTACGAAAGTGCAGCTTTCTTCAGCTGCGTCGTAGAACAAGCCCGTGGGACAGGAGTTTATATATCCGCCACCATTTTCGCACAGGCAGAAGGTAGAGGAATCGTTATTAAGAGATGGATATGTTGAGTACTCAGTGGCAGTCTTGCAAACGCTTTGATCGCAATCGGTCTGGATTTATCAGGAACAATGGGATATAAAGTCAGTCATTAAGTATGGAAATTAATTTAGATAATATGTATCTATATATTTAAGCAGCTTAACTTACGCTTGGTTGGGATTGGCAAAAGCCAAGGAGTGCAGAGTAACCAGAGTTCACTGGACAGGATACTATGCTGACCTCGTGGTTGAGGCACACGTAGAATTTGCTGGTGTCTCCAGCCACGGGATAAGTGGTGCCATCACTGGCGGTGGCGCAATTCTTGGCCGAGCACTCAACGGTTGCTGAGCACAGACCAGTTTCCGAGTCGAAGGCTTCTCCAGAGGGGCATTCCACCACCTTGGCCACACCGTCCGTGCACTGGAAGTACTCAGTGCAAATCGGATGGGCCACATTGCCATTGGCGCAGGTGCATGGGTTAATACACTTCGCATTCACATCGACAGCGCATTCATTATCGCCATTGTACCATTCACCGGATCCACAAGAGTGCTCCGTAGCCAGGCCATTCCAGCAAGTCAAATAACTGGTGCAGTCTGTCGGATTCGGCATTTGATAGCCATTCGGTCTGTTGGAGCAAACCCAGCAGGTAGCTTTGGCATCCGGAACACAGACGCCGTTCTGAAGGACATTGCCCACACCGCACAAGCCCTCCACCAGCTGACCATTGTCGCAGATGAGATACTTATCGCAATCAGTGGGGTGGTTTATGATGCTTCCCTGCTCAATGCCTCCTTCGCATGTGCAATCCTCCACACTTCTCTTCTGACGCGATCCACTTGATCTATTTTCCGGACAAACATCACCTGAATCCTCGCGGCAAATGCCTACGGATGCGTCGAAGTAGTAGTCCTTTGAGCAAGTCTCGTTCACCCATTGGCCATCGATACAAACACTGTAGCTCCAACAATTTTTGCCACTGGCTGGGAGATCTCGGGCACTACATTCGTCAACAGAAAGGGAAACAGGGCGGGTAGTCTCAGGAATCGCTGTTGAGGTGGTTGCACTGTCGATGCACACGTTTTTCACATCAACTTCACAAGCTTTCAGGGTCTCATTAAAAAAACTTCCACTTTCACAGCACGTGGATACCCAGTCGCCACTTTGACACTTGAAGTACTTGGTGCAGTCCTGGACATCGAGTTGCACGTCTCCATCCGTGCAATCCGCTACGCAGCATTCGTTCTTCTCATCGACAACACAAACGCTGAGGGTGGAGTTAAACAAATTGCCCTTACCGCAATCTCCGGCAACTAGGGTGCCATCAATGCAAATGAAGTACTTGCGGCAATTGTCCTTATCGGGAACAAATTCGGCGTTCTTAATGTCACCGCAATCGCAGGACGTTGGAGGTTCAGTGGTTGTCGTTGTCGAATCATCGCAAGGTTCCGTGGTTGTCGTTGTCGAATCATCGCAAGGTTCTGTGGTTGTCGTCGTCGAATCATCGCAAGGTGCCTCCGTGGTACAAGTACCGGGAACACAACCCCAGTTAGTATCTTCAAAGTGACTATTTTCGGGACATTCCTGAGCTGTGGCGGTATTGTTGTAGCACACGTAAAATGTGGTGCAGCTAGACTTATCAGCCACAGCTGATCCATCATCCTTTCCAATGCAGAAGTTAGTCCAGCATTCAGTGTTTCCAGTATCGACGGTGCAAGCATCAACAGTCGTGTTGTAGAAGCTGCCCAGAGCACAAGTCTGAAGAGTGGCTGCTCCATCCGAGCACTCATAGTAGCTACCGCAGTTGTTATCGTTGGCCAAATATGTACCACTAGTCTTTCCGACACACAGGTTCTGCCAGCAAGTGGAGTTAGTATCCGGAATACAGGCACTTAGAGTTTCGTTAAAGAAGCTTCCCGAATCGCATTTCTGTGGGTAGGCCAGCTGCTCATCGCAGATGTAGAACTCACCACAATAATCACTCTTGGCTATATAAGCTCCGTTAACCTCTTCAGAACACACATTGGTGGTCTGGGAAATATCAGATAAGGATACGGATTTAATTTTAGAGATTTATTGGTTTTTTAATTTTAGCTTAAACTTACCTCGGCAAGTGGAGCTACAAGGCTAAGCTTGCAGAGACCGCGTCTTGCTGTAGAGCACTTGCCAGTTTTGGCGTTGTACTCCTTGCCAGCTGGACAAGTTACGGTGCGAACGGTGCTCTTTGACGAGCAACGGTAGTAGGTTGAACAACTCAAAGGTTTTGGCCAGTGCGTCGAGAGGCCTCGAATTTTCCGGTATATACATTCAGGATCGGCGGCTCCAACTAAAGAAGCCACTGTAGTGAGTGCCACCACAGCTAGCAGAGTAACTGAAGATTGACGAGGATAAGGGAATTAAAGTCCTGGTTACTTTTAGGATCCTGCACGTGCTCACCTTTCATCTTGGTTCACTTGTATTATTCCACTTGTGATGATCGAGATGTACTCTGCAGAATTGCCAAAAATCTGAAGCCTTTTATATACATCACAAACTTTAGTTAACCTTATCTCTATCAATTATGTTGATCATTTTTGACATGGGTCTAACATGTCAGTTTAATTGAGGTGTGAACTTTGGGAACTTTAGTTCCTGGAAGTAACACCCTTACTCAGTTGGCACACCCCAAAATTCTGTGTTTGGAATTCAGAGAGTTATGAATGAATGTCACGAACATAGTCATGTTCAAGCTCAAGATCACTAAAATGTTAAAAGGAAAACAAATATCTCAGAACAATGATTTTTGAGAGCATGCTGTTGTAAGTACTATATTTCTCTAGGCGCAAGTCGTATCGCAAGTCTGGTTGACAGAATTCCAGTAAAGATCACTGGGACAATCCTTGATGAATCCTATATCCCCATCGCAGTGTATGTACCAATGGCAATCGTACGGATGTGGCAGAAACTGAACTCCCTCATGGGCCCGACAGGAGGCGTTTGCATCTATGCTGGGAATGATCTGGGTGGTTGCACTTGGATCTGATGTTTCTGTGCTTTCTGACCCAACCGTCGAGCTCCATAAACCTTCAGTGGTAGTTCCTAATGGATCCCCACTAGTCTGATCTGAAGGCTCTTTAGTAGGTTCTTCAGTGGCAAACGATGAATCTCCAGTTGGATCTTCAGTCGGTTGACCTGTGGAATCTGTAGGATCAGATGTTTCTCCAGTCGATGGTTCATCTGTGTGTTTTCCGGTGGGATCCGATTGGCTTTCAGTAGTTGTTTCTATGGGATCTGAGGGCTTTTCAGTTGGCCCTCTAGTCGAAGTGGTATTCCAGGGTTCGTCAGTTGAATCCGATGGGTCCTCAGATGAATCATCCGTAGGATCCCAGGGATCGTCAGTGGGGTCGTCAGGATCCTCTGTGGGTGTTGGTGAAGCAGTTGGCGTAACACATTGTCTGGCACTAAGGGCAGTTGCTAGGAGCATAAGCTGCAAGGACATCAAAATCCAGACCACTGAAATCCAAAAACGTTTGTCTTTAATGTCAAAGGATATTATTCAGTTTCTCTTCCGATACTTACATCTCATCGTAGCACCGACCAGTATGAACCTAGACCAATGAACACTTTCCAATCGCCGGTCCATTTATACCATTTCTAAGTGCATCTGAATTTAGCCTTTAATTAGCATACAACAAGGCACTAAGGTGTTCTAATTACCATTATCTTGTTTAAATATGATAAGACTGCAATAAGTTGATAATAAAAACAAACTTAACCGCAAAAATTAAGAAATGTAATGAGCAGAGTTCTAGAGAAGCAATATCGTAAAAGACAAAAATCGTTATAAATAACAGCACAAAATATATATTTATAATCATTTACGAACACAGAATAGTTTGGTGTTATATCCGACAAATACTAACCCTTGAATTTCCTTATTTCAAGATCACATAATCAACTTTCCGATCGTTTTTGATTAGATAAAACTGCATCGATAACAGCAACAGAGCAAAGTAACAGAATCAATTTCGTATGGCTAACGGAAAAGCTCTGTTAAGAAAATACCAATACAGCTGTAAAATATGAAGAAGAGAAATACTATGCACTTGCGTTTACATTCCAGTAAAGCAAAAAAAAAAAATTAAAAGTAAACAAGAAATGAATGTGATTTCCCTTTAATCATCCAATATTTTTCCTCGGTACTTGTCATATCTGTGTTATAAGAGCTTAACAACAATTTAATGCCTTATATGATAAGATTGAACGTCAACCGTATTTGTATGTGGTTAATTCATTCAGTCGTTTTAGATACCTGTCCACTAAATTAATTATAAATAAAGAGACTGAAAAATCGGTATTATCAAAACTATTAAATGACGATAAACAAAAAAATAATAAACTAATAAAATACTAGGTGTACAAACATTTCTATGATACGTAGTTTAGATGTTTCCGGATATACTTGAAGTAACAATAACAGAAGCTTTAATTTCCCAGAACACTTATCTTTCAGACTTAAGTAGTTTAATATTAGCAATAATATCAATACTGATATAGTGTTCTAATTAAAGAGTAAACAAGCAAATAGTTAGTAACACTATATATAAGAACTTTTAATACTTTAACTTAAAATTCATACTTTTTATACACTTTTTGTATATAAAGTGAATGTAAAAATGCATTCAATTATTTTGGTATTTGACTCTAAGCTTTAGAACCTCATTTATAAGTATTGTTAAATATTGCAAGGCAATAAATTGATTAAAAGAGCTATCATTGATTTACCGTGCCCATCAATACACGTGCAAATAAAATAGATTAGACAGATAAACAAAAAGAATAGTTCTGTATAAGCTGCAAGCAATTGCTATATAAGCACGGACGTGCAGTAAAAACTTGTACTTTGACAGAGCGTCCACATTTCTAAGCATGAGAGGTAGTCCACAATACTTACGTTTTGTAATGAATAAACTAATATCCTATTTTAGGTTTCAATATTGTTGGAATAGTTGGAGTGCTCGCCCTCCTTGTCAGTGTGACGGCTTCGTCAGGAGAGGAGACTACCACTGATGAGACTACCATTGATGATACCACTACAGATGAATCTACCACTGAGGAGGCAACAACAGATATTCCTACCACAACTCTGCCACCTCCCGTCCTTTGTGCTGAGGGAGAATTATTTTTACCGGCACCAGACTGTCGTCAGTATTATCAATGTCTTTACGGAGAGGGAATTTTGAAAATATGCCCAGACGACCTCTATTGGGATCGGGAGCTAAACGTGTGCGCCTGGGACTCCCAGTATTGTACTGATGAGGGAATCAAGACTACTGAGTCACCGGCATTGAGTTGCGCATCTGGCCTACCATTTTTACCTTATCCGCCCGATTGTACTAAATTTATTCAGTGTGTCTATAACATCGGGATTAGACTCAGCTGCCCAGGTGGACTGTTCTGGAACCAACCTCTTCAGTCTTGTGACTATACCTGCGACAATGAAGTCAAGTTCTCCGATGTCTTCCAGGTGCAATAACCGCCAATATATACTCTAGTATTTTGTAACACCCACAATAAATGAACATTCATACTAAAAAATGAAAAAATAACAATTCAGCGTAATTGGTTTTTAGCAGACGGCAATTCAATTGAGTTCCTCTTAAAGATAACGGGCTTCGCAAAAAAGATCAGATAAGATGGCGAATGAGCTTCAATTGGGGTTATAAATATGAATGCACAAAGCACAGGTATCATTTGGTCAAATGCTTCTGTAAAATTCGAACGAAAATCGGTAGTGATGAATACAAATAGGCTGTCACTTAAAGACTTTATAATATGCCTTCTGTTAACAGTGATATTTCTTAAAGTAGTACTCGTAAAGTCCGAGAATACTAAAACCTTAAAAGAACAAATTATTCAAGTGGATGGCCAGTTTAATAAACTTCTGCCAGCAGAAAAAGTTATTCGTTACCTCGAAAATAAATACGATCGGGAGTCACCAACTTTCAAAAACCGAGCTATAGTCAATAATGTACCGGAAACAGATAACCAAAATAAAACAATCGTAACAAAAACAGTAACGGGATTAACACCAATACCAGACGAAACTACAACAGCTGGGCCTGAGGATAACACTACCGTAGAGGAATCCACAACGATTCTTGATGAAACTACAACAGCTGGATCTGAGGATAACACCATCGTAGAGGAATCCACAACGATTCCTGATGAAACTACAACAGCGGGACCTGAGAATAACACTACTGTTGAAGAGTCAACAACGATTCCTGAAGAAACTACAACAGCTGGACCTGAGGATGACACTACCGTAGAGGACTCCACAACGATTCCTGACGAAACAACAACAGCTGGACCTGAGGATGACACTACCGTAGAGGACTCCACAACGATTCCTGATGAAACTACAACAGCTGGACCTGAGGATGACACTACTGTTGAAGAGTCAACAACGATTCCTGACGAAACTACAACAGCTGGACCTGTGGAAGAAACTACCGTAGAGGACTCCACAACGATTCCTGATGAAACTACAACAGCTGGACCTGAGGATGACACTACTGTTGAAGACTCAACAACGATTCCTGACGAAACTACAACAGCTGGACCTGAGGATGACACGACTGTAGAGGAATCCACACCAAATTCAGACGAAACAACAACAGCTGGACCTGAGGATGACACTACTGTTGAAGAGTCAACAACTACCGTAGAGGACTCCACAACGATTCCTGATGAAACTACAACAGCTGGACCTGAGGATGACACTACTGTTGAAGACTCAACAACGATTCCTGACGAAACTACAATATCTGGACCTGAGGATGACACGACTGTAGAGGAATCCACACCAATTTCAGACGAAACAACAACAGCCGGACCTGAGGATGACACTACCGTAGAGGACTCCACAACGATTCCTGACGAAACTACAACAGCTGGACCTGAGGATGACACTACCGTAGAGGACTCCACAACGATTCCTGATGAAACTACAACAGCTGGACCTGAGGATGACACTACTGTTGAAGAGTCAACAACGATTCCTGACGAAACTACAACAGCTGGACCTGAGGATGACACTACCGTAGAGGACACCACAACGATTCCTGACGAAACTACAACAGCTGGACCTGAGGATGACACTACTGTTGAAGAGTCAACAACGATTCCTGACGAAACTACAACAGCTGGACTTGAGGATGACACTACCGTAGAGGACACCACAACGATTCCTGACGAAACTACAACAGCTGGACCTGAGGATGACACAACCGTAGAAGACTCCACAACGATTCCTGATGAAACTACAACAGCTGGACCTGAGGATGACACTACTGTTGAAGAGTCAACAACGATTCCTGACGAAACTACAACAGCTGGACCTGAGGATGACACTACCGTGGAGGACTCCACAACGATTCCTGATGAAACTACAACAGCTGTACCTGAGGATGACACTACTGTTGAAGAGTCAACAACGATTCCTGACGAAACTACAACAGCTGGACCTGAGGATGACACTACCGTAGAGGACTCCACAACGATTCCTGATGAAACTACAACAGCTGGACCTGAGGATGACACTACTGTTAAAGAGTCAACAACGATTCCTGACGAAACTACAACAGCTGGACCTGAAGATGACACGACTGTAGAGGACTCCACAACGATTCCTGATGAAACTACAACAGCTGGACCTGAGGATGACACTACCTTAGAGGACTCCACAACGATTCCTGATGAAACTACAACAGCTGGGCCTGAGGATGACACTACTGTTGAAGAGTCAACAACGATTCCTTACGAAACTACAACAGCTGGACCTGAGGATGAAACTACCGTAGAGGACTCCACAACGATTCCTGATGAATCTACAACAGCTGGACCTGAGGATGACACTACTGTTGAAGACTCAACAACGATTCCTGACGAAACTACAACAGCTGGGCCTGAGGATGACACTACTGTTGAAGAGTCAACAACGATTCCTGACGAAACTACAACAGCTGGACCTGAGGATGACACTACCGTAGAGGACTCCACAACGATTCCTGATGAAACTACAACAGCTGGGCCTGAGGATGACACTACTGTTGAAGAGTCAACAACGATTCCTGATGAAACTACAACAGCTGGACCTGAGGATGACACTACTGTTGAAGAGTCAACAACGATTCCTGACGAAACTACAACAGCTGGACCTGAGGATGAAACTACCGTAGAGGACTCCACAACGATTCCTGATGAAACTACAACAGCTGAGGATGACACTACTGTTGAAGAGTCAACAACGATTTCTGACGAAACTACAACAGCTGGACCTGAGGATGAAACTACCGTAGAGGACTCCACAACGATTCCTGATGAAACTACAACAGCTGGACCTGAGGATGACACTACTGTTGAAGAGTCAACAACGATTCCTGACGAAACTACAACAGCTGGACCTGAGGATGATACTACCGTAGAGGACTTCACAACGATTCCTGATGAAACTACAACAGCTGGACCTGAGGATGACAATACCGTAAAGGACTCCACAACGATTCCTGATGAAGCTACAACAGCTGGGCCTGAGGATGAAACTTCTGTTGAAGAGTCAACAACGATTCTTGACGAAACTACAACAGCTGGTCCTGAGGATGACACTACCGTAGAGGACTCCACAACGATTCCTGATGAAACTACAACAGCTGGACCTGAGGATGACACTACTGTTGAAGAGTCAACAACGATTCCTGACGAAACTACAACAGCTGGACTTGAGGATGACACTACCGTAGAGGACACCACAACGATTCCTGACGAAACTGCAACAGCTGGACCTGAGGATGACACAACCGTAGAGGACTCCACAACGATTCCTGATGAAACTACAACAGCTGGACCTGAGGATGACACTACTGTTGAAGAGTCAACAACGATTCCTGACGAAACTACAACAGCTGGACCTGAGGATGACACTACCGTAGAGGACTCCACAACGATTCCTGACGAAACTACAACAGCTGGGCCTGAGGATGACACTACTGTTGAAGAGTCAACAACGATTCCTGACGAAACTACAACAGCTGGACCTGAGGATGACACTACCGTAGAGGACTCCACAACGATTCCTGATGAAACTACAACAGCTGGGCCTGAGGATGACACTACTGTTGAAGAGTCAACAACGATTCCTGATGAAACTACAACAGCTGGACCTGAGGATGACACTACTGTTGAAGAGTCAACAACGATTCCTGACGAAACTACAACAGCTGGACCTGAGGATGAAACTACCGTAGAGGACTCCACAACGATTCCTGATGAAACTACAACAGCTGAGGATGACACTACTGTTGAAGAGTCAACAACGATTTCTGACGAAACTACAACAGCTGGACCTGAGGATGAAACTACCGTAGAGGACTCCACAACGATTCCTGATGAAACTACAACAGCTGGACCTGAGGATGACACTACTGTTGAAGAGTCAACAACGATTCCTGACGAAACTACAACAGCTGGACCTGAGGATGATACTACCGTAGAGGACTTCACAACGATTCCTGATGAAACTACAACAGCTGGACCTGAGGATGACAATACCGTAAAGGACTCCACAACGATTCCTGATGAAGCTACAACAGCTGGGCCTGAGGATGAAACTTCTGTTGAAGAGTCAACAACGATTCTTGACGAAACTACAACAGCTGGTCCTGAGGATGACACTACCGTAGAGGACTCCACAACGATTCCTGATGAAACTACAACAGCTGGACCTGAGGATGACACTACTGTTGAAGAGTCAACAACGATTCCTGACGAAACTACAACAGCTAGACTTGAGGATGACACTACCGTAGAGGACACCACAACGATTCCTGACGAAACTGCAACAGCTGGACCTGAGGATGACACAACCGTAGAGGACTCCACAACGATTCCTGATGAAACTACAACAGCTGGACCTGAGGATGACACTACTGTTGAAGAGTCAACAACGATTCCTGACGAAACTACAACAGCTGGACCTGAGGATGACACTACCGTAGAGGACTCCACAACGATTCCTTATGAAACTACAACAGCTGGACCTGAGGATGACACTACTGTTGAAGAGTCAACAACGATTCCTGACGAAACTACAACAGCTGGACCTGAGGATGACACTACCGTAGAGGACTCCACAACGATTCCTGATGAAACTACAACAGCTGGACCTGAGGATGACACTACTGTTAAAGAGTCAACAACGATTCCTGACGAAACTACAACAGCTGGACCTGAGGATGACACGACTGTAGAGGACTCCACAACGATTCCTGATGAAACTACAACAGCTGGACCTGAGGATGACACTTCCTTAGAGGACTCCACAACGATTCCTGATGAAACTACAACAGCTGGGCCTGAGGATGACACTACTGTTGAAGAGTCAACAACGATTCCTTACGAAACTACAACAGCTGGACCTGAGGATGAAACTACCGTAGAGGACTCCACAACGATTCCTGATGAAACTACAACAGCTGGACCTGAGGATGACACTACTGTTGAAGAGTCATCAACGATTCCTGACGAAACTACAACAGCTGGGCCTGAGGATGACACTACTGTTGAAGAGTCAACAACGATTCCTGACGAAACTACAACAGCTGGACCTGAGGATGAAACTACCGTAGAGGACTCCACAACGATTCCTGATGAAACTACAACAGCTGAGGATGACACTACTGTTGAAGAGTCAACAACGATTTCTGACGAAACTACAACAGCTGGACCTGAGGATGAAACTACCGTAGAGGACTCCACAACGATTCCTGATGAAACTACAACAGCTGGACCTGAGGATGACACTACTGTTGAAGAGTCAACAACGATTCCTGACGAAACTACAACAGCTGGACCTGAGGATGATACTACCGTAGAGGACTTCACAACGATTCCTGATGAAACTACAACAGCTGGACCTGAGGATGACAATACCGTAAAGGACTCCACAACGATTCCTGATGAAGCTACAACAGCTGGGCCTGAGGATGAAACTACTGTTGAAGAGTCAACAACGATTCTTGACGAAACTACAACAGCTGGTCCTGAGGATGACACTACCGTAGAGGACTCCACAACGATTCCTGATGAAACTACAACAGCTGGACCTGAGGATGACACTACTGTTGAAGAGTCAACAACGATTCCTGACGAAACTACAACATCTGGACCTGAGGATGACACTACCGTAGAGGACTCTACAACGATTCCTGATGAAACTACAATAGCTGGACATGAGGATGACACTACCGTAGAGGACTCCACAACGATTCCTGATGAAACTACAACATCTGAGCCTGAGGATGACACTACTGTTGAAGAGTCAACAACGATTCCTGACGAAACTACAACAGCTGGACCTGAGGATGACACTACCGTAGAGGACTCCACAACGATTCCTGATGAAACTACAACAGCTGGACCTGAGGATGACACTACTGTTGAAGAGTCAACAACGATTTCTGACGAACTACAACAGCTGACACTACCGTAGAGGACACCACAACGATTCCTTACGAGACTACAACAGCTGGACCTGAGGATGACACTACCGTAGAGGACTCCACAACGATTCCTGATGAAACTACAACAGCTGGACCTGAGGATGACACTACTGTTGAAGAGTCAACAACGATTCCTGACGAAACTACAACAGCTGGACCTGAGGATGAAACTACCGTAGAGGACTCCACAACGATTCCTGATGAAACTACAACAGCTGGACCTGAGGATGACACTACTGTTGAACAGTCAACAACGATTACTGACGAAACTACAACAGCTGGGCCTGAGGATGACACTACTGTTGAAGAGTCAACAACGTTTCCTGACGAAACTACAACAGCTGGACCTGAGGATGAAACTACCGTAGAGGACTCCACAACGATTCCTGATGAAACTACAACAGCTGGACCTGAGGATGACACTACTGTTGAAGAGTCAACAACGATTCCTGACGAAACTACAACAGCTGGACCTGAGGGATGACACTACCGTAGAGGACTCCACAACGATTCCTGATGAAACTACAACAGCTGGACCTGAGGATGACACTACCGTAGAGGACTCCACAACGATTCCTGATGAAACTACAACAGCTGAGCCTGAGGATGACACTACTGTTGAAGAGTCAACAACGATTCCTGACGAAACTACAACAGCTGGACCTGAGGATGACACTACCGTAGAGGACTCCACAACGATTCCTGATGAAACTACAACAGCTGGACCTGAGGATGACACTACTGTTGAAGAGTCAACAACGATTCCTGACGAAACTACAACAGCTGGACCTGAGGATGACACTACCGTAGAGGACTCCACAACGATTCCTGATGAAACTACAACAGCTGGACCTGAGGATGACACTACTGTTGAAGAGTCAACAACGATTTCTGACGAAACTACAACAGCTGACACTACCGCAGAGGACTCCACAACGATTCCTGATGAAACTACAACAGCTGGACCTGAGGATGACACTACTGTTGAAGAGTCAACAACGATTCCTGACGAAACTACAACAGCTGGACCTGAGGATGACACTACCGTAGAGGACTCCACAACGATTCCTGATGAAACTACAACAGCTGGCCCTGAGGATGACACTACTGTTGCAGAGTCAACAACAATTCCTGACGAAACTACAACAGCTGGTCCTGAGGATGACACTACCGTAGAGGACTCCACAACGATTCCTGATGAAACTACAACAGCTGGACCTGAGGATGACACTACTGTTGAAGAGTCAACAACCATTCCTGACGAAACTACAACAGCTGGACCTGAGGATGACACTACTGTTGAAGAGTCAACAACGATTCCTGACGAAACTACAACAGCTGGACCTGAGGATGACACTACTGTTGAAGAGTCAACAACGATTCCCTGACGAAACTACAACAGCTGGACCTGAGGATGACACTACCGTAGAGGACTCCACAACGATTCCTGATGAATCTACAACAGCTGGACCTGAGGATGACACTACTGTTGAAGAGTCAACAACGATTCCTGAAGAAACTACAACAGCTGGACCTGAGGATGACACTACCGTAGAGGACTCCACAACGATTCCTGATGAAACTACAACAGCTGGACCTGAGGAAGAAACTACCGTAGAGGACTCCACAACGATTCCTGATGAAACTACAACAGCTGGACCTGAGGATGACACTACTGTTGAAGAGTCAACAACGATTCCTGACGAAACTACAACAGCTGGACCTGAGGATGACACTACTGTTGAAGAGTCAACAACGATTCCTGATGAAACTACAACAGCTGGGCCTGAGGATGACACTACTGTTGAAGAGTCAACAACGATTCCTGATGAAACTACAACAGCTGGGCCTGAGGATGACACTACTGTTGAAGAGTCAACAACGATTCCTGACGAAACTACAACAGCTGGACCTAAGGATGACACTACCGTAGAGGACTCCACAACGATTCCTGATGAAACTACAACAGCTGGACCTGAGGATGACACTACCGTTGAAGAGTCAACAACGATTCCTGACGAAACTACAACTGCTGGACCTGAGGATGACACTACCATTGAGGAATCCACAACGATACCTGACGAAACTACAACAGCTGGACCTGAGAATGACACTACTGTTGAAGAGTCAACAACGATTCCTGATGAAACTACAACAGCTGGTCCTAAAGATGACACTACCGAAGACGAATCCACACCAATTTCAGACGAAACAACTACAGCTGAACCTAAAGAAAGTACCACAATAGAGATCTCAACATCAGTTCCTAATGAAAGTTCTACAGTTTCTCAACCTACTACGAATAATCCTGAAGAGAGCAGTACTGTACAAGATTCTACGCTGTTTCCTGGTGGAAGTAGTACTGAAACAACTAAAGGGCCAGAGGACACCACCACAGCTGCTCAGGACTCAACTTCTTCACCAGGAGAAAACACCACAAGTAAAGATTCCACACCGATTCCAGATACAAGTACCACAACAGTAGGAAGCACTACAAGTAGTTCTGTTTCGCCTTCTTCAAGTTCCCCAACAAGTTCCCTTGCTACCCCTACTTCAACTTTAGCACCTCTATCTTGTAGAAGCGGGAATCAATACCTACCACATCCAACGAATTGCCATAAATACATTCAGTGTAGTAATGGGCAAGAATTATATATGGACTGCCCGCCCACTCTTTATTGGGACTACAAGAAGTTTTTCTGCTGTGGAGATGCCACTGTTTGCTACTATAATGATGAAATTACTGACCCAGAACAAATCGTTTGCGGCCCTGGAGTTGATTTCCTGGCTCATCCAAGCGACTGTACCAAATATCTGCAATGTAGTAACGGTGAACCATTAGAGCGCAAGTGTCCCGAGCCTCTGTACTGGAACCCAGTGATAAAAGGGTGTGATTGGACGAGTGAATACTGTAAGGATGTGCGAGCATATGAATCGGTTGCATGTGCACTTGGTATGAATTTTGGTGTTTTGCAAAGCGATTGCTCGAAGTACATCAAATGTTTTGGCTCGAGAGGTATTGTGATGAGCTGTAACTCGGGTCTTTACTGGAACCCTCTAAGTGAAGTATGCGGAAAGTCACAGAGGTTCTGCAAATAAATGTAAGTTGATTTTTCATGAAAAAATAAGTATAAAAATTAAATACATTCTTTTCAGATTCACTGCAGGAACATTCTCCATAAGACAGGAATACAATATAACGATAAAACAAATGTATTTATGCTATTAAAAGAAGTAGAAAATTTGTAAATATTTGTTAATAAACAAACTCAATGTTAAACCCAGCTCAATGCTTAATGAAGCAAGAAAAAACTTTTCAGTTTCATTTACGCTTTTTAAGATGTTCCCAATAGATTCTGTTTTTGGATGCATGCAAATTTATTTCCATAAACGCACTTTGGTACTTTACTATACCCTATTAAAAACTTTATTCAAATTAAACGTTCTTCTACTAAATTAGGGTTGCAACACAATAATAATAAGGTTAGGACTTATTTACACTCAAAAAGAAAGATAATTCACAATTATCCAATTTAAGTATATTATGTTATTTAGCATGCTTAACCGATACAGTGGGTATAAAGTTGACTGCATACAAATTCGTAATACTTCTAGGCTTTTTTGTAGATCTTATCAATCTAGGTTTCAATTAAAAATATTACTAGCCTTGAAACATACCCCATACAGACGATTGGTCTTTCCAAAAAAAATTAAATTTAATGCTCGAGTTCAATTTAAACACATGGTTTCATAGAGAAGCTTTCAGCCGATAAGGGAAGCCGAACTCAACATTGAATGGGGGCTTGTAGAGGATGCTCTATATATAGATATGACGATGGGCAGACTGAGCTAAAAGCGAAAGCAAATTTAGGGTCTAAAAGGTTATCCCAGTAAATTACTTCCGCCAATTTTTGATTTGTAAAAACAAATAAGTGCCTTGGGAAATCGAAAGCTAAATTGATTAAACGTTCACCAGACGCGAAGAGACCATAACAAGTCTCAAGCGAACGAGCTGTGGACAGGGACACACTTGAAAGTTGTATCCAAGAGATATACAATTGCGTATCTTTATATGCTAATAAATGCCAGCACATTTCCTTAAAATGGGTCAAAAGAGTCCCCCATCCGCGTCTTGGCGAAGACTATGATGTTGTAATGCCCCCAGAAACTCATTTGTCGAAGGGTGGGACGTCAGCGCTGCCCCCCTTCCATTGCCAGGCGACCAAGTGATCGATTGACACGATCAAAGCGCTGATACGTAATGGAATAGACACTCGAATGAATGGCGCTGGCGACGAGTTCCAAGCTCGGGGTGCTCTAAGTGCCCTGATCCGCCTCACAGATACCAGTACTCTGTACTGGTGTGGATCCTACATAAATATTCATGCTCATGCTGCCCGCTGGCTAAATGCAAATGTATTGGAAATTGCTTGCCTTCAATGAATTTGAGTTCTGCTGAAGCTCTAGAGTTTTGATGCTCGTACAGCCCAGTGTTATTCGCAATCTAGCAGTTGTCGCGATCGGAAGCAAATCGGAAAGTTTCCCTTGGTATCCTAAAACCCGCAGGCGAAGAAGTATGTTCAGAAAAACATGTACTCCCAAAGCAAGGATGCAAAAATAACAAGGATTAATAGAAAAATAAACTTATACTCAAAGATTAAACGGGTTAAGGCAATCTCCCAATTAACTTAACAACCTAAGAGCATATCAACGTTGAGCTTAAGAAAAAACTGTGATGTGATGTGTTTAAAAAAGTTTTAAAAACTTTATAGGAATGTGTTTGTGAATAAAGAAAATGACTTTAAAAATAAAAAGTGAACATTTCAGAAAAGAAAAGAATGAATAATAAAAAGAAATTAATTCAAAAACAAACAATTTCTTAAAAACAAAAATATAAAAACCCATCAAACACATTTTTTACTTCTCTGTCTTAAAACTGTATTTAAAAGGATCGTAAGGATAAAGAGTTTTTAGAGTTGTTAAAAAAGCTCCGAAATTAGAACAAATTAAAAGTGCTAATCACAAGCTCATTTATGTAGAAGGATAATGCCTAACTCTTCAAGGATGCATGCTTGTTTGTTAAAAAATAAAACTGAAAAACGATAATCAAACTACCGATTACATAATTAGTCTGAAATTAAACCCAAGATCGATTGCCTTCTTTTTTGGCATCTAACATCGTCGTGCGTGCTCATTTAAAAGAAATAGTGATAACCCCTGAAAGTGACAGACAACAAAAAGTGGGAAGGAGTAGAAACTAATAATAACACGCATCTATATAATGTGTTGATAATACAATTTAATTTCATCTTACAGTTTGCTGGTTGTGCTGCGACGGCGTCGACCGACGCATTTCAATTGGATTCAGAATATAATTTATTGAAATGTTGCCCTTTCGCTTGGGCCTGCTACTTGGCGCCGTGCTTCTCGTCGTGGCAAGCGCAAATGGAGCTGCCATCGTAAGTTTCCGAATTGTTAATGAATCCCAAAAGAACTAGTTAGTGCCCGAGTGTTTGCCATGTGTCACTCACTCGCTGAATCGAACTAGAGTAGTTCAATGTAAATGAACTCCGTTCGAATAGTAGGCGATAAGACCTAATTTGACCAAGGTCAGTTTTTAAGAGCAGCCTCAAATTGGGGACACTTGCAGACACATGTTTAATACTTAGTGATTAGGCTGGCATTAGCATTGAACTTAATTTGTTTCATTAACTTTCAGGAAAATGTACTATCGAATGAAGATGAGCTTTCTGTTCTGACCGACCTGCAGAGAGAGAAAAGAAGCGGCAGAGGCTAGTGAGTAATATAACTGTATAACTTTAAGATAACTGTAAAACTTGATTGTTTTCTTGCAGTTCAAGGGGACAAACCCAGTCTCAGTACTTAAACTTCGGCAAGCCCGAGGAGGATGGCAAGGCCGAGGCGGAGGCTAGCGAAAATGGATCTCGGTCAACTGTCTGTAAGTCCGGTCCATTCCTTAACTATGATCACTTTGCTGATTGACCTAAAACTCTATTAGCTGGTACCCATGGCATGGGTCAGGCCCAGAGTCAGTTTTCATCAGGAGACTGCAATGGATGTGCTGGCTACCAAACGGATTATCCTTCATCCGGCATTCTGGATGCTAGTGGATCCGGCGGGGTCGGCAGACCCGCTACTATCATTAGCCTACCGGGAGCAGGTGAGTCGAGAACGAAAATGTGTTTAGCTATTAACAATCCTTTAATTCCTAATACAGGCACGCAGGGAGGATTGGGTGGTCAGTCTGGAGTTGGAGGTCAGCCAGGATTCGGAAGACAACCAGGAGTTGGAGGTCAGGCAGGAGCCGGCCAGCCCGTCTACGGAGGGCAGCCCGGAGTCAGTGGACAGTCAGGAGTAGGAGGCGGACAGCCCGGATACGGATCACAACCGGGAGTTGGCGGACAGACGGGTATCAGTGGAGGAAAACCCGGAACGCCTGGATATGGAACTCAGCCAGGAGCTGGAGGACAACCAGGAGTTGGTGGACAGACAGGAGTAGGAGGCGGACAGCCCGGTTATGGAACACAACCAGGAGTTGGCGGTCAGACGGGTATCAGTGGAGGACAACCCGGATCACCTGGATATGGAACTCAGCCAGGAGCTGGGGGACAGACAGGAGCTGGCCAGCCCGGATACGGAGGACAGCCCGGAGTTGGTGGACAGACAGGAGTAGGAAGCGGTCAGCCGGGAGTTAGTGGAGGACAACCCGGCTACGTAAGTCAGCCTGGAGTAGGTGGAACTCCTGGATATGGATCCCAGCCAGGTGCTGGAGGACAGACAGGAGTCGGTCAGCCCGGTTACGGAGGACAACCGGGAGTTGGCGGACAAACTGGTGTCAGTGGAGGACAACCCGGATCATCTGGATATGGAACGCAGCCAGGAGCTGGAGGACAACCAGGAGTTGGTGGACAGACAGGAGTAGGAGCCGGACAGCCCGGTTATGGAACCCAACCGGGTGTTGGTGGACAGACTGGTGTCAGTGCAGTACAACCCGGATCACCTGGATATGGAACGCAGCCAGGAGCTGGAGGACAACCAGGAGTTGGTGGACAGACAGGGGTAGGAGGCGGACAGCCCAGTTACGTCAGTGGAGGACAGCCCGGATCATCTGGATATGGAACGCAGCCAGGAGCTGGGGGACAGACAGGAACCGGCCAGCCCGGATACGGAGGACTGCCCGGAGTTGGTGGACAGACGGGAGTAGGAGGCGGACAGCCCGGTTTTGGAACTCAACCGGGAGTTGGCGGACAGACGGGTATCAGTGGAGGTCAACCCGGATACGGAAGTCAGCCTGGAGTTGGTGGTACTCTTGGATATGGAACTCAGCCAGGTGCTGGAGGACAGACAGCACTCGTTCAGCCCGGGTACGGAGGACAACCTGGGGTTGGTGGACAGGCAGGTCACGGAAGTCAACCTGGAATTGGCGGACAAACGGGATTCAGTGGAGGACAACCCGGATACGGAAGTCAGCCTGGAGTAGGGGGAACTCCTGGATATGGATCGCAGCCAGGTGCAGGGGGACAGACAGGAGTCGGTCAGCCCACATACGGAGGACAACCTGGAGTTGGAGGACAAGCAGGAGTTGGAGGCAGTCAGCCCAGTTACGGAACTCAACCGGGAGTTGGCGGTGTCAGTGGTGGACAACCCATATACGGAAGTCAGCCTGGAGTTAGTGGATCGCCTGGATACGGAACCCAGCCTGGAGCTACAGGACAGACAGGAGTCAGTCAGCCCGGGTACGGAGGACAACCTGGAGTTGGTGGACAGACAGGAGTAGGAGGCGCACAGCCCGGTTTTGGAACTCAACCGGGAGTTGGCGGACAGACGGGTATCAGTGGAGGACAACCCGGATACGGAAGCCAGTCTGGACTAAGTGGATCCCCCGGATATGGACACACAGGAATCGGCCAGCCTGGATACTTAGGTCAACCTGGAGTTGGTGGACAACCCGGATACGGAAGCCAGCCTGGAGCTGGTGGTCAGGCAGGAGTTGGCCAATACGGAGGACAACCTGGAGTTAGTCAGACAGGAGTAAGTGGAGGACAGCCAGGATATGGGGTCCAACCTGGTTATGGAACACAGCCAGGGGTCGGGCAACCAGGAATCGGTCAGCCAGGTTATGCAGGTCAACCTGGGTATGGAAGTCAGCCTGGAGTTGGTGGACAGGCAGGAGTTGGACAACCTGGATACGGAGGACAATCTGGAGTTGTTGGACAGCCTGGAATAAGTGGATCCCCTGGTTATGGAACGCAGCCAGGAGCATTACAGCCAGGGTACGCAGGTCAACCCGGAGTTGGTGCTCAACCGGGTCAACCAGGATACGGAAGTCAGCCAGGAGTTGGCGGACCGGCAGGATCTGGAACTGGGGTATATGGAACTCAGCCAAGTGTCGGCCAGGCCGGATACGGAGGACAACCTGGAGTTGGTGGACAGTCAGGTGTCGCTGGTGTACAACCGGGATATGGAAGTCAGCCCGGAATCGGTGGAATCCAGTCAGGATACGGAACTCAACCAGGATACGGAACTCAGCAGGGTGTTGGACAACCCGGATACGGAAGCCAGTCTGGGGTTGGCGGACAATCAGGAGTCGGTGGCGTGCAGCCTATATATGGTAGTCAACCAACATATGGCGGATCGCCCGCATATTTAACTCAGCCTGGAGTGGCGGGACAGGCAGGAAGCCTGCCTGGAGCGGGAGGACAATCAGGAGTCGGCCAGCCCGGATACGGAGGCCAACCCGGGGTTGCAGGACAGGCTGGACTCGGAACTGGACAGACCGGAGGTGCCCAACCTGGTTATGGAGGACAACCTGGAGTTGGCAGTCTGACAGGAGTCAGTGGAGGACAACCTGTATATGGAACTTCACCTGGAGTTGGTGGAAGTCAACAAGGGATTGGTGCATCTCAGCCTGGATATGGAACTCAACAGGGAGTCGGAGGTCAGCCTGGACTTGGTGGATCTCAACCCGGATACGGATCACAAACTGGAACTGGAGGACAGATAGGATTAGGTGGCTCAGGTGGAAGCCAACCAGGATACGCCACTCAGCCTAGTTACGGAACTCAGCAAGGCGGTGCTGGACCAACAGGAGTTGGACAACCTGGATACGGAACTCAGACAGGAGTTGGCGGACCGACAGGATCTGGCACTGGTGTATACGGAACTCAGCCAAGTGTCGGCCAGGCCGGATACGGAGGACAACCTGGAGTTGGTGGACAGTCTGGTGTCACTGGTGGACAACCCGGATACGGAAGCCAGCCTGGAGTTGCTGCATCCGGATATGGAACTCAGCCAGGAGCTGGAGGGCAGCAAGGAATCGGTCAGCCCGGATATGTTGGCCAGCCTGGAGTTGGTGGACAGGCAGGAGTAGGAGGCGGACAGCCCGGATATGGAACTCAGCCAGGAGCTGTCGGACAGACAGGAGTCGGTCAGCCGGGATACGGAGGACAGCCTGGAGTTGGTGGACAAGCTGGATCAGGAGGCGGGCAGCCGGGATACGGCGGACAACCAGGATATGGAACTCAACCTGGAGTTGGCGGAACAGTTGGTACAGGAGTAGGACAACCAGGATACGGTGGCCAGCCCGGTCAGATTACGGCACCAGGTCGTTACACAGATGGTACAGGAGTTGTTCCTGGAGCTGGTGGTGTTGGAGGCGCTGTTGGTGGAGTTGGTGGAGCCGGTAAGTTTCTCTCTACATGAAGAACTTGGAAAAACTTATTTAATATTGGTATTACAGTTCCTACTGGCACCGGTGGTGCTGACGACGCATTCTCTCAAGCCGAGTCGACCATTGGCGACGGACAGGCCTCAGCAAGTGCTCAGGGCAAAAAGAATGGAGGAACTGCTAAGACCCAAGTGTCTGGTACCTATAGTTCCGGCGGAACCTTCAGCGCCAGTGCAATGACCTCCGATGCAGATCGTGCGGCCAGTGCCCAAGTCACTGGTAATGCCGATGGAGCAGTAAGTCAGTCACAGGGATCAGGAGGACCTGCCCAGTCACAGGCCCAGGTGCAGGTGGCTAAGGACGGCGGCACCAAGGCCTCGTCGCAGAGTGGTGGCATCATCCAACAAAGTCAGAGCGAGGTACACGCCAATGACAAGGGTGGTCTGGCGGACGCCCAGTCAAGCGGACCTGGACAAACCTCATCACAAGCACAGATCGGCTTCCGTCCCGGTCAGGAAACCAATCCGTCTGCGGCCAATGGTGGCGGTCAGGCCTCTTCCTCATCTGGCGCCCACTCTAGTCAGAGTAGCTCACAGATTCACGGAACCTCCAGGTAGCGCAGAATCACTTAGTAGAAGTTTCTCAAATGGTAATCTAATCGGTTTCGTATTTCAGCTTTGGCGTTTCGTACCATGGCGCTGCACAATCCGCGTCGGGAACCAAGGAGCAGGTGGCATCTTACAGAGAACAAAATCGGGAACTCTTCAACACCATCAGTCAGTTTGGCAACAATGGCAATGCGTGAGTAACTGCTAAATGATTATTATTTTGATATTTCAAAGATAAAGAATAGAAAATCATTCTTTAAAAAGTATTACTGTTTGAAAATTGGGAAAAAATGTTCAAAATTGGTTACACAGTTCAAAAATTTTGTTTTTTACTTTACTTTATTTTTTAGAGAATTCGTTAAATATACGAAAACGATAATAGGGTATCTTCTTGTTATTGTAATTCTGTTATAGAAAACAAATAAATCTTTAAAAACAACGAAAAAGCCATTTTTTTAAAAAAAAAACATTGATTTAGTAGGTAAATATATATTTACGTTTATTTTTTAATCTTTTAGTGTTACTGATCGATCCGATGCTGTCTATAGTGGACCTGCGCTTACAGATGAGTCCGACAGGGTCCCAGAAGCTCAGTTAAAGTCAACCAAGCCCAAGGAAGAAGCTGAACTGGCACCGAGAAAGGCAGACCAGCCTGAGCCCGTTCAATACGACGATGAGGATGAAACTGAACCGGATGAATACGATGATGATGAGTACTACAACGAGAAGCCGGTGAAGCTAGAGGAAAGCCCCAAGCCAGCGAGCATAGTTAAGCAACCAGAACCAACTCCAAAATCTCAAGCCTATGAGCAGTCATCGCCCACGCAAACTCAAAAAGCCGTTGTAGTTCCGGTAGCTGGTGAAAAATACCAAGTTGTGCAAAAGCAGAACAATAAGGCCGTCATCCATACCGAACCATCGACCACGGAGGCCGTACCACCGGGATTCCGAGGAACCGTTAATGTAGAAAAGAAATTCCACACCAAGGCTCTGGAGCTGCCACCCAAGGGAGTGCAGATTACTCCAGAAAGCAATGAAGAGGGTCCCGTTCGAGGTGACAAGCCGATACGACGTGCTCCAGATAGTTATGTCACGGTCACCAAGTCGGTTACTGGTAGCATGGACAACAGCAAGAATCCGCCACAGGAGAACAAGAACTTCCAGTCGACATATTACACCAAATCCTCGACGTGCGGCTACTTTACCTTCTCTTGCAACATTGTTTACGGTGCTAACGGTAGAAGCAAGATCTGCCGGCCCAAAGCACCAGCCGCCAATGGCAAGTGCTAGGGAAAAGCATACTGCACATTCCCGTAACCCACCCATATTATAGTAGATCAGTTCCAATGGGGCTCAATTGTAGGAAAGGCTTAGCCAACTGCCATCTACAATAACCAATTTGTATTTTGATGCAGCTTGACCTTAAGCATTTAAGTGTTTTTCGCAAATAATTTTAGAGTTTCACTGCCATGTTTTAAATATTTCGTACGATTTTCAATTTTAATTAATATTTAAATAACAAATCACAAAACACAAAGGCATTCGTTTGATTTCATTATTACGGATTTATGTATTAAACACACATTTTATCGCATGTAAGTAAGTGGGAGTTCCAGAAGAGATATTGGGGACAGACTTTTACAAAGGGCAGATAGTCGCACTGAATGAATCGAGTGCAGTCACCTGGGTAAGCTATAAGCTGGCCCAGCTTATTGTGACAAACCTCCGAAAGTTTGGGATTCTCATTTGCTGTGACCATAACTGGACTGGGAAGCGGTGCCTTTAATGCGGTTTCCCTATTTGATATTGAACTAATGGAGCATTCAGCGCTGGCCTGTAAATCGCATCTCTGCAGTTGTGAGTTCCAGTAGAACTCCGGAGGGCAGCTCAGCAAGTGAGTCTCATAGAATCGATGGCAGTCGTTAGGAAAGGATTGTCTTACAACAGTTTGCGATATGCCGAGCCCGAAAAACAGCACACATAGTGATATAGTTAGCAGAAATGGGTGCTCCACTGATAAAAATATAGAATATTATAAAGACATTAGAAAATTATTATAATATTTACTTTTTATTGCTCCGGGCAAACTCTCCATTTAATCTGAGACTCCTTTGATGGTTCTGTGCTGTTATATATCATAGCTACTACAATACGCATTATTGGCTAATTGATACCGTTTCGTATCAGAACCAACCTTGAAAAGATAAGCTTGTCCGGTCAAGTGGATTATTATATTTATCTTATTGGCTTATCAAATCAAAGTAAATTTATATATAACATTCTCTTAAGAAGGCAAATCTAAATATACTTTATACAAAAGAAAATATTGATTAATTTTTAATAAGTAGAGACTGTCTTTTTTCAAGAATATTCTTTTAAGATAAATACCAGTTAAACACTTCAACTGGATAAACAGTAACAGCATATTGTGGTATAAAAGGGCCGGCGTCACCTAGGCAGAACATTCAATTCTTCAGTGCGCTTTCACTGGATTAAATCAAAAGTAGGAACACCTACAAAACACTTAATTTGCAAGACATTAATAACTATAACTATAACTAACATTTTTCAGTGTGGCAAGGAACAGGTTGCATTGTTTTACTGGCTATCCTGGCTGCTGTTAGCAGTCAGCTTAACTCCCCTAACAGTGTCGTGGTAAGTGCCCCAACCGATGTATATTGATATCAACATATATAATTATCATGTTCTTTGTAGCCCATCATTGCCGAACCTTCTATACCGTATAATCAATGCCCCACATATGATGACCCCAATCATAAAGTTTTTTTGCCTTATACCAACGACTGTCGCAAGTATTACGTGTGCCAAAATGGACAGGCCTTTCCCCAACAGTGCCCTACGAATTTGTATTGGAGCGAGGTACACTATCGCTGTGACTACCTACAGTTCTCCAACTGCAATACAGACATTCCAATTCCGGACAATGAAGTGAAATACAGTCCATATCCTGGGGACTGTAGTCGATTTTATAAAACTCTCCTCCTTCGCTGTGAGCAAAACCTTCAGTGGAGTTCGACTTATCAACGCTGCGTAGCGCCACAGTATTCAAATTGTATGGACTCCACGCCATTACCAACCTTACCCGACGCCTTACCGACTGCTGCTACTCCACCATCTTTTCCATCGACTTCAACAGATCCGAGCTCCCTGCCAATTGATGCCCAATCTTTGTGCAGAAATAGTGTATCAAATGCGTACATTCCATATCCCGACGACTGTCATAAGTTTATTCATTGCGGTCCAACGGCAACTGTACTTACATGTCCTGGCACCTTGTACTGGAATCGAGAAACACTTTCTTGCGGCACTGCCAGCTCTGGCTGCCTGTACCCTTAGTAAAGACGTGCCATCAAGTTCAACAATTTATTAATAACCATAAAATATTATAAAAGCATACAATTCAAATAATTTGCATTAAAAATCTATTACAAAACTTGCAATCGTTTTAAAAGACTGCCAAAAAGAAAAGCCCGAATCTTCGGAGCTAGACGAGGGTAACATATGATCCGGAAAAAATCGCCAGGCGTTGGGATTACAGTTGGCCAAATAAGGTTCCATGCAGGTCAGCACAGAAGGACTGAACTCTTCACCCTCAGGACAAGCATAACCGACTGGGATGGGGTCTTGGCACACTATGTACTTGCTGCAATTACTCGGATACGGGACCATGGAACCTTCAATTTTATCTGTACAAAAGCTGTCAGCCGTAGGTGGTATTGTTGTTGTTATTGGAGGAGTAGCTGTGGTCGTTGTAGCTGGAATGGAACAATTTGCATACCATGGAGCCATACAACGCTCCAAAGAGGCACTAAACTCCTGACCCTCCCTGCAGTCATATACGATTGGTGTGGGTTGGACACATTGAATGAACTTTGTACAGTCATCCGGATATGAAACTAGTTTTCCATTGGGAACTCCATCACAAGGGTCTGTTTCTGGACTTTGAGTGCTTGGAGTACTTGGAATAATCACCGTTGTTGAACCTTCAGTGGTCTTTGTAACTGATGTAGTTGGAGTAAAGATTTCTCGACAAGCTTCTGGTGAAACATCAAGACCACATTCCCCAGTCCACGGATCGAAATATTCCTCACTGCCACATATGGCCATCATGTACGATGAGTCGTCTACGCAGTGAATATACCATTGGCAATTTTCTTGGTACGGCAAATTCTGGTCAGTATTATTAAAACAGATTGAAGAATCGGGGCTTGGAGTCGTATGTTCTGGCGATATAGTAGTAATCTCCTCGTTAGAGCAATCGCTTAATTCCCATTCTACGCATTTTTGAAGGTTCTCATTGAAAAACAAGCCTTCTGGACAGTAGAATGCTATAGGAACAGGACTAGCACAGAGAATGTATTTGCTGCAATCCTCGGGATACGTAGCGTAATAACCATCTCTCTGCCCAGAGCAAATACCAGAAATATCTGGAGAGGTAGTGGTTGTTTCCTCTGGATCCGACGTAATTAGAGTTGTAGGGGAAGGTGTTGTGAGTGGAGAGGTGGCTAGAGTTGTGGTTGATTCGGTGGAGACGGCAATTTCCTTACATGCCGTTGGAGCCACGTCGGGGCCACAAATTCCAGTTTGCGGATCATACCAGGCATTATAAATACAATTGGCGACCTCGGACTCCCCGTTTCCCATGCACAGAATATACTGCTGACAGTTTGTTACCAGGGGATAGGACACTCCCAATTCTTGATCGGCACAAGGATCATTCGAAGTCTGTGTTGTTGGAATACTCGTACTAGTTACTAACGATTCTAAGCACGCGGTGGGCGATACATTTGGCCCACAATCCCCAGTTTGTGGATCAAACCAGGCGTTCGTTGGACATTTTGCAGTTACCGACTGACCTCCATTAAGGCATAAAAGATACGACTGGCAGTCGGATTTCAAAGGAAATGTGGTACCCAATTCTTGATCTGCACAAATATTATCTTCAACATTTTCCGTTGATTTCGGCCCAACTGTTGTTAGAACTGTAGTAGTGATAAGAGTTGTAGAAGTCGGTACGACTTCTCGACAAGCTTCTGGTGAAATATTAGGACCGCAATTGCCGCTGATAGGATTAAACCAATTGTCAACCGGGCAGGGAAGAATTACGTAAGAGCCGTTGCCCCAACAGTAGTAGTATTGCTGACAGTTTTGAGTGTCCGGAAAAGAAGTTCCTAACTTTTGACCCTCGCACTTCGTAAAATAATCCTCACTTGCCGCAGTGGATTTCAATGGATCCTGAGTAGTACGGTCACCGTAGCACAACACATTATCCTTATAGTCACATATATTTAGGTCCGGATTGAAAAGCATTTCGCCGGGACACTGATAAACTTCACTTTGATGATTCACGCACAAGAAAAACTTATTGCAATCTTCAGACGAGGGCAAAAATGTGTTGTTTTCTTTGGCATTACAAGGATTTTCCGAGGGAATTTCGGTGGATGGAGGTGTTGGATATGGCAATGGTTCGCATATGACGGCTTCTGGTGTGTCGCAAATAAACAAAGGACTGTTGAAAACTTTGCCTCCGGGGCAGTACTCCAAATCAGCGCAGGAATCATTGCACGATATATAGGCACTGCAGTCATAGGGATATTTATAAAATCCATTCGATAAGGATTGGCAAAATGAGGAATCTGTATCAGGAGACGTTGAGCATTCTTGGGAATTCGATTCTGATACTGATAATATCTGTCTTCGATCCACAACACTCCATGTACTATGAGTTTCCATCACATAACTATCGCAAATATTTGTTTTCAATATCCAAAAAATTAGCGGGAAAATACCACACACTATAAAAAGAAATATTTAAAAACCCTTCAACACTTTTGATCAGAAACAAGCAAAATGATTAACTAAATTTTTAGATTACCATTCTTTGATTTACCTTTCATGGTGTGTTATTTTTTTATAAAATATTCAAGCCTCTGTAAAACGATCACCAATAATGAAATTCTTCTATTAGTTTATTTTGATTTCTGTTGTTTATACCTCGACGTCTTGGAAATAACTGATTTGGCATAACAAATTTTGGCAATTTCTAACCAAAACTGAAAACCACGTTAAGGTTCTTTAACTGATAATGACTAATAATACTGATAATATTATACTAAAATCTTTGAGAAAGGAAAAACAGACATTTTGGTCAAGGAAATAGACAACAGCTTATTAATAATAAAATCTGATAAACATCTTTCCACTCCCGATTTCGTTATAATTAATTTCAGCGAGATATCACGAAAATGAAATTGTCCAACGATAGACATTCCATGCTCTTCATTACACTGATAAACATGTGTATACAAAGAACTCAGCTTTTCAGGAATTTATTTTTCGATATACGTTACCTACTTTTAGGCTCTATTAGATAATGTTATCTTCTTAGCATTAGTCATTAGGAGAAATGAAATTAAATGAAATCCTTCAAAAAATAAATACTAAATAAATATGCACATTGCTTTTTAACATGCAAAATAAATAAATAAATTTAAAATAATTTCTATTCTAATTTGTGTCTTTCTTTAAAGTAAGTTTTAAGTAATACATATTTTGATGACTATTCCAACTGAAATTGTGATCTTTGACCCGGCCACACTTAGCTATGTATGTATGTAAGTGTGATATACCCTTGTAGTAGACCTTACATATGTTTTATATGAACTCTTATCAATTCTCAGTAAGAACTTATAGATAGTACTCGTAGTCGAATACCTATCTTTTATGGAACGATACAATCAAATGTTAACATTTTACATATTGGCACATCATGCAAATTTCCCACATATGATAGTATATAAAACGCAGTCAATGAATGGAAAGTTTCAGTTCGATAAAACACTCGATAGCACCAGACAAAATGATGCTATTCCAACTGCTCTGGGGGATGTTCATACTTCAAGAAAGTACACTGGCGATATTACAAGTACATATATTACGAAAAATCTTAAACAAATTTCCAAAATAATAAAGGTTATTTTTAAAGAATGGGTTTGCTTTCAAAACGTCCATATGTGAGGGCAAAAATGGCGGACTTTTACCCATGCTTGGAACTTGCAAGGGATACTATGTGTGTGCAGATGGAAAAGCTGTGATCGGGACCTGCGAAAAAAATACCGTGTTTAATCCTTTAACCTTGCACTGCGATGATCCTGATAAGGTGGATTGTATTTTCGATGGCCAGGATAATGGCAGTGATGAAACATTCAGTTCCGAAAGTGATGAAGACGATGATGAAGTTATCGTGAGGACTGAACCTCCCGTTACAGTCAAACCAACGAGAAAACAAAGACCGTCGGCCCAAGATATTGGTCTTTCGGATATAACAAATAGAATTTGTGCTGGAAAGAAAGATGGAGTTATGCTAGCAAAGAAGGGCTCCTGTCAGGAATATTTTGTCTGCAAGGCAAGGAAACCTTATCTTCGCTCTTGCACTGATCAACAGCACTTTAGTCCAACTCGACGAATTTGCATGAAACCTTCAGAGGCCAAGTGCTCAGCTGGTTTAAGGGAAACCCAATCATTGGATGGTCCAGCCATAACTGGAGGATTATGTTCAGATGAAAAGGAAAACTCACTAGTACCACATCGAAAAGACTGTGGCAAGTTTATGCTCTGCAGCAACATGATGTTTTTGGTAATGGACTGCCCCGCTGGTTTACATTTCAATGCTGCTTCCTCACGTTGCGATTATCCCAAGATTGCCAAATGTAAGACGATGCGAAAAGAAACCAAGTCAAAATCAAAGCCAAAAAAGCCTGTTCGAAAGGCCAAAACTCATTCCTTGTAACTCACACTTTTTCTAGACCAAGAATAATAAAGTACTTGATTTTATTTAATTTTTGGAATTTATATAATATATCTATTGCTATAGGAATTAACTTAAAAAGTCGTGAAAAATTATATATTTTGAGCCTGCATTTTTATACAGAAGTAATAAAGATGAAATCTTTACAGATGATCAAAAATGATCCAGGAAATAAAAGAACAGCTACCACCAAAATGAGGCGGAAAGAGGAAAACGAAAAATTGTTAGTGGAATAGCGCAGCGAGCGCTCAAAGTTTATCAACAAGCGCACCCATGCATAGGCGTTGAGAACCCCTGCTCTAGAAGTTAAGAGTTTAAACCCCCTTTATATAAATCAACCATGAAAATGCGCTGCATTAAATATTGTTTATTAAAAAGATTTAGCACTTAACGCTATCGGGCCAATCGCAAGACTTGACATCCGCATTGTAAATCAGCCCAGAGGAACAGCTGAAGTTGATCTCACACTCGCACTGGCAGACGATATATGCTGAACTACAGGTACCGCTGGCATCGGGTAACATGGTTCCATCAGGCTTACCAAGGCATCGTCCATTGCTCTCGCAATACGTTCCCGAGGGTCCGGCATTTGGACCACTTGGGGGCGCAGATCCATCATCGCAGCCAACATTTTCGGGGAAGTCACACTGCTCCGTTTTCGAATTATATTGCAAATTATTACTACACGTCTGCTCGAATTTGTTACCATCCACACACTGGAAGAATGCAGTGCAATTGTTTTCGACGGGCCAGATGGTATTGTCAGCAACGTCACAGCAATCGGGATCGCAGGTTTTGGGAATGCACACGTTCTCTGTGTCTAAGACACACTCCTGGAGTGTAGTATTAAAGAACTGCTTGGCGGAGCACTTTCTGGCAACAAAATTACCATTTATACACTGCAGATAGCCGGCACAATCAGATGGATTTTCTTTCACCTCATTCTCGGTGCACGTCGAGTTGCCATTGCACTGACCATTATCCTCTTCACAGCGTAGTGTTTGGTTATTCCAGTAGTATCCACTCTCGCAAGACTTGGTCACATACTTTCCTCCAGAGCAAATTTGGTACTTGGTACAGTCATTGGGCTCAGGTTTCTGAGATCCCTCGGTACAGTTGACGCAAATCCCCTCAGAATCAATTTCACAAGCCTTAAGGGTCTCATTGAAGTATGATCCCGAAGGGCACTCCTTGCTCACCCAGTTACCATTCGAACAAATTAGGTAACCTGCGCAATCTGTTGGATCCACCTCAAGTTCTCCTTCTGTGCAGGTTGAGTTGCCATTGCACTGACCATTATCCTCTTCACAGCGAAGTGTTTGGTTATTCCAGTAGTATCCGCTTTCGCAAGACTTGGTCACATACTTTCCACCAGAGCAAATTTGGTACTTGGTACAGTCATTGGGCTCAGGTTTCTGTGATCCCTCGGTACAATTGACGCAAACTCCTTCAGAGTCGACCTCACAAGTCTTAAGAGTTTCATTGAAGAAAGACCCCGAAGGGCACTCCTTGCTCACCCAGTTACCATTCGAACAAATTAGGTAACCAGCGCAATCTGTTGGATCCACCTCAAGTTCTCCTTCTGTGCAGGTTGAGTTGCCATTGCACTGACCATTATCCTCTTCACAGCGAAGTGTTTGGTTATTCCAGTAGTATCCGCTTTCGCAAGACTTGGTCACATACTTTCCACCAGAGCAAATTTGGTACTTGGTACAGTCATTGGGCTCAGGTTTCTGTGATCCCTCGGTACAATTGACGCAAACTCCTTCAGAGTCGACCTCACAAGTCTTAAGAGTTTCATTGAAGAAAGACCCCGAAGGGCACTCCTTGCTCACCCAGTTACCATTCGAACAAATTAGGTAGCCTGCGCAATCCGTTGGATCCACCTCAAGTTCTCCTTCTGTGCAAGTTGAATTGCCATTGCATTGGCCTTCATCTTTCTCACATTTTTTGCTTTCCGGGTTCCAGTAATAATCGGTGGCGCAAGATTGAGACACGTACTTTCCGTTGATGCATTCCTGGAACTTGGCACAGTCATTAAGGTCGGCCTTAACGCTTCCTTCGGTACAGTTGACGCACACGCCACAAGTGTCGGGAACGCACTTTTTCAGGGTCGAATTGAAATAGTCTCCATCAGCGCAGGTCAGGATTACGACGACTCCGTTGATGCACTCTAAATACCCTGCACAATCATCGGGATTAGCTTCAATTTCTCCATCCTGGCATGTTGGCGGATTGCACTCTCCATTATCTTCAACGCAGAGCTCCGTCTCGGAATTCCAATAGTCTCCGCTTGCACAGGACTTGGAGACAAATTCACCATGGCAGCAGACAAGATACTTGGTGCAATCATCCGCATCCACTTTCTTCTCGCCCTCCTTGCAACACTCGGCATTCAGTGATCCCACAAAGAGGGAAATCATCAGACAGAGGGCAGCTCCTATGCGAAAACTTTAGGTTAAAATCCATCCATTTGATATTCCTTCCTTTGTGCTTACCATAGTGCTTACTCCTATATTGAGCCATCTTTGCACTTCGCATATCGAATGCTCACTGATGTCTTTACGGTCCATATCGCCTTTTATATTTACCGGCAATTAAAATAATTGAATGCCTTTTCCTGCTTCTAGCATGTGCCGGTGATAACCATCCATGAACCATCCGTGATATTATCAACATATATTAACAGTAGTTATACAAGCAATTGATATTGTATCTATTTATAAAAGCCATCATCGAACGCAGAATCTGCGAATTCTAAGAGTGCAGAAGGAAATAGAATTCTCACATTTCCTTTTGCAGTTCTAAATTATACGTTGAATCATATAGACGAGTGCTAGAGCTCAAAATTTCCAACAACGGTACTCGTGTTGCTTTCGATATGAATGTAATTCTTAAATCCAGAAAGTCTGCTAACTATTAGTAGGTAAATCATCATTTTAAACCATTTGAAATAGTGTTAGTTTGAAACTTATTTAGAAATTAAGAATTATTAGAAAAACTTAGCCCCTTTCTCCTTTTCAGCAAGAGGTATTTCTTATCAATAGCCGTGTGCCAATCATGTTTATCGGAGTGTTCACCACTGCTGACAAGTGCTCGACAGAACTGATTATAATGATTTACAGGCCCAGAGTATCATTAACAAAGAGGCCGATTAGGCCAGATGCCAGTCGTTTTGACAATGAATTACTTTATTCAAAAATTTGGTCATTTAGAGAGTACACTTTACGCTGTCTTCATAGTTGCAGGTCAGCTTGTCTTGGTCCCAGTACAATCCATCAGGGCACTCCATCTCGACTTCACATTCACACTGACAGACGACATATTTGCCACAATTCGTTGTGGAGTTGAAATAAGTACCCTCGCGTTGACCCAAACAACGACCATTACTTTCGCAGGCGATTCCCGAAGGTCCGGCATTGGGACCCGTGGGCGGAGTGTATTCCCACTCACAAACATAGTTCTGTGGATAATCGCATTCCTTTATATTCTTATTGTAAACCAGGTTGTTCGGACAATATTGCTCCACGGCGCAGTTGAAGTTGCACTTGTAGAACATATTACACTTGCCCTCTACTGGAAATAGTTCTCCTTCTGGCTGGTCCTGGCACAACGTACTGGTGGAATTGCAGGTCACCTCGGGTACATAGTTCTCAGGATAGTCGCACTGATCAGAAGTGGCATTGTAAACCAGTCCATCGTAACAAACAACCGCTGAAGACTCTCTCGCAGATGAACTTGTTCTCACCCAATCACACACCTGAGCCGTCTCATTGAACTGCAGACCCTCGGCACAAGGCATCGCTATGGGGCACTGGCATTGGCAGACGAGGAATCCATTTGATTCGTCGTCTTTAAATTTCGTTCCATCTTTTTGCCCGAAGCATTTGCCCTGGTTAGAGCAGGTGGTTCCCGAGGGTCCCTCGATCTCATCTGAAGCATCGGCGGTCGGTGTGCAGTCCACGGTCCACCAGTAATCGCAACCGTTTGTATCCTTGTTAAAGTACAATCCGGAAGGGCACTGTATTTCCTCGACGCATCCATTATTGCATTGGATAAACTTAACACAGATTCCAGGCATGTCTATATAGGTGCCTGTGTCCTTATCAGCGCAATCCCCGCGGGAGCTATTGCAATACGAGGGCGCTACTCCTGGAGTAGAAGGTGTTGTATTGGATGAGTTGTTGGAGTCATCGTAATCTGTGGTTGCATCCGTGGTATCTGTTGAATCGGCAGGGTTCGTGACCGAAGTAGGGGTATCGCAGTCCTCAGTGACTGTGGTGGTAGGTTCCTCGATGTCTTCGATTGGGTCTTGGCACTCCTCGGCGCAACAGTCACAGGTACACTGATCATCCACTTCAGCAAAGGCTGAAAGTCCGAGGCAGTTGGCTCGCCATTGGAAATCACACTCCCCTAGCTCCCGATTAAAGTGGAGACCCCTTGGGCAACTGCCAATAATGGAGACATCACCCTTTAGGCAAACCACAAATCTGGAGCAGTGGGTGGCCAACGGAAGTCGAGTGCCATCCTCCTCTTGATGGCAGACATTCGTCAATTGTGCCAGAACAACCTGAAGACTTGCGGTCAGCAGCACAACCGTCCAATAACCTATGAATGGGATTGGGTATGGCTTACTAGTTTCAAGCAAAACACTCACTAACTAACCACTATAAGCGACTTTTCTCATTATTTCCTTCCTTCACCTTTGAAGTAGTCCAAAATTCGCGAACGACTAAGTGGCCAACCAGGCAGAGTAGCTCCATTTAAGTTCCTCGAGTGCTGCGAATCGGTAGCCAATCTTCTGATAATACCAATCACCATAACTATATCACGATTAGTTCAGCAACTGATTTGTTTGCGCCACTTGCTATCGCAGGTGTAATTAGGTGTGCGTGTCTAGATTCGGGCCCGTTATCGCGACCTGCACCACACCCCCACCGGCCTGCATGGTACCGAAAAATTTTGGCATAGGTCTAGGGACTCCCAACTTTTGAATGGGTCCCGCCCTGGCGTCTGCCTAATTTATGTGTTTCCGCACGCCACTCGATAAGCACAAACCGAATTCCCTAATCATCTGGATCGCTTTATTGACACTTGAAATTAAATGACGTTTATAGTCCCCCAAAATGAAGTGTCAGATACTGTCGATAGAGTCGCAAACTGCTCAGCACGACGTTGGGATACTTATTTAATTAATCGATATTATCAGTTTGCATAGTAAATTAGGGAATTGTCTTTTAATACGTATATGTAATTCAAATTTAAAACAAATTTTTGTCTTTTGAATTATGGTTATAAGATAACATAAAAAAAAAAATAATAATAACGGGAATAATAACCTTGAAGTTATCAAAGAATATTTTGAATATTCCAATTTTCCCAAAGTTCGGAATGATTTTAGCAATTGTAGAGAACCTTCTTATAGCGAATATTCTTCTTTAATTCCAGGAATTGCATGCAATCACATCAACTCAAATATGGCGATAAGAAAATCGTTTAGAACTGAAATAGCAATAACTTGTCACTCCAATCGGAGATGCCAATTTAGCTTGGATGCGAATTTTAACGACGAAAATTACTTTTCCCTGTCATTTCACTTGGTTTACCCGAGCATTCCACAGAAACGCAATCGGTTTATGACAAGTACTGTTATAGGCTTAGAAGAGACATCGCCCAAGACTGCGGTGAGAGGCTTCCTGCTCGGCGACTCTCGAGTTGGTGTGTAACTCAAGACAATGCAATTCTAATTATTCAAATGCTAGCCAAGTACGCTTGAATTAAATTACCAAACTTGGGGAGACCTAAATGGTAGAAAGGAGAGCAAAAGTTTTTACTATGGCCTAGGCACTTGAGTTGGAAAGGCTTAGACTCTTCGGTGTCCATTACACTTCACGCATTGCCCTGGAGACGACTACTCTGGATCAGGGTGCTCGGGTCTGAGGCCATAAGGGGCAAAAAAAGACGGGCCACCGGAAATTTGAGTGGATCTGCCGTCGCACTCATACAGTCTCTATTATAAAAATCTTCTCAGGTGTAACAGGTTTCTCAGATTTAAACAGAGGTCGCGCCTATATTGTACACACTCATCAGCGGCACTCGACTCGTCTCGCAAGCAATCGTTAATACGGCTTTCTGTCGGAAACAACAAGTCCAAAGGGTGCAGGATCGGACTCACTTCGAATCGAAGAACTGAGATCGATTGGTGCATAGATATCAAGGAAACATACTCATTTCAACTCTAGCACCATTCGAAATCAGTGCTTTTGATAAGAAACAATCAGCAGAGTGCCTTAATCGAAGTGATTTTTAAGTGAAACTTTAAATAACCAAAATACTAAATAAATAACAGAAGACAAGGAATAAAGTTAAGATAAATAAACAAGTAATGAGTGCCAGTCGGTAACCACTTTACTGAAAGAAGCCAATAAAGTGCAAGCGTGTCTCTGACCGGGTCTTTAGACGGCGATCGGAATGATTAAACAACAATTGCTTTGTCATCAATGGAAATAGATTTCTTATCTCTGCCAAGACAAAAACTAGGCAAGATTTTATAGTTGACACTTTGTTTTCATTTATACGAGTAGTGAAAAGGGCATCTAGTGTGACGAAGTATCTACTATCAGTGGTAACATTTTTGGCTGCTCACGACAAAGTTATCAACTTTTCAGATGGAAAGCAAAATGGATTGAAAAACCCTTTCACATAACACCTGTCAGAGCTTAACATTATTATAGATTTAAACGTATCTGAACAATATCCCATTGTATATATTCTATACACCATTTGATAATCAAGTAATTTAAAATTAATAGTATCCTTATCTAAATGCGGTGCTATAAATTAGTTTCTTACACGTTTGTCTGCGATATTCTATTAGTAATATATAACCTTGAGTCGCATGGGCTTTTATTATCTTCTATATGATCTATAAGAATAATAGGAAATAGATTAATGACAATGTCTAGACATTTATTTTTGTAGTAAATATAATTAATTTTATATTGGTTTCCAAGAGGTAAAACTCCAAAGTTCCTAGTTTTAGTTAGTTGATCTGCCATTTTATGCCTTTATTAACAACACATTTTTAGAAAAAGGGCGATAACTTATGGGTAGCATTGTATGTTAGACAGTCATCGACAAATTTAATTGAAAAACCACTGATCTCTGTTTATGACAAAAGCCAAATCTTATCTTTTTTGGTGTGGTAAATTGAAGTCATCCGAGTTAGAAAAAAAAATTATTTTTCGGTATAAAAGGCCCAGGCGGTTCTTGCTAACTGTTAGTTGAAAGTATTTAAGTTAAAGTGACGGGCTACTTTAATCATAATGACAGGTGGTGTCTGTTTTTTTGGAGCAATGAAAGTGGAAATTAATATGTATAAAATATTCTAGTACTTTCAGGTTTCTGGACCCTGCAGGTTCTACTGCTGGTCTTGATGGCTCATCTAAGCACCCAAACGATGTTCCTGAACTCCACCGACGACGTTTGTCGACTTTTCAAGGATGGAACCAAACTTCGAAAGGCCGGAACCTGCAACGAGTGGATTACATGCAATGATTTTAAGTCTTCGGAAAGTGAAAGCTGTTCGGGCACTGAACAGTACTTTAGTCTTTCCAAAGCAAAATGCTACAAATCATATGACGACAGTTACTGCGATACTACCAAAATATGCAAAGGAGCGTCGACAGGTTACATAGGTGATACCATAAACTGTGCAAATTGGTATTATTGTGATTCAGATAATGTATTGGGCAAAGGAGCATGCACCTTGGGAATGTACTTTGATCAAACAAAGCAGCAATGCGTCTATCCAAAAGATACTGTTTGCACTGCCACATATGAGATGTGCGACATTGTGCCCCAAGATGTCCCATTCCTCGACGAAAACAATTGCAACATGTACTTTAAATGCAGCAGTAAAAACGCACTCGTGTCGTACACCTGTGAATCTGGCAAATATTACAACGTGGCCACCGGTACCTGTGTTGACAAAAAGGAAGTTGTCTGCAATAAGCATCCACTTCCAGAGGACGCATGTGGCACCAAGAAACTGGCTTTGCGCAACAAGTTTGTTGCGGATGGAGCCACATGTCGCGGTTATTACTATTGCCGTGATCTCGGATCTGGAATCCCAGACCCCGACCCCATATATCAGCAGTGCAGCGAGAACTACTTCTTCAACGTGGAACGCCAGGGATGCATGCCACGCGAGAGCCAGACGTGTGCCTACGATCGTTGCGATGGCCGCACAGATGGATTCGAAGTGGCCGAATCCAAGGGATGCCACGAATACATCGAATGCATCGACGGCCGGGAAGGCACAACTAAAAGCTGTGGAACTGAGTACTTCGACGTTGCCGCCCAAAAGTGCACCGAAACTCAAAAAAATTACGGCGCTTGTGATGCTTAATAATGCTTAAACTAAGGCAAATCTTCGAAAAAATAAATTAAAAATAACAACATGAGTGCTTAGATAAGTAACCGATAATGGGAATATCTTGACTTTATTTTTGCAAAAATACAAAATTTTTTTGGCATAACCTTTTTGAGATATTTTTCAAAGCGTTGGTCACAAATTGGTGACATATATTTTGTATTATTTTTTTTACTTTAAAATCAGGAAGCATTTCTTTATATTTTAATTTAACAGCTTATGTTATCAGTTATGTGTTTTTGCCCGCAGTTTTTATTGATTATTTGATAATTGTTATTATTCGTTAAAAGTAATAAGAAACAATGCTAACTGATTCCCTTTTAATAACACAGTACTGATATGGTTGCAATAAACTACTAAATTGGCTTGTAGTCCAACCGTGACTCCAGCTTCTTGTTGTCGGAGATTTTGCGGACAGCTTTCATGAAATCTTCCTGAATGACATACTCTCGATCGCAGCGCAAGGCAAACAGACCGGCCTCCGTGCAAATATTGCGCAGGTCGGCGCCATTAAACATATCCGAAAGCTTTACCACAGCCTCGTAATCAATCTCACCCCGTTTGGACAATGGTCCGGCGTGAATCTTGAGGATGTCCATGCGTGCGACTTCGTTGGGCAACGGTATCTCTAGTTTTCTGTCAAGTCGTCCTGGACGCAACAAAGCAGGATCCAGTGTATCCGGCCGATTGGTGGCCATAATCATTTTCACCTGCCCAAGAGCATCGAATCCATCCATCTGGTTGAGCAGCTCCATTAGAGTACGCTGGATCTCGCGATCGGCGGAAGTTCCCTCAGAGAAGCGACGACCACCGATGGCGTCGATCTCGTCCATAAATATAATGCACGGCTGGTGGTCACGTGCATAGGCAAACATCTCCCGGATCAGGCGAGCACTCTCTCCAATATATTTATCCACAATGGCCGAGGAAACAACCTTTGGGTAAGGTTTTTATTAAAATACATAAAAATAATGATTAAGCTCTGAATTTTCGTATGGAAATATTATTGGTGGAAAGGGGGATACCTTGAGGAAGTTAGCGTCCATCTGGGAGGCAATGGCGCGGGCCAGAAGGGTTTTTCCGGTGCCAGGTGGCCCGTAGAGCAGGCATCCCTTGGGCGGATTAATGCCAACGCGTAAGAATATTTCCGGATTAAGCAGAGGCAATTCGATGACTTCGCGAAGCTCACGGATTTGCTGACCAAGTCCACCGATTTCGGCATAGTTCACGTTGCCCGGATCTTCATGGGTCATGTTGTAGACCAGGGGATCCACTTCCCTTGGCAAATAGCGCATAATGGTCAGAGTGGTCACATCGAGAGCGACTCGCGTACCGGGCTTTAGTTTCGCCTTGTTTATCTGCCGCCGACATCCGACCACATAACGCGGCCCACTCGAAGCCTTCACGATAAAATTGTCCGGTGTGAGCTGCTTCAGGACCTCCCCGAGCATCTGACCCACACTCTGGAGTGCCTTTAGATCATCCTCAGACTTCTCGTATATGACATTTTGAATCTTGTACTTTTCCCGCAATGCCTTCAAACGTGACTCGATCTCGCGGTGCTCCAAAACCTTGGCGCGGAAACCGGCCACAGCCTTACCCCGCTCATCGTTTGCCTGGGTCTGATTTGGTTGCGGAGCTGCCATTATAGAGATCTACGTGCCTTAAATTTCCCCGAATGGCTTTTCAAAAATGTGTTAAGTCACGTTACGATTTTGAGTTCTGTCAAGTTGAAAAGCTTGTAGCCCTGAAACTATGTTGTTCAATTTGGAATGAACTGAACTAAAGAACATTATCTTTTCGGCAGGATTGGAATGTGGAAATACAAATTTTAATATAGCTATGTTACTGTTACCAAAAACTTTTTGAAATATAATAAATAACGTTACCCAGCTAAACGCATGTAAATGATTTTCCAAACCATAGATTTAAGATATTATGTTAGTTTGAAATTTAAACTAATTAAAATAGATCATTAGATTATAACACACTAAAGTACTTATTTTTTATTTCATACTTTTAAATAGTCGTAAACCTAATTTAAAAAGGATATTGTTAAGTAAATTATATTACAAGTTAAACATATCAAAAGAATAAAAGCTTTAAAAGCTTTTATACAGATGGCGCCACGAATGCATAATCTATAATATATCGATAAGAGCTCTGACTATTTCTTGATAGTCAGTGAAAATCAAGCGTGCCAATTTAATCGATATACGCTTATAATTGAATTTTACGGTTTTCTCGGTAAGTGAATCTTGTGTAAGTTGGAAAATTATGAATAATAAGTGAAAAAAGAAAGGTACTTCCCTATAAATAATGTTACGTTTGATTTCCTTTTCCATATATTTGCAAACGTATTTTCATTGAAAAACCTGCTGAGGAAATAAATTAAAGCCAATTTCAGAAAAAACAACATTTTAAAAGCAGTCAAAAAGTTAAATTAAATTTCAAAGTTTTGTTTTTCGGCACACTGCATGTTTTTTCTAAAAATTCATTGTAATGCTATCAAATGAAATCAGTTTCATTTAAGATTTGGTTTTGAATTACACACTATGTTAACATATAAAATATAACAACAAAAAATCATAAAGCGAGGTCTATTGTTGCGGTACGTTTCTTCGGAATTATTCGAACAGTCGTCAAGTAATACCTTTTTGAGATTATTTTTCCATCAAATGAGGGTTAGACAACAACCGCCGCTACCTCGTTAGCGTAAATTTTGAATCGTGAATCGCTTGTCAACCAGATGAGTTCTAGCCAAATTTACAGACTTAACTTTACTTGCAAAATAAGCAAAACTAAACAAAACTCATTTTGTCGAAATATACATTTAAATGAATAAAGATTTAGCACCTAGTTGTCTTCAAGCACCCATCAAAACCAACTGTAGATTAAAAACTTAATCAATTAACGGAAAAAAGAAGTGAATGAAATGATGACAAGAGAAACTCTGGTAAGAATTTTCATATTGAGGCACGATCGGTTTTGGGTTTGATAATCAATCAGTTAAGTCTGTAAAGATCTTTGGTCTTATCTGGCACCTTCACTTACTTTTTGGGCTGCTGATTTTTGGGACGGAACCGCAGACAATGGCCAGACAGAACCCCCATTTAACAGACGTGCTGCAGCCAACTAAAAAAATTATACGAAATCGAAAACCAGCTAGCAGATAAGAGAGTCTCTGTTGGCAAGTCTTTTGGTCTGATAAGACCTGGCTATAAAAGAGCCCAGCTTTTTGTTCGAAGACATGAGAGCAGAATTCACCATGCAGAAGAGCACAGCCCAGATGATCATAGCAGTCTGCCTGATCTGCCAATCTATGGCAGTGGAGGTTAAGGATAAGGTCAACATTCCTCTAAATATAGACAGTGTCCAGAAGCATAATCTTAAGCTGCTTTCCGAGCAACTGAATCGGGGTTGGAGGGCTTTCTGTAAGTATAGAAAACACAAACCCAGTATAGAAGTTGATCTTCTAATAACATCTTTACCAGGTGATGCCCCTGTGGATGAGGGTGTTATGTCTTTGTTCCAGGGCATCAATCCCAGCGATGCCCGACTCCATGTGATGACCATTACGAACCAAAGTGTAGAGCTGCCCATCAAGTCCATATCTCAAATCAAGGACTTCGATATCAATCCAGAGCGTAAGACCCTCATCTATGTGAATGCCTTCCACACGGCCGACAGCTATTTCAGTGTCCAGGAACACTTGACCCTCCTGCAAAACAGCAGAAGGGATCTTAATGTTATAGTGGTTGACTTTGCCAAGGATGTGGCTCAACTTTACTATGCAGTGCGGCACCATCTCTCGGTTGATGGATATTTCGTGTATAAACTAGTAAGGGCCCTGAAGGATGCGGGCATTGCTGTGCAGGATATCACATTGGCAGGTCATTCGGTGGGTGCCAATATAGCCGCTTTGGGTGCCCAACTCTTTGCCAAGGAAAACAAACAGTTGGTGGGGCAGCTTATAGCCATTGATCCTGCCACCATGTGTCGCACCACTGATATATTGGTAAAGCAAAGTGTGGCTGCTAGGGTGGTGGTGCTGCACGGCGAGGGAGATGCGTTTGGGGTGAGGGTTCCACTGGGTCACATCGATATCTATCCGAATGGCATTGGCTACTTTCCAAGGAGGAAACTTCAACCTGGCTGCGAGTCCAAGATCTGCAGTCACATGTATCCTTTCGTTCTCTTTATGGAGGTAAGGTTTCCTAAGTTAAATCTTAAATTTTAATTTAATTTCTTTGTAAATTCTTAGGCTCTCATTGAGGGTGTGATGATTCCAGCCACCAAGTGCGAGAGCTGGGCCAAGTTCCGACAAGGAGACTGTAATTTCCAGAACACCATCAACATTGGACTCATATATCCTGTGACCGCAAAGGGTCTCTACTTCTGCTTGACCCAATCGAATCCTCCTTTTACCTATATGGAGCATGGCTTACGCTACAAGGCGAGACGTCCTGAGAAACCCTCTGACAAAAAATACGCTTAAGTTTTAATTTTAAGAACTGTAATTGTTTTTTAGTTGGTTAGTTAAATTATTAAAATATGTTTAGTAAGTTAAAGTTGTGTGTGGTTCTTTTTGTAAATATACAAGGTATACAACCTAAGCCTAAAAGTGTGCTTCGGTTTGTTATTTATTTGGCAAGCGTTACCAGACAGAAAAATTTACGTTACTCTACGGATCTGAAGCGTTAAATTAATTAACTCCATATAATTTTTAGTAAATGTCAAATTTATATACTAATTTTCCATATTATTCTTTATGATTATATATTAGTTGGTGCTACAATTAAGAATACTTTATTCAATATTAATTCTTTAATTTTAGATAGGTTGAAAGGCTCTCTTTAAAGCATCTCTCTCTCTACTTTGTTACAAAAAACTTCTCTTAGCCTCTGAAGATCTTCGGCCTTAAGCCAAATCGAAAACAGCTGATTAATGCCATCAAAGCTGTCTCTCAGATGAAGTTGGAAGAGAGTAACAAAAAGAAAGAGAGGCTACAGACTCTCCCAAAATTCAGAGGCTTAGATAAATGGGGACGACTTAAAAAACAAAACTTGAAGTTAATTTCAGATTAAATACTATGTGGTTTTAATTCATCTGTTCATATAATCAAAATGAAAGTAATTTTTTCAAGACCCCAAGTTGTATAAAACCCCTTTCTCCACACCTGCCTTCCACCAATACACCCATCATTTAGTGGGATCCGCTCGCTGTTGTTCCGTCTACCTGTTGCCAACTAAATTTTTTTTCGTGCGGGCTGGAAAAAAGTGAGTTAAGAGCCGCTCGCGGCCAACTCTGGAGCGCAGTTTGTTTGAGTTTGTCGAGCGGTCAGGTTGCTCGGCGGTCGGCATCGCAAACGCAGTTGCAGCTCGAAGCTTGAAGTGTCCAGCGATAAACCCGTCGTCGTGCTGTCGGTACGTGGAGCAAAATTAACTAAACTGAACCCAACTGAGCTGAGCTGAGCTGAACAGTCGCCAGTTGATCGTGCGGAACCCCATTGAAGCCAGCATTCGAATATTACACACAAAACGTCTGAAAATTGTATACAAAAAACAGTCGATTTCTGTTGGATGTTGTTTTTTGTGACCTAACTACCGTTGTTGCTGCTGTTTTTAGTGTAAATAACAAATACAAGTTTTAAATCCATGTGTGTAAAGTGTAACGAAGGGATACGAAATAACAAAAATAAAAACCCATACCCATTTGATCTGGGTGAACTAGCCAGGTTCATACACGTATCCAATCGGTTGAGTACCCGTATCTGTATCTGTGTATCTGAAATCGTAAACGCGTCGCACGCCAGCGCGTGTCTCTAGCTTTAAACGGCCTAGGCGGCACCGTAAACCAAGCTCCCAGCTCCCCAGCCTGGTCAAGTTTACATTTATTTACGTTTTTCTCTCTTTATCCGCTTAGGTGTTCAGTTGGCATTCTATTGACTGAATGTGCGGCTCCAAGCCAAATTCGGATGCAATTTTTCAATTGAACAAGCTTAATGAGTGAAGATCAATTAGAAAGATACAAAAACATCTAAACAAACAGAAAATTCTATGAACAGCGGAGTAAAAAAGTAATGGTTGTATAATCCAGACACGAATGATGAATGTCTTTTGATATATTAGCAAATATATTAAAGTTTGAGCATTCGTATGAGTGCTAGCAATAAATCAATGTAAATTAATGAACAGTTTTATATTTTTAAAGCTCTCGGCAGAAAAAAGATCAATAGTGATAAAATTATTAATACCTTAACAAACACGTTAATTTTTTGCTATTTAAATCGCTTCAATAATATTTAATGAGTTTATGAAGAACGCTAACAATGCTAACAGAAATCGGCTTAATGCCTAGATATATCTGCTTTATTGTGTGCTAATGAGACCCGAAAACTCCCACCTTTCATGTGCCTTAATTCTGAGAACAATTCCCGGTGCAAAAAAGTGCAAGTGGCAAGCGAATTGGAGACCCGCTTTGCCTTGACTCATTCCATAAACAACTTTTTGTGGCAAATACGTCAGAAGAAAGTGAAGTTTATTCGAGCCAAATTCGTCACCAATCAATGTCCCCTTTTTATGTCCCCAACTTCATATCGCGTATACTCCACGTGTTTATTCTAGAAGCTGCAGACTCTTATATCTCAGTCAGAAGCTGACAGGTTATTTGTTCTGAAAATATATTACCAAAGAGCTGGACAGTTGAGATTAAATCTCCAGGCAGCAGGGTCAATGACTATTATTTGTCTTTCGAAAGAACAGCATTCAGATTGCGAAACTTTCAACAGTCAGCTAGTATAAATAACAAATCTGAGAGGCACGACTATCTTTAATTGTTTTTGTGGCGCAGCTATCGTTAGGTTCTTGAGTAGCCAGCCCAGTGGCAGTGGGTGGTTTTCTCTAGCCGTGTAATCACAAGCCATCGTGACTTAACTTGGCCTAGACCCCCGTGCACAACCGGTTGGCTCTTAAAAATTCCTGAAGATCACCTGCTATGTTTGTAAACGAAATTAACGCGCTAAAGTGAAAACTGCCAGAGTCTCCCGTCCACCCTCCTGGAACTCTCTCTATATAACTCTAAGCCCCTAAATACTCGTGTTTATATATATAGAACCCGTTCTGTGTGTTGCCCCTGTCTGGTTATGGCTTATGCAAATATTTGCAGCTTCTACTGCTAGCGCTAAGGAGCAGGTTTCAAATCTTTGCAATTTACAGGCCCAACTTAAAAACAGATTTTTGAAATGAAAAATCGGTGATAGCCAATCGTTCGATTAATCAAAATCGCGTCGGAGAAACGCAACATAAACGGAATTAATCAAGACCCGAATCAACAGCAAACGGGAAACGATAAAGACTCGTGGCGCTGACGGCGCAAATTAAGCACCCGCAAAAATACAGAGAAACTGCCGAATTTTTGCCCAACCCAAGGTTTTCTGATGAAAAAATATATATATATATACTCATACAAAAGACCAAAAATCCCAGTCCAGATACCTTGCCATTGAGGAGAGTCTACAGTTTTGGGGAAATCCTGGCCGCAAAGTGATCTTTGAGTGAAAAAACTATATGAAGTACATAAACAAAAGGCCTCAAAAAGGGAACTCATAATAATTGTGGCTACAAGGTGATCATTATAATGTGAAGTGAAAAAAAATACCTTACAAAATGTAAAAATTAAATATATAATTAGTGACAAAATATCATATATGACCATAACTTTGTTCTCAGCTTTTTTAACTCGGCATTTCACCCAAACCGAAAGTGCATAGCCAATTAAATTTACAATAAATACGAAAAAACAAAAAAAAAACAAAATAACAAAATGGAAAACAGCAGCAAAAACAACAGAAACACCACAGAAAAACTGTTCGATACGTGCCGGAATTTAAGTTTAGCTTTTTAGCCCTCCAGTATTATTTGCATGGATTGCATGTGTATTGCTCTTTACAGTTTTACTGGGCGCATGTGACCGCCCACTCCACTCCTGCCCACTATCGTTGTGGGATACAGTAGAGCTTCAATATAGTGGATTTTGTTTAACAAGAAGAATATTTGTAAGATGAAAGTTTTATGAAAAGAGATTTAAAAGATTTTCTGAGACTAAAAATATTAATATACATTTTTTTTTTTAAATTTAAATAGCTAAAAAATACTTTAAAATTATTTATATTTATAATTAAAAAACCTTTTTTCTTGAACCTAAAAAATTTAATTTAAAATATTATTTTTAAAGTTGTGTATCAGAGTTTAGCTTATCTAACTAAACTTAAACACTTCATTTAGTAAGTAAATTTTCATTATTTTTTTAGGAGAAGCTTAAAAACCTGAGGCTCGGAGAGAGCGAGAAAGAGTGTGAGTCGCAGCCTGAGCGGCGGGGGTGTAAGTGAGAGGGAAAGCAGCCGACGGCGACGCTGTTTTTTCAATGACGCGACAACAACAAAAACAATTAACAAAATTCGCGTACGAAATTAAACAACAACAACAACAAAACCAACATCAACATCAACTACAATTCGGCCTTCTCGGTATTGGCAGCGGCCTAGCGCCGGCAAAAAATAACAATAAAAGCCAATTGTTTGTGTTTAAGTAAACAAAACAAGATCAGTTAAAAAAAAATATCCAAAACAAAAATAAAAACTAAGTCAAAAAATGACCGTCTCGTATGCGGGCGAAGTGCCAAATGGGAGCAGCTTTGGCTGCTTCTGGAAGATCCTATGGAAGTGAGTATTGGCTATAAGAAGTTGAGATAAAAACCCCTTGATAAGAATTTTATCTCATCTTAATAATTTGATCAATGAAACATTAAAATATATACCAAATATATATCTATATTATCAAAAATCTTGAAACATGATACACCGCAATATTGCGAAATTCAAAACATATATACCTCATATGTTCCATATGGTCCAGTCAATCTGGGTCACCACCCAAAAGGTACCTATTCCGGGGATTTTTCCGCATTACTCATTCACCTGTTCGAGTGTTTACCAACGCAATTAACATCCCATACTGTGAACCTCTCTATTCAGACTCCATAATATATTCGTATTGACAGCGTCCCCTCGGCCACATCTGGTTTCAGGGCATTTTGTTTTTAGAGTGTGTTTATTTTTAAGCCCAGTTCGGTTTAATTGTTTCCCAAGTGCAGTCACTCGTAACTGGGCAGTTAGAATGGCAATTCCAGTTCCAGTTACTGTTGCACAGTTCCAGTTTTAGCCATTCAAACCAGAAAGAAGAACGAAATTGGTAGCTCGGAAAACTAACTTGATAAGCTAGACTTTCTGTAATGGTTTCACTAATTGAAAACTTATGCAAGTTACTTTTATGACAAGCGGGGAATATTGTAAAAATAACTTAATCATATTGTTTTTTTCAACGACAACCTCGAGTTCTAAGCTAGTGATCTTAGCCAAAGGTTAATGCCATAGCAACCTAAATTTTAGAGAGAAGAAGGCAAACGAAACCTTGATCAAAACAAACAGAACGAAGTCCCCACCTGAATAGTACCAGTTCCGAAGCGGTTATGCCAATCATTATACATATATATATATATGTTTTTATAATGTATCAAATCACACTTTGGGACATTAGAATTCATTGGAACTGACATGCAAGATTGGAATACCCCCATAAAAACCAACTTGCAGAACTGGCGACCCATTAAGATCTAAAAAATTCGAAATACGATGATCAAGAGAGGGACATGATTGAGTGAATGAGGAAATCATATATAATAAAACAAAAAACCAGTTAGTTACAGTTCAAAGTCGGCAAAGAGATCGACTAATCCCTGACTACCTTAAACTTTTTTAACTCAAATCCCATTCCCTTTTAATAGATGGCGAGGCAGCGTTTACAAACTGATCTGGCGCGAATTAGTGGCATATCTTTGCTTATACTATACTATAAATGTTATCTACAGATTTGGCCTGACAGAAAGTCAGCAGGCGTAAGTATTATTATAAAATAAAGTTGGTAGTATTATAATCTATTTATTTCCTGACAGTATTTTTAAGAAAATTCGCCTTTACTTCGGGCAGCAGAGTGAGAGTATACCCATGTCCTTTGTCCTGGGCTTCTATGTAAATTTGGTAGTTAAACGTTGGTGGGAGCAGTACCGCCTTCTGCCCTGGCCAGACACGTTGGCCCTGTTTATAAGTGCTGCCATTCCCAACTCAAATGCAGGTGTAAATGTAAGTGAAATAAATAACAAGATTTACTTCTATTAAAAAATTATAATATATTATTATTCAGAATGAAACAAGTCGCCTTATGCGTCGTAATATCATGCGCTATATGGTCTTGGCCTATGTGATCACCCTTCAGCGAATTTCCCTTCGAGTGAAACGTCGTTTTCCCACCACCCAACATCTTGTAGATGCCGGTCTGATGCACGAGTCCGAGATGAAGATCTTTGAGGCTCTTAATCAGAAGAGCCCTATGTCCAAGTACTGGATGCCTCTGGTTTGGGCCACCAACATCATTAATCGAGCGAGGAAAGATGGCTTGATTGCCTCGGATCATATTGTTCAAACCATTTTGGTGGAATTGTCGGATATTCGTAGACGTTTAGGTGGTCTTATTGGCTACGATACGGTCTGTGTTCCTCTGGTCTACACCCAGGTGAGTTTATATTCAAGCCAATTTATATAAAAATTAAGATTTTGTTGAAAGAAAGTGAAAATTTTAGAGGCGATTTCCATCATTTCCCTATCTAAAGTTACTAACTTAATCCTCGTTTTTAGGTGGTTACCTTGGTGCTGTATACCTATTTCATTGCCGCCCTTTTGGGCCGTCAAATGTTGCCAAATGTTTTGGACAGAAATGGCCGAGAAGATCCCGATCTGTTCTTTCCCCTCTTCACGGTATTGCAGGTATAAATCAATTTGCTTAACTTAATTAAATTAAGTCATTATTTTCACGGTTGATTTAAGACGGCTTAGAAGTTATCTTAATTTGCACGTTCCGTCTTATTTACCATAAATCAGAGTCAAATTTGCACGTCTCGTCGTTTTGTAAAAAGTTTAAAAACTTGTTGCGGTTTTTTGTTATTCGCAATTTTGTTATTTTTTTTTTGCTGCCGCCTTTTCCGCCAAATTGTAATGGCTATACCTTGTTAGCGATATGCTATATATATATAGAGTAGACTATATAATGGCTATATCATGATATGGCCAGTTACAACTGTTGGCTGTTTTCCGTTTTGGTTTCTGCGGTTCTCCACAGGGGACAGATTTCAAGTGCCTTATGTAAACGATTCGCGGTCACGTTCCCCGTAATAAATTGGCATTTTGCCGGGCTCTGGTCTGGTTTGTGTTTCTCCGCGATATAAATCTGTGACAAGTGTTTAGCTATCATTATTAACTGTTAATGTCCATACTATATGTATAATTTTTAGTAACAAAAAAGTGAATGGAATTGCTGAGCTTTCCCCGGCATGCCTTCAGTTTATTCCCAAGTTCTGTTGAAATTCGTCTTTCTTTTTGTTACTTTTCATGATGTAATTACCTGATCCTATCACATTCAATTAATCTTTACAGTTTGTTTTCTACGTGGGCTGGCTGAAAGTGGCCGAGGTGCTAATCAATCCCTTCGGCGAAGATGACGATGATATCGAGCTCAACTGGCTGATTGACCGACACATCAAGGTGAGTCACTAATGCAGATAATTCGCACACAACCTTTTACGTAATACGTTGTGGCACATTGTCTATACTCCATCCAACCGTTAAACATTTTTAATAAGCGGTGGCAATAATTCCTGCGGTGAATACAACCATAAAACAATCATTTTTGAGTTAGAGATGCTAACAAAAAGTTCCCCCTTCAAAATTTCACCTAAGAAAAAACCTGTCTAACTTCCAATTAATTTCATTTAGCATGAGGTAGATAAATTCACAGATTTTTAAATTGAATTAGGAACAATGATCAATGAACAGATGGTATATGACTCGAAACAGAACTTCCCAGCGTTTAACTCAAACCTTGGACAGCACAACAAACACATCCATAAGATACATATACGTATCTTGTCTGAGGGGGTAATATCCATAATTATAATTTCATAGGTTTCCAAGTATTATGACTGCTAAAATCTGAATTCGCTAATTGGGTTAGCGTGCTAACTAAGTAAAGATTTTTGAGCTCTCGAGGCGATAATCGCTTGAGTCAGCCACTTCTTGGATTGCCGTTGAAAGGAGAAGAACATGTCTGTCTGCCACGTGCTAAAAATAACAGGCATTCTCTACATAGTCAACAAAAGTTTCAGAAGAAGGATACATCGTCTTAGAATAACGAATTTCAAATTGTCTTTAAAAGAAGTTTTATGAAGTTAGATTATAGTTACTATGATGGAGTCGAGACGTTTTTAAGAGGAAACAATATTCCTTTATTTTCGATCACGACCTGCAATTTGTTTTTATTCAGAAACAGGCTGGAGGAATTTTTTATTAAAATAAAGGCAAATAAAATATGCTATCTACATATCAGTTTCTCATTTACATATACCAGAAAATATGAATAAAAATTCTTTATTATTCTTTATTAAAAGAAACTTTTAGTTTTTATTAATGAATTTCAAGGAATTAAGAGAGAACTGTGAGAAAATCTTTAAGTGCTAGATACTTTTCTGTATATCTTTAAGTTCCAATGACTACAACTTAGTTCATCATTTACATGTGCCTTTAGATGGCACTGAACAAATCATTATTTATGAGTTTAGCTAAAGTATATATTAATTTCCCTTTGGGAATGCAGTTTATTCTAATGAAGTGTGACTTTAATAATTGCGACTTAGACTAGCTGTCAGTTTTGAAAGATAATTTATATTTCAAAGATAAATCTCTGAAATTCCCCAAAATCAGATGAGAGCATTGAGATTCGTCTATATCCCTTCCGCCGCTGATGCTGATTGAAGTTTTGGACTTGGGCTTTGAAACTCAATGTTGGTGTGTCTGTGTGTGTGTGAGTGTGTTATGCATGTGTTTGTATCTGTGTTTGGGGCCTGCCGTTGCTTGCAATTATTTACAAAAGTTAGCAGCCAGCAGCCAGCAGCAGCAGCAGCAAAAGTAAATTGAAAACAGGTTTTTGTTCAAAAAAAATGAGAAAAAACGAAAAAAATGCGAACTGAAAACATTGAAACCTCTTTTGTAGAGCTTTATCATTGACTGTTTTCATGTGTGTGTTTGTGTTGTTGTTGCTGTTTTTTATGGTCATCGTTGGGTTTGCTGCTCGATTTCGGAAATGCATCCCAAGCGGGCTCTCGAGCACACAAATGCCCACTTTTAGCTCGGTTATCAGCAGGGGGTTAATGCCAACACCTCTGCCCAGCTTTGTGGCCCATTTCAACTGCACTCCACACGACCAGACGTGACTCTTGGCTCACTCGCTCATAAATGGCAAATTGAAAACAGAGCGCGGCTAAATGATTAACCAAATGAGTATTTTGTATATATATTTTTTTTATTTTTATTTTTTATTATTTGCAATTTTCTGCTGTGGGCTGTGAGCTGACTTCTGTTATGGAATAATTAAAACTTGTAAGCAATTTCACTTTTTCTTTTGTTTTCGATGTGGGACAGTAGCCACGGGTCAATAATAGTGACGTAATTGGGTTTAGTGCCTCCTCGAAATAGCCCGAAAAATCGCAAATGACAAACACGTTCCGATTTTGAACAGCCCTCGACTGATCCACTTCTGATAAACTCACTTTCAGGCGGCCTACATGATCGTTGACGAGATGCACGAGGAGCACCCCGAGTTGCTGCGGGATCAGTACTGGGAGTGCGTGGTACCCAAGGATCTGCCCTATACGGTGGCATCCGAACATTATCGAAAGGATGAGCCGAAGGGCTCTGCTGAGAAGTACAAGGTCAAGAAGGAGGACGCCATGTATGCCAACATTATGCCCGGTGGCGGCAAGCGAATGCTCAGCGATGATGTCTACGCGGATTATGTGAGTTCACTTAACATTCAGCCTATTAAGCCACTGGTTGCTACTGTTTTATAGCTTTAACTATAAATTCGTTGACAGTAGTAGCATTTTCTGATATATGTCCTTAAAGAATAACTTTTTTATGGAAAATATTACAACTTCAAACTTTAATGTTGACTTTTATGTTTTTAACGAGGCTTACTTACATTAGTATTTATTAAAACTAATAAAAAAATATATTTTAATAACATATTTACCCCAAAAACAGGAGAGCGTGGACACACCCATGGTGGAAAGGCGGAAAAACAACTGGCTGGTTCGCCAGCTCTCGCGAATGGGTTCGATGAGGAGCCAATCGACGGCCTACTCCTCTGGCGGAATGCCCTTCAATCGGAACCGCCTGAATTCTGTATACTCTAGTCCCGAGTCTGGCTTGCCACTGACCATCCTACAGCAGCAGCAACTGCAGCAGGCGCATCAGCAACAGCAGGCAGGATCGAATCCAAATAAATCGAGTCTCTACGGGAAGTTTGTGCATCGGAAATCTATCAGAGCACAACGACAACTTATCAAGCAGAGTGAGTAAAAATTCAAATTAATTTAAAATCAAGAATGATTATATTTACTATATATATATCTTAATAAAACTATTTACCTCCAAGAAATCGTCATATAAGTAGTTACGGCTATTATGACATACCCCCAAAAGTATGCTACTAAATAAATAATAATAATGATTTTTCTTTAACAGACTCTAAATTAAATGGCTTGAATGTTAATGTGGCCAAGACCAGACCACGGATTCCCACACCCGAGGTAACCAAGGATGGCAACACGAATCCAGGTGAGTACAAATCCACACCTTATGCACGATACCTGCAACTTTCTGAACAACTCGCACCACTCCCATGTAGCCACCAGCTCGGTCCTAATGGCACCACAGCAGCTGAGCACCACCAGCGCACCATCGGGCATGTACCCCACCTCCTACGCACCCGACACCCTACTGCACCAGGAGAGCGGCCAGGTGCTGGGCACGCTGCTGCTCTCGCCCATCAAAGAGATGGATAGCTCATCGTCCAATAACACTCTGATTCCAGGACATCCGGCCACCGCAGCCCTGGCAGCCAGCATGAAGGACGGATTTGTACCAAGCAGTAAGTAGATTCACTTATGGGCTAATCAAACGTTATCTTATGTTAAACATAATCTTAATTTCTAGATATTCCCGCTGCCACGAACATCACCACTCTATCATTCCCCTTCAGCGTGACTAGCACTGGTGGGGAGACGATGCCCACGGGGACATTGAGCATCCTACCCATCACGGCCAACGCCCAATTGCCCACGATCACAACGACAGCCAGTGGCTACGATCCAAATGATGTGATCACCACCATACCTGTGTCTTTGTCTATCCAACGATCGCCATCGGCGCTTTCCATTGTGGAACTAACCGGAGCTGATGTTCAGGATGGATACAGCAACAGTGGGTCAAGCAATGGAAATGGTGGTATCACCACCACGGCCCTGCTCTCCGTAAAGCCCCTAAATGGAAACCAAAACATTTCGCGGAACAACAGTTTCAACTTAAGCCTCAATCTGCAGGATCCACAGCAACGATCCTCGATGCGATCAGCGGGACCCAATGATACAGTGGACAACTCAGCCACGATGCCAATGCCTCAGAGAGGCGGAGGTCAGGAAACAGGAGGAGTGGTAGGATCTTCGGCACCCTCTACTCTGGCGAAACACAAGCCGGAGCAGAAGACCGGAGAGGTGTACGTCTGACACTGAGATCCTCCTTAGATTGGTCTAAATTCGAACGGGATTAGAGCCACGTAATTAGGTTTAAGACCCAATGGCCATGTGCCGCCCGGAAACACTAAAATGATATTATCAGTAGCCAGAAAAGGTTTGATTATTTCAAGGACCTTCGTCCTAGAAGTCAAGTAATCACTTTTCTTATAGCAAACAGCAGATCAGGAAGTCTCAATGGGTTTTATTTAAGTTTAATTTTTGGGTATTTTAATTTGATTTCCCTAAAGTGAAAACTAAATAAAATACAGTGAGACCCCAAAACATGTTACTTCATAAGTTCAGCTCAACAAAATTGTAGTAAATGCAGAGAGTATATCACCAACCGATTGTATCTATATAGAGTATTGTATATAATTAGATTATTTAATAGGAAATTGACTTATTGTTTTGGCACTTGCCATATTAGTTAAGCGTTTGAATCTTTGCATAACTTTATAAAGAATCTCTATCTCGTGTAGGCAGTGTAAATACTTGTAAACCAACACAGTATGTGATATGCGATTGTTATCCAGCTAGATTTTGTATCTTTGCAAGTACAGATAAATAAGTGCCTAAGTTTATATTCTGTAATTATAATCCCCTCTGTATGTGAATGTAGGAAATCTATGTAATTATGGCCCTTGTACAGATGAACAGGCCACATCTTGTAGTTATATTTGGAAATAAAATCAATCACTTAACAAAGAAGTTACTAACCATATACTTTTGGCTGATAAAAGAGATACTGATGAATGATATGACACTCTTTCATTGATCAATCGAGACTCTTCGGGCCTACCCCAAGAGAAAGATCAATTAGAATTTGAGCCCCAACGGTGCGATATATGTAGGCAGAAAATTTAAATGGATGCTCATGGAAGATGGGCAGTCAGTTGCGCTTGGGCGCTCAAGCGGTAACCATCTGTGGACTATATACGCCTTCGTTCTAGGAAAAGTGCGAGTAACTGAAGGATAAATCAGAAAGTGTCATTAAAAAGGTGAATATCCCATGGAGAAGATCTAGTAAAAGGATAGATTTCAATCTGCAATGGAGCAGAGCTACGCATCAATTTACCCCAAGGAATTTGTGCCCAATAATATATATTCTATTACTCGTTAACCCCGCGGGTCAATCAGAACTATGTGGCCAAAGAAACAAACTTGCATGCGGCAGCAAAGTGTTGCTTAATTGAATTAACCTTTTGTCTCGTCTGGTTCGAGTTTGTGTCCGCTTTGAGTGAAGAAATCTTGACCACGGATCGATGGCCCATTGAATAATAGAGACCATTTAATTGTTATTTCGTCAGTGTCGACAATCCATCATCATGGAACGGGATGAGGCGTCTACCTCGACCAGCGAAGGTAAATCCGTGGAGGAGGTGCCCACGGCGGAGGGTCTGGAGCAAACTGATCCCATTAGTTTCCTGAAACTGTTCCGATTCTCTACATATGGAGAGATTGCCTGGCTGTTCTTCGGCTTTCTAATGTGCTGCATAAAGGCGCTGACCCTTCCTGCCGTGGTAATCATCTACAGTGAGTTCACATCCATGCTGGTAGACCGTGCCATGCAGTTTGGAACTAGTTCAAAGGTCCATGCCCTGCCACTTTTCGGAGGTGGTAAGACACTGTAAGTATCATTTATCAATCATACGCAGTGTGATCTTTGCCTGCTAGTAATATTGGGCTGGGTCTACAAGCACGCTATTGATTAAAAAATAATACTTCCAGTACGAATGCCTCTCGGGAAGAGAACAGCGAAGCCTTATACGATGACTCCATATCGTATGGCATCCTCCTGACCATCGCTTCGGTGGTGATGTTCATCTCAGGCATTTTCTCTGTGGATATTTTCAACATGGTGGCTTTACGGCAGGTAACAAGGATGCGGATTAAGCTCTTCACATCCGTGATACGTCAGGACATCGGTTGGCATGATCTGGCCAGTAAGCAAAACTTTACCCAGAGTATGGTTGAGTAAGTAGCGTTAACTTTCTGGAAAAGTAAATATTCTTAGATTATTTATATTTTCCAGTGATGTGGAAAAGATTCGCGATGGTATCTCAGAGAAAGTGGGTCACTTTGTATACCTGATTGTGGGTTTTATTATAACTGTGGCCATTTCATTTGGCTACGGCTGGAAGCTCACCTTAGCTGTGAGTTCTTATATACCTCTTGTGATCCTGGTTAATTACTATGTGGCTAAGGTGAGTAATCATATTCAGTGGATTTCTAGAAAGTTATATAATATTGAATTTCAGTTCCAAGGTAAACTCACTGCCCGTGAACAGGAATCCTATGCTGGAGCTGGTAATTTGGCAGAGGAGATCCTGAGTGCCATTCGCACGGTGGTCTCTTTTGGTGGAGAAAAATCAGAGGTTCAGCGTTATGAGAACTTCTTAGTTCCCGCTCGAAAGGCGAGTCAATGGAAAGGAGCCTTCTCCGGAGTCAGTGATGCTGTTTTGAAGTCGATGTTGTATCTGTCCTGCGCCGGAGCCTTCTGGTATGGCGTCAATCTCATCATCGATGATCGAAATGTGGAAAACAAGGAATATACTCCTGCCATTCTGATGATTGTAAGATTTATTAGTTTACAATTTTATGGTAAACACTGTAAAGATTTCATATTATTCTAAGGCCTTCTTTGGCATCATTGTGGGTGCTGATAACATAGCCAGAACGGCACCTTTTCTGGAATCCTTTGCCACCGCCCGCGGTTGCGCCACCAACCTGTTCAAAGTAATCGATCTTACCTCCAAGATTGATCCGCTCTCCACAGATGGCAAGCTCTTAAACTACGGTCTACGTGGCGATGTGGAGTTCCAGGATGTCTTCTTTAGATATCCCTCTCGTCCTGAGGTTATAGTTCATAGGGGACTAAATATCCGTATTAGAGCGGGTCAAACGGTGGCCTTGGTTGGTTCTTCGGGCTGTGGAAAGTCCACTTGCGTTCAGTTGCTCCAGAGGTTCTATGATCCTGTCTTTGGTTCAGTGCTCCTGGATGATTTGGATATTAGAAAGTACAACATTCAGTGGCTGAGATCGAATATTGCCGTGGTTGGCCAGGAACCAGTGCTGTTCTTGGGCACAATTGGTGGGTTCTTAATGAGAGTTGTGCTTAAAAAGTTCATTTAATCATTTTGTTTGCAGCTCAGAATATTGCTTATGGTAAACCAGGAGCCACACAAAAAGAGATCGAGGCAGCTGCCACTCAGGCAGGAGCTCACGAGTTCATTACAAATCTGCCAGAGGTCAGAAAAAAAACCATTTAAAGATCTATTACCATAAAAACTAATAAACAATCTCGGATTCTTCAGAGCTATCGCAGTATGATTGGTGAGCGTGGCTCTCAACTCTCTGGAGGTCAGAAACAACGCATAGCCATTGCCCGAGCATTGATTCAGAATCCCAAGATCCTTCTCCTCGATGAAGCTACTTCTGCACTGGACTACCAATCCGAGAAGCAAGTTCAACAGGCCTTGGACTTGGCCAGTAAGGGTCGTACAACCATTGTAGTTTCCCATCGGTTGTCAGCTATTCGAGGAGCTGATAAGATTGTCTTCATTCATGACGGCAAAGTCTTGGAAGAGGGTTCCCATGATGATCTGATGGCTCTGGAGGGTGCCTACTACAACATGGTTCGTGCTGGCGACATCAACATGCCTGATGAGGTGGAGAAGGAGGAGAGCATTGAGGAAACCAAAAGTATGTTCTCTAAGGGCTTATATCTATTTTTAGTAACATTTCATATTAATCCTAGGAAAAAGTCTTGCTCTCTTTGAAAAATCCTTTGAGACAAGTCCCTTGAACTTTGAAAAAGGTCAGAAGAACAGTGTCCAGTTTGACGAACCCATTGTAAAGGCTCTTGTTAAGGACATCAACGCCAAGATAGTTGAGGCTCCCGTTGAAAAACCCAACTTCTTTCGTACTTTCTCCAGGATTCTAAGTCTTGCCAGACCGGAATGGTGCTACTTGATTTTTGGAACCATAAGCGCCGTGGCAGTGGGCTGCTTGTATCCGGCTTTCTCGATCATATTTGGTGAATTTTATGCTGCTCTGGCTGAACAGGATCCGAAGGATGCCCTAAGTCGCACGGCTGTTCTATCCTGGGCCTGCTTGGGTCTGGCTTTCTTGACTGGATTAGTCTGTTTCCTGCAGACTTACTTGTTTAACTACGCCGGCGTTTGGCTTACTACCAGGATGCGAGCCATGACATTTAATGCGATGGTGAGCCAGGAGGTTGGATGGTTCGACGATGAAAATAACTCGGTGGGAGCTCTATCCGCTCGCTTGTCGGGCGAGGCAGTTGGTGTCCAGGGAGCCATAGGATATCCCCTGAGTGGAATGATTCAGGCTCTATCCAACTTTGTTTCCAGTGTCAGCGTTGCCATGTACTACAACTGGAAGTTGGCTCTTCTGTGTTTGGCCAATTGTCCCATCATTGTGGGATCTGTCATCCTGGAAGCTAAGTGGGTTGTGTTATTAAAGGTTTTCCTTACATTTACTAACTTCTTTGTTTCAGAATGATGTCTACTGCTATTGTTAGAGAGAAGCAGGTGATTGAGGAAGCTTGTCGCATTGCCACTGAATCCATAACCAACATAAGAACTGTTGCCGGATTGAGAAGGGAAGCAGATGTCATCCGGGAGTACACAGAGGAGATTCAGAGAGTGGAGGTACTCATCCGCCAGAAGCTAAAATGGCGAGGAGTCCTTAACTCCACCATGCAGGCATCAGCCTTCTTTGCTTATGCCGTGGCTCTCTGTTATGGAGGTGTCTTGGTGTCCGAGGGTCAGCTGCCTTTCCAGGATATTATCAAGTAAGGATGGAAATCAAGTCTAAGATAGGCCACTTAATCTTTTCACTCATTATTTTTAGAGTATCAGAAACCTTGCTGTATGGATCCATGATGCTGGCCCAATCCCTGGCCTTCACTCCCGCCTTCTCAGGTGCCCTGGTTGCAGGCCATCGCCTCTTCCAGATCCTAGATCGCAAACCAAAGATCCAGTCACCCATGGGCACTATTAAGAATACTCTCGCCAAGCAGTTGAATCTTTTCGAGGGTGTACGATATCGGGGTATTGAATTCCGATATCCTACACGACCTGATGCAAAGATTCTCAATGGTCTAGACCTGGAGGTTCTCAAGGGTCAAACGGTGGCTTTGGTGGGTCATTCTGGGTGTGGAAAGTCCACTTGTGTGCAGCTGCTGCAGCGTTACTATGACCCCGATGAGGGAAGTATAGTGAGTACTTTTCTTGATAAAATACTACCAGTGATTAACCTCTTTACCCAGCACATAGATCACGATGACATCCAACATGATCTGACCCTGGACGGTGTGAGGACCAAACTGGGCATAGTCTCCCAAGAACCAACTCTTTTCGAACGCTCCATAGCGGAGAACATAGCCTATGGCGACAATCGTCGATCGGTTTCCATGGTGGAGATTATTGCAGCAGCCAAAAGTGCCAATGCCCACAGTTTTATCATTTCCCTGCCCAATGGCTATGATACCAAGATGGGAGCCAGAGGAACCCAACTGTCGGGTGGACAGAAGCAACGTATTGCCATTGCCAGAGCGCTGGTGAGGAATCCCAAGATCCTACTGCTCGATGAAGCCACCTCAGCCTTGGACTTGCAAAGCGAGCAGTTGGTCCAACAGGCCTTGGATTCAGCCTGCTCAGGACGAACCTGCATTGTCATAGCCCATCGACTGTCAACCGTCCAGAATGCAGATGTGATCTGTGTCATCCAGAATGGTCAGGTGGTGGAGCAGGGTAACCACATGCAACTGATTTCCCAGGGCGGCATATACGCCAAGCTGCACAAGACCCAAAAGGATCATTGAAAATTATCTAAACATTTTTGTAATTCCCACAGAAAACCAAAGTACACTTGTCACCAAAAACTAAATAAACTTTCACACAACTTTTTATCCATAAAAATGTTTATTGTTATTATAAAGAGATATCAAGGGAAGTATAATCTTGAAAGACTATTCAGTTAAGCAACTTTGTTTGATATATTAATAGTTATTAGAGGTATAAGTTGTAAGATTCGCCATCAAACTTATCTGACTGATAAGGGAGCAATCTTTGTGGCTTGTACATAACGCCATCCACCCACACGACCGCTGCCAATATTCATGGTCAATGACATGCAATCTTGATTTTGCGTATCAGTGAAATGATAACAGTTCTCAAATAAACAGGGAAGATCATAAGTTTAACCGTCTGGAATGCAAATTACGTCAAATTTGCGTATTTTGCTGACCTATTTCCGCGACAGATGGGTGCACACCTAGCCAAAAAAAGAAAGATGGCCAATGATTTCTTACCAGTCATTGTGAACCTTGAGTAAAATCAATTCAATTGATATTAATAAAAGACCATAAAGGGGTTCTCAACGTTAGAACCCCAACATTGCTGCCTGTCTATTTGAACTTTAATAGAAACCGAATTTGTAGAAAAACTGACGCCATAGCCAACAGACCCGCCAGTCGCTTTCTGCAGTCCCAACGGAACAGACGCGGAACATTTTGCTCCGGATAGCAAACAGCATCGAGAGGATAGGCAACGAGCTTGTGGAAAACGCGGAATGCAAAACAATTAAAGCTTAAATACGATCACAGGCAGATCAGCCTCATCGGCAGTGCAACTGGCATAGCACGACAATCTCCATCGGAGAGGGAGTTAATTACCCAGAACCAAGAACCCATTTCGAGACAATTTTCATCCATTGTTCGGAGGGCCAGTTCAGTGCCAACAAAACTGCGGGCGTTTCGATTTTTGGTTTCGCTCTCTCCGCGCGCTTTCTTAACTATTAATTGACCCCGCCGGTCAATGAGTTTCGTGTATAGGCGATAGTTCGCAGTGATGACGATGTCGGAGAGCCGCGATGATGTTCCTGCTGACACGGACACGGATGCCACTCCAGAGGCCCAGAAGAAGGGGAAGACCAAGGAGAAAGCCCAGCCCATGATCAGCTATACAGAGCTATTCCGGTATATCAGTGGCTGGGACTATCTCCTGCTCCTGTCGGCCTTTGTGGCGGCATTACTTCAATCCCTGGTCTATCCCATTGCCATTGTGGTCTACAGCGAACTGGTGGCCATGTTTATTGATAGAACTCTTGGCCAGGGAACCAGTTCGGTCACCATCGGTTTGTCGCTCTTCGGAGGCGGAAAGATACTGTAAGTTTAAGGTGATATATTTTTCTAAACTAAAAATTTAAGGTTAATTTATTGTTATAGCAAGTCAATTTTTCTGAACTTGTATTTAAAATGCCATTAAATGAATAAAATGTAGAGATATATGTTAGGTTAATGACTGTGTTGCTACAAGAATTTATTTCTGTAGAAAACCTATATTAAGACCATAAAAAAACAAATTGTAGAGGCTATATAGGAGAGAGGATGAATCAATTCTTTGCCAGCTTTCAAAGCAAACGGTCGTGTTTTCGGTTCCGCGAATTTCTTTGTTGTTTCGAAAAAAGCGATGACCGAAAAATCGAAAACAATGCAAAGTTTTCAAGGACATTGCTGTAAGCAAAATAAGCAAAAAGTAATGCTGATCAAGAAATTTCTTTAAGATTTTACAACTGAATTTCGAGCACTTATTCATACTTTAACTTATTTTTTTAGCACAAATGCCTCTTACGAGGAGAACATGCAGGAGCTGCGCAAGGACAGCGTGTCCTTTGGCATACTCATGACCCTTAACACTCTTCTTATGCTTTTCTCTGGAGTTTACTATGTGGATGCCTTCAACAGATTGGCTCTTAAACTCACAGTCCGCATGCGTAGGGAGTTCTTCAAGGCCACATTGAGGCAGGAGATTGGCTGGCATGACATGGCCAAGGACCAAAACTTTGCCGTTCGCATTACTGAGTAAGTGCTTTCCAAACGGTACGAAGATAAATGCTAAGCAGGATTTTCCTTTTAGCAACATGGAAAAGATTCGCAGTGGCATAGCCGAGAATCTGGGTCATTATGTAGAGATCATGTGCGAGGTCATAATCAGTGTGGTTCTCTCCTTTATCTACGGATGGAAATTAGCCCTGGCAATAGTGTTTTATATACCTTTAACCCTAGTAGTTAATGCAGCAGTGGCCCATGTAAGTATAAATTTCCGTAGAAAACGTTTTATAGAAACGAAAGTGTGTTCCAACAAGCTTTTAGTGAACTTGAAATTTTGTTTGTCTTATCTGAAAATAGTTTTCCGAAAATAGAACAAGTACTTGCCTGAGAGAAAACGAATTTTACGCTTGAATTTGTTCTCTCGCAACTAATAAATTTTAACATAAAACATTTTCTGTACCATTATCCAGTACCAAGGAAAACTTACTGGCCAGGAGCAGAGTTCCTATGTGAAAGCAAGCTCCGTGGTCGAAGAAGTAATCGGAGCTATCCGGACTGTGGTGGCCTTTGGAGGAGAGCGAACGGAGTCCGTGCGTTATGATACCCTCCTAAAACCGGCTCTTAGGGCAGGAAAATGGAAGGGAGCCTTCTCCGGACTAAGTGACACGGTGATGAAGGCCATGTTGTTCATCACGGGAGCAGGATCCTTTTGGTATGGAGCTAATTTAATCCTCTTCTATCGGGATCCCAGTATTCCCATCAACGAGAGGGAATACACACCAGCGGTTGTGATGATTGTGATATCGGGAATAATTGTGAGTGCCAATCAAATATCCCGAACATCTCCATTCCTCGAGACTTTCGCCATGGCTCGAGGATCGGCATCGGCCATATTGGAGGTCATTGATCGTACTTCCCTTATTGATCCGCTCTCGAAAGCCGGCAAAATCCTTAACTATGGCCTCAAGGGCACTGTTGAATTCCGAGATGTTTTCTTTCGTTATCCCGCCAGAGAGGATGTGATTGTCTTGCGGGGACTTAACGTGATCGTGGAGGAAGGTCAAACGGTGGCCTTGGTGGGTCCCTCCGGCTGTGGCAAGTCCACTTGCATACAGCTTTTGCAGCGCTTTTATGATCCAGTATTTGGACAAGTTCTGCTGGATGGTGAGGATGTCCGGAAATATAACCTCAAGTGGCTGCGATCAAATATTGCCGTGGTGGGACAGGAACCGGTGCTCTTTCAAGGAACCATCGGAGAGAATATCCGTCATGGAAAACCGGAAGCCACACAAAAGGAAGTTGAAGATTCCGCCAAAGCAGCTAATGCTCATGACTTTATCATAGCTCTTCATAAGGTAAGGCATCTCTTAACTTCATGACCTGTGATATAACATTTAATAATCTCCAAACTTAGGGTTACGATACGGATATCAGCGAGAAGGGCGTACAACTTTCCGGAGGTCAGCGTCAGCGTATTGCCATCGCCAGGGCTCTGATCCAGCAACCCAAAATTCTGCTTTTGGATGAGGCCACCTCCGCCTTAGACTACCATGCCGAAAAGCTAGTCCAAGCTGCTCTGGACAAGGCCTGCAAGGGCAGAACCACCTTGGTGGTGTCCCATCGCCTTTCCGCCATCAGACACGCCCATCGGATCGTTTATATTGAAAATGGCAAGGCCGTTGAGCAGGGCACCCACGAGGAGCTGATGAAGCTGGAGGGATTCTACCACAAAATGGTTACCGTTCATTCCTATGATGATTCCGCTGAGGAGCTATTAAATGAGCTGGAAGAAGAGGCCGAGATCAAGGAGAGAAAAATGTCATATGACCCTGAACAGTTCCAACTGGGCACCCGTAATTCCATAGTTTCTTTGGAGAAGAACGCCGAGTTCCAGATGAAGAACCTGAATGGTCTAGCTAATCCAACTTTGAATCTGGAATCTGAGGAACCTGGTCCATCTGGGAATTATATTCGCACCTTCTTCCGCATTTTGGGCTGGGCCCGCCCCGAATGGAGTTTCCTTATCATCGGAGCCATTTGTGCTGGCCTTTATGGAGTGACCATGCCAGTGTTTTCCATTATCCTAGCGGAGCTATATGGTTCGTTGGCCAAGCCAACAGATGAGGAGGTTCTCGACCAAAGCGCCTCCATGGCCATCATCTCCCTGGTGATTGGGGTTGCAGCTGGCGTGGTGTGTTTCATTCAGACCTTTTTCTTTAATCTTGCTGGAGTTTGGCTGACCATGAGAATGCGGTTAGTCCTTCATGGGTTATCCTTCCATATGGTTTTAATTAAAGATTCTTTCTTTTTGCAGCTCCAAAACCTTTAGTTGCATCATGCACCAAGAGATGGGTTGGTTCGATCGCAAGGAGAACAGCATTGGAGCCCTTTCGGCCCGACTATCTGGAGATGCTGCCAGTGTTCAGGGAGCTATCGGATTTCCATTGAGCAACATCATCCAGGCCTTTACCAACTTCATCTGCAGTGTCTCCATCGCCTTTCCCTATTCCTGGGAATTGGCCTTAATTTGTTTGAGCACGTCTCCCTTCATGATTGCTTCTATTGTCTTCGAGGCGCGATTTGGGGAGAAATCCGCTTTGAAGGAAAAGGCGGTTCTTGAGGAGACGAGTCGGATAGCCACGGAAACCATTACCCAAATTCGGACAGTTGCTGGTCTTCGAAGGGAGGAAGAGCTGATAAAGATTTACGACAAGGAGGTGGAACGGTATAGAGTGCAAATTCTCAGTCGGCTGAAATGGCGAGGACTGGTAAATTCCATGGGCAAGTCCCTCATGTTCTTTGGCTATGCAGTGACCTTGACCTATGGTGGACACATGTGCGCCGATGGCAATATCAAATTCGAGACTATTATGAAGTGGGTAAAAGTAAAGGTAAAGCCTTTCTATTATATTAACTTTCTTAAATTTTTCAGAATTTCCAACACGATGCTTTATGGCCTATTTATTCTGGCCCAATCCCTTGCATTTACTCCTGCCTTCAATGCCGCCCTTCTCTCAGCAAATCGCATGTACGAGATCATTGATCGCAAGCCACAGATCCAATCCCCCGAATCCTTCGAGATCCAGCAGAATGGCAATGGCACTGCCTACAAGACAAATGTCGTCCAACAGGGAGTTAGCTACAGGGGGCTAAACTTTTCCTATCCTTCAAGACCTCATATTAAAGTCCTGCAGAACTTTAACTTGGATATAGTACAGGGACAGACGGTTGCCTTGGTGGGTGCCTCGGGATCCGGAAAATCCACCTGCGTTCAGTTATTGATGCGGTACTACGATCCCGATGAGGGGAAGATTGTAAGTACATCTTAATCTCAATTTTTATTATATTAAATATTCTCCCCTTTCAGCTCATAGATCAGGAGAGCATCCACCACGACATGGACTTAAAAACTCTTCGTCGTCGCCTGGGAATTGTGTCCCAGGAACCTTCACTCTTTGAGAAATCCATTGCCGATAATATTGGTTATGGCGACACCACGCGGCAAGTGCCTATGCAACAAATTATCGAGGCAGCCAAAATGGCCAACGCCCATGAGTTCATTATGTCCCTGCCTGCCCAATATGATACAGTTTTGGGCTCAAAAGGAACTCAACTTTCCGGCGGACAAAAGCAACGAATTGCCATTGCCAGGGCGATGGTTAGGAATCCTAAGATCCTGTTGCTTGATGAAGCCACCTCTGCTCTAGATTTTCAAAGTGAAAGGGTGAGTTCTGAATGTACATTTCCATTGTTATAACTCTATAATTATTTTAACTTTTTAGGTGGTTCAGCAAGCCCTAGATTCTGCGTGCTCAGGTCGAACCTGCATTGTAATAGCCCATCGCCTGTCCACCGTCCAAAATGCCAATGTGATTTGTGTAATTCAAGCCGGGAAGATAATGGAGCAGGGAACTCATGCTCAACTTCTGGCCAAGAATGGTATTTATTCCAAGTTGTATCGCAGTCAGACGAAAGCGTCTTAGAAAACACGAAGACAATACCTTACCTGGGTGCTGCAGAATACTTTAGAAATTCCAACTGGAAAGTCCAAAAAGAAATCTTTGAACCACGCCATCGAAGCACGAAAGTATGCAGTACATCTTTTATAGCTGTTAGTTAAGACGCAAACCAATTTGTGTCTGGCCATAAGCAATAAATCTTTAGGAATAGTTCATAAAAATAAACATAATGATAAACAATTATTGTTAAGTTTTTTATGGCAATACTTTTATGATTGGGCTGATTGTTATATCTGAAAAGTGATCTATCAACACTAGAAGATACACCACTTTTAATTTGCCGTGCTTGAAGTTTTAATTGCTATACCTTATCTCTTATTAAGAGGTAGCTCGTCACAAAGGTTTGCGCTCTATTGCTTAACTTGTTGATAAGATAAACGGAAAGCTTTATCTAATTCACTTTGTGGATGACAATATTGGTTGGTTTCCGCATTGCGATTTTTCATTTTACTGCATAAGGTTTAATAATATAAGATGAACGGAGTAACAATTTTCTTAATATGGCTAGGTAAGTTATTTCTAAGAGGAAAGTATTATATTTTATAGGGAAAAATCTTTTAACAGCTCTCGCGTATGGTGCAACTATTCCTGCAAGTCTGTGTCCCCTGGAAACTCAATGCGAAAAGGTAGATGAGTTAAGTGCTATTTGTGGAATGGATGAGGAGGTGGGCTGTATTCGAAAGTTTGCCTCCAAATGTCACTTGGATATTGCAACTTGTAATGAAAGAAAAAGTGAGCCTATCTATCAAGATTAGATTGCGAATTTAAATTAATTTGTTTAATTTCAGATTTTACTGACTTTAGTGAGGTTTATTGCTCAATGGAGTTCTATTTCTGCAATAAGTCTCCCACCTACGAGCGATGGACCATTTTCTTTGGCCATGAGGATGAATAAATTCATTTTCATTTATTATTAAAGGGAGAAAAATGCTTAACCAATACGCTTATAGGTGTAATATGACTAGTACTTAGGGTATTTTAACAAATCTTATTTTCATGCTTGTGCTATGTGTATAATTACCTTATATCTGCTAAAGAAATTAGTTATAGATAATCCAAAATGATGTGGTTTAACTTCATAATACATGGAAGAAAATCTATTTAAATATGTTTAAACTGCATTCATATTTAGTTACTCATGAAGCTATCGTACATTGTAATCTTCACCTTATGTAAGTTGCTTAAAATTAAAAGTAAAATAAATGAAAAAATGAGTTAAATTCATTAGTTTACGGTCTAGAAGCCAAATATACACCAAAACCACAGTGCGCTTCAGAAAAAACTTGCGGAGAAGTGAGCAAATCAAAAGCTGTTTGTGTTTTGGATGAAAACAAAAGTTGTATAAGAAAATTTAAGTCAAGCTGTCATCTGTCGATTGCCCTATGTCATGATCGTAATTTACGTAAGTAACCTATCTTTAACTTTACCTAGATTTCTTCGAAAACTGAGTCATTCATTGATTATTAATTACTATTACTATTACATTTTACTAAAAAATTAAACTGCAGGAACAGCCACTATAATTTAGTTATTTTTACTTTGAGAGCTAAAACACTCTAAAAATTTGAACTGCAATCTGTTGGCAAGCCCTCCTTGCCTAATAATAAACCTTTCACTGAATATTCACTTAGGGGAACCCTTCAACTTACAGAATTCACCGACTACAGCAGCCAGTATTGCGGCATGAAAGGTTGGTTGTGCGACGAACCGCCCTACGAACGCTGGACGCTCTTCTTTGGCCAAGAGGATGAGTGACGACTTTGGTAATCGCCAACGACAAATGTGTAAATTAATTAGGTAGCATTTCAATAAATAATCAATCAACGCGCAACGGGCCATTCACGTGCCAGACAACGACAACGACGACGTCAAAGACCGGTAGGAGGCAACCGATTGCCACCAGCGTTTTTTCCCACTCAGTGAGACAGAACGACGCCTCGAGCCTTTTATAAAACTTTTTTCTTCAGTTTTTTTTCGCGTTTTTTTTTTGCGTTATTTTTGGGTCTTTGACGGGTGCTTTGCATAATCTCCGGCCGCGGCGCCACAGCCCATTGGCCTCCTCCTTCAACGCCAATCAGCGGAGAGCTTTAGACCGGCTCCATGTGCATATATAAAAAGTGGACCCATCCGAAGTTCGGTTGTCAGTTAATGCCCATCGAACGGATCAATTCCACAGCCATGAGAAGCGTGTCGCTAAAATTCTATCTGATATGTCTCCTAGTTATCTGCGGTTCGTGTGGAATAATACCAAATTTTTGGAATATATATTAAATGCACTTATTGCCATCATCTTGCAGTGATCAGTTGGAGTGAAGGAATGCCAAGCTCGGGACTTTCAAGGCAGGAACTCGAGGAACGGTATCAAAAAATGCCGCCAGTGAGCGATGAACGAGATGCCGATGCCGAAACGGATAGTGCCTACGATCGGTATACCCCGAGACCTCCAAGAGCAGGCAAGAAAGGATAGACATCCAGCCAACAACTGCAATCGATTTGTGTTCTATTTGCAGTTATATTTTATATGTAGCGTTCAGGGTTATGGCTATGTAGTTCTAAGCTTAGGCAAAATGTACAAGCGTAAAATAAAGCAATTATTTTGGTGAAACGTGCGCACTGTTACTTTCCATTCCATCACGTAGAATGTTGGGTGACATCCGCCGACGGGTCGGCGTCTATAAATCTGAACTCTCCGGCATTCGATACAGTCAGTTATATATCTGTTTTTAGTGCGAAAAGTGCAGCCAAAATGACCTCAGAAAGCAAGATGATTCTACTCTTCCTTATCGGTTGTCTGATCATGCACTCAAGTAAGTAACTGAATCATCTGAAATCATAAGAATTATCACTTAACTCTACTGTCTTTCAAGTCAACGCCCTGCCCTTCGATAGGTTCAGCCGGGAGGATGATGAACGGAACAACGAGGTCAGCGGTGAATGGTTCAAAAAGCCCATCCTCAGGTTGGATCGTCTTTTTAGCAGCGGAGAAAAGCCGTCGGAAAGTCGCAAAGAAGTGATCAGACCCAGCAGAAGCAATAAGGAGGAAACCACGCAGAGCTCTAAGCATGCCCACTCTATGATCACCTCGATGCTTGGTTTTGTCAGCAGTGTCATTAACTTTGGCAGATCCTTCATAAGGGATGAATAGAGAACTTCCTAGTCTTATAAAAATATTTAATAAGTTTATCAGACAAGTCTCGTGATTCCATTTGCCAATTATTATAGTCTTGAATAATAATGAAGATCCTGTAGAACATATTCTTAAGGATTAAAACTAAAGCCTGGTTAACTTTTAGTTATTTATGTTATTCATTTCTTAGATAAATCAACTTTACTTACCTATTTTGTGAATTCTTGTTTATTTTTAAATGTTTTTAGGTCAATGATATATTAAATTGTACCATTTAAAACCATGAACATGTTTTACATATACAATAAATATAACTGTATTAAAAGTACTCCCAAAAACAAAAACTTATAACACTTTTCACAGACGTCACTTTATCTTTTTTCAATCACACATATTTTATAGCCTGTTTTTGGTTCACATTTTAAAAATATGATAATTTAAGTATTTACCACACATTTTACAAAACTTTCTCCTAAAGAGACATAATAAGGACACCATATTTTGCTTAAACCTTTTTGTAGTAAATAAAATAAAGGTCCCAGACAAGATTAACGTCCTACTATGTTATAAATTCATACTTTCTGTCTACCTTTATCACCACTTTAACTCTTTATGCCAGACACCTCTCTTAACGAATGAAAAAGGTGTGAATATAAATATAAAGCTAAGAGAGATATTTATAGGAAAATGTTAACACCAATTAATACGTCATAAAATCACGCATCTGGTAATAAAACCGCTCCCAGCACAAGCTTCCACTAGTGACGTGTGCGAACCAACTGGACCTTGGACTTGACCCACCTTTGTAACGCCAGATACAATAATAATACAACGGATAAACAAGCTGTGAACATTGTGCGGGCAGAACAGAGATTAATCATATTAATGAATGAACAGAGGGAGGTGTTGAACGTAAAAGCAATGACGTCTCTATCTCGACCAAGCCCTCTTAATTATGTCGGGGATTTTTTAGCTACTTAATTCGAGAAATTCGTATCTCTTTTATTCCACTTCGTAAGACGCTTATGTGTGACGACACGAGAGTTCGCCAGACGACAAATGCTAATTATGTGCCTTTTTTTACGCCTTGTTTTTATTTTTGTATAAGTAAATTTATTTTCTTTTTCAGTGCAAACTTGTTTGGCCATTGTTTAGGCCGGCTTTAATTGCAAATATTAGATTGTTTGGACAATCAGTCATAACGAGACCTTGCCGGGGATACTTTCGACGCGCTGGCCGGGATTTCTTTTTGTGGGGAAAATCCGAAGCTCAGCACTATTTAACTCTTGCGTGTAATTCATTAGAACACTAGACTTGGTTCCAAATGAGTGATTTGCCCCCGAAATCAACTTGAAATTGAATGCTGATTCTCCGAGGATTTCTTTTGGATACACAGAAAAAAATATTGTAAAATAAAAATGTAAATAGAAAACTTTAACCTTAAAATATTCAAGTTACTACTTAAATGAAATTCAAAACCTAATATCATAAGCATAAAAAGTCGCAATCATTTTCTTCATGTGTAGATTTTTGAAAGCCCTTCAAGGTTAGAGTTGCCATTCTACAGCAGCAGCCGTTAGAAACACAGTGTTTGAGTGGATGGAATACGTTTTATTGGATCACATAACAAAAGACTTGAGCAACAAACTTGCTCGACAGGGACAGAAAACTATATATATATACATTTGGAAAGGGGAAAATATTGGCTTCCATGGGAACTCTAGCTGACCTCCAGCAAATGGTACTTGAACATTTTGTTCAGCGAACTCATGTTCTGGGACAACTCGTTGCAGACGCGCACCACGCAGCCTTCAAAAGGAAGATAGTGATAAAATAACGGGCTTAACTTCTGGCCAGAACACTCTCACTAACCCACTAGATACTTGATCACTCTCAGCAGCACCATAGCGATAATGTCGAGAACTCAAAGAACCAAGTCCATGCACACGCGACGAGACTTAGAATCAAATTGAACGCCAAAACGCGCATGCAATCGCGAATAAGTGAAAAGATTTTGTGAGCGGTGACGTCGGCGTCGACAGCCGCAGCGGCAGCGGCAGAGACGCCACAGTGGGGCAAATTAGTTAGCCAAAAGGTCAGGCCAGTTAGAGGCGTTAAGGCTTTTATGGGCCAATTAACACATCTAGACAAATGGAAATAATTGCCAAACAAACGCTAAGCCGACTTCAGATCTTTAAACAGCTGCCTCACTAAGCAATACAGTTGGCTTTCCTTTTGTTTTTACCATTTAACAATGATTTTTAATCCACTGTGCTTTAAGAACTTTTTGCTTATACTGCATTTACTGTTTACTCTTTTTAAGAAATGTTTATTTGCATTATATTTTTAGCGAGTGGGTGTCAATTAGACATGCTACTTTTTGTTAATTATCTTTCATGAATTTTTTGTACTGTGCAATCATTTTTTATTTACACTGTAATGGCAAATTTTTTGTTTGAAATGGGATTTTACAACAGATTTTCTTTTATAAGAAATTCCAGGTTAAAACTTGTTATACAAGGATATTTATTATTTATTTTTTAACAACAAACTTTCATAGAAACTTATTCTTATCAATAATTTTCAAAAGATTTTTTAAGCAAGCCATCTTTAACCCACTGTGCAGCTGCTGTGTGGGCAAGCTAAATCGAGAACTTCTTGTTGATGTTGCAATCATCTGAACTTTTTGCTCATTTTTTACAAGCGCTTACATATTTCCATTAATTTTTTCGGCAATGTTCATTTGCGTGCATTGCACAAGGCAAAAGGTGCAGAACTCAGCGATGCGAATTACGTCATCAGAACTCGTTTACATGCAGCCATGAGAAGCTGCTGCGCAGGCGCAGGCACAAGCCCAGCAATTGAGGCCAAAAATAAAAAGAACCGGGCGCTCTGACACTCGCAGCAGTCTTTATCAATGCAATTACTTATGTCATTGCAAACGGTGTTTGTGAAAACCAGTTTCCGTACAACAAATACAGTTAGTCCAAAAATCAAGAAAATCAAAATAAACCCATCGAATACAGTTAATACTGCCAACGTCGGCGGCGCAGTCAACGCTTTGGTCATGAATTTTGCACAATATTTAGCTGTGATCGTGATTTTCAATAGCTGTTGCTGCTGCTGGCAGCTTGTTTCTGCATTTGGCTCTTTTAATCGCTATAGCAATAAACTTCAAGTTTTTCGGTGATCGTGGGCTAAACTCAGCTGCGAGTTGCAATTTATGGCGTTTGTGGGCTATGACCGATACTTAAGTTTTATTTCATTTTGGTCAGGCCTGAACGAGTTCGGTTTGGAAGCGATCTGAGCCACCTTCGATTCAGTGGAGTGCTTCTAGGTAATAACAAATATTTCAATAAATTGTAACACCTCTGGTTAAACGAAAAGAGCCGTTAGCTTAGGAGTAATAGGAACTCATTTGAATAAGTTGAGTTTTAAATGCTGCATTAAAAGCAACTCAAGTTAATGAACACATTTATTACTAATTATATTAAAAAAGGCATCAAAGAAAAAGAGTATATGTATAACTAACCCACCCACAAAAGGTTTAATAATAATTTACTTAAAAAGCACTTAAAAATTTAATTATTTGTTTGTAAAAGTTAATGATGTGATAAAATCCAAGTCAATATTTTTCATGTATGTATGTATAGACTCAAAACTCAAAACGTAATAACTATAAATAGTAATTAACGCCTGTATTTCTATTTTTAATTACACCCAGAGACTGTATATCGTAAATAAAACATATTTAAGCTCCTTTTGCTAAATATGACCATTCACCCATATCGGCCAGAAAGTATGCAATGATTTCAGCGAGTAGTGATCCTGGAAGCTAATCAGCCAATCCCTAACTGTTTTGATTTAATAATCTAAACGATTTACATTTAGGTATACGTTAGGTACACTTTTGCTAACACCTAACACTACCCTCCATTGAACAGAAGCACTGATCCATTCCACAACGTTCCGACGATGACTTCGAACCGGTTTTCCGTTTTGTTTTGTTCCGCTTCCACGTTTTCGAGCCGGCCGGCGAATGGGACAAACAACAAAGATCTGGAGAAGAGTTTGTAAACATGAAGTCGAGAGCAAAACAAAAATCAAAAAGATTATCGTTCTCTGAGCTAATACATATATATAAAATGACGAAGACGAGAGCAGCCGAAGACAGCCGAGAAGAGCCGAGCGATCGACTACGAAAATCCCAATTTTTGGGGTCTCGAGGAAAACTTCTCGCTGCAGTTCCATCAGTTGCTCGCGAAGAGCCATCCAGTGCGGTTGGATGAGCTCCCTCAAAGGAATACGAAAAGAATAACAGTGAAGAAAGTGACCAGCAGATAAGAAAGTGAAATACATAAGAGTGAACCGGGAAAAGAAAGAGATAGAACCGGAAGTGGTCCAAAGGAAGGACAACCGTTATCGCAGTGCGGGTGCTTGAACTCTCAGCACAATGGGGCTCAGGGTGGCCTCCATTGGAGTTCTGCTGGTGATCCTGGCGATTTCCTATTGCCAGGCAGAGCTAACGCCGCCATATTTCAATTTGGCAACGGGTAGAAAGATCTATGCCACCGCTACATGTGGCCAGGATACGGACGGACCAGAGCTCTATTGTAAATTAGTGGGAGCCAATACGGAACACGATCACATCGATTACTCAGTTATCCAGGGACAGGTAATTTCTATCGACATTCAGCAACGCCCAAAAATCTTTCCAGTATACACACAATGTCAGATGATCTTTGATTCTACACTGAGAAATACAACACAGTATTTCATAATAAATGAATATGAGAGTTCCGCCTCTAACAAATTAACAAATCTTACATTTCTAAAAAACATTTAAAACCATTGATTTAGCTGAGATTTTCCAATTTCAATATTTTTGAACAAGTAACTACATATTTTCTAAGTGTACATTGCATTTTGACTTCCCCCACATGTGTTGAACATTCGAATTGGACTCTATAAATACTCTTGACTCGATTTGGATCTTTTCATTTACTTTTTCTAACATGTGTTCTTGTCTGGCTTTTTTGTAGGTCTGCGATTATTGCGATCCCTCGGTGCCGGAGAGGAATCATCCGCCAGAGAATGCGATCGATGGTACCGAAGCCTGGTGGCAGAGTCCTCCGTTGTCCAGGGGCATGAAATTCAATGAAGTCAATTTGACCATCAATTTCGAACAGGTAAGCACCAGAGAACATAAAAGATACCAAAGGTATCCGCCTGAGAAACGCATAGGAGGGAGACAGTGGATGGATGCAACTCGTTTTCGGGTCCGAGCGATGGGATCGTAAAATTTGAAAACAATTTTAATGGGTTTTCATTTCGACGACGTCGACACAGCAAAAACTAAACGAAAAAGAAAAAATGTTGATGAGCTCGGGTATTTGTTGTTGGCTTCTTCCCCTTTAGAGTTGTGGGTTATCAGTATGTCAGCTCCTACATATATATATATATATATAATATATATATAGAGATACATATGATACTTATATATACACACACTCTTGAATGGGAAGTCTCGGCTTACAAGCTGCTTAGAAACCGACGCGGAGCATTGACTCTTTCGAGCTGCTCATTCTGATTTTTAGTATGTTTTTTTAAGCGATAACAGCGTAATATTTCTTAAGGCACCAGCATGCGACATAAACGAATTGGGAGCAGCCTGATAATCAGCTCAAGTCGCAAGAAACTAAAGCCTTATCAACTGAAATTGTTCTATAAAAAGTTGGGGGTCGGCTCGCCTACGTTGTTATCTTACTTGCAACGGAAACGAAAAAATCCACGAGGTTTCAAAGTTAATTTCGAGAATAATAGCACTAGGATTTCAACAGCTCAGCATGATCTCATTCGCATTCTGTGGGGGTTTTAATTGCACTTTTCTTAATTCACAGAATGCAAGAGAATATGAGATTCTCGCTTATATTTAGACTTCTTAACATTGTACAAACTTGCAACTCACAAACATCTCGTGAATTTGAAGAATTATGTACCGAGATCTGTATTCAGGCATTTCTGTTTATGCAAAATATCATGAACTTCCATTCCAAATGGCTAAAACTAAAGAAAACACCGAAATGTAAACAAATCAGAGTACATAACATGTGGGACCATGTGTGTACATATGTATGTACAAAGATATGACCGCATATGTGTGGATCTCCATATCTCTGAGTTCGCTTTCAATTGAAGCCAAATTAAAAAGCAAACATAAACCAAGAAAATATAAATAAACGGACAAACACTGGCCGAGTCTACTGCAGAACATTTGGAGTTAATTCCCACATAGTGATCTCATGTTTTCTGTCCCGCCTAGTCTGTGTGATTGTGTTCGTAATGTGTACACTCGACTAATAAATTTCAATGAATTTGCTTGTGCGAAATGAATTTCGTGCCTAGAGTAAGTCTCCAATTATGAAGAGAAAAGAGCAAGACGTTACGATACTAGAAATAGCAAAGGAACACAGAAAAATGCATTAAGACTTGCATCTTTAAATCTGTTACATATGGTTGAACCTTATCTTATAGGTTTACTTTTGTAATGTAATCCTAGGTATAACAGACAAATATTGCACCTTGGCATGAAAAATGTAAGCATGGGAAGTGTACATGAGAGTATTCAGGTGTACATACATATATAAGAGTAAAAAAAAAATCTATTTAAAATCTATCTATAAAATCTATTAAATTTCATACCAAATAAATGAAGAATAATTTCAGTAATAGTTTGGCCGTGTTCTACATTCTTAAAAAAGAAAATTTGTGAATGAGAAAATTCTCACTTTAACTTCTCACTTCACTTATTCAGGAATTCCATGTGGCCTATTTGTTCATTCGCATGGGCAACTCCCCACGTCCGGGACTCTGGACGCTGGAGAAGTCCACGGATTATGGCAAGACCTGGACACCTTGGCAGCACTTCTCCGATACTCCCGCCGATTGTGAGACCTACTTCGGCAAGGACACCTACAAGCCAATTACACGCGACGACGATGTCATCTGTACCACTGAATACTCAAAGATTGTGCCGCTGGAGAATGGAGAGATTCCCGTGATGCTGTTGAACGAGCGTCCCAGCTCCACTAACTACTTCAACTCAACGGTACTGCAGGAATGGACCCGTGCCACCAACGTTAGGATCCGTCTTCTCCGAACGAAGAATCTTTTGGGACATCTGATGTCCGTGGCCCGACAGGATCCCACCGTGACGCGTCGTTACTTCTACTCGATCAAGGACATCTCGATCGGAGGACGTTGCATGTGCAACGGTCATGCCGACACCTGTGATGTCAAGGACCCGAAGAGTCCAGTCCGCATACTGGCCTGTCGATGCCAACACCACACATGCGGTATCCAGTGTAACGAGTGCTGCCCAGGATTCGAGCAGAAAAAGTGGCGCCAGAACACCAATGCCCGACCATTTAATTGCGAACGTGAGTATTGAGAACTTATATTTTTCAACGGACAAATCCAAGACTGATCTAATGAAAGACTTAAAAAACTAATTTAAAATTTTCTATTACGCTTTGTGTTTTTACACAGCCTGTAACTGTCATGGTCACAGCAATGAGTGCAAGTATGATGAAGAAGTGAACCGCAAAGGACTCTCCCTAGACATTTACGGACACTACGATGGAGGTGGTGTTTGCCAGAACTGTCAGCACAACACCGTGGGAATCAACTGCAACAAGTGCAAGCCCAAGTACTATCGACCCAAGGGCAAGCACTGGAATGAGACCGATGTCTGCAGTCGTAAGTATCAGTTTAAATAATTCCAATATCAATAATCTTTATATTGATTTATCCCGCATTTAGCCTGCCAATGTGACTACTTCTTCTCCACCGGACACTGTGAGGAGGAGACCGGAAACTGTGAGTGCCGTGCTGCCTTCCAGCCGCCTAGCTGTGACTCCTGTGCATACGGATACTATGGTTACCCCAACTGTCGGGAGTGTGAGTGCAATTTGAATGGAACCAATGGGTATCATTGCGAGGCGGAGAGTGGACAACAGTGCCCGTGCAAGATCAACTTTGCGGGAGCCTACTGTAAGCAGTGCTCCGAGGGATACTACGGATTCCCCGAGTGCAAGGCCTGTGAGTGCAACAAGATCGGTTCGATGACCAATGACTGCAACGTGACCACTGGAGAGTGCAAGTGCTTGACCAATTTCGGAGGCGACAACTGCGAGCGTTGCAAGCACGGTTACTACAACTACCCCACCTGTTCATGTAAGACAATACAAACATTTGTAGTATCAGAGGGATACTGATCCCTAATCTGATCTGACCGTTATAGATTGCGACTGCGACAACCAGGGAACGGAATCGGAAATCTGTAACAAGCAATCTGGTCAGTGCATCTGCCGCGAAGGTTTCGGAGGCCCCAGGTGCGATCAGTGCTTGCCAGGATACTACAACTATCCGGACTGCAAACCCTGCAACTGCTCCAGTACAGGTAGCTCGGCGATCACTTGCGACAACACCGGCAAATGCAACTGCCTCAACAACTTCGCCGGAAAACAGTGTGCTCTTTGTACCGCTGGCTACTATAACTATCCGGACTGCCTACGTGAGTGCCCTAAGCACATAACAATATATGTTTATTAACTATTTCCAATTTATATCCACATATGTGCAGCCTGTCACTGTGACTCGCACGGATCTCAGGGAGTGTCCTGTAACTCGGACGGACAGTGTTTGTGCCAGCCGAACTTCGATGGACGGCAGTGCGATTCGTGTAAGGAAGGCTTCTATAACTTTCCCAACTGCGAGGACTGCAACTGCGATCCGGCGGGAGTAATCGACAAGTTCGCCGGATGCGGATCGGTGCCAGTGGGTGAGCTGTGCAAGTGCAAGGAACGAGTAACTGGCAGGATTTGCAATGAGTGTAAGCCTTTGTACTGGAACCTGAACATAAGCAATACAGAGGGATGCGAGATATGTGATTGTTGGACTGATGGTACTATATCTGCCTTGGATACATGTACCTCGAAGACCGGGCAGTGTCCCTGCAAGCCGCATACTCAGGGCAGACGTTGCCAGGAGTGTCGGGATGGAACCTTTGATCTAGATAGTGCCTCATTGTTTGGTTGCAAGGATTGCAGTTGCGATGTGGGCGGTTCGTGGCAGAGTGTTTGCGACAAGATAAGTGGACAGTGCAAGTGTCATCCGAGGATTACGGGTCTGGCTTGTACCCAACCCTTGACCACTCATTTCTTCCCAACCTTACATCAGTTCCAGTATGAGTACGAGGACGGTTCATTGCCTTCGAGCACAATGGTGCGCTACGATTACGATGAGGAAGCCTTCCCAGGATTCAGCAGCAAAGGCTATGTGGTTTTCAACGCCATTCAGAACGAGGTGCGCAACAATATAAACGTCTTCAAATCCTCTCTCTACCGAATTGTACTGCGCTATGTAAATCCCAATACCGAGAATGTCACCGCCACTATCTCAATCACATCGGACAATCCTCTGGAGGTAGATCAGCAGTAAGTATTTCTACAGCCATATTTATTATTTCGATTATGACTAAAATGTCCTTATTTTACAGCGTCAAGGTTCTGCTGCAACCCACTTTGGAGCCACAGTTTGTGACCGTTGCTGGTCCGCTGGGCGTTAAACCCTCGGCCATTGTTTTGGATCCGGGTCGTTATGTCTTCACCACAAAGGCCAACAAAAACGTGATGCTGGATTACTTTGTTCTCCTGCCCGCTGCTTACTACGAAGCTGGAATTTTAACACGCCAAATATCGAATCCCTGTGAACTGGGCAACATGGAGCTATGCCGCCACTATAAATATGCCTCTGTGGATGGCTTCGAACCGGCAGGAACTCCATTTGTCATTGGAGCCAACGCTAAGCCAACAAATCCCGTCGAGGTGTACATGGATCCCGAGCACCTTCAGATTGTGAGCCACGTGGGTGACATTCCTGTGCTGACCCAATCGCAAAAGGAGCTAAACTATATAGTTGGGGTGCCACGCAGTGGGCGATATATCTTCGTGATTGATTATATCAGCGATAGGGACTTCCCCAATAGTTACTATATCAACTTGAAGCTGAAAAACAATCCAGACTCGGAGACATCCGTGCTGTTATACCCTTGCTTATACTCCACAATCTGCAGAACTTCTGTTAACGAGGACGGTTTGGAGAAGGCCTTTTATATCAACAAAGAGGATCTACAGCCAGTTACAATCTATGTGAGTTCTACTATTTAACTTTATCGTAAAACTAAACTAATCTTCTTTATATATTTCAGGCCGACTTCGAAGATGAATCCCGTGTGCCCATTATTTCGGTGACTGCCATTCCCGTCGAGGAATGGTCCATTGACTACATCAACCCCAGTCCAGTCTGTGTGATTCACAATCAGCAGTGCGCAACTCCCAAATTCCGTTCAGTTCCCGATTCCAAGAAGATCGAATTTGAAACCGATCATGAAGATCGTATTGCCACAAACAAGCCTCCATATGCCTCGCTCGATGAACGTGTTAAGCTGGTTCATTTGGATAGTCAAAGTGAATCAACCATAGTGATTGAGTGAGTTATAGATATATATTGATTAAGTTAATGTGGGTTCCATATCATAAACAATTTCTTACAGATCAAAGGTTGAATCAGCCAAACCAAATCTGTTTGTAATCCTTGTCAAGTACTACCAGCCGAACCATCCCAAATACCAGGTGTACTACACCTTGACGGCTGGCAAAAATCAGTATGACGGAAAGTTCGATATTCAGCACTGCCCGTCGAGCTCCGGATGCCGAGGCGTTATTCGTCCCGCCGGAGAGGGTTCGTTCGAGATTGACGATGAGTTCAAGTTCACAATTACGGTGAGACTTAAAGGAAATCCATTTATAAAAACAAAATATAAACTTTAAACATATTTCAGACCGATCGATCACAGAGTGTTTGGCTGGACTACTTGGTTGTGGTGCCATTGAAGCAGTACAATGATGATCTGCTGGTTGAGGAGACCTTCGATCAGACCAAGGAGTTCATTCAGAACTGCGGACACGACCACTTCCACATTACCCACAATGCCACTGACTTCTGCAAGAAGTCCGTTTTCTCTTTGACCGCCGACTATAACAGTGGAGCACTGCCGTGCAATTGCGACTACGCCGGATCCACGAGCTTTGAGTGTCATCCGTTTGGTGGTCAGTGCCAGTGCAAGCCGAATGTAATTGAACGCACATGCGGAGCCTGCCGGAGTAGGTACTACGGATTCCCTGACTGCAAGCCCTGTGAGTGTCCAAGTAGCGCTATGTGTGAACCTTCCACCGGAGAGTGCATGTGTCCACCCAATGTCATTGGGGATTTGTGCGAGAAGTGCGCTCCTAACACTTACGGATTCCATCAGGTGAGTTAGTAAACTAAGTCTTTATTGAATTTCATTGAAAACCAAATTACCAATAATAACCACCAGGTCATTGGCTGCGAAGAGTGTGGATGCAATCCAATGGGCATCGCCAATGGAAATACCCAGTGCGACCTGTTCAACGGAACCTGCGAGTGCCGTGAAAACATTGAAGGCAGGGCGTGTGATGTGTGCTCCCATGGATACTTCAATTTCCCGCACTGCGAACAGTGCACTTGCCACAAACCCGGAACAGAACTTGAGGTGTGCGACAAGATCGATGGCACCTGCTTCTGCAAAAAGAATGTGGTTGGAAGAGATTGTGACCAGTGTGTGGATGGAACGTACAACCTACAGGAATCTAACCCAGAGGGTTGCACTACTTGCTTCTGTTTTGGCAAGACTTCACGATGTGACAGTGCCTATCTTCGGGTATACAATGTGAGTCTTCTAAAGCACATTACCATCAGTACTCCAGAATTCCGTGAGGAGAGCATCAAGTTCGAAATGTGGCCAGTGCCGGCTGAGGAGATTCTTGTGAATGAGACCACGCTGAAGGCGGACTTTACGTTGCGAGAGGTGAACGATGAACGACCAGCTTACTTCGGAGTCCTGGACTATCTGCTTAACCAGAATAATCATATCTCTGCTTACGGCGGAGACTTGGCCTACACTCTACACTTCACCTCTGGCTTTGACGGCAAATACATTGTCGCTCCGGATGTCATTCTATTCAGCGAACACAATGTCCTGGTGCACCAAAGCTATGAGCAGCCTAACAGAAATGAGCCTTTCACCAATCGCATTAAAATAGTGGAATCCAATTTCCAAACAGTTTCCGGAAAACCAGTTTCACGAGCTGATTTCATGATGGTTCTTCGGGATCTGAAACTGATCTTTATCAGGGCCAACTATTGGGAACAGACCTTGGTGACCCATTTGGAAGATGTGTACCTAACCCTAGCCGATGAAGATGCAGATGGTACTGGTGAATATCAGTTCCTGGCTGTAGAGCGTTGCTCCTGCCCGCCTGGTTACTCCGGACACTCGTGCGAGGATTGCGCGCCGGGCTACTACCGAGATCCTAGCGGACCCTATGGTGGTTACTGCATTCCTTGCGAATGCAATGGACATTCCGAGACCTGCGACTGTGCTACTGGAATCTGTACGAATTGTCTGCATGGAACTCAGGGCGAGCACTGTGAACAGTGTGTGTCTGGATATTATGGAAACGCCACGAATGGATCACCTGGTGATTGCATGATCTGCGCCTGCCCACTTCCCTTTGACTCGAACAACTTTGCCACCAGTTGCGAAATCTCCGAGAGCGGAAACGAAATCCATTGTGAATGCAAGCCAGGATATACAGGACCTCGTTGCGAATCGTGTGCTAATGGTTTCTACGGACAGCCTGAAAATTTGGGAGAGGTGTGCAAGCCATGCGAATGCTCCGGAAACATCAATCCAGAGGATCAAGGATCTTGTGACACACGAACTGGTGAATGCTTGCGCTGCTTGAATAACACCTTCGGAGCTGCCTGTAATCTGTGTGCTCCTGGCTTCTATGGCGATGCTATTAAACTGAAGAACTGCCAGAACTGTGACTGCGATGATTTGGGCACCCAAGAATGTGATCCTCATGTAGGCATCTGCACCTGTCATGAGAATGTTATTGGCGAGCGTTGCGACCAATGCAAGCCAGATCATTATGGATTTGAGTCAGGTGTTGGATGTCGAGCTTGTGATTGCGGTGCCGCATCCAATTCAACGCAGTGTGATGCGCACACTGGTCATTGTGCCTGCAAGGCTGGAGTTACAGGACGTCAGTGCGATCGATGTGCTGTGGATCACTGGAAATACGATAAGGATGGGTGCACACCGTGCAATTGCAACCAAGGCTACTCACGAGGATTCGGCTGTAATCCCAACACGGGCAAATGCCAGTGCCTGCCAGGAGTCATTGGAGATAGGTAACTATTACTGCAAGTCCGGAATTTCTAGATTCTAGGTTTTGAAACAATTTTTTCTCTATTTCAGGTGCGACGCCTGTCCAAATCGCTGGGTGTTGATTAAAGACGAAGGCTGTCAGGAGTGCAACAACTGTCACCACGCTCTTTTGGATGTCACCGATCGAATGCGCTATCAGATCGATAGTGTCCTGGATGATTTTAATAGCGTTACTCTAGCCTTCTTCACCAGTCAGAAATTGAACTACTACGACCAGCTTGCCGATGAACTAGAGCCAAAGGTTAAACTTTTGGATCCCAACAGCGTAGACCTGAGTCCGTTTAAAAAGGCCAACAGTGAACTAGAATCGGATTCCAAGTCCTATGCCAAACAAGTTAACCAGACTCTGGCCAATGCCTTAGATATCCGCGACCGATCTAGCACAACTTTGGGTAATATCACAGTTGCCTATGATGAGTCTATTAAGAGTGCTGACCAGGCCAAGGAAGCTATCTCCGCGGTAGAGGCTCTTTCTAAGAATCTTGAGGCTGCAGCGAGCACAAAAATTGATGCAGCTTTGGAGCAAGCTCAACATATTTTGGGAGAAATCAACGGCACCAGTATCGAACTTACACCCAATGAACAAGTCCTGGAAAAGGCCAGAAAACTGTACGAGGAAGTTAACACCCTAGTGTCGCCCATCAAGGAGCAAAACAAGACTCTAATAGCACTAAAGAATGATATCGGAGAATTAAGCGACCATTTAGAGGATCTTTTTAACTGGAGCGAGGAATCTCAGGCCAAGTCCGCCGATGTTGAGCGCAGAAATGTGGCTAACCAGAAGGCGTTTGACAACTCCAAATTCGACACCGTTTCGGAGCAAAAGGAACAGGCGGAGAAAAACATCAATGATGCCACAAATTTCCTATTCAACGGTGATCTCACTCTTAGCCAAATCAACCAGAAGCTGGATAGCTTAAAAGATGCTTTACATGAGCTCAATTCGGTAAACAAAAATGTTGACGAGGAACTCCCATTGAGGGAAGACGAGCACACGGAGGCAGATAAACTGACCGATAAAGCGGAACAAAAGGCGGCTGAGTTGTCCGCCAAGGCGCAGGATTTGGCTGCCCAGTACACGGATATGACAGCTAGTGCGGAGCCGGCTATCAAGGCAGCCTCTGCCTACTCGGGAATCGTGGAGGCCGTGGACGCTGCCCAGAAATTCAGCCAGGATGCAGTCGCTGCTGCTGGCAATGCCACCGATAAGACGGATGGAATTGAAGAAAGAGCTCAGCTTGCCGACACGGAATCTACAGATCTTCTTCAGAGAGCCCGTCAGTCCCTACAGAAAGTTCAAGATATTTTAGAGCCACGACTCAATGGATCAGCTGGCAAGGTCCAGAAGATCTCTGCAGTAAATACCGCCACCGATCAACAACTCAAGGATATTAACAATCTGATCGATCAACTGCCAGCTGAAACCCAAAGGGATTTGTGGAAGAACTCGAATGCCAATGCCAGTGATGCTCTCGAGATCCTTAAGAACGTTCTAGAAATACTCGAGCCAGTTAGTGCTCAAACGCCAAAGGAACTTGAAAAAGCACAAAACATTAATAGGGACTTAGATCTGACCAACAAGGACATCTCGCAGGCTAACAAACAATTGGACGACGTTGAAGGATCCGTCTCGAAATTGAACGAACTAGCCGAGGATATTGAGGCACAGCAGCAGCAAGTGGCCACTCAGACCCTGCAGTTGGGTCAGGAAATCGAAAACTTAAGGGCCCAGGTGGAGGAAGCTCGTCAGTTGGCCAACAGCATCAAGGTGGGCGTTAAATTTAAGCCAAGCACGATTCTTGAATTGAAGACACCGGAAAAGACCAAGCTTCTGGCCACTCGCACCAATCTATCGACCTACTTCCGCACCACCGAGCCATCCGGATTCCTCTTATATCTGGGAAATGACAATAAGACCGCTCAGAAGAACAACGACTTTGTGGCCGTGGAGATTGTAAATGGCTATCCCATTCTCACCATAGATTTGGGCAATGGTCCGGAGAGAATCACAAGCAATAAGTACGTGGCAGATGGACAGTGGTATCAGGCTGTGGTGGATCGTATGGGTCCTAATGCTAAGCTCACGATTAGAGAAGAACTACCCAGCGGAGAGGTGGTCGAGCACAGCACGCCTGGTTATCTCGAGGGATCTCAGAATATACTTCATGTTGATAAGAACAGTCGCCTATTTGTGGGCGGTTATCCGGGTATTTCTGAATTCAATGCTCCACCAGACTTGACCAGTAACTCCTTCACCGGCGACATTGAGGATCTGAAGATCGGCGACGAGAGCGTGGGACTATGGAACTTTGTTTATGGCGACGATAATCAGGATGGCGCTCGCGAAAGGGATGTTCTGCTCGAGAAGAAGAAGCCAGTTACGGGTCTACGGTTCAAGGGTAATGGATACGTCCAGCTAAACGCCACCTCGAATTTCAAGACTCGCTCCAGCATACAGTTTAGCTTTAAGGCGGACAAGGATACCTCCAATGGTCTGCTCTTCTTCTACGGAAGGGATAAGCACTACATGAGCATCGAGATGATCGATGGTGCCATCTTCTTTAACATTAGTTTGGGTACAGGTGGAGGTGTTCAGTCCGGCAGCCAGGATCGATACAATGACAACCAATGGCACAAGGTTCAGGCAGAACGAGAAAATAGAAATGGCCTACTCAAAGTGGACGACATTGTTATTTCTCGGACAAATGCTCCATTGGAAGCAGATCTGGAGTTGCCCAAGTTGAGAAGATTGTACTTCGGTGGTCATCCGAGACGTCTGAATAACACGATTAGTTTGCAGCCCAACTTTGACGGTTGTATCGACAATGTGGTGATCAATCAAGGAGTTATTGATCTAACGGAATATGTAGCTGGTAGCGGAGTAGAGGAAGGCTGTCCGGCGAAATTCTCCACCGTGTTGTCATATGCGCCGCATGAATATGGTTTCCTAAGGATGGACAAGATCTCCGCAGATAACAATCTGCATGTGGTGCTTCGCTTTAAGACCAGCCAACCAAATGGCGTTCTCTTCTATGCCGCCAATCATGACCAGAGCTCCAATATTGGACTCAGCCTGCAAGATGGTTTATTGAAACTTAACAGCATGGGCAATCAGTTGGTGATCGAAGATCGTCTGCTGAATGATGGCGAGGATCATGTGGTTACGGTGCAGCATACCCAGGGTGAGCTTCGACTCTCAGTCGACGACACGGAGAACAAGAGGTGCGTTAAAATATTGAGTATTATTATACGATATACTTTCTTGTTTTTATATAATACTTAACTATATTTTTCATATATCCACAGACTTGGATCACCAGAACCCCTGATCCTGGAGGGTGGCGATATCTTCTTTGCTGGCTTGCCGGACAACTATCGAACGCCCAGAAATGCATTGGCCTCTTTAGCCTACTTTGTTGGCTGCATTAGCGATGTCACAGTGAATGAAGAAATCGTAAATTTCGCCAACAGCGCTGAGAAGAAGAACGGCAATATCAACAGCTGTCCACCGCATGTACTAGGTAAGGCTTTAGTTATCCCTTGAAAAACAAGCTAAAACTTCTTCATTCGTTTACAGCCTATGAGCCAAGTCTGGTGCCTAGCTACTATCCTAGTGGAGATAATGAAGTTGAGGCTGCATGGCCAAACCCCGATTCACTGCCCCCACTCAAACCAGATATTGAAGCTACAGTACCACCCACCACGCCCACCACGACAACATCTACAACTTCGACGACCACCACAACAACCACTACGACAACAACAACGACAACGACCACGACACAATCACCGATAACCGAAGCAGATGAAAAGGACCAGGAGCCCAAAGTATGGCAAAAGCCACTAACTACACGGCCACCCGCTAAGCTAAATCTTCCCAGTGATGAGCGCTGCAAGTTGCCAGAGAAACCCAACTTCGATGTGGACTTTGCAGAGGCTGGATACCGTTTCTATGGACTACGGGAGCAACGTCTCCAGATCAACTCACTGCCAGTGAAGCTGCGTCGTCACCATGACATAGGCATCTCCTTCCGAACGGAGCGACCCAACGGGCTGCTCATCTTCGCTGAAGGTAAGCAAGGCGAGCATTTCATAGCCGTGTATCTCCTGGACGGTCGGGTGACTTACGAACTCCGCGTGGGAAATTTGCTACAGGCAAAGATCACCAGTGAGAAGGAGCTGAATGATGGCTCCTGGCACACAGTTGAAGTGCTGCGAACTCAACGCAAGGTTAGCTTGCTCATAGACAAGTTAGAGCAACCCGGATCCTTGGAGCTGAATACGGAGCGAAATGCCCCAGGACTGGCAGTCGAGTTGCCCATTTACTTGGGTGGGGTTACCAAGTTCCTAGAGCCAGAGGTCAAGAATCTCACTGACTTCGACACAGAGGTACCCTTCTTCAATGGCTGCCTTAAGAACATCAAGTTCGACGCTATAGATCTGGAGACGCCGCCAGAGGAATTTGGAGTTGTTCCGTGCTCCGAACAGGTCGAACGCGGATTGTTCTTCAACAACCAGAAGGCTTACGTAAAGATCTTCGATCACTTCGATGTCGGCTCTGAGATGAAAATCAGCTTTGATTTCCGGCCGAGGGATCCCAACGGTCTGCTCTTCTCCGTACACGGCAAGAACTCGTATGCAATCCTCGAGTTGGTTGATAACACCTTGTTCTTCACCGTTAAGACCGATCTAAAGAACATCGTTTCCACAAACTACAAGCTGCCCAATAATGAAAGCTTCTGCGATGGCAAGACACGCAACGTTCAGGCCATCAAATCCAAGTTTGTGATCAATATAGCTGTGGACTTTATAAGCTCTAACCCAGGCGTAGGCAACGAAGGATCAGTAATCACAAAGACAAACCGTCCGTTATTCCTGGGTGGTCATTTGGCCTTCCAGAGAGCACCAGGCATTAAGACCAAGAAGAGCTTTAAGGGCTGCATCAGCAAGGTTGAGGTCAATCAAAAGATGATCAAAATTACGCCCGACAAAGTCTTTGGCGACATATGGCAGGGTTACTGCCCCCTCAACTAATAAAGAATTTCGGAACAATTCAAGGACCTATGATTTAACATGACAAAGACTACGAAAAACTGCCAGGAAAAATCTAAAGTTGCCGACCACTGCTAATCAACGGACAACGATCTATGAAATTATAAACGAACAAAATCGACAGGTCATGGAAAAGTCATGGGACTTCAAAAATATTGAACTCTCATCAAAGATGCCTGTCGTATATAATATAAACCAAACTGTGTGCCAATCTATCGCCGCCATATACATAAATGTAATTTGTATGCTTTTATCCTTTTAAAAAACTCCTTATAAGTCAATCATTGAATATGTATCTTCTTCAAAGCAATAAAGATTATCATTTTAACAAAATTAAAAACATTTTAGTTAAAGTTTCAAGATGCTTCAAGATTTAAAACAACCAAGTTTGTTCAATATTTTATTTACATTACATACATCTTGTACAAATCGTAAAAAACAGAAATTTCCTAATTGTGTACAAATGTTTAGCTTTTATACGTTTTGGGACATTTTTTTGGTTTCCATTTCATTTCAGTGTTAACGTAACATTCGAAAAATAAGTTAACCAGGCCAAAAATTTGGCCTCTTGTTGGTCAATTTGGGGCTGACCTTAAATACCGTACAAGGTAACCAGACGCTCGGCCAGAGTTTGCGGAAATTGCCCCACGTAACAACGCCAGTTTTCTTCTCCCACTTGGGTCTTGAAGCCGTGGAGAATCTAAATAATATCAGAGAGTATATCAGTGAGATAAGAAATAATGTACTTGCAGTGATTATCTTACTTTTTGAATCATCTGATGCAGATCCTGTGGGGGATTAACCCACGAGGCGATGGCATCGCAGAAAAATATAAAATCGGGCACTACGCCAGCTGGATTCACCGTGATCATGTGGCACATTCCACGGAAGGCCGAGTCCTTCTCATCATTATCTCGTATGTGCCGCAACGACGTGCACCTGCATTTTTGGAGAGAGTGTTAAGATGATGTTTTAACAAATGGTAATTTAAAAAGGCAAGCATCTACGAAAGTTTAGAAGCTAGTTTGAAATCCAACACCATTTAGTTGAAAGCCGTGTTCAAATAATGTGTGATGAGTTGTTAGAGATTTATATGGAAATGATGGATGTGCTTAAGGTTTCAGTGTTCAAGCGAAATTTAAGGTATGGCTCGGGATATCCGGGATATAAGGCAGTAGAAAGAAAGAATAAGCTAGTTAAATATAAAACGTATTACACACCACTGTCGTACAAATTCGGGCAAATAAGGAGCCACTTCAACTGGGCACACATAACCTAGACGACCGATTGTTATTGCTAAAAAACAGAAGAAATAAGTATAAATAAATCAAATAAACAAACCAATATCACACGTAGTTCGATTTATTTGCTTAACTGGAATTGAATATCGATTGCGATTCTCGGCTATCTATATCTATGCATGTTGTATGGGAATGAGGACTGATTTCGTTTCGTTGCTGCTCATGCAACAAGTAATACAACTTAAAACAGAAACAATGTCTGGAACATCCACATACACGCATACATTCAGAATCATATATATACAAACAAATCGCATATTCTTAATTCTTAGACAGCTGAGAAGATTTGAAGGAAGTGGATCAGTCCAAACAGCTTACCTGTATTCTCCAGCAGAGTCTTGGGCGTGTTCGGGCGGTTGATAATGACGAAAAGGTCGCTAAGTACGAGGCGAATGTACTGCTTGGTCTCCTCACCTTAAAACATAAATAAAAACTTATAGTTATATATATACCCAGTATCTAAGTTCGTTCTACTCACCCAATTTCATGCAAATCTCGCCTATAGCCCAGGTGGCATTGTTGCACACTGAAATAAAGTCGGCGTTCAGGTTTTGCCCCAATATGGGAAAGAATTCGGCCATGAAGGGATGCACGTGAGGGAAACAGGCCTTAGTCAGATCACCCAGCAATGCAAACGAGGATTGGCGAACCTAAAAGTTCGGATTTTAATGGTAAATTCAATTAATAAAGCTAGGTTGTTGGATACATACTTCCGGAAGAACGTCTTGCATGCATTGGTAGAGCAGATGCATAATGTTGCTATTGGCCACCAGTGTCTCAATGTGGCGGTCCAAGCCCTCAGCTAGGCCAGATAGCAGATCTAGGGCAACAATCATACGCTCCTTGTCGGGATGGTCGTACGTTTGGTTTTGTTTGCACAGCTTAGAAAGATTTCAGTTGATTAAAACATTCACGACTTCAGAATTTCGCAATTTCCTTACCATTTCCTGGTTGATGGTCTGTTCAATAAGGGATATGCACCTGCGATAAACCGGGTCGCAGTAAGGCAAGAAACCAGACTGCAAGGCAGTGGCGATGCTCGACAGGCACTCCAACAAGGGGAATAAGTCTTTGTCATCATCCTTAAGCAGATTCCATTTGTCGATCAGCGGAGGCATGAGAATATCAATATACTGCGGCTTATTCAGATGATGACCCACGGAATCCGCCAATGTACCAACAGCATCATACAGAATCAACAGATTCTTGTGCTGGTACTTGGAGAAGGCAAACACCAGAGTCTTCAGAATGTACTCTAGATAAGGCACCAGTTCTGTGCAGGCCTCTTCCTCCAGAGTGGCAAAAGCAGAGCATGCCGCCTCCTGAACGCGTTTATTTGAGTCCAGAATGCGCTTTAGCAACTCCTCCATCAACGGCTTCAAGTACTGGTCGTGCGGTTGGTTGACCACCCAATTGGCGTAGCGTGAAAGCGTCCAGCATGTGATAGAGCGGACCAGGGCTTTCTTGTCGGACAGACAGCTAATCAGGTAGGGAATTAGTTCTGGCAAGTGCTGTATCATGCCCTGCATGCAGCCTTCGGCGATGGCTCCCAAAGCCAGCACACCGCTCTCCCTTATCGCCCATTTTTGATGAAACAGCGTTTCCTTTAAAATAGGCAGCACGACAGGCAAGCAATCCTCATGGAAAACATTGGCAAGCATGTCAAGGGTGGAGGCACTGCACTTTCGCAGGTTCCATTCTGATAGAGAGCTGAAGTCGTCCAAGCCAGCATTAAAATCTTCGTCATCATCCTCGCCTGCAGATACTGCTCCCGCTTCTTCAGTACCCTTCATCTTGTGTACACGGGACATGTGGAAACGAGGGCGGATGTCCTCCTTTCGATCGGGTATCATGTAGTCTTCTTCCACGTTGTCGTTTAGAAGAACAATATCAGCCTCAGAGTACCGCATGCCACGCACAAGAACAGGAGCTAAATGGGGTAAGAAGGGAGCAAGGACCTCCTTGCAGATGCTTTTATCCACCAGCGATAGCCAGAATTCAGTGGCCTGCAAGGCAATAAGCTCGTCAGAGTCCTGGGTGCGCAGCAACATGTACTACAATGGAAAAATAATTAAGATTTTATTATGATAAGGGTTTCTTTTTATACTGCTTACCTCAATGATCTGCGACATGTGCGGCATAAGGCGGTCCATGTGGACCTCCAGCAGCATAACCATCCCGTGGCAGACATTCTTGCGCACATTGTTGTCGTCATCCGAGGTCAAGTGAAAGAGGTTTTCAATAAAGCTATCTAAGTTCAGTATAAGGGCCTGTGGTCTGTTAATGATGAACTGGTTGATGCACGCAATGGCGTGGGATCGAATCTTGGGACTACTGTGCCTGAAATACTGCAGGAACTTGGGAATCATAACATTTAATGGGCTGTTGAGCACTGCAGAGTCCAGGATTTCAGCGGAGTCCTCGCAGATTTTTTGCAGCGCGCTAAAAGCTCCTTCGCAAACGTTCAAGTCCTGGGAGTCTAGCATTTCGCAGAGAGAGGGCAACAGTTGAGGCCAGTGTTGCAGACCGCCATTACTGGCGATGGTGGTAATCAGGATGCCCACTGTAGCACGAATCAAGGGAGTTGAGTCACCCACCCCCTGTAGGCACTCGTGTTTGATATACTCAATGATCTCCGGCCGCAAGTGGCTGCCAACAAGGTTTTTTTTAAGGATTAACCCGCTAATCGATCGCGTAATCTTGTCGTTAGACTTCAACTTAGTCAGTACATAGATGAGATAGAGGTTGAAGTCCGGATACAAATTGAACTCCTCGAGTTTCTGTGGAGCACTTCGAATGCAGATTGTCAAAGCGTAGAGGCTTCATTACATACCGTTTGCACAGCAAGCTGCTTTTCAGTGTGTGGTGACTGCGAGTCCTTGAGTACCGCAAGAAGCTGCTGAAGACCCTCTTCCAGTGGTTGCCATGTCATTTTGCTGCCGCTGCGAGAGTTGTCTGGATTTAGTGTAAAATTGTAAAGTTGAGTTATTGTCCTTGTCAGAGGGAGCTACTAGAATAATTGGGAGTGACACTTTGTTCTGGGCCACCTTTAGATTATTTTTTAAGTATATTTCTTGAAACCTGTAATTTTTATACTTACACAATTGTTAAAAATAAAAAGATTTTTGTTGATGGTAATGTTACACATACATATTTATTCATATATATACTTTTCAATTTACACAAATCTTGATAGTTGAATTTTGAAGTGGAGTTCGGCTTAAACAAATTATTAAACTCCAGAGAAATAATCTCCAGATTGCTAGTATGCTGAACTCATATAGCAAGATCTAGGGATTATACATACATGTATAAGCATATTTTTCATAATACATAATTTTAATTTGTATACATATATATAGGCGCGTATATATATTCAATTTCGTTAGACATTTGCAGACCTTTAAATAACCGAGTTAGTGACAGTGGATTTAAATTTAAAGGATATACATGATATAAACCTATAAGAGCTGTGTGCTTGATGATCTGTAAGTGTTGTAAGTGGTGTGTGAAGAGTTAGAATTAAAACAAAATTAACTAGGATTTGTCTTGATTTAATTAAAGAAACAACAAAGGTGAGAGATTGTTTGTGTAGAGGACTAAAAACAGTTGGTATGTTTACTCATGGTTTTAATTACATACTCAAGATAATAATGTAATAAATAAGAAATTAAAATTCCCTAATGCTGCACAATCTTTTTTCTTTTTTTAATTTCCTTATTTTGTTACGTTTTGTTTTCAATTAATTGTTTTCCCTAACTTGACCTAACATTTAGTTTATTTTTAAGTTCCCTACTCTGTTTTTATTTTTTGGTTGGCCCTATCATAGTGAAAAATAATAATAATATTTAGAACAAAAACCTATTCTGCATAAAATCTATAAATATATTTTATATAGTTGTATATATGTGGTGTGTATATGTTCAATGGTGTGTGTATGCATGTGTGTGTGTATATGTAGTTGTAGTGTTGCTTCAGTTTTTTTTCTGCTTAAACGCTAATCACTAAGATCACCCGAGAGAGATACAAACGCACGCGAACGCGACCGGATTCCGCGATGAATCCGGATTAAGGTACAACGAAATCACGATTTTTCATTTTAGTTTAGTTCAAGTTTTAGCATTTGCTTCACTTCGCTTTAGTTAGACCGTATTATTATTATCATGTATTGCGATTATTATTTGGGACTCGGGGGCGAAAGTCCCATATTGTTAGTTTTTAAATTTATTGAGTTTAACGCGACGCGAACGAACGACCGAAGTTACTTTATTATCACACGTTCCCCCATTTTTGAAACGAATTTATAAAAAAAAAAAAATAGAAACAAACGTAAATACGGTTTGCATAATTACATAATACTATTACTTAGATTTACTTGTTTATCTTCCTGCATCATAATCTTTCTTTTTGTTTTGTGTTTTGACTGAGTTTGGTTTTCCCTAGTTTTATATTTCGTATTTTTTTAGTTGTTCCGCGACAATTTCAAAGACTTTTGTTTCCATTTAGTAGTACACTTTACACCTAATCGTATAATTGTAAAAAAATTGCTCTGTACAAAAGTTCTAAATTATAAAGGATACGCAAAACACGAGCCCTATAAAAATTATAAAAGAGTTTGAAGAAAATAATAATAGTTAATTAATTACACTTGTCCCTATACAAAAAAAATTATATAATAATACTTTAAAAAGTGATCAGTCAATGGTTGCTTTTGTATTCAGTTAAAGGATCGCACAAAAATAAATAAGATACTCAACGAAATCCTAATCTCAATTTTATATATTTTTTCCCTATTTGCTTTTCTATTCTCACAATCCGTAAAAAAACACCTAATTTTGTATAGCATATGAATATCATGTAGTGTATAAGTAAATTTGTATCAGTAACAGTTGCAATATTATCGTTATCCTTGTATTATTTTCTTTCTTTTTTTCATTTTTCAATTTTCATTACCCGACGAGATACCACGAACGACGATTACGATTACGAACGAACGAGCGACGAAATTACGCGAACGCGAAACCGTATAAACCCGAAACGCGACGATTTTTCTTCGATTCTTTTTAAATATTTATTATTATTATTTAAGTGCTGAAAGTGTTGGGTTCTCCTGTGAAATTCAATTCGGCTGTTGATGAATGCTTTCTATGGTTTTGAACGGAGTTGAACATCAGTCTTTATTTGATTTGTAACATTTTCTTCAGCTGAAGCTTTTCGTATGCAAGGGCATTTGAATCCATTTTATTTCCATTTCCTTTCTTCGGATTTCACAATAGGCCTAACACTTTCATCTTTTAACGATTTTTTTAGTTAGTTAATTACCGCGACACGAACCCGCAATATCATTTAGTTTCGACGATTTTCTTTACGTTTTTTTATTACCTATGAGAAACACTATTTTCGGTTTTGGCGTGGGGCTGAATGTATTGGAGGTTTGGGCATGTCTACTATAGCACTGACTCCGGTTAAGTACGGCCGGAACACATATTTTTCTTCTAATTCCTACTGAGTTTTCTGCATAATAATGACATTTTATATTTGCTCTAAGCGGACAGACTAAAGAGGCTCTACAGATCTAAGATCCTCTAATTTGATTTCGAATATATGTGATTCTTCTCTATTAGTTTTATAGATATATGTATGTGGTTAACTCCGGTTATGCAGTTGCTTTTATGTGAATTTGCTGTTTCTTTTCGATTTCTAAAATATTAGATTTCAATGTTAACGTAACATTCGAACTGCATCGAATCGGATTACTTAAGGAGGCTAAAGATTAAGACGACACGCTTACTACGCATACTTGTACATAATTGTCTAGTTAAGATGTTGCTGATTGGCTTTCTAGCGGGTGCAGGTGGGCGTATTACAACTTGTCTGGCTCTAGATGTTATACATTGTGGCCAGGCGCTCAGCTAGAGTTGGCGGGAATTGCTCCACAAAACGGCGCCAGTTTTCTTCTCCCACTTGGGTCTTGAAGCCGTGAAGAATCTAAACAATATCAGGAAGTATATCAGTGAGATAAGATATAATGTACTTGCAGTGATTATCTTACTTTTTGAATCATCTGATGCAGATCCTGTGGGGGATTAACCCACGAGGCGATGGCATCGCAGAAGAATATAAAATCGGGCACTACGCCAGCTGGATTCACCGTGATCATGTGGCACATTCCACGGAAGGCCGAGTCCTTCTCATCATTATCTCGTATGTGCCGCAACGACGTGCACCTGCATTTTTGTAGAGAGTGTTAAGATGATGTTTTAACAAATGGTAATTTAAAAAGGCAAGCATCTACACAAATTTAGAAGCTAGTTTGAAATCCAACACCATTTAGTTGAAAGCCGTGTTCAAATAATGTGTGATGAGTTGTTAGAGATTTATATGGAAATGATGTATGTGCTTAAGGTTTCAGTGTTCAAGCGAAATTTAAGGTATGGATCGGGATATCCGGGATATAAGGCAGTAGAAAGAAAGAATAAGCTAGTTAAATATAAAACGTATTACACACCACTGTCGTACAAATTCGGGCAAATAAGGAGCCACTTCAACTGGGCACACATAACCTAGACGACCGATTGTTATTGCTAAAAAACAGAAGAAATAAGTATAAATAAATCAAATAAACAAACCAATATCACACGTAGTTCGATTTATTTGCTTAACTGGAATTGAATATCGATTGCGATTCTCGGCTATCTATATCTATGCATGTTGTATGGGAATGAGGACTGATTTCGTTTCGTTGCTGCTCATGCAACAAGTAATACAACTTAAAACAGAAACAATGTCTGGAACATCCACATACACGCATACATTCAGAATCATATATATACAAACAAATCGCATATTCTTAATTCTTAGACAGCTGAGAAGATTTGAAGGAAGTGGATCAGTCCAAACAGCTTACCTGTATTCTCCAGCAGAGTCTTGGGCGTGTTCGGGCGGTTGATAATGACGAAAAGGTCGCTAAGTACGAGGCGAATGTACTGCTTGGTCTCCTCACCTTAAAACATAAATAAAAACTTATAGTTATATATACACCGACTCTCTAAGTTCGTTCTACTCACCCAATTTCATGCAAATCTCGCCTATAGCCCAGGTGGCATTGTTGCACACTGAAATAAAGTCGGCGTTCAGGTTTTGCCCCAATATGGGAAAGAATTCGGCCATGAAGGGATGCACGTGAGGGAAACAGGCCTTAGTCAGATCACCCAGCAATGCAAACGAGGATTGGCGAACCTAAAAGTTCGGATTTTAATGGTAAATTCAATTAATAAAGCTCGGTTGTGGGATACATACTTCCGGAAGAACGTCTTGCATGCACTGGTAGAGCAGATGCATAATGTTGCTATTGGCCACCAGTGTCTCAATGTGGCGGTCCAAACCCTCAGCTAGGCCAGATAGCAGATCTAGGGCAACAATCATACGCTCCTTGTCAGGATGGTCGTACGTTTGGTTTTGTTTGCACAGCTTAGAAAGATTTCAGTTGATTAAAACATTCACGACTTCAGAGTTTCGCAATTTCCTTACCATTTCCTGGTTGATGGTCTGTTCAATAAGGGATATGCACCTGCGATAAACCGGGTCGCAGTAAGGCAAGAAACCAGACTGCAAGGCAGTGGCGATGCTCGACAGGCACTCCAACAAAGGGAATAAGTCCTTGTCATCATCCTTAAGCAGATTCCATTTGTCGATCAGCGGAGGCATGAGAATATCAATATACTGCGGCTTATTCAGATGATGACCCACGGAATCCGCCAATGTACCAACAGCATCATACAGAATCAACAGATTCTTGTGCTGGTACTTGGAGAAGGCAAACACCAGAGTCTTCAGAATGTACTCTAGATAAGGCACCAGTTCTGTGCAGGCCTCTTCCTCCAGAGTGGCAAAAGCAGAACATGCCGCCTCCTGAACGCGTTTATTTGAGTCCAGAATGCGCTTTAGCAACTCCTCCATCAACGGCTTCAAGTACTGGTCGTGCGGTTGGTTGACCACCCAATTGGCGTAGCGTGAAAGCGTCCAGCATGTGATAGAGCGGACCAGGGCTTTCTTGTCGGACAGACAGCTAATCAGGTAGGGAATTAGTTCTGGCAAGTGCTGTATCATGCCCTGCATGCAGCCTTCGGCGATGGCTCCCAAAGCCAGCACACCGCTCTCCTTTATCACCCATTCTTGGTGGAAAAGCGTTTCTTTTAAGATGGGAAGCACGACAGGCAAGCAATCCTCACGGAAAACATTGGCTAGCACGTCGAGAGCGGCCGCACTGCACTTGCGCAGATTCCATTCTGATAGAGAGCTATCATCGTCCAAGCCATCGTCAAAATCTTCGTCATCATCCTCGCCTGCTGCTACAGCTCCCGCTTCTTGAGTACCCTTGATTGTATGTGCGCGGGACTTGTGAAAGCGTGGGCGAATGTCCTCTTCTCGGTCGGGCACCATGTCATCCTCTTCCACATTGCCCTTTAGAAGAATAATATCGACCTCTGAGTAACGCATTCCACGTACCAGAACAGGAGCTAACTGGGATAAAAAGGGAGCAAGCACATCCTTGCAGATGCTTTGCTCCGCCAGAGATAACCAGAACTCAGATGCCTCCAGGGCCACACCCTCATCGGAATCTTGTGTGCGCAGCAACATGTACTACAAAGGGTAAATAATTATAATTTATACTGTGATGAATTTTTTTTTTTCTTTGTAAGACTTTTTACCTCAATGATCTGCGACATGTGAGGCATAAGGCGGTCCATGCGGACCTCCAGTAGCATGACCAATCCGTGACAAACATTCTTGCGCACCTCGTGGTCCTCGTCCGAGGACAAGTGAAAGAGGTTTTCAATGAAGCTGTCTATGTTTAACATAAGGGCCTGTGATCTGTTAATGATGAACTGGTTGATGCAGGCAATGGCGTGGGACCTAATCTTGGGACTACTGTGCTTGAAATACTGCAGGAACTTGGGAATCATAACGTTTAGTGGCCTGTTGAGCGCTGCCGAGTCTAAGATTTCAGCGGAGTCCTCGCAAATTTTTTGCAGCGCGCTAAAAGCTCCTTCGCAAACGTTGTAGTCCTGGGAGTCCAGCATTTCGCAGAGAGAGGGCAACAGTTGAGGCCAGTTATGCAGGCCGCCATTACTGGCGATGGTGGTGATCAGAATGCCCACTGTAGCACGAATCAACGGCGATGAGTCACCCACCGCCTGTAGGCACTCGTGTTTAATGTACTCCACGATCTCCGGCTGTAGATTGCTGCCGTGCATGCGAATGTTGTTCTTGACGATCAGACCACTCAGCGAGCGCGTTGGCTCGTCTTCTGTCTTTAGTTTAGTCAACACATAGATGAGATAGTTGTTAAAGTCTGGATAGAGATTGAATTCCTCCAGTTTCTGTAAGTAAGGTCAGAAAAAGTGTTGATGGTTTTGAAGTGGTTAAAAAATGAATTCTCACCATCTGTACAGCAATCTGAGTGGCTGTGTCTGGTGACTGCGACTCCTTGAGGATCGCTATGATCTGCTGCAGACCTTCTGCCTGAGGTTCCCACGTCATTTTGCTGCTGCGAAGTGAGATTGGATGGTTTTTAGTTTTGAATAGTATATTAGAAATTAGGGTTAATGCCCTAGCAAGGGGTAGCAACTGGGGGAGAAAGAGAGCGAGAGAGACACTCAGTTCGAGGCCACTTACGCACACCACCGCATTTCCACCCACACCCGCGCACGGACATCTGCTATTGTGAAATATACGTGTTCCGTCCGTTTTCCCTTGGCACATAATGGGTTAGCGACGGACGGCATGAGATGAAAGCCGTCCCCTCAGGGATCGTGCGATTCCCTGCTCAGAGTCCCAGACAGAAAAAAAAACCCGAACAGAACCCGCCTACCTCCGCCATATTCCGTGAACCTCCGCGAACTCTTGAAAAACGCATTTTCGGAAAAAGTAGTGCATTGCCCGTAATTCCCGTACTTACCTTTAGGTGTTGGCTATGCTTTAAAATTAATTTGGTTGGAATTATCGTGAGTTTTTCTAGAAATTCTCTCTTTTTTCACCTTTTCTTTGCACAATTAGCAGTTCTGTACAGTGTGACCGAGTATGAGCGAGGGTGTATGCCAATCGGCTATTAGAGATGGAAGAGTGTCGTCACATCAGTTCTTCAATTTACTTAATCTGCTCAATGTTTGAAGTCTCATTTAAATGTTTTATAAATGCACCTTAAAAGCGGTATTGTTATATTTTTGTCTTTGAATTTAATAGTATATTGATAATAATTACATGTATTAAGCAAGCGCACAACTTGCATATTGTTTCGACCGATAGGGGCATCTCTAGATGCACAGTACGATAATACTCGCAGAACTTTTCCTTATGCGGTCACACTTTCGGTACTTTAGAGTGCCCGCATTCGCCACCCTGGTCAATTTTGTTTGGGTTTGAGGCCAGACAGAGGAGTCATTAATTTTAAACAAAGGACCACGCTTCAGGACATTCATCCCGGGTCAGACAAAGCCGCGTTTCGCTTTCCCCACGGCTGAGTGAAAGTTTCTCGCCTTGTCGCAGTTTAACATCCGAAGCGACCGGACATGAACAAGCGCAACCATGTGAGAAGAAAATTTGGGTCCCTAGCCAAAGTAAATGGATTGACTGGAAAACGTCTTTCTTTTATAGATCCGCCTGCCGCCAGAGGTAAATCGTCTACTGTACGTGCGAAATTTGCCGTACAAAATTACTTCAGACGAGATGTACGACATTTTCGGTAAATTCGGTGCTATCCGACAGATACGCGTGTAAGTTAGGTGTGTTTTATTGCTTAAATCTTCTTAAGAATGTATTTTTTACAGGGGTAATACACCGGAAACGCGTGGAACCGCCTTTGTTGTCTACGAGGATATTTTCGATGCCAAGAACGCCTGCGACCATTTATCCGGTTTTAATGTTTGCAATCGTTACCTGGTGGTGCTCTACTACCAATCCAACAAGGCCTTCAAGCGCGTTGACATGGACAAGAAACAGGAGGAGCTGAACAATATCAAGGCCAAATACAATTTGAAGACGCCTGAGGCTCCTTAGGACCACTACTTGGTGCGGCAGGCGGGTATGGGATGCAGCCAGATAACGGGCCGCATCAGATGACGCCCGACATCCATTAACCATTTTCCATTGTTTAGGGAACTTCTTGCTCTACTTTTATGTATACCAAATTTTTGCTATCTACTTGTAGATTTTTTTGATCGCATTTTGTATCATTTGAATCTAATCATTATCATCCATCCATCACTCCATCTATCATATGAATGGCCGGACATTGCGAAACACAGACATTTGCGTCGCTCACCCGGCTGTTTGCAATCATTTGACGACATTAAGACACTCTCTCATCAAAATAACAAGCAAGTTAAAGTAAAAATACAAAAAAATTGAAAAATTATAAATGATTTCATAATGTTTTAATACGGTATTCGAGGGAACTAATATTGATTTTTTTCTTAATATAAGAAGATTGCCAATACCATTTTAGATTAACTTAAAGTTTAATTAAGTTGAGTCTCGAATTCGTTTATTTGATTACCTAAAACTATGGTAACAATTAAGTGATAGTTAAATATTAACCAACAATTAATATTTCCACTAATTTTGGAAATCTTGAAGTCTTATAAAAATCCTATGCTAATGTCTGATCAAGGTTCCTCCTTATATTCAGGATTTTTCTGGTCAGTTGCCGCTGCCTGATACTGTTCGTAAGTGTTTTGCTGCTTCTCCAGTGACCGTTGAATTGCCAAGTCCTTGAGCTCCTCTTTAGCGGCTTCTGCAATTTCCTGCCGAAGAGCCTCGACCTTTTGTCTTCTTTCACTTTTCTGCATTGCCTTCTGACGCGCTCGTTCGCTTATTTGTTTGGCAGGTCTGGGAGGCTTTGGCGGCTTCTCGTCATGAACCTTTTGGTGGCGGATGAGAGCCGCTTCCTGGCGGAAATGTGTCCCACAAAGTTTGCACTCATAGGGCTTTTCTCCAGTGTGTATCCACTCGTGTTGCTTCAGTGATTGGGAGTTGGCAAAACGTCGGGAGCAGAAGCGGCATTCAAAGTCCTTGACTTTCTCGTGGACACTCTTGTAATGTCGCTTCATGTTTCCCAGGTTATTAAATCCCTGGCTGCATCCGGGGCACAGGTGCATGCCCTCTTTTTGAACGAACTTCGTCCGAGTTGGAACTTCGCTGGCCGGGACCTGAACTGTGGGAATGGGATTTACTACGGTTCCGGCTAGTTGAGCAAGGTCAACTCGTTCCACGCGGCGGGGATCCTTCGGAATGGTGGCTACGGATTCAGCACACACTTTAAGCAATTGATCAGCGTCTACTTGGGAGTCCAAGGCGTCAGGTTCTCCCTGCCTTTGTCTATAGGTTTCCAAAGCCCTTTCCACGCTCTTTTCGTGAATCTTCAGGTGTTTCGTCAAACTCTCCGTATACAGGAACTTCTTCCCGCAAACCTGCAATATGAAATCATGGCAGTCTTTTCTAAAAGGATATTGATGTACATTTCTAACCTTGCACTCGCATCGCTTTTCACCAGTGTGTGTCATCTCGTGAATTTTGCAGGCGTGGGATTTTCCAAACGTCTTACCACAGTACTGACATGCAAAATTCCGGATTTTTTCGTGTACAATCTTCACATGGCTATCCAGAGCCCGCTTTGTATGGGTGGCATGGTCGCAGATGTCGCATTTGAATTGCTTTTCCTGGGTGTGAGTAAGCAAATGCTTGGTCCATTCCTGGCGAGTGGTTTTCCCAACTCCGCAGTACGGACACACGTAGTTCTTAATCCCAGCATGCCGGAGAAGATGATTCTTCAAGGCACTGTTGATATGGAAGCCCTTGCCGCAGATGTTGCAGGGGTACGGAAGCTCTTCGCCTGTGTGCTTGTACATGTGCTTTTTCAAAGCCACCGGGCAGCGAAAGACCATTCCGCACTCCCTGCAAGGCTGTTCAGCCCGTGGAGCACTCACTCTCGCCTGATTGTGCACCTTCTTTAAGTGAATGGTCAACAGGCGGAGACGGGGAAATAGTAATCTACAGCCCTCCACGCTGCAGGGAATCTCATCCGCCTTCTTTGTGTGCGCATAGTCTACGTGGAGACGCAGTGCCCCAGCAGTTGTGAAGCCTTTTCGGCAGCTTTCTTCCTCACACTGGAAAGGCAACAGGTCATTATGATGCTTCATATGTTCCTCGTACTTTGATAGCTTTTTAAATTTTTGCTGGCAGATGGGACAGGTTATTAAGCGATTCAATTGACGCTCATCGCTAGGCATCCTTCTCCGCCTGGCTAAAGGTTGTTCATCTTCACTAGAAAAATCTTCGGCCTGCTTCTTGTTCTCCTCCTTCTCCTCTTCGGTGGAAGAACCATCATGGCTTGAAGAAATAGCGTGATCCTGTGGTTCTCTGTCCACCGTTTCCAGCATTTTGAACACCTCCTCCTCGTTGTCAATTATTTCCAGCTTATTATTTTGCAGTGGATCAAAGCTGGCCTGCTCATCCTGCCTGCTCAATGCAACGGAATCTTCTGCAACGGGCTCGAAAACCCCCATAGGCATAATTCTATTACCAGCCACCATTTCCTTGAAACGTCTTATGGAGCCAGCACACAGTTCCCGAAAATCGTGCAGGTCATTTAGCTTCGAGAAGCAGACAGTGCACAGGTTTTTGGGAAAGCCATCTGCTTGCTCCACCGACAAGGAGGTGCACACGCACAGTTTTTTGGCCAAGCCTGGAACCAGGAACAGATTATGGCTAACACCGTGCTCCAGATGGATAAGGCAGATGCGACACAGCGAATAGACGGAATACTGAAGTTCCCTAGTTTCCATTTCTCCCGATTCTCGGAGAGATTCCAACCTAGTTTCAAAACAAATTTGTTGCAGTGTGCTATCAGTGTGACCGCCTCGCATCAATTTTACCCTATTCTGGTGCATTGGGGTAAGGATTGACCAAAATGTTCTTTATTTATTTGTTTATGTTTCATTATTTCTTAAATAATGAAGTTTTCTTGTTAAGAGCTTTGAAAAGTTTTGAAAATAAAAAAAAGAAAAGATATAATAAAAAAATACAAAAATTTAAATAATATCTAATATTATCTTTTTTATTTACATGTGTTTATATGTATGAATATAATAGGTAAAAAGTAAAAGTTACTTAGCGCACAATATTAATATATAAAAAACGTTTAAAATTTTATAACCTAATTTATACCTGACTACTTGGAATTATAATGAAGTAAATTATAAACAGCCTTTTGAGGGTTAATTTCTTTCGACGTATCGATTGTCCAGCCCTGGAAAGCACAACGAGTAGAAACTGGGCTTCGTCGAGAATCTCGCTGGCAGCCCCACTTGCTTATTGCCCACTCGCCCGATTGCCAGTCGACGAGTATACAATTTTTTCTGTGTCAATATTATTTTATTGCTAACTGATCGGAGAGAGACGCAAAAAGATATAGAAAACCGCCCCGATCTGCAGTGCCGATTGCGAGTGAAAGCAAGATGAACGAGGGCAGGCAGTACTCGATCCACAGCCTATGCAGGATCTGTCTAAACCACCTGCAGAACGACGCCGCCTACGATTTGTATCTGGTGCCAGGACTCTCGAAGAAGCTCTGTTTTTGCACATCCCTGTCCGTGGAGCAGAACGACGGCTTTCCAAAAAACCTGTGCACCTCGTGTTATACCAAGCTGAACGACCTGCACGACTTCCAGAGGCAGTGTGTTGATTCTGTGCAAAAGTTTCAGGATTTGGTAGCCAGCAATGTTTTCGCCTGCCAGAGCAGTTTCGATGTCTTGGATCCCAATGTCGCGGTACAGGATTACCAAGCCGAGGAGGAGGACCACGTCAACTATGATCCACTACTGAACCACAAGATGGAGCTTATTGAGAACGAGGAGGATGTCTTCAAAATGCTGGAACATGTCGACAAAGAGGCCGAAGAGGCGGAGAACGAAGCCAAGGTGGAGGACGATGACCAGGGCGATGTCTCCGTCAAAATGTTCGACGACGAGTCCTCAATCGAAAGTGGTAACGACAATGACAACGATTTGGATTTCGAGCCAAATAGTAGTGATGACGACATTCCTCTGGCCCAGCGCATGCGGGGACCTGCTTCTGGATCCCATACAGCACGGTCGGCCAGCCAAAATAAACCGAAACCGAAGCCTAGAGGACGACCCAAAAAGATAAAAGCACCTCCGCCAGACGAGGACGACATAAGTGGCTCATCGTCCGACTCGGATGACTCCGAGGACGAATCATCTCGGGGAGACAAGCCCAAAAGAAAGCGGATTCCCATCGAGGAGCGCCACCTGCACCGCATCATCGACTGCCACATCTGCCACCAGAAGTTTAAGAAGGCCATCCGCTATGAAGAGCACATGAAGTACCACAACGACCTACTACCCTTCCAGTGCAAGGTTGAGACCTGCAAGAAAGGTGTGTTCTTCGCTTGAAACTCGGATATCAGTTCTTCATCCTTTCTTTCTTTTTAGGTTTTACCACAGCCAATGGGCTGCGCATCCACATTGACCACGCCCACACGGAGCTGTCTGAAGTTCATGCCTGCATCGCAGAGGGCTGTGGCAAGACCTTCCCTCGCGTCCGCCTACTTACCTTCCACATGAAGAAGGTTCATGGTATCACAAAGGCGGCAGCCCCACTTCGAGATTTCCCCTGTCCAGAATGCGACACCGTCTTCCGATGCCCCACGGCGCTCAAAAAGCACATGTACAAGCACACAGGCGAGGAGTTGCCTTATCCTTGCAATATCTGCGGCAAGCGGTTTGTGATCAACAGTGCTTTAAGAGATCACCTGATGCGTCATGCTGGCATCAAAAACCATGTTTGCCCGTACTGCGGAGTGGGCAAGACGACGCGCCAGGAGTGGAATGCTCACATCCTTACGCACACCAAGGAAAAGAAGTTTAAGTGCCGGCAGTGCGACCACGCCTCGCACAACAAACAAGCTCTGTCCAATCATGTAAAAGTTGTCCACGAGAAACGGAAGGACTTTGCATGCCAGTACTGCGGCAAGACGTTCGGCAAGTCACACGCCTGCAAGGTGCACGAGAGAAGTCACACCGGGGAGAAATGCTGCGAGTGCAAGATTTGCGGCAAGATCTTCCTCTGTGAGAAGAGTCTTACCAAGCATTTGAAAACGCACGAAAAACGGGACCTGCCGCCGGCAGAACCCCTTCGCCAGCAGCTTAACATTCCCATGCCGGGTCACATACCCGGTCAGATGCCAGGGCAAATGCCAATGCAAATGCAGGCCGATGGCTTGGTCCAAATGGATCCCCATCAGATCCCCAGTGAGGACATGCTCAAGGCATGCGGCGGCGGGACCGCTGCAGTGCCTCCCAAGCCGAAGAATTCTCGTCGGGTCCAGCGCGTAGATATTTCCCAGCTAGCGGGCACAGCAGTGAATCCAATACCTTCCGTCTCTGTTCCCTCGTGGTCGCCACAGGTGAACTTCACGAAGAAAGAAGGTCAACACATCTGTCCGGGTTGTGGACGCGGCTTTAATAACATTGGAAACATGAAGCTGCACTACAAAATCATTCACGAGAAGGTCAAGGACTTTGCCTGTCGCTTCTGCCCCAAAAGATTTTCCAAGGCCCAGATTCTGCGACATCACGAATGGATCCATACCGGCGAGAAGCCTTTCGAGTGCAAGATCTGTGGCAAACACTTCCGCCAGGAGACGGCGCTCAAGAAGCACATCAAGACGCACGAGAAACCAAACAGAAGGCACGTTCCCGAGCGCAGTGCGCCCACTCAGATTACGTTCCGCAAGCTAGAGCCAGATGCTGAGCCGCGAAACTTTGACCAGTACCAGGATCCAGCTGTTGAACGGGCGGCGGCTACAGCGGAACTTCTGGCTCACCAGCTGGAGGAGAACGAGGCCAAGCGGAAGGCGGACATCGAGCGGCAGAAGATTGCTGCGGCGGCATGTGAACAGCTAACAAAACTTCAGCAGCAGCAGGAAATTATGAAAGCCACCACCTCGTACGATGGCTACTATGCGCAAAAGGCCCAAGCCGAGGGCACCAGTTTGGACGCCCTAAAGATCGACCATGTCTAGGCTGCAGGATCGGTTTTACTTTACGAGTATAAATATATATACTAGCGACGTACATATATACTATATGTAACCACTTCTACAGCAGCTGTCACTGTCCGGAAAGTTTTTAAGCATGCCTCGAATTGCTCTCTAACTGGATCAGATTGTAGGTTTATAGATTATAGACACTCTTAATTATTCGAGTGCGTATTACAATATGAACACTTTTTATTTTTACATCCGTTTATACATACATGCAATATATGTATTTTGTTTTTCAGTGTAATGTCTCCCGTGCTTACTTAGAGTAATGGATTAAAAATTATATATAAAGCCCTTGAAGTTTCCTTTTAGAGGGAGGTATTCTTACTCTGTGGTAATAGAAACCCCCATTTGCAATATACCAGTGATTTGTAATATTTTTAAAAGAAAAAGTTTATTTTAAAAGAACAATAACTTCACTTAGTTTTAATTAAATTTATTAGTATTTAAGTTAAATAAAATATTTCATCCCGTCTTCAAATTTAGATTAATAAACATTTTCTAAAAAGAATTTATAATTGATTTTAACTTTAAAATTTAAGAAACATAGATGTGAAATTACAAACTGAAGATTTCAAAGATGTGATAGACCTCTTTTTTTTAATATAAATCAAAAACAATTCTCGAACTTTTGGGAACATTTTTAAGTATCTTCACTTGGTTCTTCATCTTGTTCCTCACTTTGAGTTGGATTTGACGACTCCTAAAAAAATATATAATATAAGCTTAGTACTCAGCTTTAAAAGACATAGATAATGACTTAACTGATAAGTTACTTTCTGTGTCTTCATAAAATCCCAATATCGTTGAGAAAACCAATTCAGCCTCTTTTCTGTTATCCTCGGCGTTTTGCAGTACCTCCTTCTGTTTTTTCAAGATTGATTCAAACCTTGTGACCTCCAGCTTGAGCCTATTATTTTCAATCCCAGCTTTTTGTAACGCCAGTTCGGTATCCAATCTTTTTGCTTCGGCTTCAAGGGCTTTTATGGAATCGTTTTCTTGTTGCTCCATTTTTTCAGAAATTGTAGCAGTGTTTTCAAGATTTTTTAAAAACAGACTACTTCATCATTTATACTGCCATGGTAACGATTCATAAAAACAAACATACATACTTAATACTTACAACCTTGTTTAATAATAAAGAATGCAAAGTTATTTAAACTTTCACCCTTAAAAGTTGTTTCCCTGTAAAGCAAATAAGAAAACAATTCCAATGGGATCTCACTCCTTTTAGCTGACCAGCTTTTTTTTTCAAATTGTTTAAAAACTTCATATATAAAGGGGGAAAAAGATTTAATTATTCATTTATGTTTATACCCAACCACTAAAATATAATACGATGATAAATATTAAAAAGTGCTATTTTTACTGCCTCGACTGTGTAGCTTCAAATGCGTGTGCATGTGAAAAACAAAACAAAACGACTTACAGTGGGTGGGGGGAATGCTAGAGCTGCGCAGTATTCAGCGAGTTTGCTCGCTACTTCCCAGCAATCGATAAGCCGAATTGCTAACGAGTGTACACACACACGAACACACAAGCACACGCGAGTACACACAAATGTGTGTTGTATTGGATTTTTTTCTCGACAGAGAACATTTCGGTTTGCTGCAATTTTCCGGATTTTGGCATCGCCCAACGTCGAATTGAGTGTCCAAAATGAATGAGGGGAGCCCGTACTCCATCCACACGGTGTGTCGCACCTGTCTGTCCACGCTAGACAGCACGGCGGCCTACGATCTGTTTAGGGTGCCCGGTCTGGCCAAAAAGCTGTGCGTGTGCACCTCCCTATCTGTGGAACAGGCGGATGGCTTCCCTAAGAATCTGTGCACCCTGTGCTTCTCCAAGCTGAATGACCTGCATGACTTCCAAAAGCAGTGCGTCGACGCGGTGCAAAAGTTCCAGGATATGGTTGCTAGCAATGCCTTCACCATCCAAGCTAACTTTGATGTCCTGGATACCAGTGGCGCTGTCGCGGATCTTCCGGGCGAGGAGGACGACAACGTCCATTTTGATCCGCTGCTCAACTCTAAGATCGAGATTATCGAGAACGAGGAGGATGTCTTTAAGATGCTGGAGTCCGTCGAAAAGGAGGTCGAGGAGGTAGAAATGGAGCTCGAGCAACCCTTTGCCGACGAATCTCAGGATGACTCCTTCGAGAGCGGTAATGACAACGACCTAGATGCAGACTTCCAGCTGAACAGCAGTGACGACGACATTCCCCTTGCCCAGCGTAGCCGCCGTGGTGCTGCCCGTGGTTCTAAGGCTAAGTCGAAGGCGACTGCCAAGCGGAAGGAAGAGGAGGATTCAGAAGATTCCAGTTCCTCAGAAGACTCCGATGGCAATCTAAAGGAGAAGCCCAAACGTAAGAGGATTCCGGCAACAGAGCGGGATCGTCACCGTCTGATTGACTGCCATATCTGTCACCAAAAGTTTAAGAAGGCCATCCGCTACGAGGAGCACATGAAGCATCACAATGACCTGCTGCCTTTCCAGTGCACCGTCGAGAGCTGCCGGAAAGGTAATATCTGACATTAAAACTGTTAGAAGAGATATTCAAGTTTTTGTCTTGATTCTAGGCTTCACCACCGCCAATGGGCTACGCGTTCATGTGGAGCACGCTCACACGGAGACATCGGCTATGCATCCGTGCACCTACGAGGGCTGCAACAAGTCCTTCGCCCGGCCCGTGCTGCTCAGCTTCCACATGAAGCGAGTACACAAGGTGGACACCCCGCAGAGGGACTTCCCTTGCACGGAATGCGAGAAGGTTTTTCGCTGCCCCACCGCACTCAAGAAGCACATGTACAAACACACAGGCGAGGAACTCCCCTTCGCCTGTGAGATTTGTGGAAAGCGTTTCCCGATCAATAGTGTGCTTCGCGATCATCTGCTCCGTCACGCAGGCATCAAGAACCATGTGTGTCCATACTGTGGAGTAGGCAAGACGACTCGCCAGGAGTGGAACAAGCATATCCTCACACACACTAAGGAAAAGAAGTATGAGTGCCGGCAGTGCGATCACGCCTCCCACAACAAACAGGCTTTAGCCAACCACGTCAAGGTGGTTCACGAAAAGCGAAAGGATTTCGCTTGCCAGTACTGTGGAAAGACCTTCGGAAAGTCGCATGCCTGCAAGATCCATGAGCGGAGTCACACCGGGGAAAAGTGCTGCGAGTGCAAGATCTGCGGCAAGGTGTTCCTCTTCGAGAAGGGCCTAACCAAGCATTTGAAAACACACGAGAAACGTGATCTGCCCAAGACGCAAGGGGCGAATCCCTTAATGGGCGACGGGGCCAGTGGCTCCTCGACAATAGCAAAGCCCAGTCCGCATTTGCGAGGTCGCGTCGAACGTGTGGACATTGCTCAGCTGGCGGGAACGGTGGCAAATCCGATTCCATCGGTTAACCTGCCTTCGTGGTCCCCGCAAGTGAACTTCACCAAAAAGGAGGGTCAACACATCTGTCCGGATTGTGGCAAGGGCTTTAACCACGTAAGCAACATGAAACTGCATTACAAGGTGGTTCACCAAAAGGTAAAAGACTTCTGCTGCCGCTTCTGCCCCAAGAGATTCGCGAAAAAGCAGTATCTGCGTCACCACGAATACATTCACACCGGCGAAAAGCCGTACGAGTGCAAGGTGTGCGGCAAGCACTTCCGCCAGGAGCAAGTGCTCAAAACACACATGAAAGTACACGACAAGCCACCCCGTCCGCCTGGCAAGCCGAAGGAGCCAGCCGGTCCCAAGGCAGAAACTACCACAGTGAAGCGCCAGCAGCCGAAGAACTTCGAGCAGTACCAGGATCCGGCAGCGGAACGAGCTGCGGCCACCGCTGAGCTGTTGGCCTACCAGATCGAAGAGAATGAGGCCAAGCGCAAGGCGGAGGCGGAGTTGCGAAAGATCCAGGAAGCGGCCTTCGAGCAACTCAACAAGCTCCAGAAACAAACAAACACGTACGATGGCTTCTACGCGCAGAAGGCGGAGGCGGAAGGTACTTCGGTGGATGCGTTGAAACTGGACCATGTTTGAGCAGCAGTATCAACCGGAAAACCTTGCAACCAAAGCAAAACCGCATCCGTTTCCGATCATTTTCATTATGTGTTTCTATGAAGGACATATGAGTTATAGGTATATAAGAATTACCAACTAGTTTTCGGCACTTTGCACATCTGTTTTTAATTTTTTATGTTAAAACCTACCCTCTCAGCAACTTAAGTTTGTACTTTACTAATTGTATTCATTTTAAAATGATTTAAATATAATAAAGAGTAATAAGCATTCAAAATTTGAATTATCAAGTTGAGCTGAGTGTTGGTAAACGTTAAGAGTCTGATAAGGGTTGTGGACGGCAGTCCACTCGATTTTATCTAATTTTCTAACTATATATGTACGTGATCGATACATGATTTTAATTACAGATGTTCGGTTAGGTACTAGAAAATTTCTAGAGCTTTTTGTCTCCTTTGATTGACAGAAACCTTTCATTAGATTTGATTCCACTAGACAAATGTAATTTTCTAGCTTTTTTAAATTTTTGGCTATATTTGTTTGTCCAAATTTAGCATCACTGGCGGGCGAGTATTTTTTGGTATTTGTTTTGATTAGTCTGACGCGTAAAGTAGTTTTTCTTGGCTTACTATTCCGTGGTTTTGGCCAACAGATTCCCTTTGGAACTGGCAACATGGAGGAGGAGGCCGCCCAGTTCTCGGTGCACGCGGTGTGCCGCATTTGTCTGAATCGCCTACCAGAGGATGGCGTCGGACCGGGGTCCTTCGACCTTTTCCTAATCCCCGAGTTGGCCAAGAAGTTGTGTGTCTGCACTTCACTAGTAGTGGAACAGTCGGATGGATTCCCAAAGAGCTTGTGCACGCCGTGCTACAACCGGCTGGACGACATGCACGAGTTCCAGAAACTGTGTGTGGACTCGGTACAGAAGTTCCAGGATATGGTGGCCAGAAATGTCTTCTGCTCGACTGCCAGCTTGCAGATCAAAACTTTTGATGTACTAAATGTGGCCGGAAACGAGGCTGAGTTGGTAGGCCAGGAGGAGGAGGATCGGATCAACTTCGATCCGCTGCTGGATCACAAAATGGAGCTGATTGAGAACGAAGAGGATGTCTTCAAGATGCTGGAGCACGTGGACAAAGAGGCCGAACAGGTAGAGAAAGAAGTCAAGCAGGATGAAATGGATGCCGCCGATCTGATGACCATCTTCACCGCGGATTCCTCGGAGGAAAGCGGCAACGACGATCAAGATGTGGACTTTGAGCCCAACAGCAGCGACGGTGACGATGATGTGCCCCTGGCCCAGCGAATAAGGGAGGTCACCCGGACCAAACCGAAAGCCAAGAGACCCCAAATCAAGGAAGAAGACCTAGAGTACCTTTCAGGTTCTGGTGAAGAAGACGAGGACGAGGAGAAGTCGAAAAGCAGGCGTAGGAGGATTCCTCCCGGCGAGCGTCACCTTCACCGCATTATCGACTGCCACATCTGCCACCAGAAGTTCAAGAAAGCCATCCGCTACGAAGAGCACATGAAACACCACAACGATCTCCTGCCATTCCAGTGCAAAGTGGAGACCTGCAGGAAAGGTATTTAATAATAGGGATTTCCTTAGTTAAAAGAGATTTCTAATTTATTTATGGTTGTAGGTTTTACCACCGCAGGAGGATTGAGGCTCCACATCGACCACGCCCATACAGAGCTATCCGAGGTTCACTCTTGCAATGTCGATGGCTGCGGCAAGACATTCCCACGGATTCGCCTGCTCACCTTCCACATGAAAAAGATGCATGGCATTACAAAGGCGGCGGCGCCGCCACGGACTACCCCCTGCACCGAGTGCGAGAAGGTTTTCCGCTGCCCTATGGCTCTCAAGAAGCATATGTATAAGCACGATGGCAAGGAACTACCCTTCCCCTGCAATATCTGTGGCAAGCGGTTCGTGATCAATAGTGCTCTAAAGGATCATTTAATGAGGCACGCGGGCATCAAGAATTATGTGTGTCCTTACTGTGGAGTGGGAAAAACCACAAGACAGGAGTGGAACACGCACATCCTGACGCATACGCAGGAAAAGAAGTTTAAATGCCACATCTGCGAGCACGCCTCCCACAACAAACAGAGTTTAGCCAATCACATTAAGATCGTGCACGAAAAGATCAAGAACTATGCGTGCCAGTACTGTGGAAAGACCTTTGGAAAGTCACATGCCTGCAAGATCCATGAGATGACGCACACCGGCGAGAAACGGTGCGAATGCAAGGTAAGACTAAGGAGATATTACAAAACATAAACTGATTTCAACCATTTTTATTTTAGGTCTGTGGGAAAAAGTTTCTTTACCCAAAGAGTTTGACGAAACACTTGAAAACGCACGAAAAGCGGGTGCTTCGGGCCATAGAAACCTATCGTCAGCGGCAGGTGGAAATGGGCGAGGCTCCTGGCGAACAGTTAGACAACCCTCCACCACCACCAGTTGAAGGAGTAACCATTGTACCGATCATATCCCAAAATGCAGCAGATGAATTGCTTAAAGTGTGCGCCGAATCAGTGGCTACCATACCCAAAGATCCACGACGTGTTCAACGTGTGGACCTGGCCCAGTTGGCTGGTACTTCTGTGAATCCTATACCCTCGGTTTCAGTGCCTTCTTGGTCACCACAGGTCAACTTCACCAAGAAGGAAGGCAAACATATTTGCCCCGGATGTGGTCAGGGATTTAACAATATCGGAAACATGAAGCGGCACTACAAGATCATCCACGAAAAGGTAAAAGACTTCGCTTGCCGCTTCTGCCCGAAGAGATTCGCGAAAGCCCAGACTCTGAGACACCACGAATGGATTCACACGGGTGAGAAACCTTTCGAGTGCAAGACCTGCGGCACTCATTTCCGCCAGGAAACGGCACTGAAGCGTCATCAGCGAACCCACGAAAACCGTCCACCAGTGATCTCACCCAAGTTTTACGCCGCTCGCGAAGAGCTGGAAGAGCAAGAGCGAAGCAAACGAGAGGCTAAACGGCAGGCGGATGCGAAGCGACGAGAGATTGCTGAGGCGGCAAAGGAGCAGCTTTCCTCGCTGCACAAACTGGAGAGTAACGATCGCAACCTGCACTCCTACGATGAATACCAGGAAGCAGCAGCGGAGCGAGCAGCTGCATCCGCGGAACTTCAGGCGCAACAGTTCGAGGAGAACGAAGTTAAGCGACATGCGGATGAAGAGCGACGAAAGATCCAGGAGGCTGCCTACGAGCAATTGGAACGGTTGCAGCATCAGCAGGAGATTGACAAGGCTCAGAGCTCATACGATGGCTACTACGCCCAGAAGGCGCATGTCGATGGCACTAGTTTGGACGCTTTAAAAATCGATCATGTCTGAGATTTAACTGGCGTTAAACGCTTTCAGAAATTATGTAACAATCGTGGAGTTTTTATGAAAAGCAATACCTTTTAATATGTACGAGAACAGTGTGCATACGATGGATATAAATTAGGCTAGGAATAAACGTTTACATACGATTACATCTAATGTCCTTAATGCTAGTACAAATAATACTGTACATTTATCAGGAAAACATAATACCCTTAAGTGAATTTAATTTAAGTTTATAATTAAACAGGATTGTATTGAGAGGTTGCGAGTCGTAAGAAATTATACATTTAACTGAAAAAGCAAACTGAAATGTTTTATTAACATTATCGAGTATCAAACAAAAGTTTTTGTTATGTTGGCAGGTTCAGTATTTGTCTTCTTAAATAATTTAATTTTTCTAATCTTATCTAGGTCTACTTACAGAACGACTATAATTATAGTCGAAATCTTCTACCCTTTTCAAGGGTACGTACAAAAAATAACCTTAATTAAATTTAAATCTAATAGATTCTACTCTTTTTCCTTGAGTATAAAAAGCTTCTTAAGACTATCGAGTGTCATGTTCTCAAGATCCCAATGCGTTGACAATGTCTTTGTATCATCGGCAGAAGTAATTAGGCTGAGAATATTCTCCTCGATGGTTCCATTCACAATGAATCGATGTACCTTTGTGGGTCTAAGCAAAATCTAATGAGAACTGGCAAAGTTATATTTTATTAGACGAACTTACTTATTCTGTCCAAAGCGGTGAATGCGACCTATAGCCTGGCGTTCGTCGCCCGGATTAAGGATCGGTTCCACGAGGAAAACATGTGTGGCTTCAATCAGATTTAAACCTTTCGAGCCTTTAGAAAGGGGCATCAGTAGGCAGGTTACATTGCTAAATGGATCCTAGCAGATGGTTTAATTGTTAGCATTTCTTAATGACATATTTGAAAACAGAATAAAACCTTAAAATCTTCGAAGTCCTTATTGCTGCACTTATTGCGGAAATGGATGGAGTTGAGACTGAGGGCCCTGGCAATTTGAACTAAAATCGCCTGCCACTGAGAGAAGATTAGTATCTTCTCTTGTTCATTCTCCCCTTTTATTTTCAGCACAAGTTCCACAATATTAGCAATTTTTGTAGAAAAATCACCAATTATGGTTTTGTGAGCCCCAGGACGTATTGAGTAGTATAGTCTATAAGAAATGTACATTTATAAGCAGCGATTTAGATTGCGGAAGGAGAAATCTTACTGTGGAGAATCTTGCCGACAAAGTGGACACTTGATAACGGAATCGCTGGAATACTTTTTTCTCATGCTATCCAAGCAGTACTGGCACACAAAGTGACCACACACCATCATTACATACTAAAAGAAAAATAAATATTTTCAGAATGAAAATTGGATTAAAATGCTGCCACTTACCCTCACATCATCCTGCGTCTGACAGATGGGACATGGTTTGTCCGCTGTATCCTCTTTTAGATGCTTTAGGTACTTTAACCTACCACACAGACGCGTGAAGTTTAGCTGCGACTCGCGCAGATTATACTGATTGAACTCCAATTGCTCGTCCAGCTGGCAAGGCAGGATTCTGTAATTCGATTGCTCCTCGGGATCGTCAGTTAGGAGAATTCTCATCCTGCACATTTCCAGTTCATCAAAAGCCTTGACCATGTACTCCACCTCGATCCAGTATTTGATTTGCAACTTGACCAGCTCCTGCAGGCTTAAGAGCAAATCCAGTTTGTTTTGGCACTCCGCTTTCCACTCACTAAATTCTGGCTTGGAGCGCAGAAAGGAAAAGATAGCTGGGTGCCAAAAAAACATAGGTTACTTTAAAATCTTAAACTATATTTTGTTGCATTTAATTACATTTGATGAGACTTATTTCCATGCTGGGAATTTCCAGACCCTCGGTAGCCGTTGCTTGCTCGTCCAGCTTCTTGGCAAATAGAAGACACTCAAATTGATTCAATGAATCGCGAATTTTGCATAAACGACAATGACGTCGTTTTTTTGGCTTTTCTGGCTTATCATTGTCTTTATTTTCTTCCTTTAAAATAAAAATTATAATAAGAATTTTAAAATACAAAACAATACTCACCAAAATCTCTGCCAAATGACAATCGGTTACGGTTCCTATGAAATTGTTTATATCCTGTGAGAGGAGCTCTCCTTTTTTAACAGCCCCACAAGCTTCTTGCATAACTCCCTTTAGGTATTCAAACTCAGTAAGTAAATTTGTTTTTAACTTTTGTAGCTTCTTATGCCATAAATCTACAAAATAAAGCATTCCTGCCATAGAGTTCACATTATCGAGCCTTTCCACTGAGATGTTTTGACGGAAGAAATCATCCCGGACTTTGTTCCAAACAGCATCGTGAAGAGATGTTTTATGGTTCACCACCGTTGCCAGCAGATCCACAGTGCTGCCATCGAACTGTTTTTCTAGTTCATAAACCTCCTTGAGTTTCTCCTCAAATAAACCAAGTGCGTTTTCTAGCACGTTAGTATTATCCTGCAGATACTTCCACTCCAGTCGCTTCATTTGAACTTGATAGTCGTGCTGCTCCAATTCAGTTAACTTGTCTGCAGTTTTAGCTAATTCACTAGCCTGCAGCACGTTGTAGATGGCATGAATCTGCAGTACACTGTCGACTCTGAATAATTAAAAAGTGAAATTATAATTTAAAGATAGTCTTACAGAAAAAAAAGGAACTTACGATATATTCTGCTCGTTATATTCCGCAGCCAGTTTTAACAATAGCTTGTAATACTTAATGGCCTGAGGAAAATCCTCTTTTATAAAGTGTATAGCCGCCAAGCCGTTGTAGGAAGAGGCCCAGCTTCGCAACTCTGTCTTGCACTCATTTTCATTATTGGACTTGAGACGCATCAGAAGATCATGTGGATTCAAATAGTCGGCACTAGACACATTGCTGTTAAGCACGACGGGCACTGAGCAGGTTTGACGGATGCGGAGGAAGGGCTTTAGGATGATCCGCAGCAATTGTGGAGAGATAGATGCCAGGCAAAAGCTGTTGTCTGCATTGTGGCGTGTGTGTTTGGTCACGGCTGAGAGGAATTGTTCGTGACATTTTTGGTGCTCCTCGCGGTAATATAGCGATTCAACGTTGCTCAACTCCAGTCGGTGAACCACCTCTGTTTGCGGCGGGATGCCCAGTTCATGCTCGACCTTTGATTTGCAGGTCCGCCACAAGCTGTGCTCTAGCAGTTCTAGCAACGGTTCGCACTTGTAGTTAAGCTGAAAAGCTTTGTCCACCGTTTGCCATGCATCTGTGGGTCTACAAATTTCTGACCTGCCCACGAACTCCAAAAGGGGCGGCAGGTCGTCTATTGTGCCAGTGACAGCCCAGCGATTGATCGCTGGCAGCATTCTTACCATCTCAGCAGCCGCTGAAGTGTTGCTCTCGACCATCTGAGAAGGAAAAATATGAAATATTCAGTTGCTTTTGTATGATAGGGGTATCCACATTACCTGCGCCTCATCCAGGCAAACACGCCACCAGTTGACCATAAGGAGTGGAGAGTAGGGTCGCATGTACACCTGTTGGTGGCGCATCTGGCGGTCAGACTTATAGTCCGTCGTGTGGTATATTTCGTTGCGCAGTATTGTATAGTCCGTGAGTACCACATCATAATTGGCCAGCTCGAGAGGACTAACCCAAAGGGACGAGTTCAGTCCAAGATAAAGCAACACTTTCAGGGCCGGCGATATGTGTTTTCGTATCTCTTGGAACCACTGCAATTTGATGGGATTGGGAGACACAATGATGGTGGCACCGGTCTCAACCAACCTTTCACTGGCTTTTCCCAACTCGACCCAACAGGTGGGACACAGGTGAGGTATGGTTGATTTTGGAATGTAACCCATACATCTTTCGTGTTGCCACCGACGGCATTTGCTGCATTGCACCAGGGTGCCACGTTTCTGGGTGCAAATGCAGAACACGACCTCTTTTTTGTGCATGCGTGCCCGCTTTAACGGCACATCTTCAGCAAACTCATCCAGCCGTTGGTGCCAGTAATCGTTCCTGAAAGAGTCCTGCGGCCTGGGATTCATCAGCAGCATTGCAAGGAACTCAACGGTCTTGCCAAGACCCATTTCGTCAGCCAGGATGCCTCCAGGAGGCAGGGTGATCTTGGGAAGCTCGTCATCGAATGTGTAAAACTGCAGACAGTAGTTGTGCTTCAAGACACTATTCTTGCCATCTACGGCAAGAAGAACTGTATAATTGGCTGGTACTTGGGTGATGTGCTGCTCCCGTCCCAACATCCAAGACACTGTACGCTCCTGATACTTGCGAAGCCGGGATTGAAATCTTTCGGGAAGGTTTAGAGGCAGATCCTGATCCGGATTCCGTGTTTGGCGATGTTTTTCATACAGGGCATCGTACAGTTTGGTGGTCACATAGGTCTTGAGGGGCCGCTTATGCTCCTGCTCCTGCTGAGCCACCTCGAACTCCAGGCTGGCCTCGAAGTTTTTGAAGACTATGGGTAGTAATTTGGCTGCCACTTCCATCTCCACAACGCGTGCTCGAACGTGCGTCTGGTTATGGCAGAGCACCAGGGACCAACTATCTGTGTCTTGTTGGATTGGCTTGAACTTTAGCTTCCTTGTCCGAGCTTTCTGGCCTGTTTAAATCAAATAGTATTAATCCAATTTTATAAGTTTCGAGTCGCAACGTACATTGTTCAATGCAATTCAGAAGCACGTCCTTATATTCAATGAAAAACTCTTTAAACACCCATCTCTTTTTGACGTATTGAAACTCTAATGGGCCCGGGTCTTTGACACATTCTGGAGCTACTTCATCCGCAATTTCGCACAGAACAATTCCTTCCATCTTTCTGGGAGCATCAAAATATTTTTGTTTAATTCACAAAAGCAAATGAACGATGACCGCCAATACGATAACCGATTAAATATCGCGGCATTACTGCTAACATTTAGTCAATTCTAGGGGATGTTTTAATTGTTTTCAGCACCATATAAGTGAATTGCAAAATAAAAATTATAATTATTTACATATTTTTGATTTTATCCCATATTATGATATTGTACTTCACTGGTTTTTGTTTTTACAATTAATGTTTTCATACTTAACATTGTAAATGCTGTCAAGTTCTGTTCCCGTCCACTGTTAACCGTCAAAAATAAAAATTCTCGTTAATTAACATTTTCTTTTTACTTTTTACACGTTTTAACAATTTTACATGACTCTTAATTCAGTGTTACCCAATATTTTTTCCTATACATTTGATTTTGGGTGAACGCCGAATCGCCATCTGGTAACACTATTACGAGCAGTGAAGAAAATTATAGCGTGGTTTTTTCGGTTGAAAAACAATTAAAAGTGCAACAAACAGTGAGAAAAACAAAGTCCAACCAACTCGTAAGTGCGGCCCAACCACCGCCAAACCACCGCAAAGCCAAACGACCGGCGAAATCACACTTTTCTACCCGCATTCGTAGTGTATATGTGGGGCCTGCTTGGCATAATTACAGAAATTTACGCATTACTTTGTGCGAGTCTCGGGTGTCGAGTTAAGCCTCGTCAGTGTTTTAATTAAACGATTCCGCTTGCCCAGATCTAAAAATCAAATCTTCTATCCCATCCCGCAGAGCCGTGCATGCCCAGTCATCAGCGTTCCGCGAGTCCAGCGAAGAGATTCTTTATTCCCCCTGCCTGAAAGTGTCACCACCGCCAAGACGTACGTGCGAAAAATGTTTTGGGACAAGGGTTATGCGCCCTCCGCGAATATAGAGGCGCTGCTCGAGAAGGAGGTAAGTTTACCTATTCTAAACAACTGCGAAATTTTCACTTCCGCATCTTGGCTGACTTGTAGACCTCCACTGTGGAGGAATTCCTCGATGAGGAGGATATACTGCAGGAGTGTAAGACGCAAAAAAAGAACCTGGTTAACTACTTTACACGCCCCGAGGTAATCCGACGCCTAGTGGAGCTGATCACGACCGAGCCCTCTGAAGATGTGCCCATGTCGCAGCGATTTCGATACGCCAACATGTCCTGTGAGATACTCACACTGTAAGTATTTAGGGATGGCTAAAATAGGGACTTTCGGACTTCTATAAAAACTCCTTTACAGCGGCCTGCCGTCCCTAGATGAGAAGCTACTGACCGACGCGGGAACGCTTCAGATGCTGTATTCATATCTGGAAAAGGAACCACCGTTAAATCCATTGCTATCGTCGTTTTTTAGCAAAACCTTTAGCATGCTCTTTACCAAAAAGCCTGAACAAGATTGGTTTTTGTATCAACACATGTGCCTACAACTCCTGGAGTATATTAAATCGCAGAAGACCTTTTTGGATTTCATTTGTAAACACTTTGACACACCAGTCATACCTGATTTAATAATGCAGATGATGAAGCACATCGAGGGTGGTCAACTCAAGCGAAACCTTTTTGAAGTGAGTTGTCTGTTTTGTTAGGATAAAAGCTAATCAGCTAATCGGATATATATTTTTACAGTGGCTAACTGAAGATAAAATTGTTGAGAGACTGATTGCAATATTGCGTAATCCTCAAGAAACCGACAAACATGCAAATGTTGCCGACTTTTTCTGTGATCTTATTAACCAAGGGCGCTTGATGCGCCAAACCGAGCAAGAGAACGATTCGTTTGAGCCGGCCTTCGATGGCTCTAACCCCATACTGAAGACGATTGAATCTGCGGACACAATTGAAGCCTTGTTAAATGTGATTTTGGAACCAAACGCTCAGGAGAGCGCCATCTTGTCAGGAATATCGGTTGTACTTACGCTTATCAAGCCAATTACCTTCACGTAAGTTGAGCTTCCAGTTGTTTTCTCACCTCATACTGATTGCTATGGATTGTTTTTCTGTTCAGGGATGAGCCCAACTCAGATCGCCAAAGGCTGTTGCAAAAGCGCGAGCGCGAATTCCATCAGGAAGTGCAGGAGACTGTGATCACTGTAATGGCTCCACGCCTTCAAGAATTTGTTCACGTTTTAAAGAACCCGCCTGCGGTTAGTATACCAATTTAAAACAGAAAAAACAAGTTGTTTACCTCTTATTTTGTAGAAACCCACACTGGAAACCACGGCCGCCGTGTTGACGCCCCCTTTCGGTAAGACCCGATTGCAAGTTTGCCGCGTGTTTACCGCTCTGCTGGAGACTAAACATGAGACCATTCAGCAGGCGTAAGTTACAGATTAATTCGAAAGTTGTGACTTTCATATTACAATACTCTTATTTCCTACTTCAGAATCTGCGCAACCGAGTATTTCAGTCTTTTGCTCGAGTTTTTCAAGCAGTACTGTTGGAACAACTTCCTGCACACCGAAATGGAGAAGGCCATGCATGTAGTCTTCTACAACGAGCTTTCTAATAATAACACGGCATCCACAGAGGTCACGGACTTCTTTACTGCTGACTGCCTGATCAATGCCTTTCTGAAAGTTGGAACCGAAGAGTCCGAGGTGGAGATGAAGAATGCTCTGAACGATGCGAAGCGAGCGGAGGGTGGCAAGGAGGATGAAGGGGCCGACATTGAAATAGAAGTGGCAGCTGCGCAGGATGCGGCTGCGCAGGCGCAGGATCAGAAACAGTTGGTTGCCGAAGAACTGCTGGCTGATCAAGTGGAATTCGCGACCGAAGCAACTAGTGAAGGAACAGAACCCAAACCGCAGGAAAATCATGTGGGGAATAGTGAGGTTGATGGTGAATCTCCAGCAGATCAGAATGAAACGGAGCCAACTCTCAATGATCTCGACAAGACCAAGACCGTGCCCAGCGCTCCGCCCTCCGAAATGCAAAACCATGTAAGTTGTAGTTGGTTAAAGGTCAGAACAAGTCTTAAGTCTTTATGATTTGCAGTTGATTGTAAATTGTCACTTGATATCCAAATTGGTTGACTTTTGGCAGCACAATGCGCAGGCGCAGTAAGTTGAAGAAATAAGTTCTATATAGTCAACAAATAAACACATGCTTTCACTTTCAGATCTGCTGAGAAGGGTCGACGTCTGGGCTATATGGGCCACCTTATCAAAATTCTGCGGCACATTACGAATTGTATATCAGAATCTGAACATATCGCTGACCTAATCACGACCAGCATAAGTGACGAAGCCGAGCTGAAGCTCTGGCAATCGCTGATCGATGCGGATACTGGCGAGTTTACGTTGGCGGTCAAACAGCAGACCAAGCTGCTAGCTGATTGCAATCCGCACGAGGAGAATGAGTACAACGTGGGTGCAAAGGACTATCTGGGCGAGACAAATGCCTGGGACATCGGAACCCTGTCGTACAGTAATATGGGATACAGTGATCTGGATAACACGTTGCAGGACATTGTCTTCACCATGGACAACGATCAGAATCTGTTTCAGTTTGGTCGAAACATCGACGACGAGGATGATGACGATGATGAGCATGGCGACCATTCGGGCGGAGGCGACGGCCATGGGCACGGCATGTTCACTAAGAATTCGATCACGCTAAACAATTTGGCGGATCCCTGGGACATGGACGTCCAGTTTTCGGACATTCCTAGCGTGTCTGCTCAGGTTAACACGGGCACAGCCAACTGGGGCACGGATTTCAATGCTGACAATTTTGCCGACTTTGATGCACACTTCAGTACTTTCGGCAGCGATCTGGGTATGCCCACAACTGCCCCGCCAGGTGATGAGGAAGATGAGGACTCTCCTCTAGCTCCTGCATCTGCAACTGAAGTGGATCCAAATGAGGAGCGTACACATGGTGAATCTATTGAACCAGCTTTGGGCAAATGTATCCAGGATAATAAAGCTTGCAGTGATGCTCAGCAGGCTGAGTACGACAATAATGCCAATGTGGAGAAGGCCATAAGCGATAAACTGGCCGAGTCGAGCGTCGTGGAGACCGCATCGATTGTTACCCGCCTGCAGTCTGTGCTGCTGGACGGCGAGGAAGACTATGAGGACGATGAGGGCATGTGGACCAAGCCCCTGGGGGCGGATCGTCCTACGGAGATTGAGCAGACAACTCCCATTTCAAATGGACCAACCAACAAAATTAATGAATTGTAAGTAACTTTTATTTTGGTTTTGGAAACAATCAGAAAAGTCAGGACAGTTTCAGATTAATTTGTGTACTTATATTTTATATTGCCCAGGAATAATGGGATATTTAGAGAAAGCTTTTGCTTTTATTTTCAAAAAGACTTAACCAAGCATTTGTAATTAAAACCATTGCCTTGCCTTCCAGCAATCATGCCAACGACAACAGTAGCAGCAACGTGGATGGCCACGAAGCCAACATCACAGCAGAGCAGCAGAAATTGGCCGCCGGCGCCAAGACGAACAATGTCGAAATTGCAACAACGACCACATAAATGCACTTTCACCACAACATACATCATCCAATCGCAATCGCAATCGCAATTGTATGGCATATAATGTGTCGACGAAAAACTGTAAAAATGCCTTTGATTTGCTCTTTGGACATTCTTATACATAATCATGCATACATATTTATATAAATATATACCATATACTACTACTATACGTACATATAAAACAGGCTGCATAGTACAACAAACGATTTGTGTATTAGCAAAAGGCCGAAGCCCGCCCAAAACCAAAATGAAAATTAACTAAAAACAAACAAAAAAAAAAACGACAAAAAAATGTTCAAAGTGAAAAGTATGTTGTTGATTCTTTCTGCTCCTCGCTCGTATTGCCAATTATTTTAATTATTACTCTTCCTTCATGTTTCCTAATTAAGTAAACTGTATTTCGTTTGTAATTTGTATAAGTCTGTCGATTTAGTAAGCTTTTACTTTCAATACTCTCAATGTGTTAGGCAATCTATGAGCATTACTTAAAGTACCAAAATTCACGCCACATCTTAGAATGCTTAGTTTATATTCATATTGTATTTGTTTTAGCTCGATCACATGAGGATTATCTACGTATTCATATGATATATATATATATATATATATTTACACACACACACACATTTGAGGGCTGTCCCTAAGTTACGTTATTGCATTTTAACCCATTTTCGTCCTACTTTTTCGTTGGGAATCCCCTCCAATATAATCAGCGATGACGTAATATGTGGACAACCCCGCAACCTATACTTGTATTGTTAAATTGGAGACTTGTATTTATTGTATGTATTTTGAAAAACGAAATCAAAAGCAATGCCAAAATAGAAACACGTTTAACACCACATACGAACATAACCACATGCTGGAAGCACAAAAGTACGCATTATGTATTAGAGAGGTATATTATATACTGTCTTTTGCCATTATTACCTTGTTTGTATACAAATCGGTTTAACCAAAAAATATTCTTTGTCGAAAGTACAAAACACTGAAAGAAACCACAAAAAAAGAAGGATAATAATACCATTACGAAAGGACAACAACCGGCATTTGTCATCACACGAATGATGTATACACCCCCGATCTACACTGTAACACTACCTATGACTATATACGATTAATAGAACCAAAACGAGAAACAAAAAATTCAAATGAAGACTTTCCAAGAAGACATTTTAAATTTACATATACATTTTTTTGTTTATATGTTTCTATTTTCTCTGTTCAAGTTATTGCTAAAAAAGAAAATGTTTGTCTTTTAAGCGTGCAAGAAACCACGAAGAAAACGCTGAAAAAAATGAAAATATAGAGAAGAAGTTAAACAAATATGCCATCTTTTGCTTCCAAATAATTACGTTTTAATTATGATTAAAAATAAAAGAGAAACTACTTTTAAAGTGAAATTGATGTTTGTTTTACGCGAGACGATTTGCTCACCAAAAACAAAAATTAAAACATAAAAAACAAACAAAAATCTAGACAAGTAGATTATATTCTAGGATTATCCACAAAGAAAAGCGGGCAGCATATCAGGCACAGATGTGTGGAAAATAAATAATAAACAACACCTCTTCCCACACATCCCAAGCAAAAAAAAAAAAATAAAAGTAAAGCCCTTGTTTGCTTATTACTTTAGAATGTTTAATTATAGGACACAATTTTGCACAAATTTCAACACGTTTGCTTCTTATTTTGCATACTGTAGCAACACAAATTATATAAACGAACAACCAAGTAAATTAATTAAACAAGAAAACAAAACAGCAGAAGTAAGAAATAAAAACAAGAATATTCAAACGTTTAAACTATCTCTGATGAAAAACTGTGATAATTAAATGAAGTTGCAGGGTATTTGATAAAGCAAACTTAATTTAAACAAATTGTAAAACATCAACTAATGGCCTAAACCATTTGGAAAATACAAAACACAGCCAACACGAGACACTCTGAACAAGTTAATTGATACGATTCTTTAGCATCACAATCAGCAGGACACCTCGACAACCAAACAGCAATAACTACTGCAATGAAGTCTAATTGAAGGAGTTTTAATGTGTAGTCTTTAACAGTGCGAAAGTATCTCTAAGTTCGAGCTAGTAAGGATAGACATGGATCGCATCTCTTAGTTCCCTAGCTTCTCACCAACTAAGCACTAAACTAAAAGTATAACTTAAATACTCATATCAAGCAGCCAATTGTAAACCTTGTACTGTACATACAATTGTCCCCAGTATTGTCTTCCCCCCTAGTTATGTGTCTTTTCGTTTCTATCAACTAACTTAGTATCCAAAAAGTATCCAACGATAAGTGACGATGATCCTTCCCTTGTGCATATGCCTTACTAAGAACTATAAAACCAAAACAAAAATAAATCACTCACACGCATAGAAACCCCGATATAGAGAGAGTAGAGTCCGTAATCCTAGAGATAGTTTCACCTACATACTGTGTGTCTTTTAAATGTTAAGCAGCTGCAGCAAGCTTAATATATATATATATACGAATACTAATAATAAATGAAAAAACCAAAACGAGATCGTAATTATAATACCTAAAAAACGATGTAGACAAAGTCTTGTGGGCAGCTTTAAGCATTTTGTTTGTCTAATTATAATATGAACTTGAATAAGAATACCAAACGTCCAAAGTTTTTTGCAAACAAGAACTAAGAACAATTGTGAACAAGAAAGTCTTCAGAAATGTTTTGATCACCTCGATGCGAAACGGAAACAGAATTATACACACATAAGTACATGCATGCCTATATACAGAGATACATTAAATTAATTAATTGATTCAATTAATTATCGAAAACATCTTGATGGAATGAAGTTGTAGAATATTTTGTGACGTGTGCATTAGGTGTTAAGTGAGGTTGTAATTTTCGTGGCGCAATTAATTGAGACAAAACTGAAGCGGGAATAATGTTGAAGATGAAAATGCTATTTTTTAAGAATCGTAACGTACATTATTTTGTCTGTGTGTGTTCAAGCAATTCAGTATTTCAATTAAGCCAATTCAATGAATAACCCCCAAAAAAAACAATGCTACAATGGTTTCCAATTGCAAACCACAAGAAAAGATATAGAACAGATGAATTCAATATAATCAATCGAAGGTCTAATTCTCTAACTCTTTAATAAAGAACCAGCGGGAACAACAACGATGAAGAAGCAACTGTAATACAACAAAGAATAAAACAAAAAAAATGAATAACTTAAACTTCTTACAGTAAATATATATATTTGAAAATAGAAAAAACTTAAAAAAAAAAAAATGAAACGAAAAAAAAAATGAAATTGTTAACATAATGGATATTTTGTTAAATGCGAAACTTTGAACGAATTACTAACCACATTAGCAAATAGTTAATGGAAACCGAACCCAAGTGTGCTTCATGTATGAATTTATGTTAGATATTTACAACAATACGCGTATACATATTCCTAACTAAACCAAGCGAAAGAAAGAAAAGCCACATACAGAATTTGCATATTACTCTTAACGATTAACAACTATTGGTGTCTATGCATATACACATAATTATTAACGAACTATACTATATATATTACCTTTGTATATGTAAGCCGAGTACAGACTTTTGAGAACTGCGAAACGTATCGTGAAATATCCAAAACAGACATATTTGTCATACTTTGCTATAGAGCATATATATAGATACGTTAAGTGCTCAAGGTGATAGCTGCACACTAGGGTGGACCATAGTTTTATTTATGGTTTAAGACTTGCACTATGCTTAAACTGACAAGATATGGTTTCAACACGGATCCCTAATACGTAATGTTGCCAGGAGTCCATGTCGTATGAGTAATTTTTGTGGTACTTTGCTAAATTCATTTCATTTTTCTAAGAACTTTAAATTCCTTAGTTTAACCACCATTAGCCAAATACCAATCTGAATAATTGAGACTTTTTGTAACCGAAATAATGTACAAGTAAATGTTTACAAATATTTATGATATTTAAAGTACACACTAGATTAATTTATAAAAAACCATTAAAGAGAGCTTTAAAACGATTAAAATGGTGACACTTTTGTACTTCTAGAAAAACCTATTTTTGGCCAAATATTTTACTAATATATGAATTGGTTTTGGCAGAATTCAATGATTGTTAGCTTGCACCAAGAGTTATTATTTCTGGTCCACCCTACTGCACACCCACAAAAAAAAAAAAATAAAAAACACGTACAGAAAGACACCCAAAAACACATACTCGCCGCTTTGCTTGCCACATTGTTTTGGTCGAAACTCCGAGGGAATATTTTAAAGCGAATTACTAACTAACCCCAAAGGGACACTCTGGAATCGCGATTTCTTGAGTAAGTGCCTTAAACTGACAGAGAGAGATAGTAATGGAGAGTGGAATGGAAGATGTAGAAGGGAAAGGTTTTGAGGACTCCGCGACCAGATCCAAAAGTTAAAATAATTCTTTTTGGTACATTTTTCTTAGGGAGAAGGAGAGACAGACCTTTGTTCAAAACTCTACTAAGTGTTAGCCAACCCCGGCAAACCAACTAAATGTAGTTCCAGAAATCAAGCAAACAGAATAGTTAACTCTATGCTCCGATCTATACTAACTATACCTTTTACCGTCGCATTTCTACACAGGCATATAGAAGTAATTGTACGATTAACTATGAATTAAAATCTTGTATTTGTGAGTGTTTTTGTGGCCCGTCAACGTTTTGCTCAACAACGCACACTCACACAAATATAAACTAAGAGAGAATAAAAAAAAGAAAGAAAATTACAAAAAAAAATGATACACTGAGAGAAAGACACCCACACACAGAACACACACTTACACCCGCTTTACCCAAGTTGAAGACAATTTGTGATTGTTTTGCATGTACCCTAAAGTTAAGCGAGTTTACACGAATATGGATTAAGCCGCAGGAAGCGGAAGCGGAAGCGGAAGCGTAAACTGTACGAGTAATAGCATTAATTGTCTAACAATAAGATTTGTGCATTATACGATAGAAATTCACTTTGAATTCGTATTGAAATTTATCAATAAAGCGATACTATTTGATTCTTAACTGGGTTTTTGAACTAATATTTTTGATATGTTCTGATTTTTTAGAATTCCAAATAATTGACCATAAATTAAGCTTTAAATTTCAAAATCATTTTTTTTTATCAAATTCTTTTGTTTTATTTTTATTCTTTAGTTTTCAGTTAAAATATTGTATTTCTTTATCACAGCTGTTCCCCAAAAAGTGTGCTACAAATATATTCTCCAGATCCTAACTGGACTTCGAAGTAGATGTGGTAACCGTTGTGGTCATTGTAGTGGTGCTGGTAGTGCTGGATCGTGATTGGGAATGGGAATGGGAAGCACCATGTCGAGTCTCCATGTGTCGTTGCAGATCTCTGCGACGTGGAAAGGATTTGTGGCAAATGTGACATTGATAACCGGCATCCGTTTCCCCTTCGATGTCCACATCGCTGCCGGCACCACCTGCTCCACTGTCAGCTCCTGCCGAAGAACTACTCGGATGCGTCTGAAGATGGAGCCGAACATGCTTGTTAAGATTGCTGGGATCGCCAAATGGCCTTAGGCAGAATTTGCACTTCAGAGGCTTGAATCCAGTGTGGGTGCGTATGTGAATCTTGAGTCCGTATTTCCTGGAATAGACTTTTCCACAATAGATGCACAGATGACCCTGCTTGGAGGCACCCATATTGCTGACTATAGCCTCGATCTGGGCAGCTGCATTCATTGGATGGGTGGACAGTGGAGCTGTGGCCATCGAAATGGAGGGCAGGTAAGACAGAGTTCCTGGAGTAGTGCTTGTCGTTGTCAAGGGCAAACTTTGGGTAAGAGCTGCAATTGGTCGAAAGGCTGAGAAACGGGGTGGCATCTGTGGCGGAGGCGAGTGGGTTGGCGAAGCCGAGGAGGTGGACGAAGCCGCCGGAATGGGTGAATGCTGGGTGGCTGTCTGACTTTGAGCTGCTGCTTTCAGAGCGTAATGCAGTCTCATCCACAGGATATCCATGGCACTGCGGCCACAACCCAGAGCCAAATGGATCTTCAGTGGGTGGGGCGTCTCGAAGGTTAAGTGGCAGAGATGACACGTGTAGCGACTATTTCCTGCAATTAACAAATATAAATATGAAGGTTAGTTTTATTTATTTTTCATATGACTAAATAACTTAAAAACTTCTTTGAGTTTCAAAATTTGAGCAGAGCTAGAGATGCTTACCTTGAATATTTAGGGGCGTCAGGAAAGGAATGCCCATGAGCAGGACAAGCTCCTCGCCAAACCATGCTACGATCTCATCCTCCCGGGCCACATCACTGACCAATCGGACGCGAACCTGCCCTCCGTGCAGTTCAAAGATGGCATTGAAGCTATAAACATCCTCCGAGAGTTTAATCTGGCGAAGTAGGGAGGCGGATACGATCAGTTCGCCATTAGAAAGTTGGCAATAAGAGCGTCCGACATCCGTAGGAGTGGCCGTAGATCCGAGAAGAGCAGACGTGGGAATGGCAATCGAGCAGGTGTCCTTCGGCGTATATTGCGAGGTGTAAACTCCTGGTCGTGGATTGCTCCTCATCCTCTTGGCAGGACTGGCTGTACTCGTAGAAGGCGTCAATGTTGTCTCCGTTGATGAAGTGGTTATGGTGGTGCTAGGTGAAATACTGGTGCTGGGCAGCAGCTGCTCGATCCGAAAGATCAGACTGGCCGAGCGCTTTTGCTCCAGGCTATCCAGTTGAGCTGTCGTGTGCATCGTTCGCGTTCGAATTTGATTCTGCGTTCCAATTGGAAGCCGACCGGCGTTTTTATACCACGCCACATCCGTATTCGCATCCTGCTGCTGCTCCCTTATTTTTTTTTTTTGGACTTGGATTTGCCACGGCCTTGCAGTGTCACAATAGCACGGCTGGCGGCAAGTGCAAGAATTCCCAGCCCAGAATCTAGTCCGGCACCGGCTACGGCCTCGACATAGCTACGCACTTTGCCGGCTCAACCCCCTGGCTCATTTGGCATCCCTTTTCGAGGTCCTGGTGCGTCCTGGTGGTTGCTCGGCAAGTGCAACATCATGTCCTCGCAATCACCAGAGCACTAAGCCAAGCTAAGCGGCCTGTAGCAAGTGTGCGTATTCCTGTGCCAAAAAGTCCTCCGCCTCCTTTTCCACCGCCACCGAGGTCCTTTATTTTTTGGCTTTTGGTCTGTGCGCAAGGAAAATGTTTTTAATTGAAATTAAACGATCGTTTGTTGTTACTTCCCCTATTGTTGTTGTTGTTATGCCACCATATACAAATCGCATTCGCCATCGTCAATGTCATTCTGGCCATGGTCCCTCCCTCCCCGGTACAATTTCCCCACCCCTAGTCCTTCCACTATAATGCTAATGCCATAATATATTGGCGTGTATCGTTTCACTATTTGCGGTTTGGGGTGGGTCGTGATTTCTGAGCTCGACGTTTGGTTGGTGCGGATTTCGGGTAGATATGGGCCGAAAAATGATAGACGTTAGTGTTAATTCTGAAAAGGTATTGGGTGAATATCAGTGAAATAATAGAAATAATATTTATATAAATGTAAGAAATATTGATAATTAATAAACTTTGTCGATTTTGTGATAATTTTGATTTATTCTGAGTTCATTCTAAGATATTCATAATCAGCTTGCATTCAAACAGTGGAAATAATAATTAATTTCTAAATAAATTTAATATAATATTTGCCAAAATATTATTTAAATAAACTTAATTATACAAATATGTTAAATTTATTTAATGTGCCCCCTTTTTCGTATACCCCCGAACCCGCATAACAATCCGCTCCGCTCCTGCCGACTGACAAATATGCTACGAGGCTAATGTTTTCATTATTGCGACACAATCGCTGCGGCATCCCCTTCAGCCTCCCCTGGACATCCCTCTACAAGCGATCAACAGGATAAAGTTGGGCGAGCGATTGGCAAGCGGGGAAAAAACATGTGTTGCCAGTCACACAGCCGTCGCTCATGCTCAAGGGTTGGATTTGGTGGCCAAACAGGACGCACCATCCAAGCCAGGAGCAAGGTGTACCAGGCCAGGACCAATTCTGGCTTGGTGTTTGCTAGTCCTGAATAAGTAGGCCGCCAAAGGGGGTTTCAATTGAAGCATTTTAATTGGTAATTAAAGAACTAATCATTTTAAAGGGAATTCAAGAAGGTGGAAAGTTAAGAGTTATTTTTGTTAATTGAAATTAACCCACCACCCGTAATAAAATTATTAATATTATATCATGTTCGAGAAATTCCGTTTTGAGTATGGTTTGAGATCAAGTTTTTAAGTTAAAGTTTAGTTCAAGTTTTAGTTTAAGTCCTTTACTTTCGCCGGTAGGTATAACCACCTCCATTACCACCACTATCATCATTGCCACCCGTCTCATTGTCATCGCAGCCGTGGCATCCTCCACCTGCGGCCAGTTTGTCCAAGGCCTCTTGAATCTCGATGGGGATGGGTGGCGGTGTGGGCAGGTGATCGCCCTGCGGCTGGAATCCGTTCTCATCGGCAATGTAGGTCAGCGAGATTTCATCTCCCTCGGGACTGGTGTACGAGAATGACCCCTCCGCCACCTGTGCCTCTTCGCCTTTTACTCCGGCGTTCTTTAGGTAACCCATTTCCTCCGCCTTGATCCCATTTCCAGTTTCGTATTCGTACTGAAATAAGGTACTGTTTAAAACTTTTCATGATACTGTAAATTATTCAAAGTCAACCTTATAAGAGCCATCCGTGTTCACCATGGACTCCAGCTTAATGATAGGAATAACCTCTCCACCCCCTGAAGATCCTCCTTCTCCACCGCCTCCTGAAGAACCTCCATTGCCATTGCCTGGTGGTAAGTACTCATTTCCGGGTTTAGGTGGAGGCTTTCCATTGCCATTTTTAGGTGGTGGCCCATAGCTGTTATTAGGTTTGGGTGGAGCAGGTGGTGGCTTTCCGTTGCCATTCTTAGGTGGACCATAGCTATTTGCCGGTGGTGGAGGGGGACGTGGTGGTGGAGCTGGTGGCTTGGCTGGCAAATAAGTGGATGGGGGACGGGCACTTGGATATCCCGCTGGCTGGGACCAAACGCATCCGAAAGCGATACAAATCAAAGGAAACAAAGCGGTCAGCCTCATCTCAAATTCAAACTGTGACTGGTGGCCAATGGCTTTCCGATGCTTTATATGACCAGCCACAGGTGGTTTTTGACCGCGACCCATCGACCCAAGTGGAGCAGTCACGTGCCACGGCTTCCGAATTTGAATTGAAAACACAATGGAATCGAAAACAGAACCAAAAAAACTGGGCCATTGCTAGTGCAAGTGCAGAAATCCCCATGAGCCATCCGATTAGATGAAAGACTGACAAAGCGCTAATAAATTGAGTGTGCAATCTCGATGCCCGGTCCCCGCAGCCATCAGCTAATCGCTAAAAACAACAAAACCCGCCCGGCCACAAGCAAAGACTTTTAATTCAAAAGCAATTTTCAACAGGATCGGGCAACACCTGCATGACCAACCCAGCCCAGCCCATCCAGTCCCAAAGTCCAAAATACAAAATCCAAACTCAACCCCGCAAGATCCCTTGCCTAATGCACTTTGCCTGTTGCCAGGGGGTGCTAAGACCTGGATTCAGTGCTCAGCATTCCGGGCATAGGGCTATCAAGCACAACACCCGACTACAACGGCAGGGATGTCGGCTTTAGTCAATCGTCTATTAACTTTTTGCCAGACTGCTTACAGTGGTGTTAGGTTGATTGAACATGGAAGTAAATAAATCAATTAATTTTTATAATAAAATGTATTTTTACAAATATATTCATCAAAACGTAAATTCATCATTTAAAATATTAAAATAAAATGTTACATATTCTTTGAGATTGTATGAAAGTATTTAGAAAATCGTTTCTTCTAACAGACGAAAAGTATTTGAAATAAAACATAAATAATATGTTTCACTTCGAATTTTACCACACTGTACACTCTGTTGCGGCTGCTGTTGTGTGTGTTTATCATTTGGTAGCTCAGCTTGTGCCTGTCGTGGATGCCGCTAATATAAAACCGAATCTTCCCTTTCGATGGACCGAGGAAAAGGCCGAGCTAATGGCAATGTCGTTTGCAGCTTGTCCTACTTGTAATGTGCTGGCGCACAGCTGACGCGCTCCCAGGACTCAGGATCCAGAGAGTGGTAGAGTGTGGATTTTGTGAACCTGTTCCGGCCGTCAGCTGTGGGCTACAGGATTTTACTCGGAACCAAGCAACCACCGGGGCAGGACCAGGAAGAGCCGGGTGCTGCACCGGCTGCATAAACCAACAATTGTCGGTCCCCGGTTTTTGGTGCTCGGAGCTCGGTTTTTGGTTTCCAGTTAGCCACGCACCGATGGCACATATTCCACGCCCGCATTTGCGTTTATAAAGCGAATTTTGACTGAGCGGAACGATCTGATTGCGATTTTGCGTTGTTTTTGCGAGGGTTGGCCGATTAAATTCCTCGTATCGCTTAAATAAACATTTTTAGATGAGGTCCCTTGATAAATTGGCCACTGGCCCTCGATGACAGCCTACATATGAGATGAAGTGCGGGAATCTAAACAACTGTCGGCGATATTAAATGAGTTCTATTTGCGAATATTAAAATAATGTGGTCGCTAACTTATTAACTTGAACTGACTCATCGAACTGCTTCAAAGAACTGAGCTATCAATAAGAAGTTGAGTGCTTAAATTAATCTCCAGTTGAAGCAAATTCATTTAGGAGTGGTCACAAACATGTTTAAAACAATGTTTTTAAAACCACAATTGTATTGTTTTGAAGCCTTTAAATGGCCTGTTAAATTAAACAAAATCAAAATAAACACCCTGGGAATAAACATTATTGGTTGGGGTACATTAGTTTTATTAATCGAAAAAAGAATAGAAATAGAAAATATAAATTTTAAGGTTCTTCTTTAAGAAAACATATTAGTTCCAAGCAATCAAAATTTGATCATATTAGTAGGGCATACAAAATTAACACAAAGAGCATTTAAAAGTCACCTAACTAATAATATGACTTAATTAATCGCCTTTCTTTGACTGCTTAGAACAAAAGTTGGGCCATAAACAATGACGTAATCCCATTCGGGCTACGACTCAAAGTTAAATAGCTGCCTGCGCAGATATTTGTTTTCATTATTCCCATCTCTTTGACTTATTTTGGCTGCTTGGCTCATCTCGCAAAACATCTTCAGTTGAAATTGGACAACGGAACGAGCAAGAACGTTCTCTTCCGATCACAAGTAAAATTTATTAAATATTAAAAGATATTCATTGTTAAAGTTACAATGAAATTGGTAGGTATTTATCCAATAATCACTACATTTGTTTGCTAATTTTGTGATATTTGTGTTTTTATAAAGTTTTGTCAAATTTTGATAATGGCCTTGATTTGGGCTTTCGCATCATCAGCGGCTTTGGAGAAAGGTGAACGGGAAGAGGCACTTCATTTCGGGTAAGGTTACTAAAGTTCAAGTGGAAATATATTTATTTATAGAAAATTTTCTCTTAACAAAGATTCCACACAGAAAATGGCCACCAAAGGAATGAAGCCATAACATACACAGTCAGACCCGAAACGGACAAGGATCCCAAGGAAGTGACTACTCAAAAGCCAGTGGAATACAAAGGTGGCTATAGCTTTATCTCAGCCGATGGCTACGAGTACCAGGTCCTCTATAAGGCCAACAAAAACGGTTTCCAGCCCTATGTGACGGCCCAGAAAATCAAACCGGATAAGAGTTAAACAGAAACCTATTTTCTTTGTATTGTGATAGATCATTAAAAATCCGCATAATTTATCAGTGTATTAAGCGTGGCTCGAAAGCTCTTTTATTCTCTGGTGGCAGACTTGGCTAGAAAAAGCTTAGATGTGTTTGGGCCAGCTCGTTAATCTTTAATCATGTCGAGATGGACAGATTGCAACATCATCAGCATAATAATGGGCTACCATTTCCCTGAAACCGGCTTCGGTAATATGGACTATTTGAAGGAGTTTGGCATAGGCAATCAAAAAAAAGTATTATATTATATTAATTAAGTGTGTCTTAGATTCGGTTAAGGGTATTTCTTTATTACAGTTTTTAATAATATCTTTAGAGACCTTTAATTAAGTTAGAGTATACAATAGTCTCTGCCTAGCCCATTCAAACTTTTTTTCGTGGGTTTGTCTGATTAGTTTTCCCATTTGATGGTGTTTTAAATGTAATGCACACATTTGAGAGTCGCCACCAAATTGTGGCCCAAGCCGTGGAACTCTTTTGCTTTCGTTATGCAAATCTCAATTCAGCTCCGAGGAATTGGGCAACCCGCTTCTCCGATCGAAGCTTACTCAGCAGTTCGTGGTTCCCGTTTTGTTTTGGTCCAACAACTCATTATGGTTCCACACAGGTGTCTTATGCCAGTGGCCTCGAAGAAGACGCTTCATTAAGCTCCCAGCCGCCTTGGTTGCAAGTTGTGTTTTTTCTTTTTCGGCTCGTAGTTCTCCACAGGCAACATCAACTAAACAATTCACAATGACTTTGTCTTCGTTAACCAGCAGCATCAGTCATGGAAAGAAGGAAACTAGCAAGGGACTGAAAATCAACAGCAAGCTGGTTCAGGCCTTGATCCTTCTGGTAGCCTGCGTTCTCTTCGGTGCCAACTTGAACTATGCCTCCTTTCCACCTGGCACTGTGCTGGACATCAAGCTGGGAGATGTCACCCTCGAGCAGTTTAGCTACACGCCAACCCGCGATGGATATGAGTTCAAGTAGGTTTAATACAGTTTTAAATCTAAAGTTTAGATATACAAGTTACTGATTGCCAAATTTTGTATATCTAGTTACACCCTTCCCGATGGAACTTTCCGGGATGAGATTGGCAAAGTGTTGAGCGGCACTTCGGCAGCTCAGGATCTGGAGAATGCCAACAACCTGGCCAAGAACCACCGTCCCTCCCGTGAACAGGGTCTGAAGGTACGCAAGCTGTCCGGAAAATCTCTTTCTTCTCTGGCTGGATAAGCCAACTTCAGAGAACATTCCTACTAACAATCAATCACGAATTTATTACAACAGTTTGCCAACTGTTTTAGGCTAGTGTATAAGTTGAGATGTTAAATTTGCAAGCAATAAAAAACATTCGATCCAAAATATCTATCACTCTGAAAACTTGTTTGTTGTGCAAGTTAATTTGTGTTGACAATATGCAAGGAAATTACATAAATTCATGGTGATTAAGAAAATGATGGGCACATGTAGCGTGTGGCTGTGAAAAGGCTTTAAAGCTCTTTATGAGTGGAAATGAGATGAGGGCGTTTGGTGTATCTACAACTAACAACAAAATACTGCTCTTATTATGATGTTGTACAAATTTAGCATTTAGTATATCGATTTAGGTAACAACTGAATCTATTATTGTTTTTTTTGCATGCAAATCATTTGTTGCAAAAAATTTGGCTTGCGTTTTATTTTGATGCATACTTAGTTAAAAATGTACTTTCATATTAACTATATCTAAAAGCAAAACCAATTGATCATCGATTAAATATATATATTAAAATAGAGGAGATTATCAATCGTATTTTTAAAAGGTAATTCAACTATTTATTTATATTTTCTTTAAGTTTGTCTGCGATTCCGCTAATAAAAGTTTTCAGTAAAATATTTACCTTCTTCTGTTATTTCCTTCTGTTATAATAAATATATAACAGTTCGATTTCTGTTATATGAAAACAAAAATCTGTACATTCCCAAAAGTATGTGAAGATTAAAAAAGCAGTCAACTAAGATTTTCTCGTAAGTCTTCAGATATTTATCCTAAAAGATTGTGTCTTGTTTCTGCGTTAAAAGTTTGATAATTTTCTTTTTTTATTTTGCCAAAAAAGTTTGTTTAAACTTAAAAAATGTCATGATTTTGATAGTTTATATCTTTAGAAAGGTTTTGTTTTTGAAAATAATATAAGTTCACTCCAGTAGAGGAATTATTTGTTAAATCTGTTCAAAAGTATACGTCAATGTCCGGTTAGCAAAAGTCTTAAACATAGTTTGTTGCTTAAGTCATTTGATTTATTGGCTGAAAGAGTACAGATTACGCTCACTTGGTTATTGGATATGTCAACCTGAAGTTCGCAGAGCATGTTCATTCTCTAAACATCTTTTATCATATAAATTTAGAAAGCTATAAAATAAAAACCATACATGTAGCTGTATACCACAAAACGTTAACTATGAAGAAAGAATGTCGTGTGACTTTCAATAGGAATTATTATGGTTGTTTAAGAACAACTTGCTTAGCTAAAATAAAATCTAATGGTTATTCACGGCAATCAATCTTTGCTTCATAATTGTTTCTTTTTCAGACTCAAGATGCGTTGCATTCAGGCCAAGCAAAAAAAAAACCAAACAAATATAGACAAAACCTGTGATAAAATTAAATTATACGCACGATTCTTAATGTCAGGTGTCAGCAGAAGTATTTTTAAGACCGTTTCTGTTTTGTGTGTTGTCGGTTTTTTTTAGCTAAATGCAAATATTACGAAACAAGCGGTCAAAGTGTTAAAAAAGAAATGAAAAAAACAAAAGAAAAATGTGACATTTACATATTTTAAGAAGTGATGGCCAGCAGGGTGAGCTGGTGTTGGGGCCCTGCTATTAAAACACTGCCATTAACGCTCAAGTGCTAATTTTGCAGACCCAGTTGATGCGGCCAAAAATGAGCGAAGATGGGCAGAAAATAAAAATATATGAAGAAAAAACCCGAATCCGAGTTCGATTCCTACCCAGCCGAGTCCCAAAAACCGAGTTCAAGCCGGTCTGGCCAACTTTTTGAAGCCAAGTGCGTGCGAGTTGGCAACGAACGAAAGCCGGGCCAAAACGGCAGCTGAATGGGCGACAGACAGCTGGACAGACCGGCGGACAGATGGTTGGATGGACAGACAGACAGACAGACAGCAGCAGCAGCAGCAGCATCTGGCGCTGACCTTGAAGACGTAAAAGTGGAGACGCATCTACATAAATATCTATTGTATCTGCGGCTGTTTCTGTCTGGCATTAGGCATCGGGCATCTCATCTAGAGTTTGTGTATTGAAAGCGACAGTCTCCGATCAAGAAGTTATCGAAGATGCTGATGCTGAAAAACCTGTCGATCGCCGGTTGATTAGAACAGTTATGTAAATGATTGTGTATAAGGAAGAAGTCTGCTCAAAACTTGTCGAAATCCCGCCAGAGAATAAACAACGCCCCCGCGGTCACAGAGGCAATCAACATCGTTTCGATTAGCACTCGCAGCCATCGATCAAAGCCAGATTAATTATGCAAATCCAACATGATAAATGCAGCTCGCTGCAGATGCCCTCGAAAAGCTGCGGAAAAAGACCCAAATAATAAATATTATGCAGCCACGAACAAAATGGAATCAGATCCATTTTCAAGGGCCTCCAATGCCCTCAGCTCAAGTTCAGTTTGTAGGCGGACAAGTCCAATTAATTATGTCTTTAAGTTCGAATTTTTTTGTTGTTAACTGCAAGCGATTTATGGCCATGCTCAGTCTTAAATTCATTGAAAGGTTAAAGGTCTTCATTGCATCTTTATTTTTATAGATTTAAAATAGTAGTAAGAACAGTAAGTAATACTTGTACTCGTCTTACTCGTTTGTTTCACACATTGGCACTTCTTCCAATCAATATAAAGATGTTGGTTTGACATTTCTGATGAATTCATAATTTTCACACTACCTTATGCTATTTTACTCAATAAACAATGACAGTAAAAATTTCCAAAGCCTTTGATTTCAGAAGCTTTGTCTGTTTTAGCTTTAATTCAATTATATATTTGTTGATAATAAATTATAAAAATATTAAATAACCCTTTTAAACATTAAAAAAAATTAGGCTCAAAAAATTGATGTTATAAAAACGAAAGAAAAATGTGAAAATGTCAAATTTGCAGCTGCCAAAGAATGGGGCAAGATGTGGTGCTTTTAAACGTCATTTGAGGAAATGCCAGTATCAATGTACAACACCCTGTCGATGGGATTGAAATGAAGTTGTTGGCACAATTCGAGTGATAGAGATGGCTGGAGGCTGGGGCAGAACCGTGGTCAGTGATCAGAGGCCGACAGATGACCAAAGTTAAAACCCGACTGACCGGCTTGAATGATCCGCTGTTGGGGATTCTTCAACGGCCTGTAGCGGTCAACGAAGGTGGCATAAATTGGCAAACAGAAACCGCGTCTGAACAAAACAGAAAAACAACAAAAGTCAGAGATTTAAATTGCATGCGAGCCGTAGTTGTAGGTTATTCGATGTATTTTTTATATATATTTCCAACTGCTTTTGGCGCTTGTTACCGGGCAGGCACATCAATCGAGCGCTGTAAAGGCCGTTGCATATGCCAAAAGTCAACCTGCGGTTCCATCACCATCTCCATCTCCATCTAAAGTCTCATCCACCGTGCACTTTGGCCATCACACATGGCTCTCAGCTCGTGTTCTTCGTGTCCGCGGCTTGAACTTGCTGCCCTGCCAATTGTTAGCATCGTCAGCACTTGAACTTAGTCTCTTTGGCTACCAGGCCCGTCGTCAATTACGGCTCGAGCTGTTCTGGTTATTGTTTCCCATAGTTCTTGGCCCGGTATTTAACCGGAGCTGCCCAATCAGCCCGCAACCTTTTACCCAATACATCTGCTTGATTCATGAACTTTTCCGAGTTTTCTAAAGCTGCTACTCAGCACTCGGAGAAAAAGTGGTTTAAAGTTCGCCATTCGACCTAGTTATTGAAGACCAGATTTTTTATTTTATATTAAATACAAATAGAAATATATCAGCAAACTAAAAACTTTAAATAATACAAGGTTCTAGGACTATGTATTTTTTTAATATATTTTATAAATATGCTCTAGAATGGTGACATCTTTCGAAGGTAAATAATGTTACTTAAAAACATGAATACTTACTGAATATTTTTAGATATTGACTAATTCAGATATTCTTGCAACTTAAAAAAATTCTTCTTCGAGTGTGGGCGAAGAGCTATAATACCTTTCGGATGAGTACGTAGCTGCACAAAGCCGCTTTAAATGTTACTTGTCGCAGCGACTTTGGCGACTTTGGTGCAACGCTGGCAATTGAAAAACAACAAAAAAAAAACGAAATAAAATGGAAATAGTGAAAAACATTTAGCCGGCGACCGCCAGAGCTGCCGAGCTGCTTGGCTTCTTCCACAATTGTGCAAATTTATGACGTTTGCAAATGCGGCTCCGAGTGCAGTATAAAATGCAGTGGACGACGATGCAACGCCACCATTAGACAACCGCCAGTTTGTTCAGCCGCATAGGGGAATCTGCAATCCAAGAACCGCTCAACATGATGAAATTGGTAGGTCAATTTGGATAAAGAACACATACAAAACCAAAGCCAGGATACCGAAAAGGATACTTAATCTTTCGCCTTGCAGATGCTAGTCGTTGGCTCGATGGCCCTACTCTTCGCACTGGCCAGTGCCCGGCCCCAAAACGATGTGGAAGTTCTGGAGTACGAATCGGAGAACACTGGCCTTGGCGGCTATAAGTTCAGCTATAAATTAAGCGATGGCACTAGCCGTACAGAGGAGGGCGTGGTCAACAACGCTGGCACCGATAACGAATCGATATCCATCCGTGGATCCGTCAGTTGGGTGGCACCCGATGGCCAAACATATACCATTAACTTTGTGGCCGACGAGAACGGTTTCCAGCCAGAGGGCGCACATCTGCCCAAGTAGATGGTCGCTCCCCTTTGGCGATCCTGTATATACCACCAATCCAAAACAAAAGCAAACATGATCCCAATCAACCCGGCCATAGAGTGAGGTGCTGAAGTCCTGTCCGGAGGAGCTGTCCCTTGTCCCGTGGCAGCCAGTCGGTCAGTCAGTTAGTAAGTCGATCAGTCAGTCAAGTCAGTGTCGTGCATTGTTTTCTTTATTCCTTGTTACTCGCATTAAAGCCGAACTTTCGATTCTCGAAGAAAATCTGTTTACTTTGTGGGTCTTTGATAATTTACCTACTTAACTACAACTTCTAGAAGTGGAAAGACTAAAACAAATATCCCTGATGATCTTATTTCATCATTTGATTAGATTTGATTTTGGACAGAATGATGATAATAACAATCCAATATATTCTTTATTATATAAACTGATTTACATTCTCAAAGCATAATTATATATACATTTAAAGTTCTTAATTTACATTTTTTAAACTTATTATTCGTGAGATTTGAATTTGATTCTTAAATTTGGTTAGACAAAACCCTTTTATTACTAGTTTAGTTACAACGACTCTAAGGAGTAGATCAATTTATAGATGAGGAATATGTTCGCCCTGGGGCTGGAATCCGTTCTCATCGGCAATGTAAGTGATCGCATAGGTCTGACCATCGTCTCCCGTATAGCTGTACGATCCGGCCACCTGCAGTGCATCCTCCTCGGGACCCAGGTTCTTCAGGGAACCGTGCTGCTCCTGCTTGGTGCCATCGCTCGTCTCGAACTGATAGCTATAACCATCGGCATTCACATCGGACACCAGGTTAACAATCTCTGCTTCCGGAGCAGGAGCAGCCAAGCACAGGGCTATCGAAAGGCAGGCGAAAACGAAAATGCACTTCATCATGGTAAAATAAGTACTTAGAAGTTTTTGGGTTTTACTCAAGATTCTAACTGCTCCATATCAAAATCTGAGATGGCTTTTATAGCTGTTGCAGAAAGTTGAGACAATAGCTAATGTAATTAACACTTAAGATCAAATCTGGATCTGGATCCACCTGAGTTTGAGTCGTGTTAATTGAACCTCTATTTCTACATATTGGCCAACATACTCATGAATTGGTTTAGAGTTTTTTTGTCGTTTTCAATAAAAGCTTCAGGCGCTTTCTAGGCATCTAAGCATTATAAATAATTTACAATATAAATTAAACAAAATCCATTTCTATTTATAAGCTTTTCGATTCGGATTTCAGGCACATATTTTATTAGCCCAAACTTGTTTCCACTTCAAGTTTTCATTTCGGCTTTGCCTAATATTAAACTAGTTTTGACTATTGTGACGCGTGTGGACAAAAATCAAGACCAAAACTCTTGGATTATAAATACGCGCAAAATAGGCCTTAAACAGTATAGTAATCTTTGAGTCTTCAACGATCTACAACGCCTTCAACATGAAATTCGCCATCGTCCTGTTCGCCCTTTTCGCCGTGGCCCTGGCTGCTCCCGCTGAGGAAGTTCAAATCGTGAGGCAGAATTCCGAGGTTGGAACCAATGGCTTCTCTTACAAGTAAGTTAATTGAGAGAGCTGTCTGAAAAGGATTCCAAGCTGATGTTGACCTTCTTAATAGCTCGGAGACTAGCGATGGACAGATTGTTCAGGCCGTTGGTGAGCTGAAGAACGTTGGATCAGAGAATGAGGCTCTCGCCGTCCGTGGAGCCTTCTCCTACATTGGTCCTGATGGAGTGCCCTACTCCGTCACCTTCATCGCCGACGAGAACGGATACCAGCCCCAGGGTGTCCATATCCCCGTTGCCCCCGTGCCCTAAGTCTACGTTTAAATAAATTGTTTATAAAAGAAAATCCTATTTGTTTGCCTTTCCAATGATTTAGACATAAGATTGAATACTCAGCTTGAAAAGATTCTGAGACCTCTCAAATGGCAATTTTTAGCTTTTATATTCTATTTTTTTGGTAAAATTAAATGGTAAAAATATATATATAATGGATTAATGAAGTTCTATGATTAGAGGTGATTATCGTTTGTAAAACTAACAAAAAGGGATTAACCGTAATTATGTACATTAGCAGTTCAGTTCGTCTCTAATGAGGAAGGAGAGCCCAAATAGTTAATCATACCACAGAACATACTAAATTCACATTTACAATATAATATTTTTTTCTCATAATAGGTTCTCAAATAAAAATTGGCCATAATTACATTTTTATTCATTCAACTTAAAGTTTTTAAATCCTTTAAACGAAAACTTCTATTATGTTAGTTGTTACTACTCATTGCTAGGAAAATTTTGAGATCTTAAGACTTTATCAACAGATTTTCAATGCCTCTTCTTAAAAATCTTCGGCCATCTATCTACTAGATTACAGCTAACAGACCAAAAGACTCCGTAGGATCTATCCGTTGCACCTCAACTGGAGTTAAAAACTCAATTAAAATTATCTATCTATCTAAAATCCTACTTCTGAATTTTTTATATGCTAAGTTTCTGTCAAAACATTTAATGGTTGTCCAAAAAGGACAGTTTTAAATAAACATTGCTCGGCTAATCTACAAATAAATGTATAAACTCAAAAACCTATTTGGCGGAAAGTACATTGACAATGTGTTTCATTCTTGTACCTTCCTGAGATAAAAAAAAACCTTTTTATATTGCTGTTCCCAAAAAAGATTATTTAAAAGGTAAACAAAACGGTTTTTTTTTTTGTAAACAATTTATTAAAACGTAAACTTAGGCCACGGGGGCAACGGGCAGATGGGCACCCTGGGGCTGGAATCCGTTCTCGTCGGCGATGTAGGTGACGGAGTAGGTCACTCCATCATCACCAATGAAGGAGAAGGCTCCACGGACGGCGAGAGCCTCATTCTCTAATCCAACGTTCTCCACCTTACCAGCGGCCTCAGCAGTCTGTCCATCGCTAGTCGCCCAGCTATTAAGAAGGTCAACGTCAGCTTGGAATCCTTTTCAGACAGCTCTCTCAATTAACTTACCCGTAAGAGAAGCTCTCGGGTCCAACATCGGATTCCGACTTCAGGATTTGAACTACCTCAGCGGGAGCAGCCAGGGCCACGGCGAAGAGGGCGAACAGGACGATGGCGAATTTCATGTTGAAGGCGTTGTAGATCGTTGAAGACTCAAAGATTACTATACTCTTTAGGGCCTATTTTGCCCGTATTTATAGTGAGCTGACACTGATCTGTTTTAGTGATTTTGGGCCTACAACTGATAAAACTAGTTTGTTGGCCAGCAAAGAGCAAAAAATGTAAATGGGAACAGAAACGACCCATTTGAATATGAATATAAAATGGATTAAAGTGGCGACTGAAAAGCAGATGTCTCTTAATACACATTGCTATTCTCAAGTTGTTGACCTGTTATGTTCAAATATATAAAATAAAATAAAATAATCAAAATAAAATTAGTAGATCAGCAGTAGTCGTGTTTTATTTTTAACAAATAAAACGTTCTACCAAATATATGCAACCTATGGCGTGCTCTTTTGACGCCTGTGTATTTTATTGAGTAAAAAGTAAATAGTACACCAATGTCATACATTTTCGACTAAGAAGTAATAGGAAATAAAAATTAACTTACTATTTTTTTATTTTATAGATAATATAGTTACTTAAAACCAGTTTATGCCTTGCTTTTAATTTGATTTAAACAAGCTTCTCTATCTAATTTCTAATAACTCAATCTTAGGCAGGAAAAAGAAAAGAAAAATATTTAATTTAGAATATTTACAATTTAACTAGACGATAAGCATAAGCATTTCTTGTTTATTTTAAAAGTTTCTGATAAACTTTTATCCTCAATTATGACATGATATTGTGATTTTTTTAGAAACTGTTTTATAAGTCCCTTTGAAATATTTCCAAATTCTACACCAATTATTAAAATTATGATATCAGCTAGAATACGTCAGAGGGTGAACAATTTTTATAATTAATTCAAAATGAGAGTGTATGGAAATCAATTAAAAGAAATGTTTTTAAAAATTCACTTTGGCCTCTAAAAAAAAAGATAATTTAATTTAGTTTTAAGCAATTTGTTTTATTTGTTTAAATTTTCATCGTATCTCTGGGAGCAACTTAAGCGACTGGGGGAACGGGCAAATGAGCACCCTGGGGCTGGAATCCGTTCTCGTCGGCGACGTAGGTGACGGTGAACTTCTCTCCGGTCTTCTCATCCACCCATGAGTAGGATCCGTGGACGACGGCGGCCTCGTGCTCGGTGCCAATATCCTTCAGCTGACCCTTCTCGTCGATCTTGGTTCCGTCGGTGAGCTCAACATTGGAGCTCCAACTTTCGGGTCCGACATCGGAATCCTGCTTCAGGATTCCGACTTCGTTGGGGCGGGCCACGGCCACGGCGAAGAGGGCGACGAAGACGATTAGGAATTTCATATTGGAACTGGGTGGTGTTTGTTAGATAGCTGGGAACTGTCTGATGCTCCACTGCAGTTGGGCGGAGGCATTTATACGATTCGCGAATTGTGAATTGCAAAAGCCAAAGGTGAGATTTAGCATTGAGCGAATTTGCCAAAAATTTTGGCAACAGATACAAATGCTTGGACAATGGGTATCGCGAATTTATTTGCATTTGTTCCGGTCAAACTGGAAACTAAAGCAGCGGCTGCACTCCAGTAACCATGCCAGCAGACGAAACTGAATCCGAACTATTGTCGCCGAACCAGCTGGGCCAGTGCATCCGCATGAAAACAACTTGCTAACACAACATCTAAGGCCAAGATCATTTCCATATAGTCAGAGCAGGCAAGTTCATTGCTTGTGCACATTAATTTACCTAATATTTAGTTTACTGGGTACACTGCGCGCTCTGCATAAAGAATTGACGTGTTTCCAAATAAGCAATAATCGCTTTTAAAGTTGTTTCTTTAAAATATATGGATAATGATTTTTATTTTATAATTATGTAGGATACTTGACTACTTAAAAAATTTATTGCTAAAAAATAAAATAGTTAAAAAAGGTTATTTTAAACCTATTTGTTCACTATTATTAAATTCATGTCAACCAGAAGCATTTTTTTATGGAAAAATAACAATCACAGAAATATTACAGCAAGTATAATATATCGATTATTGATATTAACTTGTGCCATTTTTATCATTTTTATTCACAAATAATTGAGTTTTTGCAATAATATAATATAATGTATATTAAACTAAAATATTTTTTTGTATTATTTTTGTTTTATTTAACCTCAAGATAGTTAACCTTTTTTAAATATAAATCTGTAAATCCCAATATTCCATTCATAAAAAGAAAATTTCGATTAGCTTGAGCAATGTTTGGTATTATATAACAACATAATCGAAATTTAAATTAGTACCCAATCACATCTTAAGAGACAATAAATAAAGCTAAGCCAAACCCAAAATATGAAGTTTTCGCACTGGCCATATAAATGAGCTTTGAGCACATTCCCTATTTTATCCAACTTGATAAGCCAAAAAACGTGTTTTTTCTATGAAATTTTCAAGTTTGATTAAAAATTCTGTCGAGTTTTTGCAATTAACAATCAATTTATTTTAGTCTTTTAAATAATTTAGGCGACTGGAGCCACGGGCAAATGAGCACCCTGGGGCTGGAATCCGTTCTCGTCGGCGACGTAGGTGACGGTGAACTTCTCTCCGGTCTTCTCATCCACCCATGAGTAGGATCCGTGGACGACGGCGGCCTCGTGCTCGGTGCCAATATCCTTCAGCTGACCCTTCTCGTCGATCTTGGTTCCGTCGGTGAGCTCAACATTGGAGCTCCAACTTTCGGGTCCGACATCGGAATCCTGCCTCACGATTCCGACTTCGTTGGGGCGGGCCACGGCCATGGCGAAGAGGGCGACGAAGACGATTAGGAATTTCATATTGGAACTGGGTGGTGTTTGTTAGATAGCTGGGAACTGTCTGATGCTCCACTGCAGTTGGGTGGTGGCTTTTATATGCAAAAATTCGCGAAATGCAAAAGTCAAAAGTGGCATTGAATTTCGCGAAATGCTAATGAATTCTGCTAATATTTGCATACCATTTGAAATGGTATTTGAATTTTAGTTGGATGGTTGTTTCATAGGAATTGAGATATTTTTGAGACGATCTAATTAAAATGTGCAAAAACTGCTGGAGCTGATATGGTATTAATATTCATATCCTACCAACGATCTCTTTACTTTTATTACGAATATTTCGTAATAAAGACAAAGAAACGAATTGCCAAAATGTACTACACATTTTATTTACTTATGCTAAGAGCATTTAAGCTTCGGTTTTTACTAGTTTTCTTTTCGTTTTTTGTTTTGTTATTTCTTATATAACATCTGACTCTAGATCTAGTGTCATTGGATTAGTATACTTTTTTTCGGTTACGAAACAATAAAAAATGAATTCAACAGTTGACCAATAAGGCATTTGGATTTTAAAAGTTCTTATTAACCATAAAGTTAATTAAAATTATTTGACTTTAAAGTAAAATAATAAATAATCTTATTTACCTCTATAATTTAGCCTAATTTATAATTCATCGAAGCTATTATAAATCATAATTTTTGAGGTATTATCTGATTCATGAAAATTCCCAGACAGTTATGTTAGTTAATTATCCTGATATTGATTTCATCGCAAAAGCAGACAAACACACAAGTCAGATTGGCTTAATGAAAGAAGCAATTTATTTCAATAAACATAAGGTAGTTCGAGATTTACATTTATTAAATTCGAATTCAATTTGTCTCGAATGCCAGCATCATTTCAAATAGACATTTAAAGCTTTTACTAAACTTTTCATTCATAACAGCAGTTCTCATTATTACCAGATGATATTACGATGATTGTTAGTAAGACTAAAAATCCAACCAACATTCCAATTTCTGTGCTTCTCTATGAGCAACCCAAACTTGATTTAAAACACCTTCGAATTAGTTTTTTATAAGCCATTTATTTATTTTAGTCTCTTTCATAGTTTAGGCAACTGGAGCCACGGGAAGATGAGCACCCTGTGGCTGGAATCCGTTCTCATCGGCGACGTAGGTGACGGTGAACTTCTCTCCGGTCTTCTCATCCACCCAGGAGTAGGATCCGTGGACGACGGCAGCCTCGTGCTCGGTGCCAACGTTCTTCAGCTGACCCTGCTCGTCGATCTTGGTTCCATCGGTGAGCTCAACATTGGAGCTCCAACTTTCGGGTCCGACATCGGAATCCTGCCTCACGATTCCGACTTCGTTGGGGCGGGCCACGGCCACGGCGAAGAGGGCGACGAAGACGATGAGGAACTTCATGTTGGAGCTAGATAGATAGTTGATGACTGTCTGATGCCAAACTGCAGTTGGGCGGTGGCTTTTATACACGAAAAAGCGCGAAATGCAAAAGTCAAAAGTAGCTTACGATTTTGCAAAATGCAAATGAATCTAATACGATTTTATACCCTTGCAAAGTGGTACACTACATTTGGTGAGATGTTTTTAAGAGTCTATGCACTTTCAAGTGTGTTTATACCATAAAGCTGAACTATAATATTTTTGGAATTTTACACTTTTTAATAATAGCATAAGCTGTAAGATACAATTGAAAAAAAGTCATACAAAAATATTGGTAAATTTGCTTATAAATGCGATATTTGTAACATATTTGTAGTTTTTATAATATGTGTTAGAATAATTAAAAGTATTATTTAAAAGAAAATGTATATTTTTTGGTTTATTTAACAGCTGAAACATCCCAATCGCTATTTATTTCGCAAATCAGGCGACAATAAGAAGGGTCTCAAGAGTATGTACTCTTCGTTTTGACGATGCGTCTTTCTTTTTTGGTATTGAATAGAAATAGTTTTTTTTATTAAGAGCTTAAATTTTGATATGTATAACTTGTTATTGTGAGTCTGGTCACTAGGAAATAAGTGAACTAGTTTAATCAAAACATAATGCAAATTTTGTAGAGCAAAATGATGACATGGAGTGTTATAAACATTAAATATTATAAAAATAAAATTATTGTTAGTTAGATTCAATGGCATTCATTGTTTTGTCAGATTTTAAATCCTAATTGGAAAATATATCTTTCAACAAGGTCCCAAGGAAAAGAAATTAAATGTTTTTTCTGATTTCTTATTTAATTATAAAATATAAAGAAAAACAATAAAATTCAATAATATATAATATAATAAATATCAGCTCTTATTTATTTGAAAACCGTATAAAAATAATTATTAAAACATAAAATATCAAATATAAATGTATTAACTTAACCAATCTAGGACTAAGCTGTTCTTAACTAAGATGTTAAGATATATATTTATTCGAAAGCATCAATTATATGTTATAAGTTGTGGGTACAACACCTTACATGTTCACCTAATCAACTAAGTTTTTTGGGTTAAATTTAATATAATATTTATCATCAAAAAACTCATTCATGATTCATTCATCCCCATTATTTGAGTTGCTATGATTTTCTAAGACCATCCCAATAAGTTAAATCAGTTACGAGTATTTGCAATTAACAATCAATTTATTTTCTGAATGAACAAGTTTCGGGTTGTGATCGAGGACAGTTTAAGCAACTGGGGCAACGGGCAGATGAGCACCCTGGGGCTGGAATCCGTTCTCATCGGCGACGTAGGTGACGGTGAACTTCTCTCCGGTCTTCTCATCCACCCAGGAGTAGGATCCGTGGACGACGGCGGCCTCGTGCTCGGTGCCAATATCCTTCAGCAGACCCTTCTCCTCGATCTTGGTTCCGTCGGTGAGCTCAACATTGGAGCTCCAACTTTCGGGTCCGACATCGGAATCCTGCCTCACGACTCCGGCCTCGTTGGGGCGGGCCACGGCCATGGCGAAGAGGGCTACGAAGACGATGAGGAACTTCATGTTGAGGCTGGATAGAAAGCTGGTAACTGTCTGATGCTCCACTGCAGTTGGGCAGGGGCTTTTATACGCGAAAAATTCGCGAAATGCAAAAGTCAAAGGTGGCAATGAATTCGGGGGATTGCAAATGAGTTCTGCTAATATTTATGTAGATCTAAGTCGATAATGAGCGCATCGTTATTTCAGCATTGTTTCCGGTCAAACTGGACTGGTTGCTGGTCTTGTCAAACTATTGTCGCCTAACCGGCTGCAACCGATGGCTACGCTTCGTCGGGATTAAAGGGGTGGGTCTACCGGTCGCTGATCTTTCGAGCATCTTTGAGCTGTTTTTTTTTTTGCATATACCTTATATCATTCCAATTCCGCCAAAGAGTTGGTTTATTGCTATAACGAATGCAAGCTAATAATGAAAATGGTTTAAGGTGTTTATGGCTTACTGGCTTATTTCTTTTTTCAGTCTTATCTTGGCCAAGTAACACATGACATTCGATAGGAGTGGATCATAAATTTTGAGTCGGTAAACTGGGACTAGGTAAAGTTATAAATAACTTAAACAAATTCGAGAAAAATGATAGATTGGTATACAATTTTTGTTATGAATATACATGAAAGCGGAAAGTGGAAAGGTAAATAAGAAGAATGTTTAAAATTCGATTTTCTTGCCGCGTTTATTTAATAATCAACTAGAAACCATTATACATAGAACAGCTCTCGGTTAGCGTATCCGTATCCGCTTAGTTGCCAATGGGCACATTGGGCAGATGGGCACCCTCGGGCTGGAATCCGTTCTCATCGGCGATGTAGTTGACGGTGTAGGTCTGGCCATCATCGGCCACGAAGGAGTAGGAGCCGCGGACTACGATGGCCTCGTGGTCGGTGCCCACATCCTTCAGCTGACCCTGCTCTTCGTGCTTCTTGCCATCGCTGGTCTCCAAACTATAGGAGAATTTGGGTTTAATCCTTGTTTAATCCCTGGTTGGTTTCATTAGGACTTACGCAAAGTTGTAGCCCTCGGGCTGCACATCGGACTCCAGGCGCAGGATCTGGGCATCAGCATCGGGAGCGGGGGCGGCCAGGGCGACGGCGAAGAGAGCGGCGAAAACGATGGCGACTGAGCACTTCATGGTGGGTTTTGCTTTTGTGGTTTTTTGTTGAGGATTCGATGGGAACTTGCGACCGAATGGCTAGTCAACGTTACTTGATTTGTGATGTCTATGGCCCTGTCCAGGCGTTTATATAGTCGGATCGGAGGCCGCCAATCGAAGAAAAGTCAGTCGAAAATAAAAATGACTAATTACACGCCGAGCACCAGAGCCAGCAAATTGGCTTGAAAAACGCACAAAAACATCATGAAAAAAGCACAACAACCATACCAAGACGCAAATAATAACGTAAAACAAAAACTTCTAAGGCTAACAAATCGACGGCGTTTTTAGGAAATACCTCATCATCATCATTTGCATTTTTCGTGAATCAATCAATCCAATCGCTTCCAACATCGAAGACAACAAGCCAAACATTTTTGATAATCCATGGGTATTCATATTTTGTGGCAGAGTGGGACGGCTATCTTGCCCTGCAGCAACAGCGGCATCATGCCCAGTAATCGCAGGTGGATCGAATTGGTAGCCTGTTTGGTGTTCAAAATTAAAAATGAAAAACAAAAACTAAAGTTGACAGTGAATAAATTTAAATGAACAAAAAGTGCATCTTTTCTAAACTAAGTGGAGTTGAAGGAAGCAGGAAATCTTAGAAGCTCATAAATTAGTCCCGAAAGTTGTTGTCAAGCATTTACATTTCAACGTGGAAGCTGAACTATACATCATGCCAAGAAAATAAAGATTTTTGATTATTGATATCAAAAGGCTAAAATACAATTGCCAATGCAAAAGATATAGTAAAGAATGTTGGTATAAAATATTTATAAGCGATCAAAGGAGTTTCTAAAGACTTGATGGGAGGTTGCTAATTAATACTTTGGGCATCAATTTCATTTCATCAATACTGTCAAAGTCAAATATCAGTTTGACTTTTAAATCTTTAGATCGTTATATATTTCTTAAAAATCGAAATAGTCTTAAATCCATTCCTTCATATTGGTAATATATAATATTACTTTAATTATAAGCTTAGCATATAAATTCTAAGCTTTCTTGAACTTCCAAAGAAATTTCCTATTCCTAATCCTAATACAAAACAAGATGAAACGCTATAGTCGAGTGCCGCGACCATAAGATACCCGTTACTGTTTTACAAAATTTTAAAATATTATTTTGCTAGTGGAAATTCACAAGGCGCCACATATTGTCGGATAAAGCATGTTGAGTAACTGATAGTGACGTCACAAACCATGTGAGGCCTTATAACCTGAATTTCTTCATAAATAGCGAAAAAACTTTCCGATTTAAAAAATCTTTTGAAAATCGATAGATATTAACAGAAATAGTTTATAAAAGGTCAAACGAAGGCATTTCTAATAATATTATAGGTGCCACGGTTTGTGGGCGTTAGAGTGGGCGTGGCCGGATGAAAACTAGGGGCAAGTTGCAGTGGCATCTTTTAAATACGCATTTTTAAGCACAACTTTCTAGCTCTTATAGTTTCATACGGACAGACGGACGGGTCGGAAACGCTTACTTCTACCAGTTACATACTTTTCAACGAATTTAATATACCCTTTTACTCTACGAGTAACGGGCATAAATATGCAAACACAAAAACCAGTTTGCACAGCTCTTAACAGCTCTTAAGTACATTGACAATGTGTTTCATTCTTGTACCTTCCTGAGATAAAAAGAGTCCTTTTTATATTGCTGTTCCCAAAAGAGATTATTTAAAAGGTAAACAAAACGGTTTTTTTTTTATAAACAATTTATTAAAACGTAAACTTAGGCCACGGGGGCAACGGGCAGATGGGCACCCTGGGGCTGGAATCCGTTCTCGTCGGCGATGTAGGTGACGGAGTAGGTCACTCCATCATCACCAATGAAGGAGAAGGCTCCACGGACGGCGAGAGCCTCATTCTCTGATCCAACGTTCTCCACCTTACCAGCGGCCTCAGCAGTCTGTCCATCGCTAGTCGCCCAGCTATTAAGAAGGTCAACGTCAGCTTGGAATCCTTTTCAGACAGCTCTCTCAATTAACTTACCCGTAAGAGAAGCTCTCGGGTCCAACATCGGATTCCGACTTCAGGATTTGAACTACCTCAGCGGGAGCAGCCAGGGCCACGGCGAAGAGGGCGAACAGGACGATGGCGAATTTCATGTTGAAGGCGTTGTAGATCGTTGAAGACTCAAAGATTACTATACTCTTTAGGGCCTATTTTGCCCGTATTTATAGTGAGCTGACACTGATCTGTTTTAGTGATTTTGGGCCTACAACTGATAAAACTAGTTTGTTGGCCAGCAAAGAGCAAAAAATGTAAATGGGAACAGAAACGACCCATTTGAATATGAATATAAAATGGATTAAAGTGGCGACTGAAAAGCAGAAGTCTCTTAATACACATTGCTATTCTCAAGTTGTTGACCTGTTATGTTCAAATATATAAAATAAAATAAAATAATCAAAATAAAATTAGTAGATCAGCAGTAGACGTGTTTTATTTTTAACAAATAAAACGTGCTACCAAATATGACGCCTGTGTATTTTATTGAGTAAAAAGTAAATAGTACACCAATGTCATACATTTTCGACTAAGAAGTAATAGGAAATAAAAATTAACTTACTATTTTTTTATTTTATAGATAATATAGTTACTTAAAACCAGTTTATGCCTTGCTTTTAATTTGATTTAAACAAGCTTCTCTATCTAATTTATCAATTTGAAAGGTGTTTCTAATAACTCAATCTTAGGCAGGAAAAAGAAAAGAAAAATATTTCATTTCGAATAACGGATATAAACAGAGTAATTCTTGAAGTGAATGAGTTTATTTTTAATATAATGACACTTTTTAGACGAAACTTAAACATAGTTAACACATTTATGCTGGACTGGAACTTGATTGGGAAATGACTTTCAATTGTATTCCTTGAGAGCTGCTACTCGTCTTCGGCTTACTGAACGGCCCTGGGCAGATGGGCACCTTCGGGCTGGAATCCATTCTCATCGGCCAGGTAGTTGATAGTATAGGTCTGGCCATCATCACCCACATAGGCAAAGGATCCGCGCACCACAATGGCCTCGTGATCAGTGCCCACGTCCTTCAGCTGACCCTCCTCCTGGTGCGACTTGCCGTCGCTTGTCTCCACGCTAAAGAAAACCAGAAACCAGTTAGCAAACGACCTTGACACAGTTTGTAAAGCAAAAGATCTGGAGAGCTCTGTCTGACAGTCTGGAGACTTACGCGAACTTATAGCCCTCGGGCTGGACATCGCTATCGAAGCGCAGCACCTGAGCATCTGGCTGGCTAGCTGGTGGAGCGGCCAGGACGCAGGCAAGAAGGCAGGTGAAGGCGATGGCAGTGGTGAACTTCATCTTGGCTGGATTAGTTGACTCAAGTGGTGGGTTTGAGGAGCTGGCAGACAATGCTTGCAATTCCAGCGGCGAGTGGCCAATTTATACTCCTTGGGCGATGTAATGCAATGCGTGTAAGTGGCAATTACCGGAGCAAAAGAAACCGAGACCCAAAAAAAGACTCCGAGTGAGAGTGGGAGTGGGAGAAACCAGTTTCTCGTTTTGTTTCCTTTGACCCACACTGGTTACCTAACCAGTTACTGGATGCTTTGGCTCGGCTTTGGCCCGGCTAGCTGTTTTGCGATTGATTGATTGCTCAGCGACAAGATACACAGATTTCATTTGTCTTCAACAAATTAACTACAAAGTGCGCCCTGCCCAGGCAATGAGTTGCGTTAGTTTGGCTCTTAGAAATAGTCAATAAACTGGGGAATTGGGTCACATCGAATTTGGCTCAAGTGCAGGCGAAATGATCGGCCTAATAAAAAGTCTTTGCCATTTCCCATTTCAATGTCACTTTTTCAATTCTTTCTTGGATTTTAATAGAGAGATAGATAAAGATCTTTCATAAACACGTTGTTAAAAAAATCCCCTATTCTTTTTGCTTAAGACTTATAATATAATATTATAAAAATCTAAAAGCTTGCAAATATTTATTGAAAACTTGCTTAAACGAAGAATTTCTCTGAACCCTTTTTTATACATTAAATAAATAAATAAACTTAAGGTAAACTTAAGTAAAGTTATAAAAATATCTAAAAAAAAAAATTGCTAGCTAGAACTCTTTTTTGAATATTGATAAAAACTTTTTAAACATCAAAAGCCTCAAAACATAAATATATAACGCCTAAAGCTACTTTAGAGGGTTAAGGCAACACCATTTGAACTTTTTGGAGCGTCTTCGCAGCAAATCGTTTGCTTTCCATTTCATTTCGACTTGATTTGCCTGCTTTTTGGCTGCCGCTCGACTCATTTGGATATTCGCATTTTATTACACACTCGGTTAATTAGCCTGAGTTTGCTGAGTTGGACTTAGTATGGATTGCATGTGGATATATTGAACGGCCTTTGCGCAATCCGAGTTAGTCGCATGCGCGGATCGGCACAGGACAGGTGATAGATGGCCGGATTAACACTGCTATTTGGCCTAATCCTGGCCAGCTTCTGTGCTTGCTCCGCCGATACTGCTCAGATCTTAAGATATGAGAATTCCAATTTGGACAGCGATGGCTATGCCTTCTCGTAAGTAGGTGGTTTCAGGGTCAATGTCATGTTTTGGTTTCATTTATAAATTACAGAAATTTCCCTATAGATTCGAGACAAGCGATGGCATTTCGCGTGAAGAGAAGGCCACATTGAAGAATCCTGGTACACCCGATGAGGCAATCGCCGTTCAGGGCAGCGTCAATTGGGTGGGACCCGATGGCGTTCATTATACGCTCAACTATCTGGCCGATGAAAACGGTTTCCAGGCCCAGGGCGAACATCTTCCGCAGGTGGAGCACTGATCACGTGATAGCTTTGGACTTTGTTAAACAATACTAAACAAAAGCAAAACCACCGAATAGCTGGAGGAGGCGGGCGCAGACAATAGAAATTAAATACATAATAAAAATATACAAAAAAAACAAAAATCAAATATAGACACATATATGTGTCTATATAGTATATAGCTAAATGGCGGGGTATAAATTTTCACTCATCGAAATTGAATTGTATTCTAGGCAGGGAATTAGCATATACGTTTGTATCTTCCAAACCTGAATTGTGGTCTGTATGCGGTAACCGAGTAGCTGCGATCTTCGATCCCCCGATCTCCGATCTCCGACCTCCCATCTCAGATCTCCGATCTGCGGGAGCTGACCAAACCGGTTCAATAAACGCCAAAAAGCACCCAACAAAGGTTGCCAAAAAAAAAAGCAAACAACAATTAAAGAAGCCACAAAGCTACCAACGAAAGTGAGAACTTCGTGGAAAAAAGGGCATTGTGAGGCAATTAGCTTAAGCTTTACTCATTTATCAATCGTAACTCGAAAATAATCAGTCCTTTCCCAACCTAGACTTGTACACCTACAGAGAGGAAAACTATCCTGGTATATTTAAGGAATTTCAATAAGAAGACGGCTTTTCCATTATAGAAAATTCAAAAAATATTATTCCTATAATTATTGTTCACTTAAAATTTAGATAGTTGAGTGTTATATTAAAATTGTATATAATAAATTGTTTTAAAATATTGAATTTACTCTGTATTGAATTACTGTGTACTAGTGACAAATTTCTGAATGATTTATAATGCCGGCAAATGACCAGCATTGACATTACGCATACGCCCCGATGTATTGTAGGGCATAGCCCAGCCTAAGTCGACAGAGCTTTTTGGCTTTTATTGTCTGGTTAGCTGGTAAAAAATCGTTTTTATTTTATTGACTAAGGTCATCAACCAACACTCAGGCTGCTGACGATGGAGCTCAGCCGTTGGTGATGGAGATGGAGATGATGATGATGATGATGATGATGAGCCGCGTAATCTTGAATCTCTCGTGCCGCATCTTCACTTGAACAGCAAATGCAGCTGACAAGCAATGGCAGTGGAGATTTTCGTTTCGTTTCGATTCGATTCGAGACTTTTTGGAGGTTAAATAGCCCAGCCTTAATCGGAAATTGTGTCAGCAGTTACAAAAATCTCTGAGCGGAAATGCTTCGATATCATCCAATAATAATTTGCAGCTCTGCAGTTGGGTAATTGAAGAATTACATCAATGAGGAAATACCCTCTGCTAAAGATTAAGTGGTAATTTGGTGGGTAATTAATTCTTAAGCTCATGGGAACTCCACGAAACCATTCTGCTAGTTCTGTGCTTAATTTCCTGAACATATTTTGAGTAGTTAACTTGGATTCACTTCCTCCTTGGGGGATTTCATTTCCAACCCATTTTATTGTTGTTTTTTTTCTTGTTTAATCTTTTTCATCACAATTTGTTGATAAGTGCAAACATAGCCATTGACCTATTGCCATAGATCGAAATGGCTATGTGTGTGTGAGTGACGGTGTACTTGTAGGCAAACACGCGCATTGGCCAAATATTTGTTTTTCAAGAGGCCCAAACATTTCATTATCACTTGCTCCATCATCTTCAGGTCCGATTTAACTTTCGGCTCCCGTGGCGAGGCAATTGAGATGAGATATTCAAGCGCACATCAAACGCTTAATGGTCTTTATATATATTTCTTTTTTATTTTCTTGGCTTGTTCAATTAAAAGCTTAAGACACTCACGCTCACACACAGTTGCCTTCAATTATATGCGTATGGGTAAGATAATTGTGTTAGCATTTAAGGTGTCTGTTATGGGCCACCTAAACTTTACGGATCACATGAGTGCAACATTATGAGTGTGTATGTGTGCTTGGTTGGTAGCACTTGGAGTGTTGGCCCGGCCAGTTATAAATAGCTCAACACTCATTACAGGGCGCCACATTACTCGTTAGTGCCTAATTGTGATAACTACCGGAGCGTGCAGTGCCCAGTGAGATTCAAACTCAACACAGGACTTTTTTGAAAAATCTCAAGTAAAAAAAAAAACAAGTTAACATGCAGTCCTCCAGCATCTGTGTCCTGGCTATATGCTCCCTTGTTCTGGTTGCCTCGATCAGTGCCGCTCCTTTGGACGACTCTCAACACGCCACCATCCTTCGATACGACAACGACAACATCGGCACCGACGGCTACAATTTCGGGTAAGTAAACTAGGAAGGCAAGAGGATTACTTCCAGGATTGAATAAAAGCTTAGACATATATCTGGAAAAATAACGAAAATAGGCAAGACAAGTTGTAGTCTCTTGATCTGCTTGCTTGCTTAAAACAAAAAACATAAAGCACAATATCATTTTATAACCAAATACTGTTAATTTGGAATCTTTTTTAATGCCAGTTACGAGACCAGCGATGGAATTACCCGCCAGGAGCAGGCTGAGCTAAAGAACGCGGGTACCGACCAAGAGGCTCTTAGCGTCCGTGGCTCTGTCAGCTGGGTGGCTCCCGATGGCCAGACCTACACCCTCCACTACATTGCCGATGAGAATGGTTTCCAGCCCCAGGGTGACCATCTGCCCCACAACTAAATATCTACCTCTACCTCTACCGCTATTGACGGTATTAATCAGTATTCAACATTAAGCATCAACATAAATCAGGGTTCAAAGATTTCTTTAGAATTTTAATCATTTCAAAAGGCATTGAAGAAAAATTTGTGTTTCATTTTAAATATAGTTGTTAAAATACGCGATTATTGTCTTTTAATTAGTTAAGATAAGGCATTTAAGGGTTTTTTTCCGATTATAAACCGATCAAGAAGGTCTCTTGAACCCGGATCACCATACGATCTATATGCTAAGTATGATATTTATAATAGGTAGGGCTACAAATATCCATAACGAAATGAAAAGAAAAGTATGACGCAAGAGGCGGCAGAACAGGGTCTCTGTTCTCTTCACATTTCCCATACGCACTGTTGGACGTCGCAATGTGGTATGTATCGTCTTGTCTCATCTCGTCTGGCGACTTCGCCTGGATGGCCTTCGGCCGGCAGAAATTTGCAAATTTTTGGCACGGCCAAACTTGTTTGGGGTTTTTGTTGTCTTTGTAATTAATACATAATTAAAGTGGCGCATATTGAAATATGTGCGAGCGATCTGGCCACGAATGAAAACGAAGTTTTGAAGGTTAATTTCAGGCGTTGATTTAAATTTCATGCGATGCTAATGAAATTTGGAAGATGCCTGCCAAAAACAACATAGAGCAACCCATAGCCATATTAATATGCATATAATAAAAAGCGACAATGATCAAACTAGTTTTGGATTAAACCAATCGACCGCATTGACTGCGGCTGTGGCTTCTTTAAGCCAACTTTGCTGCTGACGTAGTTGCCATGCCCATTTGTGGGTTGAATGCCTTCTTGATTTACATATATATTACTGATGGCCAGAACTTTTGGCTAAAGAGTTATACGCTGTATGTTTACATATTCTAATAATACTTTCTGCAATGCAGACTTAAGTACTTTTTCTGGTGGTCATGCTAAGATATTAAGTTATTTGCGTAGATAGAATTTGAAATCGGATGTGTTTCTCTAATAGTTATTTCAGCCTTTTAGCTATTTGTTATCTTTCGCACTGTTAAACTAGTTAGTTCACAAAACTATCCCACTGAATGGCTATGCATATTAAAATGCAGCCACATTAGTTTGGAAAACCAGAAAGAGCTTCGCATCGAAAATCACGATTTGATTTCGCGAAAACGAAATCAAAACCATAAATTTCGCATTCGACATACAAAGTTTATTAGCACGAATGCGCTTCGAATATGTTAGCAAATTATGTATAAAAGAGTCATCCTGCAGAGCATCAATATCATTCGCATCGAACTCTTCGAGATCAGCAAACGAACCAAAAATCAACATGAAGTTCCTGATTGTCTTCGTCGCCCTCTTCGCCGTTGCTTTGGCTGTTTCTATTGATGCTGACGCTACTATCCTGAAGCAGGATTCCGATGTTGGACCCGTACAATATAACTATGGGTAAGTTTATTGAGAGAGGTGGCTGAAAAGAATTTTAAACTGAATTGCGCTTTCTTATTAGATATGAGACTAGCAATGGAGTGTCAGCTCAGGAAGCCGGTCAGTTGCTCAACGCTGGAAGTGATCACGAGTCCATTGCCGTCAAGGGTTCCTACCAATACGTTGGTGATGATGGAGTGACCTACTCCGTCAGCTACATCGCCGATGAGAACGGATTCCAGCCCCAGGGTGCTCATCTGCCCGTTGCTCCTTAAGCGAGTCAAAGTGGATTATCCAGTTCCTTGTTAATATTGTCAAAAACCTGAAATAAACTTTTAAAGAGAAAATGAATACAAAAACATATGTGTTTTTAATCTATGCATTCTAATCAAGAGTTTTGGTGCAATCATACTATTATGGGACTAATGATTGTAGTTTATAAACGAGTAATAAGTAATAAAAACATATTTCAGAAATTGATTAAGAACTCAGCGAAGAAAGTCATAACATAAGATAGGCTTAAGAGCATATTTTCTAAGAGCGTGGTAGAGTTTGAGAGAGAGAGAGGGCTTTACTGAGTGAGGCGTGCTGTGTGACAAGGCAGAAAAGAACGATGAAAGGACAAATTTCAAATTGAGAGTCAGTATGGAAAGAGCTACTGCACGGGCCTAACGTCATCATAACTTACTGCGCTTATAGAAAAGTAGTCATGTCATAGGCATACCTCTGAGTGATATTAAATTTAATAAAATGCCTGATCATAGTACTTGTTTATTTAAATTTAAATGTTTATCCCTTTTTGTGTGTTACACGTGCAAGTCTATCAGCGCAGCTGCCTATTAAAAACTATTATAAGATATCGCTAGCTTAGCCTATATTTAGGTTTATATTCTATTCAAAATATTTAAATATTTAAATTTTATTTTAAAATTAAGAAGGAATATAAGTTTTGTTAATTCGGAAAGTTCTTTTTGTATAAATATCATTAATTATTTCTTAGTTTCAACGATTTGATTTAAGAATATACTTACTCTTTGAAATCATACAAAAAGTGAGCAATTAACCAAGAAATTGTTTTTGCTATACTACTTTCCCGCATTCCTTATATAACATTATGTGTAAATTACAAAAATTGTATCTCATAACTACTTAAAACTTAGTCGTTTCTTATTTTTCGTTTAAAGTCTATTAATTCAGTGGGGTTGAAATTGCTTTGTTGTGTGCAAAAATTTAAATTAAGTTGAATTTAAATAAACATGCTCTCCAAGCATCACATCGGTCTAAACACCCAAATACTTTGGCAACTGAGCTGAACTGGAAAATGAACTCGTTATCACATATTTTTTATTAGTCTTGCGAATTTTTTATCCGTACTGCGCAGGGAATTAATTAACCATTTATGTATAAAAGAGATTCACCAGAAGTCCATCCATATCATTCGTATCGAACTCTTCGAGAACAGCAAACCAAAATTCAACATGAAGTTCCTAATTGTTTTCGTCGCCCTCTTCGCCGTAGCCCTAGCCGAGGAAGTCCCTATTGTGCGCTCTGAAGTAGACATTGAACCTAACAACTACAGCTTCGAGTAAGTTAAATAAAAGCGCTATCTGAAAAGAATTTTAAACTGATTTTGACCTTATTATTAGCTGGGCGACTAACGATGGACAGGCAGCTCAGGCCAAAGGTGAGCTGAAGAATGTTGGAACTGACCAGGAAGCTCTCAGTGTCCAGGGATCCTACAGATACGTGGATAATGATGGAGTCGAACATAGCCTCTCATACATCGCCGACGAGAATGGATTCCAACCACAGAGTGCCGATCTGCCCGTTCCTGTCCAGGCCTAAGTCACCAAAAGTTGATTAACCAGTTCCTGTTAATATTGTTTTTACTATCGAAACCTTAAATTCGAGTGATAGACAATCTAAGTCAAAAAATAAGAGCCTGTAACGATTAAAGTCAAAATGAATACCTGAAAAATTGCGTTTTGTATCTAAGGCTTCTGAGAAATAATTTACTGACTAAGGGACTGATTACGAAATTGGAATAACGTTGCTGTTTTTCGGATAAAAGAATACAAAGTTTGAAAACAAGTTATTATTTGAATAGGTATTTTGTAAAATATATTATAAGTGCCTAAAATAAATTGAAATTCGAAACAAATATATGAATTATAAATTATGAATTATGAATTAAATATTACACAGCTATGTGATCTGTAATTATGCACTGAAAATAATCGTACTTAAAACCAATTAACAAATAAAATAAAGTTTAATAACTAAATGCGGTTCTAAAAATAAAACCTGTCAAACAAGAATAGATTAATTTTGAAAGGGGAATATGTTATAATTGATTCACATCGGAAACGTGGAAAGTATCTTACAACAATGAATATTATAGTAAACTTAATATTCGCTATAAATAAATCAATCCAGTCAAAGGGAAACCGTCTTTTTTTTTAACAGTAGTAAAACTTGGAGCGAAGTTCTGGTGTAAGTTTTAGTTATAAATTCTCTGATTAAATCTATTCTCGTATTTTGTAGTTCTTACGTACATATAGTTTATAAAGAACATTTCGATACAAATTATTTTAGTAGACTAAATCAAAAACAGTATCGTTTCATTACACAGTGAAAAGTCATCTTACATCTATTGGAAAGATTGTAATCAATTAATACCATTTTCATTGGTGTTCGTATGTATGTTTCGCGCGTCGAAAACAACTTTGTTAAGCCAATGAAGTGGTCGATTTGCATTTCGTATTGGAATTTTTACTATTCAGCTTTAACCCGAACTCAGTATCATACATTTATCACTTTACGTTTTGACTAATTCGCATGTGTTTAACATAATCGAAGAGGTTGACCAACTATTTAAGAGCTGACCCAACCATCAGGCAGCATCATTCGTCGTGAACTGTTCGATAAACGCAGATCAAAACACCAACCAAGAATCACCATGAAATTCCTGATTGTCTTCGTCGCCCTTTTCGCCCTGGCCCTGGCTGCTCCCGCTGATGAAGCTACAATCCTGAAGTCGGTATCCGATGTTGGACCCGAGAGCTTCTCTTACGGGTAAGTTAATTGAGAGAGCTGTCTGAAAAGGATTCCAAGCTGACGTTGACCTTCTTAATAGCTGGGCGACTAGCGATGGACAGGAGGCTGAGGCCGCTGGTGAGCTGAAGAACGCTGGATCAGAGAATGAGGCTCTCGCCGTCCGTGGATCCTACTCCTACATTGGTAATGATGGAGTGACCTACACCGTCACCTACATCGCCGACGAGAACGGATTCCAGCCCCAGGGTGCCCATCTGCCCGTTGCCCCCGTGGCCTAAGTTGCCGAAAGTGGATTATCCAGTTCCTTGTTAATATCGCTTTCATCCCCTTATTTTGAGGGAAAGAGATTCTAAGTCAATAAACCTGAGTTGTTATTAAAGAAAAACGTAGATGGAAAAATTTGTTTTTAAATGGGAGTATTTGATTCGGAATTACATTTGTCAACATTTTTGACAAGTTGTTATTTGTTTCCATTGAGCTATAAAATTCAGAACAATGAACTTTTTCATCCATTTGAACACAATTAAATAAAAGGGTTACGTCCCAGAAGAGCCTATAAGGAGTTTTTATCCCTTAATTTGTTTCTGTATTGAAATTAAAGTTTGATTAAAATTGCTAAAAGGTTGGTAGTCTTCTGTTTTATTATGCAGTTAGGTTTGTCATCGAATATTAAAAAGAAAGCCTTGCCAATTATGAATTAAACTTAAGTTCTTGAAGATCTCACTGAAATCAACGTATAAAGCCATACTTTAGGCGATCGAGTGGTGGTGACCAACTTTTAAAAACAAAACTTAAGCTGTTCATGGATTTTTAGATATTCTATTTTTAATTACAATCTTTTTGGTGTAATAGTTATCCATATTCATATGGAAAAAACCACAAGCTAATAGTCATGGTTATATATTTAAGTTTATTTGGTAGAAAACCTTTCCTTCTACCTGTTACACACCTTTCAAAGGGTACAAAGTACTCTACTAGTAGGTGTACTATGATTCTATCTTTTATTTTTGGCTATCCATCTTTTAATCCTAAATATTATTAATAAAAGAGTTTTTACCGATAATATAACAAAAATGAAAAATTTAAATACCTTAGCACATTTGTAACAAATGTGTGCAGGGGCTAGAATATTATTAAACTTTCATATTAGCGGCATAAAATTAAAACTGGTACAGCAAATGTTTATCATTGTCTTTAAAATGATATATTTATCTATATAATATTTACATAGTAAACGAAAATTATGGGTTTACCCTAAAATATACATGATTTTATAGTAATTTCCTGCTTTATATTATATAAGAGTAAAAAATATTGATAAAGCCTAGAACATTGTGATACGTCTGCGATTCATTGTTATAGACTACCAGATTTCGAGATCCAGTTTGACAGCAGTCCAGAGAGGACAGCTGTAAAGCGAATGCGAAAACTATACAGAAGAAGATGGTCGATTTACATATCGTATAGGTCTTTTAACGATTCGGCTTTAGGCCGAAATCAATTTCACACATTTATCACATTATGCTGTATACACTACAAGTTTGACTAGTTTGGCCGCGCTGGGCTCGGTCTTCAAAGTTTGGCCATCCATCTATATAAAGGGAGGCCCAGTATTCAGACAGCATCATTCGTCGCGAACTGTTCGATAACCGCAGATCAAAACACCAACCAAGAATCACCATGAAATTCCTGATTGTCTTCGTCGCCCTTTTCGCCGTGGCCCTGGCTGCTCCCGCTGATGAAGTTAAAATCCTGAAGTCGGTATCCGATGTTGGACCCGAGCACTTCTCTTACGAGTAAGTTAATTGAGAGAGCTGTCTGAAAAGGATTACAAACTGATGTTGACCTTCTTAATAGATCGGAGACTAGCGATGGATCGAAAGCTCAGGCCGTTGGTGACTTGGCGAACCGTGGAACAGACAATGAGGCTCTCGTCATCAAAGGATTCTACTCCTTCGTGGCCGATGATGGTCAGACCTACACCGTCAACTACATCGCCGATGAGAACGGATTCCAGCCCCAGGGTGCCCATCTGCCCGTTGCCCCCGAGGCCTAAGTGAAGTTGCCTTAATCGGAAGCAGCTTCAAAGCCATCCAATCCCACCCAACTCCTTGTTAATAACTCCGAATCTTACCAAACCGATCTTGTCCTTGTTTTCAAAGGATGGGAACTAAGTCATCCAACCCAACTTGTTAAATATTAAATGAAAAAGAATTACCAGAAATAATGTGTGTCTTATTTTGTTTAAGATCTGTCCTCTTCTATTTTATTTTAGCAGCTGCAAATTATTGAATAATATGACGACTGCAATTGCCCAAGCAGAACCTCTAATACATAATTTTAAGATAGTAGTTTAAGATAGTTATTTATCTAGTAGATAAATACCAAAAGGGAAAGCATCTCATAAGTAAATTTATGTAGAAGTCTATGTGACGTATAAATTAGACTGAGAGAATTACGTGATCGATAGATAGCTGGTTGATGTTACCTATTAATAATTGATTTTCATACCAATTGCAGTGATCACATACATATATACAAGCTGGTACTTATTCATACATTTGATGATCACAAAAAAAAATCACAATGCACAATAGAATAGAACACAGGGCTAAAGCATCTCGACTGGAAGACATCTCCTAATCTTAAGTTGGTTTTTTAAATGTATACCAGTATTAAGTCCTACGGTATAGGAAAATCTCATGATTCTTTTTTTTTTTTTTTCCCCCTTGCTCAAGCACAAGCTTTTAGTATAAGCAAGAGGAATAAAGAGCTTTATCTTGGTGGGAAGGTGAAGCGTCATTTAGTCTATCAAATGGTTATAGACAAGATAATTGCATAAATTACAGACCACATGGCATACCTTGATGCACGTTTAGTGCAGGGTATTTAGAGTGTTAATCTGTAATTAAAATGTGTTTTATTGAATGTTTCCATAATAGCTGATTTCTTTATTTTTCATTTGTTTTATTATTTTGCATTTTTCGCCGATGAGGACACATATCCAGAGATTCCGTATAAAAGGCCGTCATTTGATTGCATCGCAGCTCAGTAAAGTGCAGCTAAGTGTGACGGCGACTGTGAAAACTAATTCTTTCCGCGATGCATTCAAGTTTCATATGGCTTTTTGTTCTCATGGCAGTTGGAGCTGGTCTGGCCCTGCCCGCTGGTGAGGATGCTCAGGCGGAAACCATCAAATTGGAGAGCGAGAACACTGGCGATAAATATTCCTTTTCGTGTGTATTGCCCAAATGTTCCAAATGAAAAGAAAATTAGGTTTCGCAACTATTAATCATTACATTTAAACGTCTCCGAATACAGCTATGAAACGAGTAATGGAATCTCGCGCACGGAGACGGGAGAGGTGAAACCAGGTGCCGGTGAAGATGATGGATCCCTTTCTGTCCAGGGCTCGACCAGCTGGTCAGCTCCAGATGGCAAAAAGTACGAGATTAGCTTCACGGCCGACGAGACTGGCTACCATCCCAAGTTCAGGCTGGTGGCCTAGTAGATATCTGGAATTTACATTTAGCTAAATATTCCCAATAATAAAGTTCATTTTATTTACCCAATCTAAAAGCTTTAAAAATGGAGGAATAATATAGAAATAATTCACAAATCTTGAGGAAGCTCTAGATCTTTATTGACGTCACTGACTTTGGGCGGATTTATAGAAATATAATACTAGCACAATGAATAGGTATAAATTTGAATAATTAAATATTTATGGCCGCGATTCTTTTCAGCCTATCGTGTAAATTTAAATTTCATATTAGGCCTTTTAATGCTCCAACTCCAAACGAAAATGAAACCAAAACCAGACATTTCACATTAACATTGACATTGCTGATTATGTCTTGTACACGTTTGACTAGTTCGGCCAGGCTTTGAATAATCGGCAACAGTTTGCCATCTATAAAAGGGTTTACACGGGCATCCATCGTTACCATTCGTCGCGAACTGTTCGATAACCGCAGATCAAAACACCAACCAAGAATCAACATGAAGTTCCTGATTGTCTTCGTCGCTCTTTTCGCCCTGGCCCTGGCTGCTCCCGCTGATGAAGTTAAAATCCTGAAGTCGGTATCCGATGTTGGACCCGAGCACTTCTCTTACGAGTAAGTTAATTGAGAGAGCTGTCTGAAAAGGATTCCAAACTGATGTTGACCTTCTTAATAGATCGGAGACTAGCGATGGATCGAAAGCTCAGGCCGTTGGTGACTTGGAGAACCGTGGAACAGACAATGAGGCTCTCGTCATCAAAGGATTCTACTCCTTCGTGGCCGATGATGGTCAGACCTACACCGTCAACTACATCGCCGATGAGAACGGATTCCAGCCCCAGGGTGCCCATCTGCCCGTTGCCCCCGTGGCCTAAGTGAAGTTGCCTTAATCGGAAGCAGCTGTAAAGCCAACCAATCCTACACAATTCCTTGTTATTTTCCCCAAAACTTCCCAATTTCCGAATTTCCCTTCTTTTGAAAGGAAATATTTTCCCAGTCACAGAACGAAATTTGTTGAATATTAAAAAATGAATATTTTATTTGAATTGGTTTTATTGAAAAAATGTTATAGAAACGTTTAGGAAATAGTCTTTTGGTTGCTTTGTTGAACAAAATTAGCAAAAACGACGTTTAAAATTCATTACAGAATGAATTAAAATTATTCAGATATAAGCAAGAGTTTCAATAGGTGATGTTTTTTAGAATGGGCTTAAATTTTAAATAATTATGAGACAAACACTTGCAGGTATTCTTCATTATTTGCATAATTTGACCTACAGCTAAGTGCTGCTTTGAATTAAAAATTCCCAATATAATTAACGTCAGTTTCTATAAGGACGAGCTAGTGTTAAAAAATTAAAAATTTAAGAAAAAAAAAATAATTTTTCCAAAAATAAGTATTAATATCTTTATATTTAAGCCCGGGTTAGGAACCGACTTGAAGTGAAGAAAAACATTTTGCCGATTTTGAGGTCTTAACTTTAAGTGTTAAATTACGTAGCTCCCTTTTAGGCTAAATGATTAAATGTGAAATAAAAACGAGTGACTTGGGCAAGGAACTTGACTTTTTCCTTGCATACTTTTCAGTGTCATAGACGAATTACCCGTAAACTTCGTGACGCATCTGGTTAGATTCGCATCATTTATGCTTGTACTCAAAGGCAACTGTTATTGCAATTAATATGCAAATTTTAGCATACAACATCAGTCATTGCCGAACTTGACAGCAATATTTCAATTACAATTGGCTGCCAGCATCCGGCAGAAGACACGCTGGCTGCTGATTGCCGATCGATAATGGGAATCAAGAAGTGCAAACATCTTCCTCATTGCATTCTGATGTGCTCATCAAGCAGGTCAAATGCCTGGCTAATTAGACTCAACAAGTTGGATGGTAAATACATAGCACTCGCTTAATTATTAATAAATAGTCAGTGACATTCATTAACCTTAAGCCATGTCTGTAGGTTTTCAAGATTAGTTCTAACCAATGTCACTAAATTTAGTTACATTTATAGTATTGTATCACATCATATCATATTTGAAACAGTCAATTGAAGTGTCTAACACTTATTAATTGTATTAAAATGAATTTGATTTATAAATATTAAAGAATTCCTTTAGTAACAAATAAATGAAAAATGCGTAAAAAAGAAACAACAGAAAAGAAATTTTTTCCAATGATTTTTAAGTTAATTTCAGCATACGACTTTTGTATGCCCTTTCGAATAAAAAATATGAAATAACAAATTCGAATTAAAAACACTCAGGAAGTCTCAAAATAGAAGCCGAAAACTAATTTAGCTTTTGTTTAAACATATCGAGGATGCAAATGGCCAAATATTCTTCAACTGGCTGACAAGCAGTTTAAATAATCAAATAAATAACTGTGCAGAGTGCATGAAATTTAAATTATGAGTACAGGCTTGGCATGGCATAGCTTGACGCTCAAGAGGTGTGATGCGATCTGGCCAATGCTACCAGCTCTGGGACTCGACTTGGCTAATACAGAGCCAACTGAGAGCACACAGATACGCACGCACACTTGGCCAATGGGCAGCGGCAGGCTGGCGGTCCGCGTCCGCTTCTAATGTTTTATAATGTTTACCTAATATTATTAACATTGTCAATTCGCTGCCGAACATCGTGGGGTGTGTTTCATTCTGAGGCGCTTGCTCCGAACGATAATCTCGCCGTGAGAGACGCGTCTTTCCGTCCGCTATCAAATTCAAATATTTATAATCGAATATTTTTATTAAAATATAAACGCCCGCTTGTTTATGCGTTTTATGTGTTCTGTTCGCTGACAGTTTCTAATAGGGCGTGAAGATAAAATAAATTTTGTGATCATCAATTTAAATATAAAATTAGGCCGCAAAATGAGCCCGAATTCGAAAATGATCGTTGGTGCTGTAAGTGCTTTGACCCCCTGTTCTCAATCCAAGGGATTCACGGTGTTCCTTTTTAAGCTCCTGCTCCTGGGCACCCTGACGCATGTCCTGTCGGCTGCGACCACAGTACGACCTTACAAGTTCGGCTTCACCATTGACGAGCAGCAACATCGGGCCGAGAAGAGAGGTGAGTTACTGTTTGGTTAATGACGCTAATTAAACCATTAGCATATCTTGACTACTGTGCGTCGATTTATTGACACCAAAACCGAAATATGTAAATAGATGATGCGTCATCTTGGAAGTCGTTAGGAGCAGATGCACAAATGCAGCAGCATCGGCACAGCTCATCGGTAGCTTTTGGCCAAAAAAAGCCATAACTTTTGACTTTTGAGCCGGAGTGCTGTGGCTTGTGCAATGCCACACAATACACGTTTTGATGGGTGCACCTGAGCGACAGGTCACCAGCAATTGAAAATACCAGCCACCAATGGCAATTAGCGGAATCTTCATAGAACCATTTGGATGCGGGGGAACGCGGGTTAGACAGCCATTGTCCAAACGGCTGGCATGGTCGTTATGATTTTTATTTCCATGCTGAATCGGTGATAAAGTTTTCAGAAAAACGAAAACGAAAACGCGTCCGATTAGCATAACATGTAGACCCGTCCGAATATCCAAATGTTTGCCTTATTTATGGTTTTTCTTTCTTCAGCTAATGCTAATTCCAAAAAGAACAGCCACATTTCAATATTTATAAGTATAATTCTGGCATATGAAATGCCAGAGTTGAGGCCAAAAATTTGGATTACGTTCGTTCAAATTAAGGAACTTGTTGTGCATTCAAAATGTTATTTCTTTTGTTGTATAACAATTTAAAGGAGAATAAAAGGTATCCTAACAAAGCTTTTTGATCGCTTTCGGCATGTTTGTATCATTCTTATTTAAATGTTTGGCCATTTTCAAGATCTTTTGATCTAGTTCAGATTTTTAAAGTCTAGTTTGCGGGGCTTTACATCACCAGATCAATCAGAATGTTAGTTTAAGCTTTGAGGTCAACATACGATGGAATAATATTCATCAATCTTTTTATTGTTTCTTATTTTAGGTAGTCAAGATGTTTCTGAAGCAATTGAGGAATAATTTTATTTATTTATTTTTGTTCAACTAGATAACTTGAAAATGTGTGTATAGGCCAGGTGCTAATTTTTATGGCAGCTCTAAATTTTGTTTGACATTTTTATGGTGGATTTTTATTGATCTCCATTTTATAACAAGTAAGTATGGTATTTGGCTTAAAAAGAAGATTTGTTATAATAAAAGCTTAAAACATAGAAAATTCTACACAATTTTTGAGAACTATTCAATTTTTAAAAGCATATAGAAACTTAAACTTTATTACGATTAGGTTCCTATATTTGTATTCCCCAATAATTTATGTTAATTTTATTGTTCCTTTTTTATTTCTCTTTATTTTATAACCAGTATACGATTTGGCTAATTTATATTGATAGCAGTTTAATAGTTTCAATTATTTAAGCCAACTCAATGAGCAATATCAACTGAAATTGATCACGACAAAAGAATAAATTTTAATAAAGAATTATTTTCGAATCTCGTCGAGACTAATGGGAAAGTGACACGAAGCCATATTCGAATTAAACATAAAACAAACAAGCGAAAGCCAATTGATGCAAACCGTTAAAACTTGTTGCCCAGTTTCGGGGAAACCAGTTTAAAGATACAAAGGCCACAAGCCAGAATTTCGGATTAGTATATTTTTGGTGGGTGGCTGGCTGTACAGGATGCTTCGGTGAGAGTCGCACCTCTTTAAGTCCCATCCACATAGTCATCTAAATTAATAAATTCTCCTCAGCATAGGAATGTCTCTTGCGTAGGAAGCTGTCATATAAAGACGACAGGTTGTTTGTGCGGGTGATTGGGGGGCTTTAAGAAACCAGCTAACAAGTTATGAGCGCTATTATCGATACAGTTTATTAGATCTTAATCTTTATGGGCCCGGCCAGGGCAGGTTATCAAACGAATTAAAAAATCACAAATCGCCGTAAAATTCGCATTCATATTCAAAATGAACACAAAATCTGTTTGCCCAAAATCTCATCTCGTTTCCCGATTCACAGATGAACGCGGCATTATCATGGGCGAGTTTGGGTTCATCACCGCCGATGGTATTTACCATGTGACGGTCTATGCCACCGATGAGGACGGCAAGTTCCGCATAATCTCCATGAAGAGCTATCCCTATGCAGGTCCAATTGGTCCAAGTAAGTATTGAAAAAATTGAATATCCATTATGCTTCTTTTAAAGTCAAAATGCATCCTATTTAAAACCTATCAAACTGTTAAAATTGTATGCTTTTTGAGTGATTAAATTATTATTTATTCATTCAAATCATAAAACTGTTTTGTATAGGAATTCACCTTTAATTATTTCCTTTGATCTCGGACAGGTTTTTGAGCTACGTAGTGATCTAAATATAACTAAATGTTTATGGCTTGATAAGAATTAGCAGAACATAAAAAGAAGCATCTGTATTCAGATTATGATAAGTTCATATCGAGTTCAATTATTGAAAATTAGGAATCAAAAATATATTTTTAACTTTAATACTTCCCTGGGGGATAAGTTACTACCAACGAAAGTTCAACAGATTTGACGGATTTATATATATTTTTACTTCTATATAACAGAAACCCTGCCTGTGACCACGACACCGAAGGCCCTGCCCCTTCCGGCTGCTCTGCCCAAGTACAACTTCAACACAGAGGCCTGTTCTGGATGTTTCCTGAAGAAGTCCCCACCCAAGACAGAGATTCGCACACTTTCCCAGCCATTGGCACCATCTCAACCAGGTAAGCCCGAGGGCTCAACGGATTATGGCCTCAATGTGCAGTTGCCGTTCCAGGACTCCATTGCCGAGACAGTGGCAAGGCGTCTTGGTCTGGTCCATGATACACAAGAAAGCACCAACACTTACACAAATGCACCAAACACTAAACACATCGAACTTGGTCTCAACTTAGCCATGAACACTTACTACACATCCAAGGCAGCTGTCACCGGACATGTGAGCAGTCACCAATCGAATTCCCTAGCATCGAGTGGCCAGACAAAGATCGACTTCAATGTGGGCGTGGTTGAGAAGACTGCCCCCGTTTATCCCCCATTGAACATCAGGTTGGACGAGGATGCCATAAGGGAAGCCATTACCTATGCCGACCGGATAAAAGGACCTCTGGCCTTGGCCAATCAGCCACTTGTTGTCCCCGCCTCGGTGCCCGCCAGTCAAGTGAAAATCTTTGCTGTTGATGGTCATGGCAGTGTTCCCCTTGCCAGTAATATACAATCCGTAGCCCACAACCCAAGTGCTGGCATTAGAAACACCCTTCGATCGGGAGTTGCCTCTGCAAAAACAGTGGCGAATTCGAAGGCACGACCTACACTTACACAGAACCCACACCAAACACTTCCTTTGAGTAAGCCAACTAGGGACAAATATTTCTAGAAACATTCTTAATATTGCATTTATTTTTGTGTCTATTTTTTTACCCTCAAGAATTTTCTTAAAGGAAAAAGTCACAAATTGTTTATAAGAGAAATTATTTCCAAATATTTTTAAAATTTTGCAAATCTTTTTTAATTCATTTTTTGTATTTAATTAACTTTGTTTAATTTTTATTTATGGTTGCACTAATTACTATATTTGAAAGCCACCTAGTTGTCACTTATTGTACTATGATACTTACACAGTTTCTACGCAATTTATACATGTAGGTTTGAGCTATTACTAAATTTCCCTTGGACTTTTTTATCAGATTCAGCTACCACTTCTGGAATTTCTGGAGTTGCAGCTAATTCGCCAACCGGAAGTGCACCCTGTAAGTGATTTAGGCGGAAAAAAGTCTTCGAAAATAAACAAAATTAAAAATAATATTTTTGTAAAAATGTAGCAAACAGTGGAAGAGCACCTGGTGGAAGCTTCTCTGGTGTACCACAAGCTGGAGGACCTGGAGGTTCTTTGGGAGGAGTAGGAGGCTCTGCAGGAAACAAGGCATTCGGCGGCTCGGCTGGAGGAAGCTTAGCTGGAGGAAACTCAGCTGGAGGAAGCTCGGCTGGAGGAAGCTTGGCTGGAGGAAGCTCGGCTGGAGGAAGTTCGGCTGGTGGAAGCTCTCTCGGATCTGGACTTAGAGGAGCCGCTGCTGGTGTAAGCAAAGCTTCAGGATTTGGTGGTGGAGCTGTAGGCTCTGGAAGCGGAAGTGCTGCTGGCGCCTCTGGAGATCTGTACAAATTCAAGTACATTTTGGACTACAATGGACACGAGGAGACCGGCGGACGTAATGGTGACAAAAAGGGCAGCTACTTCGCCATCGGCGAAGATGCAGTGCAGCGAACTATCGAGTACATTGCGAACGAGTTTGGATTCCAACCGCACATCAGCTGGCGGAAATTGGACGCCAAGGAGGCGCTGCCCGAGGAGAATTCGCTGAAGCACTACGAGTTCAAGTGGTTCAATCAGGAGCAATGATCGGAGTTTCTTCAGCGGATTAGTCCAAGTCTAGGGTAGTTAACTTTTTCCTTCCCTCCCCCAATGCTGTACATAACAAAAATTGTTAATTTTCGAGTAAATACAACGTTTAACAAATAAGAATCGAGTCCTTTTTAAATTGGGTTTTTATTTTTGTTGAAAGTTTTTGCCTTAAATTAACTAAATTCTTAGAGGGTTTCGGTGTGTGGGCATCGCTGATGTTCGTTTTTTATATTGGTTTTCGCTTCGTAGAGTTTACATTCAGAATTTAAAATTGTATACACTTAGATCGTTAACGATTAGTTCGCTTTTGTAGTATTTCGATTTGGTAAATACACATATAGTTACACACATTTAATTTTATATATATATATGCATATATATATATATATATATTTGCCTCGTTATAGTTAAACTTCGACTTAGAATTTAGAGAGTTTTCTGTTTTTTTTTACACACAAGTATATAGTATGTCTAGACTTGGGATTAATATGTACTCGTAGTTTAATTCAATATTTATTCATTTATAATTCGGTATTTAAAAAATATGTAAGAGTTTTAACTGTACAATCAACTATCACAGTCAACCATCTCAAAACGATAAGCGATAAACGAAAAACCAAAAGCGAACATAAAAGGTAATTTAATAATGCAGAAATTAGGTGAAACTCAAGTAAGCTTATTTAGTTTCTAAACATTTTTACACTTAGGCAAATATTTATTTACAAATCGTAAATTGAATGTGAGAAAATGTGGCAAACTTTTATAACTAGACATTCACTGTTGTGCTGAACGTTTTCTTTTCTTTTCTTTTTTCAGAGGATGATATTGTTATTTTGCTATTTACAAATGCTTCACACACAAAATGCTAACAACAATTGGGAAGAATTCTAGAACTATTTGATGAAGTCTTAGCCTGGAAAAGTTCTGCATTGAATTTAAGGAAAGAGCTAGTCCTTGGTACACTAAAAACACTTAGAGTTTTGTTTAGCCTTAGAATGCCAACTATATCGGTTCCGGTTCTTAATCGTATATTAGTGGAAAGTTAGTTCCTTAACCCTAGAGCAACAACGATTCATTCACTCACTCACTCGCGCACACACGTAAAATATTTAGCTGGGGGTTGTTTTCTGTTTTCTTGTTTTTGTTTTCTGGTTAAGGGTTTACAAGTTCCTTTCGCTAAGTACCTATGAATAAAATCCGCTGCAAATAGTTTTGCCTCCTGTTTGTTTGTTTGTTGGTTTGTTTGGATCTTTTCTGGTGGTTCTGGTTACAAGTTTTGCCATTGCATTTACAGTAAAAACGTGGCCTGTTCGCCGCTCTTCATGTCCAGATAATCGTACAGGGCCCGCTCGTTGGCCCCGTAGTTGCCGGCGTGTCCTGGAAGTCCGGTGTGGGCGGGATGCCCGTGATGATGGTACGGCGGCATATTTTCACCAGCAGGCGTCGCAGCCGGCGGCGAAGGACCTGCGCCCATTGTCAGCCCGAACTTCTCCAAGTGGCATCATTTAAGCAGTGTGGGCAGACTGCTGTTCATCAGCCGATTGCCCACAACAAGCGAATTGAGCGTCGAGTTGCCACCCCCCACGCCCACTCCGACCCCAACGCCCACACCCATTCCGGCCACACTGAGTCCGCCAATTGTTCCAAATCCGGCGCTGGCATGTGCCGGAGTCGCGGTCAAGGTGGCCGTGGCTATATTAAGGTTGTTGCTCACACTGGACGATCCACCGCTGCTGGACACATGTGATCCGTTGAGGTTGCCATTGCTGCCAAAGCCGCTCATGACAGTCCCGCCACCTCCGCTACCACCACCACCTGCTCCACTGCTCGTGGTGCTACTCGAAGTGGAGCCCACGCCGGAGGTTACACCGGAGCCACCGCCTCCACCACCACCTGCACCGCCGCCCACTCCGCCGATGCCCACGCCCGTCGAGGCCGTGCCGCCGCCAATGCCCGAGGCACTGGCGATGGCGTTGCTCTCATATTAGAAGGCGCCACCGGACGATGATGGTCATGCGTAGTGGGGATAGCTGCTCAGGTGGGGCGCCACGTGAGAGGGCGTCACATGGCTCATCGAGTGCGGCTGATAAAGATTCGTGGCCGGACTGCCCCAGTTGCCCCATGAAGCGGCCGACGGGAAGATCGAAGCTGTATGAAATAAAGTTTCCAATAAGTTAAAGCTGAAAAACTTAACTGAAAATGATTTTCCCCTTCTTTAAGTTTCATTTTTTTAAGTAATAAATTAAAGGAAAAGAATCTGGAATTTCCTTTTAAGGATTTTTGTGTGTTACTTTTGTACACCTAAATTGATCTCTTAACGCTTCATCAAATCAATTATTCCAGTTTTTTAATGAAATTTAACAAATATTTAAGAGCACATAAATAATTTAGAATTGGTTCATATTTATCGAAGCTATAATTATGAGTCAAATAACCCGGGTTACCCTAAATGGAGTTCCTAAACAAATGCTTACCCGATGATGAGGTCATGCCATGGTGCGGACTCATGAACGAGCTGAGCTTGGCGCTGTGGTGATATGGTGTCATGAACAAGTCGCTCTGGTACTTATAGGTGGGATCGCTGGCCGCCGGCTGAGTGGCAGCTGCCAGGCCTTGGAAATCGAATTTGTACGCATACCGCTTGCCGTGCACCTTGGTCATTATGTTCTTGTCATAGTAATACCTGAAAAGGAAAGTTAAGGAAAACAGTTAATAAATAAAAATACTAAAAATACAACAGATTTGGAATTAAATTTCATTGACTGTTAATTATTATTTAACACAATAACAACTTAAATCACAAAATTGACTTTAGACCTAAACAATCAACCCCCAAATCCCAGTCGACCACTCCTTCTGCTGGCCATTTCCATGATCTCGATGTGGGAAAGTCAAACAAAAGCTGAGATGAGCTGAGACTCCGTGGAGTCTCCCCCAGATGGACAATAAATAATTACAGAATAATGCTCGCTTTATGCGTTTTAAGTTAATTTGCTGACATTAAGCGATTTTAGTGCCGCTCCCCAGACACAGCTCCCTTTTCGCATTTTCTGCAATTAAATGGCAACGCCTTGTGCACAAACGCAAATAGAAATTTTCTGTCGAGGGGTGAAATTATGTGGGCGGGCAGACGGCCAAGAAAAACCAAACGAAATTTGTTTACATTCGAGGGTAAGTTGGCTGGCGATTTCTTTTCATTAAGTTCGTAAAAACATTTGGCCAGTCAGCTTGATTTCGTTCTTTAAATCACATTCAAACGGGCAATTTAAATATCCCTTTCCTCTCGCATATTGTTCGTTTATTGTTACGCTTTAAAATGTCCACAACTTCCGCCTGACAAGTCAAAAAAAAGAAAATGTGCAAATAAATTACAAAGAGTTGCAGTCAGGCAGAGCAAACATTTCAATGCATCAATGCAAATTGGCATAATGCGTGCAGTTGAGTTTATTCTCTGCTCTCTCTCGTTTTTTGCTAGCCCCGTTCATAAATTATGCCAATTAAGGCCATAAATTAAAAGCAGTAAAAACAAAAGCTCAATGGAAAATGGAAAAGAGTTAAAGAAATGGAAAGAGCATGAATGCCGCTGCTCTTTGCACAGACAATCAAAGCCAATCAATGACTGATGAGCTAAGGACAAAGGAGCACAATCAGGCAGCAAGGATAACTGACTGCATGGAGAGAAAAGGATTAAAGTAAACCCATTTCGAGGATTGGCCAGGCCAACAAAAGGCCAGCTGGCTGTGAATAAACATGTCAAATGAAGCATTAAAGCACTTGTCCTTTCTATGTGTGTGGGTGGCTTCTTTGTGTGTGTGTATGTGTAAGAGTGAAGGATACCCAGGCTGAGTGTTAATTTACACACCCACACAGCAGCCGCACACTCACATTTCTGAGCAAACATGAAAGCCAACGGCGATGATGTCTCTTGTGTTCAATTGAGTTGAAATGCGCAAAAAGAACAGACATGCTGAGGCTTCCTGGAACATCAAAAAGGATTCTTGCCACCCATTGTCGTTGTTGCCTGATTTTTCTAGACTTTTTACATTTTATATTTACATGTGCGAATCGTGGAGCATGTTGCAAATTGGCTGTCAGGACTTTTCCACTTGAATTCACATCATTGGCACTCGTCTGATTGCGAATGACAGTTTCAAGGAGCTGGCTAAAAGGGTTTCTGCCCTGTGGATTAGGCCAACTCCGACACTGGTCATGTTTATTCAGCAAATTGACCGTTGCACAAATAGTTTGTGCATATGTTTGCTGTTTCTGTCAAATATTGGAGCTCCAGATTTCGAAATCGAATTACTTTCCTTGGCAATTAGATTAAGAATTTATTGGATTTTTGATTACATTCCCAGTTTTGGGCCAGAGGAACAATTTATGATTGAATTTCTATATCGACCTGGCCACGCCCATACTATTAAGTGGTCCGAGGTCTTGGCCAGCAAGTGGATTAACTTTTTGTATATACATTTTTTGGGTGATTTTCTGGCTGTTTAGCCATCAAAGCGGCTAATCAGTGCAGGGACAAATCATTTACTGATGAGCCAAATAGCAGATTGCACACATGCTCGCATTTCGATGTCGGCTGAGATATCAGCTAATTAGGGAATACTTCAGTGAGCAAGGAAAAACAACCCTATGGTCAGGGTAAAACTGATCCGAAATCGAACTTTTTTTTGAACGTGGATTAATCTGTAAAAAGTATGTTACGTTTTTTATGCTTTTCCGTTAAAGTGCCAGATTTGTTCAGTTTATCATTGCAAGTAAAACCAAAAATGCTAAAGATATTATTAAATATGTAAGGAATATAAAGAAGTATGTATATATTGTAGATCTATTTTTAGACTCACCTTAAGGCGCGACTTAGCTTGTCGTAGTTCATGTTGGGCTTGGACTTCCGTTCGCCCCAGCGGCGGGCAACTTCGTCGGGATCGGTGAGTTTAAACTCGCCATTGGTGCCCTCCCAGGTGATGCAGCTGGCGTTGTTGGAGTCGGAGAGCAGCTCGAGCAGGAACTGCCACAGTTGGATCTGGCCAGAGCCTGGAATAGGGAGAGGGGACCATGAGTAATGAGCTCTGTGATTCGTACGTATTGAGACATTTAATATGGGTATTTTTGGGGCCTGCCTAAATGTCCATCAAAAGAGCATATCCTTTTGGCGTTTTTGGGCTTAAATTAACTACAGCAGCGGGGATGTGGCCAAAATGTAAGCATTTTGTGGCATGCAAAGGCCCCATAAAGCATTTCCTGCCCGGGCCGCTGGCCAGGGAATCGAAACGCAATCCGAAAACCCCCCAAAGTGGGTCTCCTACTCGCCCCAACCTCAATAAATAACTGAGACCACGGGGGTAATCTATGACGCTTGCCTCAAATTATTGTAAGAGAAGTGTAGCGCAACGGAAATGGCATTGCATGTAAGTGTAATGGAAGTGGCATGGAGCAGCCAGCTCCTACGGGAAGCCAAATAGATATTATGACTTGCACTTTCACTGGAAAGAGTCATGCTGCGATTTGAAATTAGTTCATGGAAAAGGATTTCCAAGAAAAGTTCTTGAATTCTGTTTTCTGGACAAAGCAGCTAAAGAAAATATTCTTTGCTTTAAGAATACAGAATGTTACAAGTTTATCAGTGACTTCGGAAGCGTATACTTCCACTAAAACTAACCATTGAAAAACCAATTTTGGAAAGGTATCTATACAAAGAAATGACTTTAAAATGTTTAAAATTTTGAATGTAACTTTTTGAGAATGAAAGCCAAACCTACAAGAAGACGTAATCGTTTTCAAACTCCTTCTGTTATTGCCCCCGTATAATGTGATTCCAGCGATATTTATTCACCCATATCATGGCAGTTCCCCATTTGAACTTTGACTTTCTGTCCCAACTCCACTACCCCAGCTTTGAATTTTACCATTGTGCGTGCTAAAACATTTACAGAATTATGATTGTATATATTGTGAGCCAAATTTGCTACGCATTCGACGCAGACATCATAAATCGCTTAATCATTTGGCAATTAGGCCGTGGAAGGCAAAAGGACGAATAAGGGACTACAAACGCTCCTTTCTCTTTCTCTGTTTGCTGTCAGTCAGGCAAAATACAACAGAAAAAAGGACACTCAATGGGGTGGCTGGGAAAGCCTTGAGCTGAGAAGCAAAAAGGGAAAAGGACTTTTCGGGTGGTGGCTTAGGGCTGCTCATGTGTGAGAACGTCATGAATATTGCGTTAATTGCAAATCATGGCCAAGTGAATGTGTTAAGTGCCAACACGACGACTGACGATGATGAATGATAATTGTGGGCCAGGCAGAAGACACCAAGTCAATAAAGGAAAACTGGGCGTGTCTACTTAGCCAATTGACATGCTATTAAAAGCCCAAAAAAAAAGAAGGAAAACGTGTTTTAATTACCAGCAGAGGTGTTAAAGTTTTTAGGCCCAGAAAAAACTGTTAATTTAATAAGGAGGAAAATATGTAAAACCGGAAGCAATTAGCCCTGCCATTTCTTAGATCTCGGCACATTTTTTCGTTGTTAGCATAATTAAGAGAAACTTCAGTTTTGGTCTTTCGCTTATTAAATTATGCAGCAACTAACTAAGGCAATCTCATGTTTCCCTTTTTTATCACTCGGGCCTTGCAACCTGCATATGCACATATGCAAATGAGTGTGTGGCATGTCAAGTGTTGGCCAGCTGGCCGGACCTGGCTAACAAAGCGGTTCCGTGTCGAGAGGAAGCCATAATTAATCAAAAACAGCATTTTTGCCACCCAAAAAGCGAAAGCGCACCATGTACGTGTGTATGTGGGTATGTATGGGTTTTTCTCAGTGAGCTTTTGCGTCCAACTTCAAGTTGAAGTTTATAGCCAACTCTTGGCAACGGCCTAAACCTAAACCTAAACCTGAACCTAAACCGCACAATAAACAATCGAAAGAAAGAGAGAGAAGGCAACAATGAGGTAGATAGAGAGAGAATGAGGGGGGCTGGATTCGTGTAAATGTCGCGCCGGAAAATGTTGGGCGTCTGGGTTTTTATGCTAATTCCGTTCGAGCGCCATGTTTCGATGGTACGTGGAGGTGGTGGGCTATGGTGGGGCAATGGGAACGGTGGGTGGAGCTCGAGCCATAATAATGGCGGCGTCAAAAGCTTGCCCCAGCGCAGGATCAATAGGAATTATTGATTTTGCCTGGCAACTGGTCAGAGGCATTCAACATTGAACACACCATTTTGAAAGTGACTTTCGTTTAAGGGAAAATTTTTAGCAAAAAAAAAAAAGGATAATAGGAAGTGGGCAATGTTTGCACTCTCATTAGATATTATTTGCTCTCGATTGTTATAAACTTTGGAATGAAATGTGAAAGATAAATGTATGATAAATTCATAGTTTGTTACCCTGTACTTCTTTCAGTAAGGGAAATTAGTTTTGGATCATTTAGAAATAATCTTTTTCTTCTTTCCATTTTTAACTATTGACTAATGAAAGCTAACTAAACAGGTTCCATCTCCTAATGTCCCCTTATTTCTTGCTATCATGAGAAAACTGGTTTTTGAAAATATAGATTTTTAGTAACCCTCTCTAACCTATAGTTATAATGAATCTGATGGCCATTTCAGCAAAAAACGGTTTTGTGAGAAAAATGAAACACATCCATTGACCAATTTATCAAATTCATAAGAGACACGCCCACCGTCGAAACCCTTTGACGGAGACTTTGGCGGGGCTGGAAACTCTTTTTAATGGATTTTCGTAGGATTTTAGGCAGGGCGCGTGCCCAGAAATCAGACAATTCCCAAGCAATGAATGAAACGAAAAGTCAGAGCTGCAAAAAACAATTGCCAGGACACGCCCCCTACACACACATATACACATACACACATAGCAATAAAAGCGATGCAATAAATTTAGGAAAACACCTTTCGCATAAATTAGAAAACTGCACCCCGAAAAAGGGTTAAACTCGCATGCAATGGGTTAATTTGTTAGGGTCGCCAGTCTGGGCAATGACTAAGTCGAATCTCGGCCAGAAATTGATATGATAATGACTTTGGGCCAAGTGTTTTTGCCTTCTTTTGGGGGTTAGAGCTTAGTCACGTGGCAGGAGTCGGCAGGGAAACTAAAATATAATCGCGGCACCTGCATCTTTATGCTTTTGTGATTTCTCCACTTACCTGAACTGGCCAGTCTGCTGCTGGTGGGTCCGAACATTTGATATGGATCTGCGGAGGGGGTGAAAGAAAAGGCAAATGGAAATGGAAAGCGTGGCATTAGTACCGGTTCTTTATGCAAATATCTTAATGAAGGGTGCCGACCATTCTTATGTGGCAAATACAAAGGCAAGTTTTAGTTTCCGTTGACGAAATGAAATGCATTACCAGAAAACTGTGAAAAGCCTTGTGCTTTATGGGTAAATACATATATATTATATGTATGTATAGGTATATTTTGTTTATGTGTGAATGCAGATGCTTCATTTGCGCGCATTTGTCGAGTGCACTTGCACACTCACACACATACAGTCACACTCGAAATATCCATTTCACTTATTATCCGGCGCGAGTTTCCTGCTCGTTGCAAAAGCCTAGCTGAGTAAGTGTGTGTGTTTGTGTGTATGAGTGGCTACACTTGGAATAAAGGGGTATGTAATATCAAGCAAAGCTTTTTCCATGAATTAGTACTAAGCTAAGTTTTGAGTTCATGAAATTTGTTTTCAAAGCATTGAAAGATATCTCTTTAAAGTGTTTTCTGATTTTAGTTAATAATTGATTATTGACCAAGTTTTTATACCCGTTACTCGTAGAGTAAAAGGGTATACTAGATTCGTTGAAAAGTATGTAACAGATAGAAGGAAGCTTTTGCGACCCTATAAAGTATATATATTCTTGATCAGAATCAATAGCGAAGTCGATTGAGCCATGTCCGTCTGTCCGTCCGTCCGTCCGTCCGTCCGTCCGTCCGTCCGTCCGTCCGTCCGTCCGTCCGTCCGTCCGTCCGTATGAACGCTGAGATCTTAGGAACTATAGCAGATACAAAGCTGAGATTAAGCATGAAGATTCTTGAGGTCCCGGGACAGCGCAAGTTTATTACAGCATCCTGCCACGCCCACTATAACGCCCAAAAATCGCAAAAAACTAAAACTGCTGACATCTCAGGAACTATTGGAGCTAGAAAGTTGAAATTCAAAAAGTATAATCTTTAGATGCTAGCGCATCTTATAGTGGTTCTACTATGCAGCCACACCCACCCATACGCCCACAAGGCTCAAAAGACGGTTTTCGGATTTTCTAGAAAAGCTGATATCTCGGTAACTATAAGAGATAGAAAGTTCGGATCAAGCATGTATGTTTCTATGATGCTCCCAATGCGAATTGTTTTTTTCCGATCACGCCACGCCCACTCTAACGCCCACAAAACCCGAAAAACCGAAAATGCAAAAATTTCGAAAACTATAAAAGCTACACAATTTTGCTTAGAAACACGTATTTAGGAGATGCCTCTGCAACTTGCCACAAAGTTGCATCCGGCCACGCCCACTCTAACGCCCACAACTCGCGGAAAACTGTGGAGTCTATAATATTATTATGAATTCCTTCGTTTGACCTTGTGTAACTTATTTCTGTTAATATCTATCGATTTACAAGAGATTTTTCAAATCGGAACATTATTTCGCTATTTATGAAGAAATTAAGGTTATAAGGCTCCACATGGGCAGTGACGTCACTATAAGCATACTCAACATACTTCCTCTGACAATAGGTGGCGCCTTGTGAATTTCCACTAGCAAAATTAATATTTTAAAATTGTGTAAAACAGTAACGGGTATCTTATAGTCGCGGCACTCGACTATAGCGTTTCCTCTTGTTTTTTTCTGAACTTATGAATTTAGTTTCCATTTTTATGAATTTTAAGTTTATATCATAATTGCTCGCCATTTTATAGCAAGAACTTTATTTAAGATGAAGAATTCTGGGAAATATTTTTGGTTTTCAATGAAGTCTGTTAATGTTTTAAAAAGTTATTAAGGAAGTTTTCTGCATATTGACCATCTTTTTTCTGTGTATATTGCAGTCGGAAAAACAGAATGAAAGGTTACTCTGATTGCAGCGAGACCGACACCAGACATACTATATAGCACAATTGTCCGTAATTCGCATCATCTAGCCAGAGTCCTCCGCCGCTCGTTGGCTTGAGTCCTGTATGTCCCGGCCATTGTTTTGCCAACAGTTTCTTCGGCTCCAGCTTTGTTCTCTCAACAGCTTTAATGCCCCGAAAAAAGCGAAAAAACTGCCCCCTCGACTGGCACGCGTCTTATTCAACCACGGTCGTCAAATTTGACAGCAAACAAAAGCCAAGCCAAGTGTGTCTGGGTCTGCCGAAACCCTCTCCATCGTCCCTCGTCCCTCGTTCTGTCCCCTCATCACCCTCTAATTGAGAATCCTTTATGGCAGTTTCAATTGTTTCCATTACGCTTCAATTCCACTGCTCGGCACTTTTGTTTCCATTACCATTTCCATTGCTCAAGTGGCGTATTTAAGGTTTTGATTCTGCGACAGTATTTGCTCGATTTCTGTTTCTGTTTCGGTTTCGGTTTCGCTCTCGAAGCAGTCGAAATGAATTTTAAAGCTGAAGGGTAGCAGGAGCACACACACACAAAAAGGACTCACAGCCCACAGGACTCGAGTGGCACTTGCAGCATGCGTTCGATACACAATGGCCAAAACTTTATTAGTGTTGCCCAACAGCATTCGTTTCGAATTTTGCAGATTTTGAAGATCTTTTAAGCTGACTGTTTATGTTGGTTTTTAGGCTGAACAATGAGGCACGTGGACTGAAGCATTTGCACTTCATAACTTTAAGTTTGTTTGATATTTAAGGGAAATGGAATCATATAATTGATATCAACAGATCGAAGTTACTCAATTTGGAAATAAATTATCGTTTAAATATAATAATCTACGTCTTTCTATCTTTTACTATTTCAATATGGGTCTAGCAGTGTTTGTAGATAATATTTCAAAGACTGTTTGTTGTCTTGGTAAAAAATGGTAAATTTGTCCTTAACATTAGTTTCTAGATAGAAATTTATATTTTAAAAATTAAGATCAATCAAAACTTGCCTTTGTATTCGTATACACCTTATTATGTAAGTTAAAGTAAGATTTTCAAAATACTCACCAGGTTGCCGTAGTTGTGAGTGCGGATCATGTTTGATGCCCAAGGCGTTCGAGCTGTAACCTGTAAGTGAAAGAAAGCATTGGGAAAACGCGTTGAAATTTATTCAAATTGTTAAATTAAAAACCTGTCCGCCCTGTCAGTTAACACTCTCAGTTGAACAATCAAAGGCAATCGTCAACTCAACCGCAACACAAACATTATCTCTGCGCTGGCATCAAAGAGCCCAACCCGGCTGAATGGAGGAAAATAGCCCGAAGGCAGGACAACTGTGACATGAGCATCGCAGGATCTCTTCCCTGGCAATGGAATGTAATGGAATATGATTGCAAAGAGCGAAAACAATGCCGCTGGCAATTCAATTTACAATCTCAGCGCGTTCAAGTTGTGTGGCAAACTTCACGCTTCATACTCGAATAAAATTAAAGCCGCAGGCCCATTTCAAGCACTAAGGACTCTGGGAAAAACACTAGGAAAAATAAGCAGTTGTTTTGGGTGAGATTTATTTTTAGTAGTTTTCAAAAGAAACACAACTTGAAGGATAAATGTTGTTTATAGCTAGTCATGAATGGAATATGATTTTACAATCTTTCTCTATATCAAAAAGGGTTTTATAAGGTTCTATAAACATGAAACATAAGTCTCGTAGCTATTATCCCAAATCAAATACTAAACCCTAAGACCTATTCATCAATTTTTTACTCTGTAGAGAGTAGAAGATTTTGTGGGTGGTTCATGCACCGCCCGCTGTTGTTTTCGTTGTCACTTATTGTGCTAAAAAAATAAAAGCAGCAACAGCGACAACTTTTCATATGACATTTTTGGTTTTGCGCTTTGCGTGGCCACTCAACTGCGAAGAGCACAAAAGGCGACCGATTGCAGTGGCAGCGGGAGGTGGTTGTGCTGTTGTGGCGGAGATGGGTGGTGCAGGTCCCAGCAGCCTCAACTAGAGTTGAGCCCAGGACTCGGGCTGTGCACAATTTTGATGTCATCAATGGCCAGCAGCTAAATGCGCTCAGCCAAGCTGAAATTCTGTTTTTGTCTTCCTCAGAGTGTGAAAAATATTCTGAAATCTCTCAGATTTAAAACCGCTTGAGGCGGCAGTCTTTCTGTTTCTGAAGAGTGGGTGTCAAAAGGACAATATAATTTCAATTAGTGCGTGCCATATAACTAGCCTAATAGCGCTTAACCCCTCTGATCGCTTCAGTAACCATTCAATGAGTCGCAACCCCTAGAACACGTGTAGGTCCACACCTTTTTTCAGTCCTTTCCTTAACCATATCTCTCTGTAAACCCCCAACCGAAATGTCTGTCAATGTTCCATTGATGGCTTGTTGATTTGCTTGAATACATCTATCAGCAGCACATTTTGCATGCCTCACTGGCTTCGGTCCGTGTGAATTCCCATCACTTTTGGTTTCGTACTCGTTGTCATGAGTGTGTGTTTTGCATATTTAATGTTTATTTTCGGGTTTTCTTGAGTGCCCTGTGCCTTTGCCTGATGCCTTGTGAGATATAATTTGCTGTAATTTCGGGCTTGTCGCAGAACTTTCTGAGTATATTTTATGGCAATTTGTGATCATTGAAACTTTGCAAATTAGTCATGTTTCTTTGGGGATTTATGGCACCAAAATGAAGTTGCGTTGGAGAGATGGGAAAAGTAATTGCATATGTAAGGATACATATGTCGGAAGGTAAAATCTTGAAAGACAAACTATTTCTCAGAAACTGTTGGTGGATGTTGATAAACGGCGCTTTTTCATGTCGGCTTAAGAAATCTGCTTTACTTTTAAATAATGTCCCTGTCATACTATTAACTTAGTTAATCACTGAATTAACAAATCAGTTTCTTAGTAATGTTTTTAATCACGTTTAAAATAAAACATTTATTAGAACTTACCTTGCGATTGTGTCGAACTGTGGGAACCCCACGACGATTTGTACGAGGAATCTGGAATAGAAGAAAACCATTTCGTTAATAATTTGTAAAAGCTTAGCAAAAAATCATAAGTAGTGATAGATCAGTCAACCGACGGCAGTATCTTAGGGGGCTAGTCGTGGTGTAATTACTTGGATTCCAGGTGGCCGACGGTCGGGCTGGCTCACACACCGCCCACTCACCTGCGAAGAGCATTGAGAAGTTGCTGAAGCTGCCCGTGGAGCGTGACAAGTAATCGGCGGAGGACTTGATGTCCAGCATTGTGGACGCCGTCGGTTGGGTTGTTTGGGCTTGCACTGGGATCTCGGTTGTGTTCCTATCCACACCCCCACACAACAATTAGTCGGAATTTCAAATTCAAATTGCTATTGGTCTCTATCCTTGTCGCACTCTCTCTCTCTCCCTCTCTCTTTGGGCTTTCCTCTTGTTTTTTTTTTGGCAAGCGGTAAATTGGTCGCCGGAGGCCGGAAACTAATAACACGGAGACGGAGACGTCGCCAAGTGGTGTCCGCAATTGAATTTGTTTAAAAAAAGGCAAACGGGCCAACGGGCTAACGGAGCAGCGACGCGCAGCGGAAGAGGAAAAGGAACGGGAACAGGAACGGGAAAAGTGACGATCGGAACCGGTTACCGTTTACCGGACACCTCGACTTCCGCCCGAACTTTCCAATGCACTTTTCGACCTGCCTGCCTGCCGTTTCGCGTGTCCAACTGATTTATATGTGTCAATGTCCCCGTAACGTATACGTGATATATATATTTATTTTTTCTTTCGAACACTCGGTTTGTGTGTGTGTGTGTGAGTTTGTGGTTAGGCGCAGCGTTTTAAATCGCGTAAATCACTGAGAAGGACTAAGAAAGGATGCTCTCCTGGTTAGGACTATCGGGCTTGAGCACTGACACCGGATTGCGTCCGATCTGTGGCACGGCAGCGTAACAATTGATTTCATTCCGTCGTCAAATCGCGCATATCCTGCCTTCGTCCTGCCTCCAACCCTTAGCTACGTTTTTGTGGCCGTTTTGGGGGGTGGCCTGGTGGTTGGTCGGTTGCTTGTACAGTGGGTGGTGGTGGGTGGTTTGTTGGCTGGTACTCTGGTATTGCCTGCTTCTGCTCTGCCCTGGGTATGTATCTATCTGTCTGGGTTGGTCTTGGTTGCGATATGTGTGTTGCTGCCTCTGTCGCTGCCGCTGTTTGCTGCCACTGCTGCTCCTGCGTTTCAGGATATACTTAGGGTTTTAATCCACAGCCACCCCCTCGTCGACTGCCGTCCACCAATCAGCAGTGAGTTGAGGTGTGGCCTAGTGAAAGCTTTTTGCTGCCACAGAGTAAAGCTTTTTGCAAATGGCTGAGCGGGGCCAAGAGAGTATCCACAGTTTCAGATTTCAAGAACCCATTTTGTAATGATCTCTATGATTTTGAGTTTTAACTGCAAAGACCTAAAAAAACCTTAGAGCTTTTCAAGCTTGCGCTCTCTATCTCTCTGAGGCTTTTGGTAGGAGGTAACCATTTCCACTTGACTAAGGACATGCCACAGGACCCCGGGACTCCGTCTCTTTTTGGCCGCGCACTATAGTGCTGTCTCTTTTGCGGGCCACTCAATGCAGCCGCTGCTGCTGCTGCCGCCGCTTGTGCTGCTCCAGCGGCAGAGCTTCCAGAAGTGGCATCGCCTTTTTAGTGGGTGACACGAAGCAACAAGGACGGATGTATTATCCACTTCCTTTTTCCTTCCACCAAACACAAGGATATTACCGTTTCGTCGTTCGCCTACAACACCACCCCCGCCATCTAGATCCCCATTCAGCACCACCCAAAAAAGGGGAGGTGGCATTGGGGGGTTAGGAGGGGGGTGGTTTAGGGTGGCAGGGCCAAAAACAAAGCGCGAGAAGTTGGAGCTGCCTGGCTTTCGTAGGAGAAATCAACAATAGTTGATTGTGAAAGGCTTTGACTGCTCCTCGGCGTGTGGGGGTCAGGTGTGGGTTAAGGGGCTGATGAATGGGTGGTTGGGCGGTTAAGGGTGGTGCACATGCGTTGGCGTCGACGTCAACTTCGCTGCAGCTGCTCAAGTGCAATTGTGGCGTTCGCCTTCCTCCTCCCAAAACACTCCTTCGCCTTCTTCTTGCCCCACGAAGCAGGCAACAGAAAATGACAGACCCACACCAAAACATATACTAACACAGGCAACCAATACCAACCAACACACACACACAAACTGACGGACTCATCTACACAGCTGCCTTTTGGGCTGGCTTAATTAATTTTTGAATTCCCATTGAAATTGTTTTTGCCCAGCCTTTGCCGCTGGCCATGCGAGCCCCGTTCCTTGCATATCCTTGTGTATCCTTGTGGGCGGCCAGGCTAATTCATAGGCGTCAACGAACAAATTGTAGTTCCTCACTCACACAAACAGGCGAAAAGCTTAGCTAGCTTCCTTTTTTATTGTGCCCAATATTTGAGACTCTATATTGGTTTTTTAATACCCTACAAAAAGGATTGAGTAAGGGTATAATGGCTATATTTTTAACGGTATATGTATAAAATATAACACAAAAAAGTTAAAAATATTACAAAACTCATATATTTTTTGTAATTTCAGAAGTAAGTAAGTAGCCAGTCTACCATTGTTTGACGTTTTCCTACTCTTCTATTTCATTTAAGTTAAAAACAAATTTCGCTTTTCGCCCACGCACACACTCATAGACCCACACCCACCACACCCATACATAGGCAAACATTCAAAGGGAAAACTTTCGCAAGTCAAGGCAACTGCCGATGTGTGGGTGTGCTAGTTTGTGTTTCTGCACGAGTGTTGGTTCGTATGCGTTGCTTTGACACGCAGTTATTTAATAAACGTAGCTGGAGGGTAAGCCCCCTATTCCCTCCAACGCCTTCTCTACCACCCACCATAAGCTCTTAAGTTTCGTATATGTATGTGTGTGTGTGTGTTTTTGTATATGTGTGCTAATGGCATCTAAAATGGCTAAATAGCAATTTGCTGTTCTTTGCCAGAGGAAAACCAAGTTTCACTTGGCTCAAAATGTTTGCTCTGCCAAAGCGAGGGAAAAGGAAAAGCTTTTTTTGTATACCGGTAGCTCCTATGTATGTGTGTGTGTGTGTGTGTGTCTTAGCTTGGCTTAACATTTTAATTGCATTCATTATGTAATTTCATTTTCACGCTTTTGGGCGAAAAACTTTAAATTAATTTCTTTTGTTGTACGATTTCCGCCATTTTGCGCCGCCGTAACATTTCCGCCGCCCAAAAGTTGCGGTTCCTCTAGTCCGCCCATTAGGTCCACCCACAAGTCAAGTGTTTTAAGTTAACTTTAAGCCACAACCTATGTATCTTTGGTCTTTGATTCTGTCACCAGCCACCCACAAAACCCACTGCCCCACCAAGACAATCAATGCATCAGTCGCCTGTCCATTTGTTTTGTGTGTGCAGCCAAAATAGTCAACGGAGCGTCAAGACAAACATGACGACAGCCAGTGCACTTAGAGAAAAGTTTAGTACATAAACTAGAGATATTTATCAAGACTTTTTGTAATTTGTTGTTTATTTTTCTTTAAGCAAGTGTTAAAAAATCGTTTTATATAAAAGATAGGATTTAGGGATAACTCATAAATTATTATCATTAATCATTTTCAATTCTTCCTCTCTTACTTTGAGATAACCCATACTTTTAAATTAGTTTCCTAACAAACTTTCTCAAAGTGCACTGAAGACAGGCAGCATATTTTCCTGGCCTACCACCCACAGCAGTTAATAAGAAACGCAATCAGCGCCGCGATTTGTTTTCTCAAGCCCAAAGAGACAGAGACAGGGACAGGGCCAGAGACAGAGGGACAAAGATGGAGATAGTTGGAAAGAGAGAGCTGCTAATATTTATGCGCCTTGCAAGGCTGAAAACACTGAAATGGCCCTGCCTACAATAACAACTGGAAGTCAGACACGTGGCCATTAATGACGTATGAATGATGTAACACGCGATGGAGACTTTGACGCGGCACGTGGCCAGCGGCCTGCGAGGCATGACAGGCCAAAAGATTTCCCCTGCTCACGGTATCTGCTCCTGGTTCCCCATTGACTCCTTGCGGGTCTTTAATGTCCTCGTTCGAACTACCTTCTCCTTCTCCTTCTTTACCAAGGATTGCTCATTTTGCCCGCGGCGAATTTCGCCAAGCGCTGTGCATTTTATTATTGCCAAAATGCGTATTGTTATGAATAATCGGCATAAAAATAATAAAAATACAATACACCCGTTTTTATATTGGCTGGGCTGCACCAATATTTGCTAATCAAATGGGCGGCAACGACGGCGCATAAATCAGTTTCGAATAGGCAGCTCTAAAAGTTTTTTATGCTGAGAGAGGGTTAAGTGGGGATGGGATGAGGTCTAATGTGAATTGGATGGAGTTATATTTATATAGATAGCGGGTCTCTTTTATAAAGCAAATCTTATTTAATATAATAATGTAGTTTCTAGATGTAAACAAACTCAACAAACTAGCTGTTAGGATCGCTAATCTAAGTGATGTAATCCTAAAAAGTTACATACTCTATGCCTGAAATGTTATATCTAATATTGTGATTTAATGCACTTCCCAAGCTTTATCTCCCTTCCTTTATTATCCAACTGACCACCACTCAACCTTGCCTTTATTCACACCTATTACACCCCGCTTATCAAGTGCACCAGATCTTAATGACTGCCCGAAACTTGTTCCCACAAAAATAAGAAAAATGTCGCCTAGGAATTCATACAAACCCGAAAGCCCTAAACCACGAAAATGAATACCAGACCCGCAAATAAAAGTGAAAATTGTAATAAAAACAAATTACGGACACGAACAACAAATGCGGAGGGCCAAAAAAGGAAGTTCTCACAGCGACATATTGAAGGTGTCCTCGTGGCTGTCTATCTAAACAATGCCGGCAATAATTGCGCGATTGATAAGGAGGAGGGGGTGGCATGCCACGGGTGAAAAAAACAAAAACGGGGAAGGTGGAAGGGTGACACGGATGGAGAGAAGGGTGCCACGTTCGACTCCGATTACCACCGTTTGACTTTCTCAGATAATTGCAAGAGAGTGGCACGAGCTCGTTTATTCCAACTCTCCTTTTTATGCCGAATACCGATTGGGGTTTAAAAAGGGTATATTGGTTTCGGAATAAAACAGTTTTCAAAAAGTACTTGGAGAGATAAAATTATGTTTGAATTTGCTTTTATTTATTTAATTTAAAAAAAGTCTCACATAGGAAATGGCTTACTTTAATATGGAAAACCTAATCCGTAAAGAATACTTAAATAGTTTTGATCCTATATAAGTTAAGAGAACCAATCATAAAAAAATAAAAATTAAAAAATCTATAGACATAATTATTATCTTTGCTTTTATTTTAAAAAAATATTTCCTATAGTTTTTGGATGTTACATCGTACCCATTAGTCGTTACACTCAACTCCAGAGTTCCGATTTTATTTTATGTCTTTTTTGATTTCTTCTAAACTGAAAGCTAACATATTCACACGGCACACCCCTGGCGAGCACCCTTAACCCCGAACCCGACCCCTTACACCCACCTCACCCCGCGCCACTTAAGAGCCAATGACAACAAACAGCAAACAAACAATTAACATTCAACAGAAAAAAAAGGGGTTGGAGGAACGGCTCACGTGCTCGGCGGGCCAGCTATAAATTACCGTGGTTTGACTCCCAGCGACCCTCGCTGTCAATTGATAACGCGGATTGACTTTTTGGCGGGTCAAGGGTTTCCACTCCGGCTCTCTACCGTACGGTTTTCGTTCTCCGGTTATGGTTCTGGGTCTCACGGTCTCACGTGAGTTGTGTCACTTGAGATAAAAGCACGGCCAGTGTCGAGGTGGCGGTCATAAATTCAGCGAGCTCATAAATTCAATTGACAACTAAATTGCGGAGCGCTGGCTGCCAAGACCGGAGACGCTTCGACACAGCCACCTCCGGCTCCGGGTGCACTGCGTTTCCGCCGAAGAGCTGAGCTGGGGGTTTTTCCCATTGCCTCCTCAGCCTGGAGGTTCTAAACTTTCAAGTGCGGACCCGCTTTTCCATTTTCCTTTCGCTGCTGGTTCGATTTTTTTTTGTTTGTTTGTACTTTTCCTATTTTCTCTATATACTTTATATATTTTCCTTTTCTGATATACCATGTCGGAAGCGGGTCATTTCCAGCGGCATAAATCACAAAGAGGAGCGGACTTCGGAGGCGGAAGCCAACCTGTTGAACATGCTGACAGTTTTCTATTTCCCAACTGGGCCGTGGAATTTTTTAATTGTTTTTGTAAAGTTTTTCGCTTCGCTTAGGCAAATTTGTTTGCCTATCATTTGGTCGATCAATATGAAAATACAAAAACTAAATTAGCCAAACATTTTCCAGCTTGTTGCCGTCATCTCTTTTTGGGCCTTTGGTGGGAGGTGGCCGTAGGGTGGTTGGCTGTACCAACAATGACTTGATTTATGAACAACTCGTGCTGAAATCTCACAGGGGGTGAGTAATGACTTGAATCGGCAGTTAAGTGAACCGCGAAAAGGGCCATGAATAAAAATATTTGGACATCAATAGGCGCACACATGAGCGGACAATAGAGCATGGGAACCAAAAACTTTTTCCAGGCCAAGTTCGCCGTTTTTCCTTCTCACCCAAAAAATATGCGCATTTTTTACTTGCCATTTTGGTTGGGAAAACCAAAAAAAAATCATAAATGCTAGTGAATAAATTTAAGCGCAAGCGTCAGTCCGCGAAGCTGTCAAAAAGGACTTGGTCGTCCTTTGGCGCCAGTTGGCACAGCAGCGTTTTCAATTTATTTTCACAGCCTGAAACAATTACGGCCAAAAGCAAAAAAGAGAAATAAAAGTATAAACTGTGCGCAAATGAAATCAGAAATTAAATTTCAAGTGAGCAAAACATACGGCGCAGGACGACTGCGATGGCTATGGAAACAGGACGACAGATGGAGGGAAGCAGGTCGAGAGGACGCAATGTGGCGCTCATTCAATGTGGGTGGCAAAGGCCAAGGGGGTGGCCGATACCCGCTGGGCGCGTTGATGAGGGGCGGTGTGAGAGGTGGGACCAGCCTGCTGACAGATTATGTGATTATGATTAGAGCTGAGCATTTCGGGTGAGCCACCAGCAAACAAACAACTCGGGGTTAGATGATGATAGACATCGAAAAATATAATTTTATGAAGTTTAAAATGTAATTTAAAATTTGAGAAAAGGGGATTTCTTAAAGGTTTATAAATAAACAATGAAATTGAAGTCGAATCAACAAATTAATGTATTGCCATTAAGAGACCTAATATTTTCTTTCATTACCAAGCCAAAGATGATCGTATCATGGAATGGTTTATCTTGTTGAGTTCGTATTTAAATTCCCCGTCGAACAGTGTACCACACTCAAAAAGTGCATTTTTTCAGATTTTTCGTAAAATTTTATGATGTTACCCCTTTCCAAAAATGCGAAAATCGCTCTGTCCCGATTTGCGTCTCAAAATATCAGTATTTTCCTCATTACTAAGCCAAAGATGATCGTATCTTGGAATGTTATATCTTGTTGAGTTCGTATTTAAATTCCCCGTCGAACAGTGTACCACACTCAAAAAGTGCATTTTTTCAGATATTTCGTAAAATTTAATGATGTTACCCCTTTCCAAAAATGCGAAAATCGCTCTGTCCCGATTTGTGTCTCAAAATATCAGTATTTTCCTCATTACTAAGCCAAAGATTATCGTATCATGGAATTTTATATCTTGTTGAGTTCGTATTTAAATTCCCCGTCGAACAGTGTACCACACTCAAAAAGTGAATTTTTCCATATTTTTCGTAAAATTTTATGATGTTACCCCTTTCCAAAAATGCGAAAATCGCTCTGTGCCGATTTGTGTCTCAAAATATCAGTATTTTCCTCATTACTAAGCCAAATATGATCGTATCATGGAATGTTATATCTTGTTGAGTTCGCATTTAAATTCCCCGTCGAACTGTGTACCACACTCAAAAAGTGCATTTTTTCAGATTTTTCGTAAAATTTTATGACAACCCCTTTCTCCCTTTCGGCACAAAAATGAACTTTTGTCTTTTATATTTCCATAACCGTAAATACACATATAACCCCACTAATATTGCGTAATATGTGTACACAAAACAGTAAGTAAACAAACATATCGTTAATCAGGCCAATAAAACAATAAACTCTATCAATTGCTACTCGATGAGTCTAACGATGTCGAGCACCCTTTTCCATTATGCCCGCCTAACCACTCAATTGTCTGTGCCAAAAAGAATCCCACACATCGAACCCCTCCCAGCCAATCTATAAAGATACAGATACTCCATTGAGTAGCATATAGTACCATATCCACCACGCTGTCATCGGAGTGTGCGCCCTAATGCGCTTCACATAACATTTTGATCATTTTATGATCTGTCGATTAGCCTCATTGTCTACCATTCAGAGAGGCCATCCCTGTAGCTGGTCGACGTGGACTGGTAGCCAGGATGTCTGTATGCGCACGGGGGTTGTCCTTCCAACTGAAGTGTGCTCGAATGGAGCGTGTGACTAACACGCTTTAATAGGATTACCGCTGAAGAGCACTTAAGAGTCAAATTATCAACGGGGCAGTCACAGATTCACTGGCTTTCAGAGAGCGAATGTTGTGACTGTTGCGTTTTGTATGTTTACTGTTTGGCAGGAACAAAAGGATATAAACATAAGGCCTTGACAATTGTTTGCCAACTTTCCCACTGCCAAATGAACTCAATTGCAGTTCCCAGAGGGACCTCTTCGCATCCCTAGATTACGCGTATTAGTCAGGCTTAAGGCATTAAGTCAAGTGAGCAATTGAGTTGTCCAAAATTGAAGATACTTGATGCGTGGGAATCCACTAAATATATCAATTATATTAAAGGGATTTCGAGTTATCTTGATACTGTATTATAATTTTAGATTTTAAGAATTAAAGATTAAACCAGTGGATTTATAAGGATATATTCAAGATTCTCAATAGAAGAAGTATATTTTTTGAATTTTTTAATAACTTTTTTCAAAAGTAAAACTACTATTGACATGAAAAATATTGGAAATATAAACATAGTTATCGTCTGATTGATAACCAACCAATTTAGTAACTTTAAAGGTTTTGGACAAAAGTTTAAAAAAATTAGAAATAGAAAATGCATAAAGAATATTCTCAACAATAAATTATTGTCATAACTTCTTTTCATTAACTTTTTATTAACGACAAAGGACATTTCACCCTCATGCACAGAAGCGCCACCTATTACCAGAACACTGACACCTTAAGGTTGCTGTCCTGACTGAAAGCTGTCAAAAGCTCAAAAAGGGACATTTTTGATATAATCACAGTATTAAACTTACACAGTGCAGAGCCGCCTCCTGAAGCCGTTCCCCCTGCTCCTGAGCCACTGGTGGTGCTACTCTTGCTGCCGCTAATCCTGCCCTGCTGATGGTCGCTGGTCGAGGACGAAGACGACGGCACCGCTGCATGCGAGGATGTGGTGGCGCAGTCCAACGAGGATTTATCTGCAAGACGAAAAACCAAACAAAAGGATACATTTTAATTGCCAGCCAGTGAAAATTTGCAAACTCAGCACGGCACGCTTTTCCTCTTTCGCCACGGAAAGAAGCAGCCAGAAAAAAAGAAGTGAAAATAAACGGAGTGCCGGGGCTCATAAATCTCGGCATAGATAATTGTCATCACAACTAGCGACTGGTTTATTTATGGCACGAATTATGGTTTTTACTTCTGCACCCCAACCCTGCCGAAAAACGTCACGCAACGTCGCTCGCCAGTGAACCCTCCTCCACTCATACCCAATGCTGAAATGCTGACAGGTCCTGTGAACCGCAAAGGACATAATCGCGAGGGTTGTCACTTCACGGACCAGCTATGGAGATGTTTAATTGCCGTAAATCTTTGTTTGATGTAAACAACAATAAGCCAGCCAGCGCAAGGAAAAAATTGCCAGAGGAATTTGCTACGCTTTCAATTGAAATGTCAGGCCGGATACGATACGAGTCCATGATAATGATAGCCATGAAGATGATGGGAATTCCCATCATAGGAGATGTCTATAAAAGCACTGTGTCATAATCTGTGTCCTTAACTTGGGAAGAAATATATTAGTAAGATTATATCTTACAACTTTTTTGGTACTTTTCAGCTAACTTATAAGGTTTCTTATTTCTGGAAATCTTTCACTACATTTCCCAACTGAAATGATTTAAAAATATATAATACACAGCTTTATATTGCAAAATATGTATCCATCTAACTTCGTCTTGACTTGGCTACAAAGTGTAATTATTTTTTATGCGCCTCTGTGAGCCAAACGTCTTTTGAGCAAAAAATAATGAGTTACGCATGACAAAATCTTTTCATGGCGAAGCCAAAGCGGCAAAAACTCAGCTACAACTTGACATCGACCACAGAGAGAGAGACAGCCAGTGAAAAGACGAAAGAGACGGGGGAGGAGCCGGGCTAAAAAGGATTCATTTCATATTTGCTTGAGCGCGTCGAGATGAAATGGGGAAAAGATGAGCTGATGGGCGGCCATTTTGTGTCTAACAATTGCGAGGGTAGAAGCTGTCTCTAGGGAAAGGAAAATGTCCTTAAATTTGCGATTAAAGTAAAAGTTAGATAGGCACAAATTTTATTATTCAATTTTAGCCAAGTTTTTTCCAAGAACTACTCGTCCTTCAGGCCAAAGCACAGACAAGTCAGGCCTTGTCAGCCTTTTCTAATTGAAAACGAAGCAGAAACAGGACATAAATTTGCCAAAAAAAAAGTAGAAGATAGCAAGAAGGAAGTTTTCTTATAGAAATAAATGGACATGGACAACTTGATGGACGGAGGCGGCATAACAAACTCTCGCCAGGCACGCGATGAAATTGTTCGGTTTTTGATGTTTCTATCAAAACCTGGCAAGGACCAACGCCAAACAGTCAACAGCAACCGACTCCGGGCCGCATTATAAGCCACATCCGTTGGCCCGGCTTAAATTGATAAATATGTAACCAAACCATACCAAAAAAAAAAACCAAAGAGAGAGCCATGAAAATATCAGAGGAATAGAAACCGACCCCGGGGAGACCTCAACGTTTATATGGATAATTCAATTTAAATTTTTTTGCCCAACTTTTTTTTGGTTCTTATTGTTGTTGATACAACAAGCAGAATTATGTACATGGCTGGTCGCGGTTTTTAGCCGTTGTTTTGGCCATTAAATGTTACGGGCTTGGACATATTTGGTGGTTGGTCAACTGAAAAGGGATCGAGCGGGGGTGGCCATTGGCCAACATATGCTGCTTGGATGTGTTTAAATAAATACGCGAAATTTGCCACTTTTGTGGCACAACATTTTCGGCTGTTACATTTTTTTAGCCGCTTTGGGTCCGTTTTGCCTTGGCCGGAAGCGCAGGATTTGTTTTTCCGCCATTTCGTTGACATTTTTGTGCTAGACAATTGCGAGAAGGTCAGTGGGTTGGTGCACTAAAAAATATATTTATTTGCTTTGAACAAGATCAAATATTTTAATTCAAACTTTTTCTAATAAAACAAGCTGTAATCTTAATGAAAAATGTTACTTAATATTTCCCCTTTTCAAAAATTTTATGTTTTCTCCTATAAATTTATATTTTCTTTAGAATTATCTGCACTTACCTGCCCTGACTTTGTGCTCTACATGCGACGAGCTGGACGCAGTTAGCGATGGCAGTGCCGGAGCCGCACTCACCGCATCCAGAGTTCCGGACGTGACTTGTCCGGCGCTGGACGTAATGACGCCGTGCTGGGTAACGGCGGGTGAGCAACCCGGTGGCGGCTGCAGTGTATCCAACCGGTGTCTCTGGATACTACTGTTCCCACTACTTCCTAATACTCCGGCCGTACTGCTGCTAACCGCATTGTAGTTAAGCACACCGGCCACGCCCACACCAACGCCCACTCCGACATTGGGATTGTGAGGGAGGCCAAGGCAATTGCCAGCCCCGTTCCCGGATTGAACGGGCAATGTGTCGAGGGTGTCCGTCAAGCGCTGGCTGGAGTAGATGTCACTGCGGTTGGAAGAAGACATTTAATCTTGCGGTAGAAACTTAAGATTTAACATTTGATTATATATATATAATAAAGATATATAAATGTTGGTTAGGAAAGATAGATAAATATCCCACCTGAAGGCACTGCTGGCCCCGAAGAAACTGCTGCGATCCTGCAGGGCCGCCTTGGCCTTTTCTACGCTCTGCTTCAGCTGCTCAAAGGTGGACTGATGGAAGCGGTATGAGGTCCAGTCCGGTGAGCACTGTCCAAGGGTCAGGCAGTCCTCTGTCTTCACCTGGGCGAGAGTGGGTGGCGAAACTCGCTTCAGGTCCAGCGCCGTCTGATACGAACACGAATTCTCGTACATGGCGCACGCCTGGGGAGCCTCGATGGCTGGCTGTTGGCTAAACAAGGGATTCCACTTGACTCTGGCGGAGAGAGAGATCAAGATTAAAATATAAGTTAATTTATTTGTCAAATATAGAAGTCCCATAAAAAGATATAACTATGGATCCATAAGAACTTAGTTTACTTAACTCAAAGTTACTAGTTAAAAATATAGACCGGGGATTCAGGCTGTCCCTCTTGACCAGAATTGTAATTGCTTTAAAGTACAAGCAAATTCCATCACTCACCTCATAGCAAATTGCAGAACGAGATATTAATAAATCATAACGCCTGGCCCACAATTAAAGACTGCAATTTTAGAATGCCTCTTGGGGCCAAACAATCGCTCTAATTGCCATGGCTCCAACACGTTAAACGAGTTCCTCCCCCTCGGCAAATCCCCCGATTCGGTGGCATAATTAATAGTGGCTGCTTTGGAGCTGCGGAGCTCTGGCTCCCTTAGATATAAGCACGACGTGCATAATTATCTGGCTTGTTATTTATTGTGTGTACAGTCCCGCTTTTGGACTGGGCCAACGTTGCGTATGAGCGTTGAACTGTGCGTGGGTGGCGGCCATTTGAGCGTGGCTCTCTAATGTCCAGCTGGAGTCGGGGTTGCAGATGTGAACCATTGTTTACTGGCCCTTTTCGGCCAGTCTGCAGTTAGTACACACACACACACATCCATACACAGGGCATGCAAATTTTTGCACTCTGCCCTCGTCGGAAGTTGCTGGATTTTGATTTATGCCAACGAAATTTATGCCATACAAAGTGCGACTCTTGTCCTGTCTCTGGCTTAAAGTAACCCGAGATATACCATAACCGAAAAAACAGAAACCCCAGCAGCTTTAAGTTTCTTTTTGGGGGTAGGAGTAAAGTGAATAGATTTCGTTATCGAAACGTTTGCATCTCGGGAACATCATCAACTTTTGCGTTGTCAGACATTATAAACGGCCTGCACACGCCTCATTTATTATTTATTATTTGTACTTTTGGGCCGAGGACTTGCTCTTTGCATGTAAGCAAATTTCAGCAGCCAACATTAGCAGGCAGACATTTTTATATTTTTGTATTTTCCAAGCTATCACAATCGCTGAGCGAACGCGCGCACACCGGAAATACGAGCGGGATGCCAGGATGTCGGTCTGCAGATGGGCTGAATGCTCGTCCCGTTCTCCAGCGCGTGTTGGCTTTTTTGAATACCAGTTCGTATCGCTATGATTGCCGAGTTTATGCTCTTCGACAGCTGTTAATGGTGTAATCCCCTTGTTGAACGTCAAGATCCTTTAATTAAGAGGCCACACGTTTGGCTGCTCTTTAATGGTTTGTAAGATTTTTATGTGATTTTTAGATGCTCGGATTTTTTGCTTTCGAATGCTTTCACTGTCAACTGGCAAATGGAACTGCTGGGTTATTTTAATTGTCGAGCTTAGTTTGATGATAATGATGATATTTTGCTCTTTTTGCTGGCTTATGAATACTTCCGTTTTAAGTCTGCTAATTCGATTAGCAGAAAACATATCCCACCGAATGCTCTGAGGGTGGAATGAGCTCTTTGGGTTAGGAAACTAACATCCACAAATTGCAAATATAATTACAGGGAAATGAGAAAGTTAGATGGAAAACACACATTTATCTAAAATGTTTCTCTATAATAGATTAACTTGTATCTAACATATGTATAAATAAAATATGAATGAAATACTATTAGAATCAACATATTCTCTTAAGCTTTATTTCTTCGACTTTAAGTTCAAAGAATTATAGAAAATAACTTTAAGAACCTTTGCGAAATCCTAAATATTTCCGACTTGAGTTTAGATTATCAAAAATTTACTTTAGGTACTATTATTGGTTGATTTTCACAATTCATTAAATTGCAAGATATTCCGTAAAGCTAAAATCTAAAACATGCAACTACTCTTATCTTTAATATAGAAAAATATATAAAATATTCACAATTTTAGAGATAAAAAAAGGCGAAAATCAAGAAACTAGAAGCCACAAAATATGGTAATTTTTCCATTTCAGTTGTATTACTTATATTTCTTCCTATAATTATTGCGAATTCCTTTAATTCCGCATTAGTTTTTAATATTTAGGTAACTAGTTAACAATGAATACTTTTAGAAAAATCCGTCGGATATCAAGCATATTATCCTATAATTCAACCAAAACTCACCTCAGGATTGTGCCTGTTTGTGATATTAAGTTTATCCAAAATTAGACTCCTCTTCGACTGTCTTTCGGACTTCCGGCGGGACAACTGGTAATCGTAAACACTTCACAATCGTTTGGAATCGGTGCAGTTAATCACTCACTCAAGTGCGTACAAATTGCCAACCGGAAATGAAATTATTGTCGAAATGGCGACGGATATGCGACAAGTGAACGCGACAACGACGCGCCACGCAAATAACGGTTTTGTTTGCAGTCAAAGTTCCGTAGTCCTGGAGGCGGATATGCAAGGAAATTTGTCAGTGCAGGGAAGACGACGCCAACTGGACACCGACGGCAGTGGGCTCCTTGGGCATTTCTCGATGCCTTTTGCCTTTTCGCACAGGTGCACAAAAGGTGAAGGTGGGCAGTAGGTAGGGGGTGGCGATAGGTGGTGAGAGGTTCGCAACGAAAGCGGAACGAAAATGAAATCAAAAAGCGAAATTTCTATAATTTCCGCACAAAAATTTCCGCGACACACTGGCAGGACAGCACATGTGTCCTTGTCGTTTCTTTTTTTGTTCTTGTCACGCCCACAGCCAGCAACAAGCTGGGCGTATGTGTCCAAGTTTTCCGCACTCCTTGCCGCGTTTATGTCTGTTGTGTTGTGTGTGCTTCTGTTTGCTCCTTTTCCTCTGTTTGTTTTTTCGATGTGTTGGTTGACCAAGAAAGGTTCGCTTTCCCGGGAATATTGACGACGTGTGACCGACGAATCTAAACCGCAAAGTACCGCTATTATGTCGTCCGCGACGTGTTGCACTTGGTAGCGCGCACTCCAAGTTAATGTGGCGGCCAGATCATCCCGTCCAGTTACCAGTCCACGCTCAAAGATGGCGACACACTCCTCCCACTCAGCGTGCTTCTGCTAGGGGTTGGGGGATATAATCAGCAAGGATGTGTCACCCCATCGTCCTGCGTTCCTGCGGTGACTGAGTGCGCAGGCGCGCTCTCCGCACCATCCCCAACCACCACCCATTTTGCCCTTTTATCTGCCGCTGTCATCGGCTGCTGCTCTTGCTACTGCTACTGCTCCTGCTGCTGCTCATGCTGATGGGCGGAGCTAACTGTGTGTGCCATCGTGGATGCTCCTGCCTTTCAGCCAGGTCCTTTGCTCCATGTTCTTGGGGCATCATTAGTGCTGCCGAAGAGAGAAGACCCCATTTTGGGCGGAAGTGCGTATGAGCAATATTTTAACAATGGCGTTTAAAACAGTTAAAGAGCGTGTGCTAGTGTGCGAGGCCATTAGGACCTCTAGTTCTGCGGTCGCTTTAAGGCCCCCAGATAAGCTAGCATAATAACATTTTAATTTCGAGCAAAAGTGGCCACAAAAGGCGCCCCAAGATCCCCAGATACTCATGCCTTGCCTGCCAAAAAGGATATAATTAACATGCCAGATGCTGCAGCACACACATGTGTTAAATGACTTTTAGATAAGAGGCGAGCACGGTGACATGATTTAAGGACTTGCGATGGATGGGGCAGGATAATTTGCGATAAGCGGGGATTGGTGGTGATTAATTTACCAGCTTAAGTTGAGAAATGCCTTGGAAGTTTCTTTAGCTAATGAGCTGATGTACAGAAAGAATTTAAAAGGGCTTAAAAATGGTTATGCGTGTATAATTTTAATTATTTATGTAAAAATATTTTAATAAAAAAAGAACTATAAGAAATAAACGGGTTTCCGTAAATGTGGAACTCACCTTTTATGACCGTGCTTACATTTTTTAAACTACGATTTTCTCTTCACACCGAAAATGAATGACAAATGTAACGGTTTTAATAAGCCTTCTAAAGCTTATTTCAAATCCTTGTAGAGCTTTTAGTAAATATATCAACCCAAAAGGAAAGTCTATACTTATACTTATAAAACCTATGTAATGTAGAAATTGGTAATTCAAACTAATCCTTTCCCCCCAATGAAAAAACCATCCAAATACAAAACTCGTCAATATTTTAATTGAACAAAACACACAAATGTACACTTATCACAATAAGTTTTGCTGTCTACAACTCGTATGACTTAAGTAGTCGCAATTATGAAAAAAGTCTGTTAGTTGCACTTGATCAGTTTAGCCAGTGGTAAAATAAGTTACAAAAACGCGAAAAGGATTCAGCAAGAGAAATGAATGTCTGGAAAATGCGGATGGAATTTTAAAAACGAAGCTGCGAAGTTTTTGAGAAATACTTGGCAAGTTTAAATGCGACTTTTGGAGCCCGACTTGACTTCGAATAGTTTGCGCACAAAGAACACCTAGAAAAAGGGGAAATTAATAATCATGAAAATATAATTATAAGAAATAACTTGCCTGTATAGAGCACGTGATCAATATGACCACAATTTGGCTAATCGAAAAGGTTTGGATATAGGAATTATTATCCACCAGCAAAGCATAATCGCGCGATTCGCGATGTCTACTGTGCGCCTGGTAACCCATCATATCGTTGATATTGCGCTCCACAGTGCTTATGGTGGACTAAAGAAATAGAGCATTGTGAATTTTTAGTTTTTTGGGTGAGTCTCTAAACCAGTTTGGCTTACTGTGAAGTTTTGCAAGTTCAACTGCAGCTGTTCGATCTCCTTTGCGTATCTATCCCAGGCATCGTACTTAACCACCGTGATATAGATGTTGACCAGCTTGCCGGCGAATCGGGAAAACTGGTTGTCGATGCACACAGAGTAGTAGCCTCCCGGCGAGACTTGGTCCGTGTAATCTGCAGTAGCCTGCCATTGGTAGGGCTTCACAACTTCACCAGCAGGATTGCGAACGGCGAAACCAGCCATGCCATCGCCTCCACGGATTACCTGAAAATGAAATAGATTTGTAATCATTGATTTTAGGAATATACATTTTAAGATAGAGTTGTTCAATCCGAATTACTATAAACAATTTTAAATAAATCACGTGGGATTAATATCATCATGATTCAGCTAACATTTCTGGTTCATTAACTTGAATGATTTTTGAGTAATTTTTGAGGTTTTTCTGTCGGTAACTAAATGTAAACTTATGTAGATTAGAAACTAAGCAAGATGCTCAATACGAGAACTCTGATCCTAAGACCCTGAACTTACACTGAAAGACACGTAGAAGGTTGCTCCTGCCTTAACGTACTGATGGTAGCAGTCCTCCTTGCCAGCATCTATATGAACCTGGAAAAACAAGACATAATCCCGATGAAATATGATTCTTTGGAAGCATATCGAACCTAGAGCCCACCTTGTAGTCCATAGCCACCGCTGGCAGATTTTCGTACCATGGCTGTTGAGCTTCTTGAGCGGTGGTTACGTTGATTAATAGGCAACAACAAATCACTGCTATAGGAAGTATTAGATTTATCTGATCTCTCTGCCACGTCAATTGCATGTTGAGGTTTCTGTTCGTCAATTTACTGGAGCGTGGATAGGGATTATATTGTCGGACGCCTGGTTGCCTTTTCCTCTGCGCTCCCTGTCAACAAAATGGGAATTTTCACCGGTTAGTTAGCTTTCTATTTGCCAACCTATCATATAGTTAAATAAACCAAATTGAATAAACAACAACAAAACCGACCTGTTGCTTAGTGGTGGACTATTCTGGTATCTCAAATATTTTGGTATTTTTTTAGAGCAGTGCTGCCAGATTGCTTGCCAGATTGATTGATTTTCACAGGGGTGGAATTTTTGAAAAGGTTAGAACGACTTGTAATAATTTAGGCTGGATATATAAAATCGGAACAAATAAATAATACTCTTTATATTGACAGACGATAGATTAAAGGGTAAGTTTAGCTTAGCTTATGAGTATTATTTTTTTACGCCCTGATATTAACAAAACCCCTTCCAAAAGGTTTTGACTCCGCACATGCACAAAAAAGAGAAGTTTTTAGAAAGGTAGGGCAGCCCTGAAATTTAAACTACAATAAAAGTGATTAAAAAGTTTAAACAGGTATTATATTAATTTATCACAGTATTAGATCAAAATTTTGGAGAGGAGAGAACTTTAAAATTCTTAAATTTTTCCCTGGCCTAGCCTCCTTATCTCACAGCTCTTCATCACTACCTTGTGATAACATCTACATAAACCCGTGTTTTTGTTTGCGGCTTTTTTGCGATAATTAATACAAACACATATGCGCACCGAGTGCTGATTAACCTCTACGGCTTGGAGAGGGTCAGATAAAAACGCAGTGCAATTGGCACTTACACTCATTCCCCAGCTGCAGCTACATCCAAAATGGTCAACGTCAAGGAGGACATCTTTGCCACCGAAGCAGTGAATCCGTTCACCAAGTCTAAGGATACCATCAAACGGTTCACCCTGGCAAATGGAAATGGGATGTCCGTGCAGTTGATTACTCGGGGAGCCACCATTACTAGCATAAAGACTCCCAATGCCAGCGGCCATATAGATGACGTGACTCTCGGATTTGATGATCTGGCGGGCTATCAAAGTGATAGGAATCCATATTTCGGAGCCACCATTGGCCGAGTGTGCAACCGAATTGCCAATGGCAGCTTCCAGCTGGACGGAAAGTTAGTGGAGGTTTCCAAGAACCGAGAAAACAAGTTCCAGCTCCATGGCGGCTTTGTGGGCTTCGATAAGGCACACTGGGAAGTGGTTGCTGTGCGTCAGGATGGAGTTACTCTCTCTCACACCAATCCCGACGGTCATGAGGGTTATCCCGGCAAGGTAACAGCCACCGCCAGCTTTACCCTCAGCGAGGACAACTGTCTCCATGTCCAGATGACTGCAGTAACCGATAAAACTACTCCTGTAAATCTCACTAATCACTCATACTTTAACCTAGCTGGCCACAAAGCCGGAGCAAATGGTCTCTACGAGCACAACATTGAAATTAATGCTTATGGCATTACCGAAACGGATCAGTCATCTATACCTAGTGGAAGAATCACACCAGTCGACGGAACACCCTTTGATCTTCGGGTGCCCAAGAATCTTGGTGAACGTCTTAAGGATATACAACCAGCTCGGGGCTTCGATGACAACTTCTGTGTGACCTTCAGCCCACCACAACCCCTGGCCAAAATTGCCAGAGCCACCCATCCGCCCAGTGGCCGATGGCTGGAGGTAGTGAGCAATCAACCCGGAGTGCAGTTCTACACCTCCAACTTCATGCCGGACGTGGAGCGTGGTGAAGTGGCCATTCCCGGCAAGGATGGTGCTGCTTACGCCAAGCATGGGGCTTTCTGCCTAGAGACACAGAAATTCCCGGACTCCGTAAATCACAGCAACTTCCCCTCGACCATTTTGCGACCAGGGGAGAGTTACCACCACGAAGTCATCTACAAGTTTGGTGTTTCTCGCTAAGGGGCAAACTCCTTATCTAACCAATATATACCAATAAATACTATGTATCCGACTAATCAAAAAACACGTAAATATAACCAATAAACCAAAGCACACAGATTATGCAAAGAGGTTCTAACACGCTGTGACCATAAAACCAGCGTAATCAATGTAGACCACGACCACAGGCCATATATAAACGCCGTTGAAGGGTTGGGAGCCATAAATCAGTTGAAATGATTCTTCAGCTATTTCTTATCGTTCAGTTCTCTCTGGGCTTTGGCCAGGAGATTGGCTCCCTGCGTATTATGAATGGCTTTACGGCCAAGGATAAACAGTTGCCTTATCAAGTAGGTCTTCTCTGCTATTTTGAAGGTTCCATGGATGAACCAAATTTGTGCGGCGGCACTATTCTTAGCAACCGGTGGATTGTAACCGCTGCTCATTGCCTTCAGGATCCCAAGACTAAGCTGTAAGTATGGCATATATAAAATAATATATGATATGAAATGGTAATATATATTTTTCCCACCGTACAGCTCAAAAGTGTTGATATACGTCGGCAGTCTCAAAACCAATGGTAAAGAAATCCTGGTCAACAGAAGTAACACCATCGTGCATCAGAAGTTCGATCGTAAGACCGTAGCCAACGATATAGCCCTGATAAAGTTGCCCAAGAAGCTCACTTTCAATAAGTATGTACAACCGGCCAGGTTGCCCAGCACCAAGTACAAATACACAGGTCGCACCGCTATTATATCAGGATGGGGTCTGACCACCAAGCAGCAGCCAAGCAAGTGGCTTCAGTACATCCGGGTGCCCATCATCTCGAACAATGAGTGCGAGAGGCAGTGGAATAGGCAGCTCAATGGAAAGGGCAGGAAGGTCGTACCGTACTCCTTTATTTGCATCGATTCCAAGAAGGGTCTGCCTTGTCGTGGGGATTCCGGAGGTCCGATGGTCCTAGATGATGGCTCCAGAACTCTGGTGGGAATTGTATCCCACGGATTCGATGGCGCGTTTAAGAAGAGACTGCCAGACATATCGACTCGAGTATCTTCGTTTTTGAAGTGGATTAAATACTACTCAAATGGGCTTAAGTAATGGAGGTGTAACTTAATTAAAAAACGAATCTCTTTTCAAACGTGTGCTTTATTCTTATTACTTCATACAAACTCCCATACACTTTCTCGTTCTCCGTTCCATTTTCATAATATTCTCTTGTGGCTTTGCTAAATTTGTTATCATTTCATTATGTTGTATGTTATTTGTGACTTTGACGGTGTTGCATGTCGTTTAAACAATTTGTTTATGATAATGTTTAGATGTTCTCGTTTTGTGGGCTTTGTTTACGTGTGAGTGTGTGTGGTTAATGTTGCTGATTATTTGCAATTCTTTCCATCATTTAATTTACCTTATTTGTTCTCGCTATTTCGTAAATGCATTTCTCAAAATGTACAAAAACCTAAATGGAAATGATACAATGCACTGAGTGGGTGTGTGGAGTGATATAATTTGGTTCTTTCAACGATTCTTTTAGTATTTGTCCTATATGTACAAAAAGTGTAAACGAAATTTGTGAAAAAGCTATACAATTTGTTAGTTAACAAAGCGAATAAGTTGATAAGAACTCGGCTGAATAAATTAGTTTTCTTTTCTTTTCGTTTCGTTTTTGTTGTAGTTTTTGTTTTAAATTTTTTTTTGTTTTCTTTTTAATACGGCTGCTTGAAGACTTCAGAAAAATTTGTTTGTAACTAGCGTAAAATTTGTTTATCTTTCGTTTTAAATATATAAAAAATGCACATATTATCCATAGTAAATAATAAATTTAAAGTAATTGTTAAATTGTTTTTATGTCTTTTGGTTTTTTGTAAGAATTTGCTTTATTTTCGTTTGCGGCTTGTCTTGTAAAAATGATCAAGTAATTTACTATGCGTTCAACTAGTTTTATTTTCGTATTGAAATATATATGCTTTATATATATATATAATTTTGTAACTTTCAATATTGCGTTTATCATTTGCCTATAAATCCATAGAGTTAGTGTGACTTGTAACTATATGTTATCATAAATATTTATTATTACGGTGACCTGTTCCAAATTCACAGTTTGAACCGAAAAACCGAAATCGAATTTTGCGGCATTTTGGAAAAATGATTCAAGAACAGATTTTCATTTGCATTTTCATTTTCATTCTCGTTAGTTAAAGTGTAAATTTTGTATGCGTTTTGTATTCTTCTTTCGTATAAAATGTTGGTTGGGCTTTCTTTTTTTTTTTGTATTTTACTTTAACATACGCAAAATATATTTTGTATATTTTCCATGTTTCACTTAACTAGGGCATTATGTATAAGTTATTTTTTATTTATTATTACTTTTGCTAAACGTTGCCTTCTTTTTGCTTTGTTTTTTTCTTATTTCTTTTTTCCATTGTTGAAACAGTAACTTTCAGTCATCTTGTAATCATAATAGATACATATATGCAATATTACATACGTACAATAATATTCTGGTTTCGTAATTTAAATTTGTTATGAGCGCCGCGTACAATGCATAAAAAACGCATTCCCTTTCTTATATAGTGTGTCGTGTGTTCGTAATTCACTTTCGATTTCTTCGATTAGGTTTCCTCTCAATATCGGTTGTATAAAAGCTAAAATGTTTCCGCTGCGTATGACAAAGTTACCTATATATGTTTTCCCGATCATCGGGCGATCATTCTAGAGACCCGACCCGATACAAAAAGTTCCCACTCACAATTTTCATAAAAATTTCCCGCTATCGCTCAAACTAAATTTGATTAGATCTTCGGTTTCGTTTTTTCTTAAATTGTTTGTTTTTCATCTTCTTTTGGCAGTTATCGTTTGTTAGGTTCTTTTGACATGTTTTGTGGTTGCTGTTGCTGCTGTTGTTGTTCTTGTTGCTGCAGCGATATCGGCTGAATATCATTGATTTCACGTATGTATATCTTCGTTATCATTAATTATGTATATGCTAAGCAACTAACATTGGACCATTTCCATTGCGCGACGCACTATATAAGAAATCTAGCTACTTGATTAATTTACCTTTATCCATATACGCATATATTATATATATATATATATATATATTATACTCGTATTTATATATTTATATTCGTATTATAATGCAGTTACGTTGCTTTACGTTATTTAAAAATGAATTACGCCGGCAGCCGGGGGGTCGCTGCCCGAGGAAAGGTAACGGAAACCCATGGAAACCCACGCCCCCGATCTCAGGCCCAGTTCCAGCCCAGCGGAAAAGTATTGTACAGCGAAAGCATCCATCCGGAAAACTGCCTCTCGATCACCTGGAACAGCTGCTGTCGCAGGCAGATCCCCACGGCCAAAACTAGGACTACGGCCGCTAAAAGTCATCAGTCGCACTCCGGTCCCTCCGAGAAATGACCCCGCACATCCAACGCCGATGCCAGCTGAAAGATGATGTGCGACAGCGATGGATGTTCCAGCAACTCGTTCGCCGGCAATTGGGGCTCACATCGCGGTCTCATGTGCCGCCCACGGAATCCACGGTGCAGACGCAGCACCACATCACAGAAGACGAAGCGGAGGATAAGAGTGCGCAGGAAGTCGTCGCCAAAGAACTGCACATAGGAAGAGTCTAAAAGACGAAAGTATTTTTAACCCTATATTCGTACAATCATTTAGCTTTACTTACCTATAAATCCTATGCCCTGTTCGATCTCATCTATGCGACATCTGGTGACCAGGCGCGAGGCCTCCGTGATGAAGCGATCCACGTAGGTCTGACAGCGTTCCCAGTGGTGGATGGGCACGTCTCCGACGTTGCAGATGTAACAGAGGGCTGTGAGCGGGGAGTGCAGGAACAACGTAAATAGCGAGCCATGGTGCTGGACATCAGCTAAAATCAAAACATAGTGATCAGTATAAGACAACCTATAAGTAAGGATAGAGATCTTACCCTGGAATGCGGGAGGCACATCCTGCGGCGACATGAGCACCACCAACGGCTGACCAAAGTAGCGTGGTATGTGCTGAAAGACAAACGAGTTGTCCGAGTCGATCACGACGAACATTGGTCGGCGTGTGAACGGATACAGATCACCCGGATATAGGCAGTGGTTCTCCTTGTACGACTTGCCCCGGCAAGACAGTCCTCCTCCATCCACGCTGTCCCGCTTCACGCTGGTGGCTAGGCCGCCCAACTCGTAGCCAACTGAAAAAGTGGAATTTAATATTTAATCCACATGTTAAAACAAGTTTAACTATTTTAAACTATATATTTACAAAAGTTCATCTTTTCAAAAACCAAAATCGTTAAAAAATTGAAACTTCATCTAAGGACTTTGTACTCACAATCCTCGGGATGTTTGGTGGTGGAGAAGCAGCCATCAGCGGACATGTAAAGAAGTAGGGCACCGCCCAGCGGCAGTTCCTTGGAGCCGCTGGCGAGGAATACCAGCAGCTGACTAATCGAAGGTTTGTACAGTAGATACTTGTGGGGATTGTCTCTAAAGGCCCGGCCGTTCTCCATGTAGCCCTTGGAGCCCGGCACTCCGTATGGCGGTATCCGGCTGGCCGCCGGACTCGCATCGTGCCCATGTAGTCCATGGGCCATGCTCAGCGGATTCGTAGTTGATTCCGTCGGCTCACGCTCTAGCGTCTGGAGCATCCGGAACATGTCCATAGTCAGTTCCGAGAACTTGGCCTGCTCACAGGCGGAGCCCACGATGAGGATCTCCTGCAGACTGAGCGTCATGTGCGGCGATCGCTCGCAGGGCGGCGTCGTCAGCGGGGACAACCTAGAACCGGAACCACTGGACACATAAGTCAGGGTAGTCGCACTCGTCCTCATGCGGATGGCGGGGCCCGTGCTTTCACAGAAGAATTGAGAATGCGGCGCACTAATGAGGTGACAAGGGTACGGGTGTGGGATCGTGTTTTTGGGGGATCATGGGCCAAATGATAATGAAATGATAACTTCTTGTGGAGTGTGTGTACGGTGGGGTAATAAAACTGTTGTTTCTTATTCAGCTTTTATAATTTTTAAAAACATTTAAATGTATTCTTTATATTTAAGAATTATAGGAAAAATTAAATGAAATCTCAAAGAGAGAAACGGAAATTAGAATCAAGATTTAGTAGATTTCTTCTGATTAAAATTAAAAAACATTTTTAAATATATTCTAATTTGTATTCTTAGCAAATCCAACAGTTTCATTACCCAACCGGGTTGTGATTGGTTTGGTGGGTGTTTTTGGGACAGAGATCATGGTTAAAGTGCGTGACAAAATGGAAACGGTGAGTGTTCTCTGGTGTTTCAAGTCTTCTGTGATAAGCACAACAAATGAACATAATCAACGGCAACGGAACTCAAGCAAAACTCGTATACCTACGCAAACAGAACAGGGCATATAGACATATATGCGGACAGATAGAGGCTATACACTTGGCCACCCACAAGCTGTCCAAACTCCTCCTCCGCCGACGAAAGCACGGGCAAATACGCGTGTACGGACAGAGGCTGTGGCAACGACTCACCTGTGCGACAATATGATGGGATTGGAGTCAGCATGGAGGACGGCCACCGCCGCCTCCGCCTTAATGAAGCCCTTTATCTCCTCCAGCACTAGCGACCATTCCAAATGATCCTCCGGCTCGTAGCTGCGGGGAAATCTGGGGATTAATACGGAGTCAAAAAATGGGCCACTAAGTAATTACGTGTTCGTGTACTCCTGTATTTGTTTTTCCAGCTCGGTGACCAATTCCCGAACCAGCTTCATCTTCTTGAGCAGCAGGCAAACAACAATGAAACGGGCATAGTATCGCAGCTTTTTCACCATCAAATCCGGACGATCCTCCTTAGCCGCTCGCGAATAGTACGCCCGACCCCTAATTGCCGCATAGAACTGATACGCCTCATTCAGGTAGTTGGTTTCGCTGGTTCTTAAGCTGTATAAGAAAAGTTGCCCATTTAGTAATGAGATCTATCAAGTTTTATGTGGTCTCTGTCTATCTTCTGATACTCTTAGGTTATATTTTTCCCGTACTTACTAATAGTGATAATAGAGCTGGCCAATTTTGCTTGCTATTTCGCCGATCTGCCAGCGTTTCAGGCCGTACTTTGAGTCCAGTACCATGCGATGTTGCTGCTGGAACTTCCATAATTTGGTGTAGACATCGAAGGTGCGGCCGAAGTAAGCTTGCCACTGCCGATGGCCATACTGAGGCAGATCCCTGGAAATATTATAATTAAATTAATATTCATCTCAATACGGTAATTCAGTTCAAGCTCACCTGAGCCCATTGAAGAGCTGTTTGGACTTCTCTAGCAGGTGGCAGAACTCCAAAACTAGCTTTCGATCCTGTTCTTCCGTGGATTCCATTTTCACCATGCCGTTCTTCTCAACCGCCACCGCAATGTGTTATGTCTGCGAATCGGTTCTGCTGCAATGGGAATGCATTCATTTGATTAATCTCAAGTGCTCTTGGTAATTCTACAGAGCTCTTGGCATTTGAAATGAGCAGAGTCTGGGGGATTTTCCCCCATCTACTATGCCGCCAATAAACAAACTGAATCATGCAATTTTTTCTCGATATGTATCTACCCATTCATCTATCCCTATAACCATCTATTCATCTATCTATCTATCTATCTATTGGTGCACGTATCTATACCAAATAAAGGGACGGGGCTGACTGCCCACTTGAGATTCATTCAGCCGCTCGTTGAGCCATTGTTGATGTGGATAATGTGCATAATGACGACGATGATGTCAATGGGATGCTGATGCTGATGCCGAGGCTTTGCTTACAATAAAATGAAATGCCTATGCGGCTTTTTTGCCTCCTTGCGTGTATTAAATTTTTAATTTTTATGTTCGCCCAATCAAATAGAAATTCAGTTGCCGTTTGCTTTTCGGCTTTGTTTTCTAAGCCGGTATATGGCAACGATTTAAAGTCATAACTGAGAGATTCCCGGATTCGGATTCGGTTTCAGCTTCCAATACGAATTCAATTAAAATTTCAATTTGGTAAAAACAATTATGTAGCCTTTTAAGTGCACACGAACAGATGGATGAGATGACCCGGATGGGAGATGAAATGGGATGGGACAATCGTTATACTGGCTATGCATCAAAAGCTCAATTAATAACGCCCGACCAGGCGACCAGGCGAAATTGTTTGCACAGAAAAAAAAGACAGACACAGACCCGAGCGAAGGAAAAACCCGGAAAATGTCGAGCAGGGCAAAGCGAAAAAACAGAGTAAATGCACAAATGGGTCGGCAGTGCAAATGGCGCCGCAGCGGCCACATTGATTTGGCTTTGCCCAAACTAGGTCGTCCCACAGAGCACAAAAACTTTCAATATGAGCTCATCAGCCAGCAGCCCAATACAGAGAGAGAAATTGGGATATTTAAGATCCTGTGAACAAAAATTAACACAAACCAGCCAGAACTTTTCAAGTTAATTTTAATCAAATAACATAAAATCAGTTGATCTAAAGTTTAGAACTTGAGTTTAAAGTTTTAATAAATATTTTCTGACTGTGTATCTAGAATTGGTAACTGGAGATGTGAGTCGGTGGCTGGGAGAAGGAGAAAATATAGTTTTCTTTCATTTTTTTGGAGGCAACTAGGAAACTGCGTCAAATATGCGTCACCTCTGCGAGAGTCCAACCAACAAGTCAATTTGGGGCACACACAGCTAGCAGGACACATTTATGGCGCCCTAATCAAATTAAGCTTCCATTTAGCGCGTTAAAATTACATAATATGAAAATTACGCATACGCAGCGTTAACAAACAAGCAGCGAGTGGAGTAGCAAAACAAAGCTGACTAACCAGCTCGCCCACTCACTCACTGAATGACAGACTGGCTGCTGCTCCTCCTCTAGCTCATCCTTCTCCTGCTGCTGACTTCATCATCGCCATCATCCTCGGCAGAAGTTAACCAACATCATCAGCATGTCAACATGTGGAAGCCGGAAATGAAGAAACACAAATACTAAGCAGAGTCGTTGCCACTGCGATGTTGCTCATTAACACCCTCCCCCGTCGCCAGAGAACTCCTGTACTGTCCTCTCCCGGACCCGTCTCCTCCACCCCCCGAACGTCTCTTTTCCCGTCCCCTAAAACGTAGACACACATTCGCAGTTGGTGCAGGCTACGTCAGGATGTCGTCCGGCCACCATCAAATTTGTCAGAAAAGATTTCGGAAACTACTAATTTAATATAATCTGAGAAATCACACAAAAAACAGGTTAATTTAAACTATAAAACAAAATTGGAAATTAGTTTTGACAAGGTTTTACAATTTTATTAAATTATGAAACAATATAAAATTATTAATTTATTATTTATTATTTTAATTCAGGACATTTTTGTCGCCTTGCCGGAGTCAGTCAGTAGTTAACGTGGCAAAGTTTTTCCTCTTTTTTTTTAGCGCTGTTGCTTGTGTTTTTGTAGTTGTCGTTGTTTTTGTTGTTGCTTGTGCCTGTGTGACAATGTGTACAACAGCAGCAACAACAACAACGAGAACAACAGTGAGTACGAGAGTGAGTACAACTGTTGGGGAAAATCCCAATCCCAGTCAAACAAAGCGTGCAAAAAAAGAAGCAGAGGCGGAGTAGGCAACGCACTTTGGCGCCCATCGTAAGCGGGGAAGGGTATGTTTGTTGGAGTGGGCTGGTAAAAGGGGTAAAGTGAGCGGTGAGTGGGTGGGGCAGCGCGCTTTTGACTGACTGCCAGTGCGTGGATGCATGTGTGGGTGTGTGAGTGTGTTTTTCAATGCCCGCCAGCAGTCGTGCAACAGCAAATGCAACTGCAACAACAGAAACAGCAACAATGCACAGAAAAAAAGTTTCAAACTTTCGAAAATTAAAAGGCAGTTTGGTTTTAACCGTGCGGGCTATAGTTTTCGATATTGAATATAACCGATTTAGGTTTTCATACAAACAATATTGATTATCTTTTTTAAAATTTAAATTTTTAATTTAAAAATTTATTTAAATTTTCTTCGAGTGGAACGCAACTATTCGCTGCTGCTCCTCGCTCTTTGCTATTTGACAAAGCTGCACATTTTTTTCGTTTCGCTCCTTTTCTTTCTAGAAGAGGGAGTATGTGTTGGTGTGGGTAAATAAGGAGATCCTTGTGGGTGGGGTGTGTAATCCTTCAAAGGCATTGTAGGCTACACATTTAATGGCATTTTGACGCTGCCGACGCTGATAATGATGTTGTCGTACATGCAACGTCCGCATCCGCAACAAACTTCAAGTTGTCTGTGCCCCCCAAAAAAGACCTCCAACCCTCAACCTTTCCTACGCCATTTCCCCTTCCAACCATCCAGTCATTAGGACTTATGAATTTCGGTTTAACAATTGAGCAGCTCAAAGTGCGACAGGGGGAGATGTGTCTGCAAAACTTTGGCATAGTTCAGCCTTCATAATTAATGGCAGCGCAGCTGTAAAAAAAAAAGAAATTCAGAAATCTCGTACATATAAAAACCAACTACTTGAGTGGGGCAACTTTGCCCTAATGATACAGACGCACCGACAGACAGTCAGTCCGAAAGTTACAATTCTCATATCTCGCTGCAGACATCACAAGCTGCACAAAAACTTTGCCAGGACCAAAAACCGGATGCGAGTGACCAGCGGAGAACTTTTTCCATGGCCCCTAGGACACTTTTTGTGAACTGTTCGACTGTCGCCCGGGGTCAATTTACATTTCACATTTAATTGGCAATTTCTATTTATCGAAATTGATCTCGCCCCGAAGTGGCCGAAGGATGTTTGTCTTTTACCAGCCAATAATGTATTGGAGTTTTGAAATTAAATGTAGTATTAGATATTTTTAATTTTTGATTTTCTTTTTGTCACAGATGTTAAGGCTGTAAAGTCATTATATTTCTGCAGGTATTTGAAGAAGCCCTAAGTAACTACTTTAAATTACTTTAAATTTCATTCAATTAAACTTAATTTAAGGAATCTAACAAATTAGAATATATGAAATGAATGTATTAATTTATGAGATTTTATATTTAATAAAATATATTATTTTAACTAGATTAAGATCCAAATATTTGTTTTAATCTTAACATATATATAAAGTACCAGAAAAGCATTAAGGAATATCCATAATGCCATTAACAATCAGTGAAATAAAAATCTCACAAAATGTAGTTTCAGTCGTAAGTCCTTAAACTTGTCAAAGGATTCCCTTTTACCCCACTCACCTTATCATTGTTGTATCTGCTGCTGCCGCCAACAACAACAGAAACAGGAGCGGATGCGGAAGTCGCAGTCACAGCCTCTGCTAGCAGTCGCGGCGCCCTGCACTTGACATATGTTTCGCCGGATCTGCCCAAGATCGTATGCTATAGCTTAGCACTGGAACACTTGGCCACTTTTCTTTCACTGAACACAGGCTGTGCACTTTATATATATATTTTTTTTTTTGCCGGTTTGCAAGTTGCCCTCGCTGGGGATTTTACTGAGGATTTAAGGGGCGATACGAAAACCGTTCTCAATCTTTAACCGATATATGGGTAATATTCCCGAATCTGGAGCATTACGTGCTGGGGGATAAAGCGGGGAGAGCGATTGTAAGTGAAGAACGCTGCGACCGTCGCGTTTGGCTGCACAGTATTGAATTTTTTCGCATTTACATTTTTAACGAGGAGGGTTGGGGGTTGGTATTGATTTTTTTGCCACTTTGACAGCTGCCTAGTACCGACGATGGCCGACAGAGGGCTTCGGTGACAGTTGCCAAAATCGCGGGGGTTGAACAGCTGACCGGCAAAAAGCCGTTACAACTGGAGATTTGTAAATGTGACGCTTTACAGGGGTTGAAAATTGACCGATTTTTACGCCAGATGGCGGCACTTAAGAGTCCACCAGCTGATTTGGTTAGTGTGGAGTGTTCCGGAAATTTTCAATCGCCCTTAGGTTCTTTTTTGGATTTGTATTGTATTTTTAAAAATCTCGAATTTCGAATCTCAAAAATAAATCAATAATCTGTTATTTTCTTGTATGAATTACAAATTCATTTTTCCCAAAATCCTCTAAAAATCAAATCTCAAAAATTTTGAAAACTCTTCATTATTTAGTTTCTAATTTTTTCTAGGGGTCACACTACATGAACACATTTTTTGAGTTTTATTGCAATACATAAAGTACAATAACATTTACATTTCGCATTACATAAAAGCGCTTTAAATTATATTTGGTTGGTTGCATGATAAAATTGCGACTAAAATTGTTGCTGTTTTTAGTGCCTGCTCTTTCACTATCACAATGAAATAAATTACATTGTTCGGATACAGTATACAATAAATATATATGTGTGTATATGCTACATGTAAAACAGTATCTAGTTGCATGATAGGTTAACCATATTATATGGCATACACAGATATATATAGAATCCTCTAACTATCATTACAAGACGCCAGATTTTTCTCTAATTTGGAATATGCGCGTGGCTTTTCAGTCTTTCAATAAATCCAAAAATCTAAACCTCAATGCGTCCTAGTTATATCTCATATATATAAAGTGAGTTTCATACATATAAGATAGCTACAATGTTAATTTTCTATATATTCTTAAGGTGTACCAATTTCTGAATCATCTACTCTTAGAAGTATCTTCTCTAGGGCTTATCTCTGTGTATTGTCCTGCGGTTTTTGGATGCTAAATATGTATCTTTCATCTATGAAACTCACTGTACATCTACTTGATTAGTTAAGCTATGTGTTGATTTTTGTCTGTTTGAGTTAAATATTTAAAATTTGGCTTTGGTTACCATTCCAAATGAGTTCGATGTTCGGTTATGAAGACGCGAATGGAGCGGACTGTGAATGCACGAATGAGTGGTTAAACTAAGTTAGCAATAGTTTAAATTAATTTAAATGAGTATAGATTAAAATATGTACTAAAATCTTAACTTCCTCCTTTTAATTCCTCCTAATCCTTTGACGTAATATGGATACAAATTATGTAATTATCTAAATCTTTAATTACTTCTAAAGTAAAATTCTAAAATATTTAATTAACTAAGTTTTCTTTCTTTTAAGTTACTAAATTTTACCACATTGGTTAAAAAAATTTGATAATTTCGTATAATTTGATAGTCAAATCAACAGACTATTAAAGGTTACAATTTTTAATTAGATTTAATATTCATATCGATTCGATATCCATATTCCGCCGACCTTACATCCTTATTTTCCTTTGAAAATATGTACTAGCTTTTAATAATTTCGATCTATACTCATTCAAAAACTCATTTAAACCCAATTGGTAAATGTTTAAAACTTCTCCAGCTCTTAGTGCACTCTTAATATTCTTGAGACGGTTCCTGGTTGGATTTCCTTGTGGCCTAGACGCGTTTACCTACAACCTAGTTGCTTCAGAAGTGGTCTGGACATCTCCTGCCCCGTGCACCTGTTGACTGGTGGTGGAGGTGCCAACATCGGTGGTGGGACGTGGCAGGTGGGAATAGTATCCCATCTGACAGGAGTTCTGGTGGGTCAGCTTCTGATTTTGACTGAGCTGGTACTGCGCCGCCTTGATAGCAGCCTGTTGCTGGGGAGTCAAGCAATCGCAAGCTGCTAGCAGCTCTTCCGTGGACTTCGCCGTAATCGTTGTGGTTGTAGTCGTGGTCAGCTCGCCCACAAATTCGGTAGGCGGTGGTGCATAGTTCTCCACATCCCCGTAAGTGGAGTATCTCCCGTATGGATTCCTTCGCGGCATCGAGTGTCGCTGCTGGGCAATCTGCATTTTTATGGCTGGCTTTACGGCTACTGTGTCAAGGTACCCGTAACCCACATTATATCCCGTCTTGTTGGCTAGATTGTCCCAGGACTTGGGTTTTTGTACGTAAGCTATAGTATTGGGATAAATTTGCTGGGGCTGCACTTGGGTGGTGGTCACATGATATCGTTGGTAGTCCCCCTGATGACGATGATGGTGGTGGTGTGCCTGGTGTGGTGGTTGCTGCTGCTGTTGCTGCTGCTGTTGCTGTTGCTGTTGTGGTTGCTGCTCATAGGACTGCCTTGACTTTGTGGAGTGCTGTCGGGATTGGCCCGTCTCACTTTTGGGGTCCCAAAACAGTGTATCAGTGCTGATGGAAGTGGTGTAAGAAGCGGTATCCCCTGTAGCAAACTCACTAGAGGTGCAGGAGTGTAAGCTACAATGGCTGGCCAATCCGGATGCCAAGTCGAAGTACCGTGATCGGGTGCTGCCACTTTGCGATTGCACCTGGCAGGGATTTTGCATTTGGTGGGGATAGTGATGATGGTGGGGAACAGCTTGCATTGGCTGTTGCTGGATTTGCTGTTGTTGTTGCTGATGATGCTGCTGTTGCTGCTGATCGTGACTGTGATGGTGATGATGATGATGATGGTGATGCCCAGATCCTGCATTTCCTCCAGCTGCATTGGCATTGGGTGAGGCATGGGAAGTGGACTTGGGTCTGACCCTCTGCTCCTTGCTTTCTACCCTTTCTCTCTCCCGGTGCTTGTGCTTATGCGTATGCTCCTTGTGCTGGCGATGGCGTCTCCTTGTTGGTACACAATGCGTATCGCAGCAGGGGCTGGCTAGATCATAGGCATCCAAGCTTACATTATCTGGCGCCGGAACCGCTGATTTCTCAGCCGACTTCCAACGAAAGTGACCTAAGCAAGGATTACACGAGTGTCCCACATGACAATGTTTCCCGGAGGACTTCTCTTTCTCTGTTTTTGGTGGTTTAGCGGGGGGCTTGTGCTTTTCACAGGTGCGAGGTGGAGGTGCCGGTGGCTTCACGGATCCCCCAGTGGTGCTGTGATATTGGGTAGGTGCCGTGGTTGTTGGTTGAGTCATAGTATTTGTATCCACGGATTCAGTTCGCTGGAGAATATAACGCTGTGTCGGTTGCTGGTGGTCACTGCTGCTCCTCTGCAGTCCCAGGCCATCTATAAAATCCTCTGAGCTGCCGTGGGTGGGTCGCAGAACGTACCGGTAAGTGGGATCCAAGTAGTGATAGGTGAGCATAAATTGAGCTGGAGGTGGTATGATTCCTGGTCCACCTACTCCCTGATGGCGGGTCGCTATGTTTGGCACATCCTCGGTGGACAATGCGGGACGATAGAAGCTCGTTTCACCACCCACTTCCGTGGGTGAAACACCCTCCCCGTCGCTGGGTGAAGTATTCGCTGTCGCTTTTTTCCGGGCTGGCAAACTATGCGTCTTCCACTTGCCCTCCAATAACTCCCGCTCCCTTAGGTGAACCCTTTCAAGCTCGTTCATCTTTTGCTGCAACATGCTTTGTAGTTGGATATAGCGCATGTGGAGATCCACCTGGGGAAAGATACATTTTTCAGAAATACATTAAGTTTGGTAAACCATATCTTTAAAAGCCAATAATTTACCTTCCTCACACAGTCCTCGAAGAGTACCACCATCCGCATTCTGGTGTCACATTGCTTAATAAACTCGACGATGGTCTTGTGGTCCGCCTTCTCCATATCCTGGCCGTTGATGGAGAGGATTACATCTCCCTCACGCATTCCAGCACGATAGGCCGGACCACCGTACTCCACATAGTCCACGTATGTAATCATTTCCAGCTCTTCATCCCGTTTGTAATGGATTCCATAGCTCTGCAGAGTGAACCCATACGAGTTGTTCTTCTTCTCCACGATAATGGTACGACGTCTTCGGTCCTCGTCCAGATTGGATGCCAGTAAGCGCTCCGACTTATGACGGCCCAGGATATGGGTAGAACGAGAAAGCTGTAATATAATATTAAATAATCAATTAAATTATAGTTTGGAATTTACATCATTAATTCCTTTGAAAGAAATGAAAAATGTAAAAGAACTTCATTTCTATATGGAACTATGCCAGATTGTCCATTATATCGCTATGCTCTCTATCTAAAAAAGGAATGTGTTGATTTGCGGTGAAAGTGAAAAGCTTATATGGTAAACTATCGTTAGCACTTCCGGGTATTTGCACGTCTGAGCAATGTGGCACACCGAATAGCCGCCAGGTGTGGTGGTGCAAACCATCAAAATGATGTTTGCCCAGCCCATTCCTTCGTCCTGACTGTTCTTCCTGCTTTTATTGAAAGCATTTCTATGAATACTGGATGAAGCCCCCCACAGCAAGCAACACTTTCACTGCCCCACCAACATGAAAGCTGAAGGCTGGAAGGGAGGAAGCATACCAAACCCACAATACAGGTGCGGTGAAAATTATACCATACAGACCCTTCCCATAAATTAGCAAGCAAACTCTATTACTAGCATAAACTAAACAAACATTTTTATATGCTCACATTAAGAAACATTCAGGACTTAGGTATAACTTTTGATTTCCAAGAAGACATTTTTTTATTAAGAATGCAATAAAGTATCTTATTGGATAAATAAATTAAATACTAATTTTGAGTTGCTGTAAGTAAGATTATTATTTTTAATACTATTGTATTAAAAAATCCTAGTCTCGGATAAAAAACGCTAACTATAAAGATGTACCCCAGTTCTCTTTCATTAACTTTTTATTGCGCGGCGCGTAATAACTGGCTTGAAAGGCTTTAGAATAGACCACCCGTTGGCTATAATGCCATTGGAAAGGAAGAGCAAATTGTGGGGTTGCTTTATATAAAAATACAGTGCTCATTTAAAATGAAATTGTAAAGGTTTTCATTAAAAAATGAAGTCGTGGAGGAAAACAGATAGTTCTTTTTATGAATTGAGGGAAATTTAGATGCAAGTGCTACAAGAATACTGTACCTTTATTTAAGATTTAATTCTATCTTTATTTATACATAAATGAAGGCTAAAACTACACTGTTTGCAAAAACGTATTTGAAGTAGTGAGTTTTGTAGTAAATAAAACCTAAGCTCCATATCTATTAATGTGTTAAAGGGAGTATGAGTAAACATCACCCTTACTTTCAGCGACCCATAAATTAATCCAACTGGTTAATTTTTGTAATTGCCTGGGCCAAAATCAAGGTCCTTGTAGGGACTAATCTGCTCCCTTGGTGTACGATACATTTCAATATATGACTATTTCCTGAGCATTGAATTATTAACACTTGATCGACGACGGCGGTTGTTGGCGGCTGTTGAGGTTGCCTGGCGAAGCGTAAACTATGCATAACGACCCAACCAGAAGGTTAAACAGCTGAGGGGGCAGGCAGCAAATGCACCGAGATGGGAGCTGGGTAGCAAAAACCACCCCCAAGTACACCCACTCGAACAAGAATGCCAGCAACCACCATCCATCACCCACCACCACCCACAAGACAAATTCAATTGAGCCAGCACTGCAGGACCTTGTCGCATTATTATGACTCAGTGTGGGGCACAATTGAATTCATTTGGAGACGATTCCGACTAGCAGTTGGATACTTGACCACTTGGACATACCTGCGCATACTCGATCTCCTCGTCGCTGGCATCGAGACTCTTGTGGAACTTGAGCCTTCCCAAACTGCCGGTCCCATTGACATAGTGCGATGATTGCTGATGGGTCTGATAAAGATGTTGCTGCTGGGACTGGGTATATTGCTGGTGAGGATGTTGCTGCTGCTGGCAGGCGGCGGCGATGAGGGAGCCCACGGAGGTGGCATTGGACGCCGAGATGGACACCGCTGCTGCCGTGGTGGCTGCACTGCTGGCCGCCGTCGCAATGCTCTGGCAGCTGGTGCTCATGGGCTTGCTGGCCATCCTCCTCTTATTGATTTCTTCACGCAGTCATAATTACAGGCGGATCATTCGAGCCGCTCAAATGAGACACCGACAGATACAGATACCGAAATGCTGAAATCTTTCGTTTGGAAAACAAGGGAACCTCCACCTTTGGAGTTTACACAACGAATGCTGCTATTGGATGACTACAATTAGTCATGTCCATTCATAAAGTTCACTCCGAGTTGCGTTTATCAGTGCTATATATTGGTTCAGGGGAAAAGTTTTCCATATTCGAGTTCAGTTTTGTTGTCGCGTGAGTCTGTTTCCGCTTGGTTTGTTCCACTTCCGTCGAAGCCTGGTGCCGTACTGAGCGTTGGAGGTGCCGAACGGAAGCGGGAGAACACAGAGCGGTACTGGCCGAGAGCGCACTGCACCCACACGCACGGCCAGCAGGGAAAAGCGGTTAATATTTATGGCACATGTTGACTGCTATATCGCTGAGACCCCCGATTTTGGGGGTTAAGCGCATGCGCCTGCTTTGCATGCCCTCTGAAGCATAAATGTTTCTCTTAAATATTTATGTTTAGTCTGTTAACATCAGAATTTTAAGCTTAATTTGGTCAAACTAGACGATTTTAAATAAAAATATAAATTAATAAATAATATTTTAAAATGTTTATCTTTAAGTAAAAGGTATAACATTTTTTATGTACATAAAAAAATTATATTTGAAATTATAACGATATCTAAAAAAGATGTCACAGTATTAAAAAACAAAATGTTCTATTCCCAGAATATTTTAGGTCTTAAGATTCCTTTTTAAATCCAACCGCTATTCCTCCAAGCTATTCCTTTAACCGTTGCACTACTGTTAACTTTTAACATACCTCTGTATATTAACATAAATCCACATTAAAACTCGTGTTTTGTTATTTTAAAAGTGTATTTATGTTTACAAATGGAACCTTGCTACTCCGCCAGCTCGCCACCAGGCACCAACTGCAAAGAATAAATATATATTACAAAAAACCGAAGATAACTAGGCAGACCATCTACCATTGTAATGTTGTTTCCATTAAGAAGAATCTGATCCAGTTTGGTAATGCGGCGCCCATCTGGAGTATTTTCATACTCCGTAACATCGTCTAACAACATATTTACAAAGTCATCGAATCCTAGAAGAGTGCCTACCATCTCCTTGTCGTTCTTCATGATAATATGGATCCTGGAGCCAATGCATTTGTCCACCAATTCTGAAATGTCCGCGACACAGCCGGCAAGAGTTAGTAAGTGTTGGTTCGTAAAATTTAACTGTTTAGTTTTACATACCCAATGGCATCAATGTAGAGATGTTAGAGGGCGGAGGAACGGCAGTCATATTAATATGAGATTTGTTTAGTTTTATTTATTACAATTATTATAATTGCGCTAAAAAGTTTTCGCAGCAAGGTAAACAATGCGGAATAATGTGGTAAAACTGGTCACATTAAAAGTAATCGCCGCGCTAGTGCTGACAAATCTTAACTTTAAAATTGCCAAAGACAATAGAAATAATAATAATATTCCAAAATGCCTTGAATTTTTCGTATCTTATATCAAAACTTAATTTATTTAAGATGACAAAAAATATGAATTTATATCCATGTATCAGCAAAATATAAAACAGTTTATTATAGCTACGATCAAAAATGGCAGCCAATATGCTATCACAGATTTATTCGATAACAAAAGATTTTAGGCATTTCCGGCAACGGTCGTACCAATTTTGTCGTCTTTCATAATTTCAAGATCAGGAGTTATATATCTTAAATTTTGAGCACACGGTTGTCCCCACCGTATGTTGGCCATCTTGGACAAGGGGCAGGGTTGTGCCACTGCCCACTGCTTACATAATGTCCATGTCACTGGGCCGCGAGATCCGGAAATTGGTCAACAGCAGGCGGCACTTCCTGCTTTTTCGTCGATCGTTGAACCAAGGTCAGTTGATTTGAATGTGGCATAAATATCTTGTAGATATTTATCATGTGATCCTATCCTTTGTAGATCTGACCACTGCGCTGAGACCCTTTTACTTCGCTGTGCATCCGGACTTCTTTGCCCAACATCCTGAGCAGAGGAACACCAACGAGAACTCCCTAAAATTACTTAGCGAGCACCTGGAGGCCTTGTATGAACGCAGGCAACGAAGTGACACACAGGTGCTCAAGTTTTATGTGCGGACCAGTTCGGATGCCGACAAGCGGGACTCTTTCAAGCTCATCCAGATTAGAACGGACTGGCAGAGCACACGGGATCCGAAGACATTTATTCAGGGCCTCTTGGAGTCCTGCAACCTTTCCACGGAGTATGTGAAAAACATCAAGACACAGCCCGTGCTGCCAAAGGGTTCAGGCTTAGATATTAAGCCAAGTCAGGACTATCATTACGATGTAGAGTTTGCCGAATTTGAATCTCAGTTAAAGAATGTTAGTAGTACAAATTTTCCACCTAAAAACTTTCTAAATTCTAATTTATTTAACCCAGGAGCGTGCAAGCAAACGTCCGGTTCTGACCACCTGGCTGGAGGAGAATGCCAGCATAGCCAAACAGCGCTCGAAAGAAACTGCAGACCTGCAGGCTGAGATAGACAAGCTGCAAAAAGTGCTGGTCAAGAAGTTGGGGCTAAAGGATGCCCGATATGAGTGCGGCTGGAACATAGAGCACTACCGTGGTTGTCTGAAGACCCTGGAGAGGTTGTCTAATACACATTTAGTGGAAATGGCCCCCCTCAAGGGTCGGATTGTGGTATTTGCTCCATTCACAGGCATCAGCCTAGAGGGCCATGTGATGTTATTTACCGGTGACGTGCTCAACACCTGGATTGATTTCATCAAGAACATTCCGCATCATGATGCCTATTTAAAGGTTGTGCCCGTTTATGAACGGACGCTTTCTCAAGTTCTACTAGAAATACAAATTGGGCGACGCAAGTTTATGCCCAAGCAACAGGCCAGAGGCTATGCAAGCTACCTCATGAAGGTGACAACTTCGCTTAACGATTACATAGGCAAACAAAAATTTCCGGCAGAATGGCCGAAAACGCTCAAGGAGTTCACCATTGTAGTAGAATCGGAGGCGGGTCCTCTGATGGTGAGCCCAACGGGTCAGTTCATTACACCAGCCACCTGCCCTGGCTCCATACTCGTTGACTTTATCAGCGTAAATATGGAACTGGCCAGGGAGCGAATGAAGAAATATGCGCAGGACAAGCATGTCGAGCAGGAGTTAATAGACTCGTGTATTAAGCAGCTACAGCTACAATCTCTGACCAAAGACGACGCCGTCACCCCAGACAAGATGATAACAGCCCTTAGAGACTTATCCCAGCTGCACGTTGTGGAACTGCAGGAAGGAAAGTTGCATATCACCCACTACTATTCGGTACTGACCGATGGGGTTGTGTGCATACCCTGGGATTTTCAGCAGAGGTAGTTCGATTTTCTCATGTGCCTTATTAGTCAAAATAAACATAGTAATAATTTATAATTGTGTCTGCACCATCCCCCTTACTTTCAGCTAAGCGGCATCGCTGCAATCTTCCAAGCTCCAGGTGCACTCCGCCTGGTGAGCTAAGAACTCCGATGCAGGGCGTGTGTATACATGATGCTCCTCACCATCCCAGTGATTGGGATTTCCACCGCATAGGACAGATTTCTCTGTGGTAGCATCGTACAAGGAGATTCCTCCATTTGCATAAACCACACGCCACCAGTTAATGTTGGGCCGGCTGTACACATTTTTGGTGATCACGTTAGTTGCATTGCTAACGGCAGCAGCAGCTGGTTCAATCAGGATATAGCGATTTCGCCAGAAGGCACTGTAGAATGCAAACTGCGGTCGGCTGTCATTGCTGTGACCACGTTGGATAAAATAGGCAGCCTTTTTGGGATCTCGAGTATTGCTGCAGATCAAATACGTCTGCGGACATTCATAAATGTACGAATTATCAGTGGTCACATTGCGGATGCAAACTTTTTTGGCCGTGTACAAGAGATGCTCATCTTTGGAAAGTTGTGCATAGATTTCAAATTGGTGAAGGAGGTCCACATCTCTGTCGAACCCAGGCTGCTGAATTAAATTCCTAAGGTTGCTTTGCAAAGCCTTCTGCACGTCGGGATCCCCACGCTTGAGCTCTTCCCTGCTTAGTAATTGCAGATTAGCTTGAGCCAACTGTGTTAAGCTAGCCGTAAAGTTGCCGAGCCTCTGCACAACTTTTAATGGTGTTTCCAGGGCCAAAACAGCATCGTACAGAACTTCCAGGATGTCTCTCAGATAATCTAATGTGCTGAGTGTTAGTCGATGAACGAGGGAGTTTATCAACGGAAAAGTGGCTTCTCGACTGGCTGTGTAAAACGGAGCCTCCAACAACTGGGCACTTCGATGGATGAAAGCCTGATAGATAACTTCTTTAAGTTGCACTGGAACATCCGTGTGTAGAGACAGCAGGTCATAAAATTCCAGAATCTTCGAGGGATTGTAGATCTGCTTGGTCTGCTGTAGCTCCTCCCAGAGAACTGTGTAAATAGTCTCCTTTAGCTCCACGGTTCTGGCTTGACTAGCTAATTGTAGGACAAGTTTGCCTCGCTCCCAATCTCCACCGACTTCGGAGCGAATAATGGACTCCAGATTTGAAGAAGGAGGAGATTTTGTTGTCACTGAAGCTGCTTCGTTTCGCCAGACATCAATGTGGTATAGTAAATCTTGAACAGGAGCGGATGTATTAAGAACTGCCAAGAGTCGGCTGCTATTAGTTTGAATATTTAAATCCAGAGCAGCAGCGATACCGAGTCCCAATACGAGGACAAACCAAGCGGAGAAAGATGCCATTCTGGCTGTACTGGTTGTATGCCCCCGAATATGCGCAGCTTTTATAGTTAAGTGGAGAATCGGTACTTATTTGTAGTTCAATCGGATATTTGCTAGGGGATTTGGTTGTTGACCCTTGTGCCAATAAATGCATACAACTTTTAATTGCATTTTGCACCTGCGGAAAAGCTGAATAAGACGACGATCATAAACGGTTGGTTATGTAAATATTGCATCATTTGTAAAATTTAAATAATGAGTTGCGTTCCGTTAAATCATACGAAAACATAAATGTTTTTGAAGGCCGTGTTTGGAAAACATTAATTCATTTAATTAATACTAAAATGCTAACGCACTCATTCTTGTTTAATTGCTTTTCTTCTTACATAACTTTAATTAATTGAAGTCCAAGTAAATATTTTATTTGTACTGCAAATTTTTTTCATATTATTTATTTAACAATTGATGTTTTTGTTTTATAATTGTGTAAAATATTCAGCTGAGGGTTCGAAGCTAAATTAATAATGTCTCTTCGGTTCACGAACAGGGTTCTCCGAAATTTTGCGTTATTTACGTGTATTTTACCTACGATTTACTTTCGATTCGCCATCAATGGAAATTTAAATGACTTAAGAAAACAATTCTCATATTTTTGAGTTTATTCATTGTTTTAAGATGGGCATAGAATTTCTTAATTCTAGTATCACAAAGGTCAATACCGACACTTAAAAACTAGTTGATGCTAAAAATGCAGGGCAGAGCTACTGATTTTGGCTGCTATAACAATTAGCTACCTAATAGTTCGATTAGAGTTGATCCTCTAAAGCTTTGTGGAGTTGCGTGATTTGATTGATCTGCGCAGGATGCTGGATCTCAGTTCACCACCTGTCGAGGCATTCAAGGATGCGCCTGTCTGGGTTCCCCGCACAAATGCCTGAGATCGCACCTCCTCCACGTCGGTGTTCCTTTTCTCATCGTCGTCGTCGTCCACCTGTTTGGCTAAACAGGGGAAGTCCCAAATGCTCTGACCCCGTCCAAACTCCTCTCCATCGCTCAGGGTTTGTGGTAGAACATGGTTTAGGGTTTCCGGAAGTAGCAGCGCCAACAAACCACCAATGATTCCCAAAATTCCCAGGATGATTAGTGGTAGAGCTTGGGAAATGTTGGCCAAATAAACCACAAATGGTGCAATGATGCTGGCCACGTAACCCATAATGTGGATAAACGCCACTGCCTGAGCCCTAACCACAGTGGGCAGCACCTCCGCAGCCCACTGGAGGCCAATATTATAGCTGATATTCACAAAGAATCGACCCATAATGGCTAGAGCAGCAGAATAAATGCCCACGGGGACCACAGTGGCCAATAAGCTGAACACTCCACTGAGCACCATGGAGCTGCAGGCCAGCCAACGTCGTCCAAAACGGTCCAAGATCACCGTGAGGAGGGTATCTGCCGGCAATTCCGTGAAACAGGCCAAGGTGAAGGTGAAGAAGATGTCAAGTCCCAGAGAACCCACATTTCTCACATGACCATCAAAGACCAGAGATATGGCCATCCAGATTACAATGAGGAGCAATGTGGTTCGACGCAATCTTGGTGATTTGAAAAGATCCAGCACGGAGTAATTTCCATTCTGGGCTTCCTGTTCCCTCATCCTCTTACAGCTGTCCGCAAAGATCTGATATGTCTGTGGGGGCACCTGACGACCATTTCCTTTCTCCAGTTTCTTAAGGATTCCAACAGCTTTGTCTACTTTTCCTTGAGAAACCAACCATCTTGCTGATTCTGGTACCACCAAGGGCGTAAATATGGCCAAGAGCAATGGAGCCGAGGTCACAATAGCCAGGAGTTTCCAATCTGCCAAGAAGTACGCAATCCAGGGTAGAAGGCAAGCGGCACCAGTGAAGAAAATGGCTATCGACATGTTGGCCACAAAGGTCCGGTATTTGGGACCAACGTACTCGAGAACTGTGGAGCAAAAAAAAAGTTAACAACCAACAATTAAAATAAGTTTTTTGTGTAGTTTCGATTTATGACCTTAACTTCACATTTATCTTAAATGGTTCAATTTTATGTTTGACAGCTATTAATCACCTAAGAAAAAGGTTTTATGTTTTTACTTTACTTTTTTTAGCTAAGGCACGTGGGTATTTTTTTCGTTACTTGTATAGTAAAAATGGTATGTTTTTGTCTTGCTAGCTCATACAAATTGAACATACAAAAACATTAAATGTTCGCTAAGTGAGATGAAAAAGCCTTTGTTAATCGAGTGATTCATTGAAAATCGTTTATCGATTAAAATATTTCCTTTCCAATCCGTAACTGTTTATTAATTTCACGATCATTAAACAAATCAAAAAGACTTCAAAGGCAAGTGCCTGTCATTAAAGTATTCTAACATCTTTTATGATAATATAGTATTATTAAATAAGGAAAAATCTTTTAAACTTACCCAAAATATACATCATAGTAAAGCAGTTGTCGAAGGCAAATCCCACAAAGAATCGCATGGCAGCGAACTGCCAGAAGTTGCTGACGAACGCAGTGCCCACGCCAGCCAAGAGTCCCATCATATTGGTGCCGATCAGGGCAGGAATTCGACCAAATCGATCCGCCACCCAACCAAAGAGCAGTCCACCGACGATGGCGCCCAGGAAGAATATAGACTGTGCATATGTAGGCAAGGCAGCGTCATCACACACCCAGTTCTGTTCAGTGGCCACCGTCGAGTAAGGAATCTCTGTGAAATTATATGACCAGCCGTGTCGGCACTTGACCCTCGGCCACTTGGGATCGGCCATCACCTTGCCCTGGGCCAATATCTCCGTGTAGTTGACGTCGTACATGTAACAATTGTTGTACTCCCCATTGGTCATGGGTATGGAAAGCGCTAGTCTGTGGAAAAGAGGCGGGGAAAAAGGGGGATTTATTTTTCGGTCGGTGCAATTAACTCATCCAGGGTCAGGCGTGTGGAATTGTCTCCAGTTCTCAGACGCTCTAAGCCATGGTCAACACTTCTGCACCGGGCACACAAAACAGCCAGCAGAAGTACATATATTATTACATGAATATGTATGCGAGACAACTTAATTATCATGATCTTGAGGGGCACTCGAAAATGCGGTTGCGACTTAAACGTTTTCGGATACACTTTAACGGTCTACGTCTGCTCCATTTGGCTTAGCTTAAACTGTTTGTATTTGGTGTATTAACAAGATTGATTGCTCTGCGTTTATGATGGGTGTGGTCGTGTTTAATATTTTTAAAAATCATTTAATACTTGAAGTATTTTATTTTTTATTTTAATAACTTGCAAACTTTAAATGATTTTTCACTGCAAATTATTATTTACACAGAAATACAAACACATTTAAATATAATTTATTTAAACCCCATTCTTAATTTTAAAATGTCAGCAGCTGCTTGTAATTTATCAATAACTTATCAAGCTGCAACAACGCTCATCACAAATCAATTATCATATTATACCGAGAGCAAACTTTGACATTAATTGATTTTATTTGCATAATCCGCTAGACACACAAAGATAGGAATTTGTTATTGGGTTAATACTAAGCGTGAATTAGATAGCTCAGCAAGAGGAGGTTTTACTCTGTCATAATGAATAATGCACTAAGAACCTGTTAATCATAGTAATAAAGGAATAAATATACTGTGAAAATGGTTTATGTAAGCTCTAACTTTCTTGAAAGAAGTTTTTAGATGTACAATATTTATTATACTGTTAGTTTCATCTATACCTTTAAAGAGTGTTTAAAGTTCGTTGGCCTAGACCATAGTCCATCGTTAAGTCGGCGGTCTCACATCATCGCCGCCACACAACATTAGTCTGGTTGATGATTGTTGTTGCTACCTGTATTTGCCGTAGTTGCTGCTGCTGCTACTGCTACCTGCTGCTGCGTTGTCGCAACGTTCACGCTGCGCTGCTGCTAATTAAACAATTTGGCCGGCCAACCTGGCTTATCTAACTGCCCCCTCCCTCAGTGCCTCATCAACCCGACCAAACCACCATCCCACCACCCACTCTGTGGGCCGGAGGAAAACGCTCTCCTTGCCACTGAACGTTGGGCAGCCCGGCAATTATACAGATGAACGTTTTTCGCAGTAAGGTTCTTTGCCTTATTAAGCCGCCGCTCTGACTGGAAAACCCAATCATGGGCCCAAGGTCGTCCCGACTGGCCGTTCTATGCCAACTTGGCTTTAATGACTTTGGTCAGAACACTCGTTTTCGTTACGTTTCATTCGTTTTCAATTCAAATAGCGCTGCATACTCTAAGACTTTGCAAATACTTTATATAATTTGACTAGTAGAATTGAGATTTTGGGAATGGGGGTTAAAGCAGGCCAAATCTTTTCGCTTGGCCAATTCTGGCTCTATCCAGTTTCGGGTTAGCACAAACGTAATCTAGATTGCAGGCTTAACCGGTATTAGCCTTAGCCTTTCGATTCCAAGGTGATTGGTACTATTGGTTGTTAGTTATAGTGATCGATCAATTGCCTTTTTTTGTGAAAGTTAAAACGGAACCGCATACTTTAGCTTGCCTTTTACGCACAATGATAATGCTTCCGGATGGGGATTGTTTGAATAGATTGTTCGTAAAAAATTATACAATTATTTGTTTAACATTTTTGATCTGGCTATTGTGGGTTATGTTGTTTAATTATTTTGAACTAATTGATCTCTTTAAAGTCCTTGAACTTTGTTATTTTGGGTTCTGAGTTTATTTTAACAAAATTCCAATTGTGATTAATTGCCTTTCTAATGGTGGTCTTAGGAATTTGACTTATGATGAATTATTAATATTCTTTAGATATATTATAAATTGTTTTCTATTTTAGTTTTTTTTAATATTTAATCTCTATAATTGTCTAACTAAATATTTTGGTAATCTGGCACATTTTTCGATGTTTTTCTTGATTGACCAAGTAACTAGATAGGTAAAATTAATATTTTACACTTCATGATAACCTGATAACATGTTAATTTTAAAGCAATCATATACCCTAACTGACTTTAATGGAGTCATTATTATTATTTAGCACCCCCAGCTGTAGGCAATCATAAAGTTCTGAAACGCGTTGCCTGGTAATAGATTCATGATCATTTCAATAGCCACAAAGTCTTCATTATATGTTAGCACTTGAGGCGACGTCTACGACTACTGCACTTTACATACTAGTATTGTATAGAGTGTTGGCCACCAATCGACAACGGGTATTATACACAACACATTTGAATATTTATGGCACATTACGTGAATTACCCAGCTAGGCCGCGCTCAGCTGCGGATGCCATAACCGAGCCATGGCGCCAAAATTGCCTTGTCTTCTGTGCTTTTCCTTGGCTTCTTAGTTTTTTCGAGTGAAAACCCTTGAGATTTTCTTTAAACCGAAATTGAACTCACCTGGCCTCCACATCCAAGCCATCCAACTCGGGAACATGACACCAATGCTGCTCGGGTATCAAGGTGAGGAATATTTGCGAGAAGTACACGAAGGCCACGAAGAATGAGAATGGGATCATGCAGATGAATAGTAACTTTTGATATCTTCCAAACTCTCCGATCAAGGGGAGTATGTCATCAAAGTCCATACTGGGTGGATCACTGCCATTACCACCAGTCACATCCTGACCTTTCTTTAAGCCACCTAAATCCAGCTGGAGTTCTTTATTGCCACCACTTTTCCGGCGATGCAGATTGTCCACTCCACCACCACCACCCTGTGGTGGTTCTTCGTGGTTAAATGCTTCATTTACGAAGTACGCTTGCTTGGCCTGGCCTTCCATATTTATTGACTTTATTGGCGATTTGGTATTCCGCGACCTTGCCTTATGTGTGTCACTCCAAGTGATTCAGAACTTGACCGAAACGGCGTAAAAATCCAATTTGAAATCCAAATACTTGATCGAATTCGATTGCGGCGCACGCGCGCGTTTCCGTTTCGAATCTGCAACTGACTGAGCACGCGCGCCAAATGCCGTTTTTATATGAGCCCGGCCAAGAAGCTCGGCTTTTGACGGTTTGGGGGGTTTGAGCCGATGCACTTGCCGTTGATTTTGTGCTGCTGCCAAGAACAAGAAACCGCCGGGCAGCGAAAGTTTAGCAGCTGAGCGGCCGAGCAGCTGTTTGTTTGGTTCACACAGCTGGCAAACCGGTTCGAATCGTATTCGTATTCGCATTCTGAATCGGTATTTTGAATCGGCTGGCGAGCCCCAAACGATCATCATATCGGCTTGCCAGATCTTATGGCGGCATATTGTTTTAAAACCTCTTGGTAACTTATTTTTAAGCCTGCCGAACACAATCCATGACTCGCAGAAGTTTGGAAGGTAGCCGGTGCACATCTTTTGGGGCCCAGGTGGGTCCTGATCTTTATTAATAGCCCCTCATCCAGGCCCAAAGTGGTAGAATGCTCGTGTGACTCAGGCCAAAAACACTCGGGGAGATTGAGGAAATTAGCTAAATGTATTTGTTATATTTATAAATACGTCACGGCCCATTCATAAATTGAGCTGGAAGGGGGATTAAACTCGACGAACGGATCAACAAGCCATCTAACAAAACGAGTTTGCGTGATCCGAGGATTGTGAGAAATGGCCGGTCTTAGCCTTCAAAGACTTGGCAGCAATTTATTTAAGCTTAAGAGTTCATTTATTCAATTGCTATTGTTATCACGTGCTTACTTATTATTTCCTATATATATTTCAATATTAATATGTTGTTAATTTGAATAATAAGTTTGTTAACTGTGCGAGAGTCATATCTTTAAATTGAGATTTCATTTTCCACTGCAAGTTTGTATTTTTAATTAACATTCATTTATTCAAACAGTTGCTGCTGTGCGGAATTTATTTATAGTTTATCTTACTTATTAACAGATTTATAACAGTTTTAAAGTGCAAAAAAGGAATAGCAAAACTTGACAAGATTTCCATTGCCAGAATGAATCTGGGAATAATTATCTAATTTTTCAGGTTTTCTTTATTTATTAACAGCTTTGTAATACCAATTTTATTATTTATTTTTTTGTTACTAATTAACATATATATAGTAATTTAAATGTATTTCACAAAATGAAGTGCTTTCTAACTCAAAAATCTAATAATTTCACAATAATTTGAAAACAACAATTATCAATGGAAATTTTTCAAAATAATTTCACAAAAATACGAAAATCAAATTCCAGAAGAAGTATTTTCATATTTTCAACTTTAGCTTGTCTTATTTATTAGCACCTTCGTCTTATTAGGCAGACTTTCCTCATTCCAAAATCGGCGATCATCGAAATCCTTTTAGGGACACACTTTTGAAAGATTTACACAGCGACTTAATTTTGAACTCATTTAAATTGAATTTTCTTTATATTTAATCGAGAATGCAATTAGGATATATATATTTTATTCAGAACTTAACTGTTAAATTAATATTTCGATGTGTTTATGTCTTATTATCTTATTTATTTACAAATGTTCGTGTTTTCAACTTAAGATACGCATGTTGCAAGGCGGGGGCGATGGCGGTGGCGCATGTATGCATTTATATTAATTATGAAGTCGCACCCATATCAAATCATTTTGCTTCTCATTACAACTGCTCACAAAAATATTGTTCTCTTGACCGCTGCCGCTTTGAACTGGTTTAATCTTGCTTAATAAATTAAATTTTTATTATACCCTTGCTAAGTGTAAGTAACATAAATAAGATTAGGAGTTAGTCGTGCACTTGAATTAAGATATTTTTATCAGGATGGTTTATGTGGATCATAAATGAAATTGGATCAATGTTATGGAGGGTTAATGGTAGTGTCTTGTAGTAGATAGAAAATATATTTTAGCTCTAATTTAAAAACAAGGCAGCTAGGTTCATTTGTTGATTTTAAATATCATAAGTAAAATAAATATTTATCCTAAGACGAAGAGTGTATCTAGAAGTTCGACCATCTATGCCAAGCTTCACACCCTGTTTGTTTTGAATTCATTTAGCTATATATTTTTTGTTACAGTTAAATAGTTTGCTACGCATTTAATGTTTTAATTAGCTCTGCTTTGGGGCCTGCTTCAAGGACTTTTGCCATTTGTTTCTGTTTTTCAACTTTGCTGAATGCATATATAGTATAGCCAACGATTGTTGGGGAGCTAATAGAACGACTATGGATTAGATCTATAACGAGATACTGTCATATGGGTAATTCGGTTTTATGTGTGCCTGCCTACCTGAGCACACGGCAGGTGTCATTTGAATTGTATAATTTTTAGAAAGCTGTGCTAATTAAATGGGTAAATCTGTCCTTCTATGGCTAAACGGTACGGGGGGCATTCTGTGACTCTTCTCTTGCCAACTTGAGGCTTTTTAGACTTCGTCTCGACCGGATTGCTGTGACGGCTTTTGTTTGGACTCACTCAACTTTAAGACGACCTTCAATTGAACAAACAAAAATTGTTGCATTAAATCCATTTCCGTTTTGATTCATGTTTCGCTTAGTTCCCCGCTTTTGTTTCAGCTTTGTTTTTTACTTATTTTATTTCAATTTGATTCCATAAGTATTAAGCTTTAATTAAGTTTGGAAGTCGTTTTGAAAATACCGAACCTTTTTATTGGATTGAGGGAAGTGCATCGGCTGCTATGACATCATAATGAGTCGGCAGGAAGCTCGCACGTACGGTCGAACTGTTTACTCATATCATAGGCACAGCGCAGTTTAGCCTGGGAGAATTATGACTGTGGATTCAATAAATCACTCAATTAAATCACAAACCCATTTGATAATCGATGTCGGCGGTTTTGCTATCGCCGCCAATACTAGTATTTAAGATAAGCCTTAGCAGAGATATTACGATTACATTATCTAAAGAGCTTTTCGCAGAGGTAACCTTCTAAGAAGTGAATTAGAAAAGAGAATGAGTAATAAAAGGTATAATTCGAAGACATAGTAAAATATATGTATATAGTTTTGTGTATTTTCGTACCAACGACCAACTACCAACCTATATTTAAGCATATTTTAATACTGCTCGTCATCAATGCTCTACCTACCAGAAAATGATTAAAGTGGCTCATGGTTTTTTGCCATTACTGGGACACTTCGATTCAGACTTAACCCTTATCGCCAAGAAAATCGGTAGCATAGCATAGAATTATCAATAATGCCCAATAGAAGATTATAAATTACCTCCACCCTGGGCAATCGACCACAGATAGTCTATGAATTATGATACCCGCGCCCCCATTGAAATCCGTATAAAAGTGCCCCGATTCTTGGCAAAAGCTTTAGTTGTGATCAACATGAAATTCGCGTGCACCACGGTTTTGCTTTTGGCCGCCATCCTTGGCGCCCAGGCTGTCGACTGGAGTTCGGTCAAGAACCTCAACATTGAGACCCCGATGCCCAAGGTCCATGGCGAGACTTTGCCAAGCGGAAGGATTACCGGAGGACAGTTGGCCCAGCCCAACCAGTTCCCATACCAGGTGGGACTACTCTTGTACGTCCAGGGAGGAGCTGCCTGGTGCGGAGGCACCATCATCAGCGACCGCTGGATCATCACTGCCGCCCATTGCACGGATAGCTTGACCACCGGAGTGGATGTCTACCTGGGCGCCCACGACCGCACCAACGCCAAGGAGGAGGGACAACAGATCGTCTTCGTGGAGACTAAGAATGTGATCGTTCACGAGAACTGGATCGCCGAGACCATCACCAACGATATTTCCCTGATCAAGTTGCCCGTGCCCATCGAGTTCAACAGTGTGTATTTCCGTTTTGGTGATAGGAAAAAGTTCTTAAGTACTTTCCATATTTCACAGAGTACATTCAGCCCGCCAATCTGCCCGCGAAATCCGACAGCTACAGCACCTACGGCGGCGAGTCGGCCATTGCCTCCGGATGGGGCAAGATCAGCGACTGTAAGTGACCCTTATACCTAGTAAATATTTTGTGCTTAAGTGTTTTAAGAGTAAAATAGTGAAAGTTGAGATTTCGTAATGAAAATATCACACTTGAAACAAATAATCCAATTCGTGAGAAGTGCTTCTATAACTTCGTTATTTCAACGCAATTCCTTAATTCAATTAATTTACAAATGTGAAAACCCATGGCGAATCAATATTTAACCTTTGTCCAAGTGTACCTAATCTTTTAAATCTTTTGGAAAAGGGAACTTCTAAGTTCTTATCAAAGAAATCGATTTGTAGGAAATCTAATCTTATTTTTTGTTTAAATTTAACGTATTCTAAAAGAACTCCAAACTATTTCTGACTTTGATTAAGCCTATTTTAACTTTATAAAATATTCCTTTAGACTTTATACTCCTCGAAATTTATTTATAACTTTTCTCATGAAATATTTCTGTTTTTCCAACAGCTGCTACTGGAGCCACCGACATTCTGCAGTATGCTGAGGTTCCCATCATGAACAACAGCGGCTGCTCTCCCTGGTACTTCGGCCTGGTTGCCGGCACCAACATCTGCATCAAGACTACCGGCGGCATCTCCACCTGCAACGGCGATTCTGGCGGCCCTCTGGTCCTGAACGACGGCAGCAACACCCTGATCGGAGCCACCTCCTTCGGAATCGCCCTTGGTTGCGAGGTAGGATGGCCTGGTGTGTTCACACGCATCACCTCTTACCTCGACTGGATTGAGGCCAAGACCGGTGTGGTCAACTACGGCAACTAATTGTTGATTTCCTGCTTAAAATAAATGTTTATTTTTGGATGACAAAAAATAGAACTCATATTCGAAATTTGGGTGTGACATCCTCAAAGATGTCGTTATCGGAAGCGGGGATCCTTCTAGTTCAATGGGCACTTCGTTTTCCGGCTACCACTCCGCTGCTATGACTTCATAATGAGTCGGCAGGAAGCTCGCACGTACGATCGAACTGTTTACTCATATCATAGGCACATCGCAGTTTAACCTGGGAGAATTGTGATTGAGAATTCAATAAATCACTCAATCAAATCACAATACTATTTGATAATCGCGGGCCACGGTTTTGCTATCGACGCTAATACGAATATTAAAGATAAGCCTTCGCAGACATATTAAGATCCATAAAGATAACCTTTTAAAAGTGAATTTTCTTAAACTTAGAGAAAGGTATGAATATTAAAGAGTAAGCCTTTAAGGCATAGTTAAATTTAAGAATATATCTTTGTGTTTTTTAATACCAAAAAGCTTAAGAGAACCTATATTTACGAATAATTTAATGCTGTGGAATCGTCATTAATGCCCTGGATAAACCTACTACAAACTGATTAACATGGCTTATGGCTTTATTGCCTATATTAGCACTTTTCGATTCACACTTAACTCTTATCGCTAGGAATATCGGTAGCTCTGGTTATTATCACTGCCGCCCATTGCACGGATAGCTTGACCACCGGAGTGGATGTCTACCTGGGCACCCATGACCGCACCAATGCCTCGGAGAAGGGCCAACAGATTGTTTTTGTGGAAACTAAGAATGTGATCGTGCACGAGAACTGGATCGCCGATACCATCACCAACGATATTTCCCTGATCAAGTTGCCAGTGCCCATCGAGTTCAATGGTATGTACATATGTCCGTTTTAGTAAAAGGAAAAAGTTCTTAATTACTTTTCATACTTCACAGAGTTCATCCAGCCCGCCAGTCTGCCAGAAAAATCCAATAGCTACGAGACCTATACCGGCGAGTCAGCTATTGCCTCCGGGTGGGGCAAGATCAGCGACTGTAAGTTAGCCTTATACCTTAAACAATTTAAGTGTCTCATAAACAAAATAGTGAAAGTTAAGCTGTTGTATGGCAACCGAAGAGGCTAAAATCTTTTCCTTTACAACCTTTTTTATTTGTTCATCAGCTGCTACCGCAGTCACCGATATTCTGCAATACATCGATGTACCTATCATGAGCAACAGCGGCTGCTCTCCATGGTACTTGGGTCTCGTTGCCGAAACCAACATCTGCATCAAAACCACCGGTGGCACCTCCACCTGCAACGGCGATTCTGGCGGTCCTCTGGTCTTGAAAGACGGCAAAAACACCCTAATCGGAGCCACCTCCTTCGGAATCGCCTTTGGCTGCGAGGTGGGCTGGCCGGGGGTATTCACTCGCATCACCTCCTACTTGGACTGGATTGAGGAGAAGAGTGGTTTGGCCAATTATGGAAACTAAGCTTTGATTTCTTTCTTACAATAAATGTTTATTTTTGGATTATAAGAAATAGAACTCATGTTCGGAGTGTGGGCGGGACCGGGCTCGCGGTCGGACATCCTCGGAGATGTCCTCATCGGAAATGGGTCTTGGATGGACATCTAATTCATCGGGCACATCGTCTTCCGGCTGCTCCTCCGTCTCTAACCGGCGACTTTGTCGTGGTTTTCCATAATCCCTTACATACTGGTCGAAGAATATCGCTTCCGTTGTATCCTGATGGGAACTGACTCCAGTTTCATCACTGATCCAATCCAAATATGAAGCTACTTTGGTAAAGGCCGCAGGGTAGCCACGATCGCAGCCGTAGATGCTGCCAAAGGAAGTGATTCCCACGAGGACTCTTTTCTTTGAGTGCCTTCTTTGAAGGACCAAAGGTCCTCCCGAGTCTCCATTGCATGTGGATCGAGCATTCCTGCCACTGGTGCATATATTTGTACCTCGATATGACAGTGGAAAATTAGACTTGCAGGTCCGTCCATCGATTATCTGGAGCTGGACGTAGCGTAGCACATTACTGATCGCATGGACTCCGGTGGCGTAACGACCCCAGCCGGAGGCGATTGCTAGTTTGTTTTTGAAACTGCGATACTCGTAGTGCCTTTTCGGTAGTTGGATAGGATGGATGCGTTCTGGAAGTATAGGTTCCATTTTACTAACATTGTAATCTATTAAGGAAAGTAACGATTTCACCATTAAAGCTAACTGCATGAGGAAGTCTGACCAGGGCTATGTCATCCTTTAACCTCTTTGGATTCCAGGTGGGGTAGATGTGGAAGTTCTCGCTAGGCACCATCAGACGCACTTGGCCCTTCTCCTTGGCATTCTTGATCTCATTGGCGCCCAGGAAAACCAAAGCCCTCTTAGCCCTGTAAAATTAAATTTTCTTGAGAGGATAGGTTCGACGGAATAATATATACCATGACCACTTACATGTCCACACAGTGGGCTGCGGTGAGGACATGCTTTTCTGAGATTAGAGAGCCGCCACACCAGTACAGGCCCTTGGGTCTTTGGAGCAGCATGCCAACCTGATAGGGAAAGCAGTGGGGATTACCCACATCACCGCCGAAGATGCGATCCATGGCCATAGCGCCCTCTGGCAGCATCTTCTCCAGCAGCGGCGTTGTCTCCAGATTAAGGACGAGTGGTTCCCGATCCTCCAGATCCTCTTCGCTAAAACCACCAACATCCATACCCAAGCCCATTCCCTTCATGTGGCGACTGTCTACGTTGCTGGCACTCATTTCCGCATCGTGTTCCAGGGAACCGGACGAGGATGAGGAGGAAGAAAATGGGGAGGACGAGGAGGTTGAGAGGCCCATGGGGCCTGGGTACATGGACACCAAGTACATCGGCTTAACCTGCTGCCAGTCCAGCGCGATGCAGTGCATCGTTAGCCATGTAAGCCAAATGAGCAGCAGCAGCGCGGCACTTGCACTTGCAGATTGTTTGGACATTGGCTTTGTTGCTTTGTACGCGCACGCATTTAATTTTTAATTGCGAGTGCAATTGCAATTGCTGGCACTTATGGTGATTGGACTGCTTTCACTGCTAACTGTCTTTCCTTTGCATGGTTTCCTGTAAAGGTGAATGCGGGGATTCTAAAACAGCTTACTTCCCGGACCTTGAGTGCTTCCGTTATATCCCGAACCTAACGGCTTTTGGGAAATATAGCTAATTTGTTTCAATGTATAATTTCCTGGGTCCTTGTTTTATAACAGTATCTGCATTTAATGAGTTTTTAGGCTGAAGCTTTTTTTCTTATTTTGTCCATTTCCTAAATGACTTAACCCGAGTTATTTGTTTCGGAAAGTGCGTTTTCTATTCTAAAATTTTAAAAGTTTTCATTTGTTTATCCTGTGGTTTGCCTTATTATCCTATAACGTGAGTGTTTTGATAGATTTAATTGGTCACTTTAATTTTAGCTTATGTTTGTTTAGTATATTTTTGATTTATCGATTTTTTTGGAGAGAATTCCAATCCTTTAACTGCTTCCTATCAAGTATATGTACTGCTTTGTAAGCTTTAAGATCGTTATCTGCTTTCTCCGTTCTTGCTCTGCTTCCTTGAAGCTTCCTAGATTTAACTGCTTTCCTGTTGCTCACTGGACTTGACTTCCTTGACTTCCTTTGCTTCCTCTTTTAACCCACTTCCGCTCCACCTTTCCTCCTTCGGCCGCTCGTTCACCCACTGGTCACTTTTGTTTTCCCGGTTTCGAAAAGCCGTTACGCTGGTTACTGGACACTTCACCGCATTAAACTTTAGTTGTAGTCGCAACAACTCGCGTCGTAATCTCTAGTCGCCAGTACTGCTTTCTTCGCGTCTATTTAGCCACTGCGCCGGCGCGCAGGTTGCCAGCATTTTTATAAACTCTTTTGCCAGCGCAGAAATTGCTCGGCGCCTTTATTATTTCATCTATTTGGCTGCATTTCAGTTGGCCGCGCACAATTGCAGTTGCATCAATTTGGTTTAATTTGCCCACTGAATAATATGCTCTTGTCAATAGACGATCTCTCTTTTCGATATGATAAATGACTCCTCCCTCAACCATTGAGGAACTGTCACTTTTCAGTCGGCATTCGCCCTTTGCAACGGCAGCTAGTCCGCATTTTTATCGCAAAATAGAAATATGTGCCGCATAGGTTACATTTTCATTGTGGATCTCGGTCGGTGTCTTGTGGTTTTGCCATTTAAATTGAATGCGAAGCTGTAACTCTAGTTATCCGCCCGCTTTGGCGCTATTACATCACTCCCCACTTCACTCACTTCTCGCTTTAACTCCATCTTCATTATGCATTCGCGATCGGGTTTTTTTTAGTTTTTGTTTTTTAGGTGGCTCTGCGGAGAGAAGAGTCTTTCATTGAGAAAAAAAGCTCTGGAGGTTGGATAGCTGTAAGTGAAACAATAACACAAGTTGCTACAGTTACATTTGCATGCCGCCGCGGCTTCATCTTCACCCTCTGTTGGGATATCTTTTGACCAGTTTACAGTCTTACTTCTTTAAAGAAAACTGTCTCCTATTTTCCACCATCAAAACTTAAAACAAACCAAAAACTTAAGAGAATATAAAACACACTCTGACTTTTTTAAAATGGTATAAGTAAAAGTCTGCATTTTTTTATTAAGTTCATTTTTATGAAGCTTGACTGTTTATTTTGTCTTCTTCAACCACAGTAGCTCCAACTTGATAGTTTGACTTTGATGATTCAAATTAAAGCGACTACTGTGTACTCCAGAGCTCAAGGTTATTGCCAGGCTGGTGGAATTGGGTGGTTCATGGGGGAAGGGCTTAGAGGCGGATATCTCATAAACAAATTAACAGTTTTCCATTCGGTTGCATGCAGCAGCGAGTGGCATGTGCAGAATTCTTAGCAGGAAATGAAATGCAGCATAAAATATGTATGTGTTGTTAATTAAATTAATTCGTGCACCGCCTGCCAGCTGGTTGAGATAATCAGTTTTATTTGGTGTTGAAAGTATTTCTGTTACCTGGCCATTGTTGTCGATTTAGGAAATTACTGCGGTCTGTGTGCCTAGCGAAGCAAATAAATCAAATCGTCTCGCGCTCGCCAATGTGATATGTATGTTCAAATCGAATTGAATCAAATCGGGATTGGATTGGATTGTATTGGATCAAATCGAAATGAAGCCGAATGTAATGAGGCTGCAACAACAGTGAGCCACAACAACAACATGATTATGCAAATGCAATAGCTCACCACCACCCACCTCGACCCCCTTGAACGCCTGCTCAGGTGTTGGTGCACTTCGATATCGTGCGGTGGTGCGTCAATATCTATATTCATAAATATATATATTCGCTGCATAATCGCTCCCCGTTGCATGTTGCACTCATTAATAATGGGCGCGTTTTTGTTACTGCATTTTATTGCACTTGCTAATCACGCGGCGGCCGTTATTTAATTGAGCTTGAGCGCCACCCGGCTCGCACAATCCGTCTGCTCTTTTGGCCACCTCTGTGCGTTTCGCTTCCGTTTCGCATTCGAATTGGGTTTATTTATTTTATATCACTGTTTCTCGTTAACGTCCTATTTACCACCCCCAAGTGCTCTTTATGGCGTAATATACCACGGCCCCTATCTTCAAGTTTATACAGTATTTGAGGAACTCAGACTGGACTTTATGTTTATAGAAAAGAAATGTCTTGAGTTAATTTTATTTTTGGGAAATCATGATATAAAAATGGTCTCTGTCGAAAGTGATAAAGTTTAACATATAAAAGCTAGAACATTATAAGATACTTAATATAAGTTCAATAATAGTTTAAACATATGAGAAGTACCTTTAAAAATAAATATCAAACTAAAAAGTATATCTTAGACCTAGAAAAGTGATTACAAAAAAACCTTATAACAGCTCTTGATGGACTTAAAATGACTGCGTTATGATCCCCTTTTGACCAGCTTAAAAGGATTCTCGAACAGCAGCAGATGGATATGTATTTTTAACGTTTATTAATCCCCTTAATTGCTAGGCACAGAATCGTATTCTATGGCTGGATAATTTTACTTTTAGGTTTAGCTCTAGTTTATTTTTGTCTACATGCTATTTACACACATATTTCTTGAATGCGTTCTTATAACTACGGGATAAAGTAATCCAAACAAACGTAGTTTCTAGCTTCATAGTTGGTATCAGTACATTTCTTTTTGGACAATATATGCTAGTTGTTATGTGATGAATATAATGGGGTGCAAATGAAATGGATCATTCAGTCTCTCTACTCGAAGCCTGCTGGTTGCATGAGGAACTGGTGTTGGCTGCTCATTGCCGGTAGCTGTATATCCTCCATGGTCATGGAAGTCTTGGGAATCTCTATGGTTCCCGTTGAACCTCCAGCCTCTGCATCATCGCCCTCCAGCATGGCACTGTCAAAACTCTTGTTCAAGCGGTCGTGGAACTCGGTCATGGAGATTTTCTTGAGCGCAAAGCGCTTACCAAAGGTTTTCTTCACCTTTTGGCGACGTTTCTTTGACAATATCTTGTTCTTGCTCAGGCCATCGCTGAACGAGATGGCTCGGCGAAGTTTGCGACCCCAAACCTTGACGACTTTAACTTGGCTGCTAATAGAGCACTCCTCACTGTCATCCTCTGCATCGGCGGCATTCTCGTCGCTGGGCTCCTCGAAGATTGTCTCGAGATTGGTGGGTGTGAACTTCTTCATACGCTTGCTGGTGTAGATCTTCTCAATGCTCTTGAGGGTCTGGGGATTAGTGCTAAGTTCCTTTCGCTGCTTCTTCTTGATAGGTTTCATGATGGCGCTGCATACTCGATTAAAGTTGTCCTTGGATACTCTAGCGGGCATTTTGCGACGAGCCACGCCCGCCCTAGCTCCGAAATTGGAACTACGAAAGAAGGTCGATCCACTGATGCAATCGCTGTCATCGTCATTATCCTCGCAACGACTAAGTTGGGAGTCCACATCGTCAGAATCAAAGGATTCAGTGCTAATGTTATCCTCGTTATCATCGGCTGCTATTGGCGCCGATGTATCTTGCATTTCCTCTGTGTCAGACATGGCCATCTCCTTCAGTCTGAATGATAAGCTCGAGCTAGTTGACGACCTGAAAGTTGGGCATTAGGAAAGTTCCAAATGGGTCTACTGCCATAACTCACCTATTCCTCGGGAACCCCACCTCTTTTGGTTGAAGCGTGATCTTCGAAAAGTTGTAGACAATGTTATTCATTATTTTCACGGTTGAACTCTAGAAATCAATTCCTAAAATATTATAAATATTTGTTGGGTATTCTTGATAGTCGCCCTTTAAAAGAATTGCTTTGTCTTGGAAACCTTACGGTGTAATAACTTATTAATATCAGAGACATTCCCAGGGAGTTCCTGAGAGTTAAAGATCACCTATAGTTTACTTACCTTTGGAAAATCGCGCATTTCCTTATTTTAATGCCTTTTTTCTGCAGGCGTCTGTCAGAAAAAGCAGGTCTCTTTCACTACGGGGGGCCGTTTATAGGACTACTGACGGATAAATCTATTGTTGCCAAGTGAAACTTTTTTTGATCTGAGCAAAGGAATATTACTTGTTTTGTCAGCGTTCTTTAATGCGGTAAAATAATAGCCAAAATTTGAGAGAAGTTTTTATAAAAAAAACAGCTTAGAGCTGTGTTAGCCAATGATGATAATATCGATATGTTGAATGTTTGGGCTCGCGCATTTTATCGAGGTTTTGGTTTCGATATTGAACAATACATAGCTAAATCCCATAAAAACCTATTTAATGCATATTCTCTATATTGTGCACAATTTTATGTGTTGCCTATTTCTATTAAATCAATTTGTGAATTTAAACAATTCAAATAAAAAACAGTATTATCGAATATTAGGTCTCGTTTCTCCCGCCTACTGCAATCCGGTCACACGAATGTGGTTCAATTCTTCGCTAACATCAGGAGTGGCAACTCTCGATGAAACCAATTTTACAACCTTCGTTACCATTCAAAAAATACTCATTTGATTACATTTTTGTGACTTCCTCAAAACTTTCCCAATTTTTTAAAATTTTTATTTATCAAAAAATAATATGGAATTTTACAAATTGTATTACGTATGAAACCTTTAAAGAGGAATAACAGCTAAAATATAAGTTTATTATATGTATTTCAAGGTGTTTTATTTTCATAATAAATCTTTAGTTCGCGAGCTTCGTTTGATTAAGCCTTATCGAATGCGCCAACTTCCATTCGCAAGATTTTGTCAAGTTGTCTTAACTCCGCACACAAAACAAAGGCAGTTCTTATCTGTATGTTGTAAATTACGCTCCCAGGGGATTAATTCATATCCGGTAGAATAAAAAACTATATAAACAGCGTTACTGTTTGTTAAGATTCACTAAGTGTGCTAAACTTAAAATGAAAGTGCTAGCGGTCCTGCTCCTTGGGGTTATCGCCTCCGTCTCGGCTTTCGAGAAGCCAGTCTTCTGGAAGGATGTGCCTGTTGGCAAGGCATCCATCGAAGGACGTATCACCATGGGATACCCTGCCTACGAGGGCAAGGTGCCCTACATCGTAGGACTTGGCTTCAGCAAGAACGGCGGTGGCACTTGGTGCGGTGGTTCCATCATCGGTAACACCTGGGTGATGACCGCTAAGCACTGTACCGATGGCATGGAGTCTGTGACCATCTACTACGGAGCTCTGTGGCGCCTGCAGGCCCAGTACACCCACTGGGTTGGACGCGGCGACTTCATTGAGCACGGATCTGGAGATATCTCTCTGATTCGCACTCCCCATGTGGACTTCTGGTCGCTGGTCAACAAGGTTGAGCTGCCCAGCTACAACGATCGCTACAACAACTACCAGGGATGGTGGGCTTTGGTTTCCGGATGGGGCAAGACCTCCGACGAGGGTGGCGTCTCTGAGTACTTGAACTGCGTTGATGTCCAGATCGGTGAGAACTCAGTGTGCGAGAACTACTATGGCAGCTTCTCTGGTGACCTGATCTGCATCCCAACTCCCGAGAACAAGGGAACCTGCAGCGGTGACTCTGGTGGCCCTCTGGTCCTCCACGACGGCAACCGCCAAGTGGGTATTGTGTCCTTCGGCTCTTCCGCTGGTTGCCTCTCGAACGGTCCCAAGGGAATGGTTCGCGTCACCAGCTACCTGGACTGGATCCGCGACAACACTGGCATTTCCTACTAAAAGGATTCTTAAATAAACTTTTGTTATTGAAAATTAAAATATATTTTGTGTTTTGATTGCTTAGTTAAAAGAAATTGTTTAAAACAATTCAAAATTTAGAGATATTATGAAAATAAAGAAATTGAAAAATATTCATTGCTATCATAAAATGTTGAGATTCAGATTTCGTAAAAACTATGAATAAAGTTATATAAAGGACTCTTAATTCCAAATATAAATAAAAACATCTTTACTGATTTTTAAATTGTTAAAAATGTATATACTCAAAGTATATAAAATTATTAATTTTCGAAAAGTAAAAAAAAGTTTAACCATTAAGCAGAAATCCCCTCTTTAGATCCATTCAGAAAAAATCATGTTTATGCAGTATTTAATGTCCTTTAATTTTATAAGGAGGTATTTTATTAATAAGAGATACCCGTTATGTCACGGATCCAGTCCAAGTAGCTGGATACTCGAGTCATTCCCTTGGGACTGTTAGAGAGACAGCCCTCGACGGATCCGAAGGAAACAATGCCCACTAGGCGGTTGCCGTCGTGAAGGACGAGAGGACCGCCGGAGTCTCCACCGCAGGAACCCTTGTTCTCCGGGGTAGCATAGCACAGATGGTTGGGGGTGATGAAGTGGCTACCGTAGTAGTTTAGGCAAACGTCATTGTCCGAAATCTGGATATCAACGCAGTTGAGGTAATCGCTCATTCCGCTGGTATCAGAGGTTGCACCCCACCCGGAAAGGAGACCCCACCAGCCGTAGAAGTTGTTGTACCGATCAGCGTAGGTGGGTAGTTCGACCTTGTTGACCAGCGACCAGAAGTCCACGTGGGGTGTACGGATCAGGCCAATGTCGTTGTTGAGATTACCGTTATCGTAATCGGGATGAGTGATGATGTCCGATGAAACGTGTTTGAACTGCGGGTTGTTGCGCCACACGGCACCGTAGTGGATGTTCACGTAACTGGCTCCGTTGGTGCAGTGTCCAGCAGTGAGTACCCACTCGTGTCCAATGATCGAACCACCGCAGTTCCAGCCACCATTGTCACTCTCAAAGCGAAGGGCTACAATGTAGGGAACCTTTCCTTCGTATGCCGGATACCCTTGGGTGATACGTCCGTTCACATTCTTTCCCACAGGCATGTCCTTAACGGGAATGGGCTTTTCCAGCGCCGCCACTAAGGCAAACGCCGTGATCAACAGAACTCCAAGCACTTTCATGATCTGAAAACTTTTTTCACTTATAATAACAACTTGTGAGACACTGCCTTATATACGCTTCTTGGGTAGGGCACATGTAATGGTTCTAAGTATTCGTAATCAGTTGGGTAGAAAATTTACGATTACTTGTTTGATTATTTATATCAACTTCCTTTATTTAACACCCTCTTATTCTAGGGTGACTAAATATTTAAATTTATTCTATATGATATAGGAAACTTGGGGCACGAGAGGGTCGTAAAAAACTAAATCTACATTTTTATGTCACTTATACTTTTGCACCTTGTATTTGCTTATCTGCTTATTATATATTATACTTTGATAAGCTCCTGCTCGCTAAATTTTCCAAACGTTCATAGATCGTTTGTCAATATAAGATTGTAATTTACGATTAACTTGATGCAATTTATTTTGTACAGCTTAAAAGTATGCTAAAAAATATCGTCTTATTTGTTCTTTTACGATCATCAAATGCAGGTTAAAAAGCTTTTTGTACAAAACTTAAAAATTAGAACTGCGCCTGAAAAATTAGATAAGGAAATCAAATTAAGCACGCTAATTATCGAATAGTTTTTGTTAACCGATTGTTAGCTCGACTCATTTGAAGACCTTTTTCTATCGATCATTCTGTCGACCTATCAAGACGACAAGTCGAATGTTTCTGGAATCAACAGTAAATTAGTTAGTAATAGTTTTTGTTCAAGGGGTGCCTGAATGATTGCTTGTGACTTTTTGTGATTTAAGTGGCCAAAAAAATGTTTTTGGAAATCCCCCCTTAAAAATGATAACTCTTTTAAAGTTCGTTATAATTGATTTTTAATTTTGCATGTTCCTGAGTGCTTCTTAGTTAACACCAGAGTTTTCCTTGATCCAATCCAGGTAGCTGGTCACACGGGTGAAGCCAGCAGGGGCACCGGACTCGCAACCAGCACTGGATACGAAGGAGGTGACACCGACGAGGACCTTAGAGCTCACCAGGACCAATGGGCCGCCAGAGTCACCGTTGCAGGTGGAGGTCTTGTTGGGGGTGGCAATGCAGATAACCCTGGAGGTGGCGATCAGAGAGCCATAGGTGGCCTGGCAGGTGGCAACGGACACAATCTCAAAGGTCTCGTACTGCAGGGTGCTGGCAACGGAAGAGGCGGAATCGGAGACCTTGCCCCATCCGGAGGCGATGGCCTTCTCTCCGGCATAAGTGGAGTAACTGCTGGCCACTTCGGGCAGCTTAACAGCCTGGATGTAGCTGGTGAAGGCAACAGCTGGGGTCTTGATCAGAGAGATGTCGTGCCTCAACACAGCCGAGTTGTAGCTGGCGTGCTGCTTGAAGTTGGAGCTGGAGACGGTCTGGGTCAGCTTGGCGACGGTGCGGACGGTGGCGCCATAGGTGATGGTCACAGAGGAGGCACTGCAACAGGTAGATAGACATTAGAAGGGGCTGTCCTATATTTGATAGTTTTCAGGTTACTTACCCGTCTGTGCAGTGGGCAGCGGTCAGCACCCACTCGCTGCTGATGAGGGAGCCACCGCACCACCAGCTACCGCTGGTGCTAGCAAAGCTGAGTCCCAACTGGTAGGGGAACTCACCCTCGGAGGCGGTCTTGCCGTTGGTGATGCGACCCTCAATCGAGGGACGAGCGGGCAAGTCACGGGGGTGAATTGGCATCTGCTGGGGCAGCAGACCGGCGGAGGCGGTGGCCAAAGCCAAAGCGAAGACAACGAGCACTTTCATGATGGTCGAGGAACGAATGATTCTCCACCGGACACGGTGCCACTTATATACCCATCCATTGGCGCTGTTATCAGATGACCGGCCTCTTGTATTTTGACCAAGTCATTTCTGTTTATGCGCTTGAAACTGGTTATCAGTCGTGGCTTTTGCTTGTTGTTTTTTGATTTTTATTTTGGCCAGAAAGGAAATGTAGGACTACTTATCGGCTTTGATTGACCGAAACTAAAACAAAAAAAGTGTATCTGCTGTTATCTTGGACCTGTGGGAAACCGTTGAGATTGCACACAGCAGGCTTTCAATTAAACGCACTTCACAGGCGAACAGGCGGCAGACGTCGTCCACTTGAGTGATAAGTGATAAGCATAGATTTCGCTAAATGACGACAGTACTATTTTGCCAAAATGGACGTTTTTGGCCAGATTTGGACTGCTTTAAGTATAATAAATTTAGTTGGGAAAACCGGCTAAATAAAATCGGTTTAATCGAATTATTTGATTCTTTTAAGAGCCATCGATCAGAAGTTGTTTACGGCGACTCTCAGCGGCTAGAGTGGCTGAAATTTCCAGTGATTATCTGATGGTTTGGCCCAAGTCGTATTAAGCATACGCAGCGGTGTGCCAAAGTTACCAACTCATTCGTGTGGGCGGGCAGATGACAGTGGCAAGTTGAATCTGGGAAATTGAAATCAAATCGCCTTACGTGTCTGGCATGTAAAGGCATACCGGATTTTGGCTCCGTAGCTATAGTTGGTCCCTGCTCCTGCCGGACATTAGCACATAAAAACAATTCATTGCCTTTCATGCTGACACATGTAGTATGTAGTTGCCGTCGGCCAGTGACTTTTGTGGGACACTGTGCGTGTCTGGGCCATAAATGCCAAGCATAAAATAGATTTTCACTTAAAGAGGACAGCATGAACACTTGGCCTCGAGAATTTTTCATTTATTTAATCCCAATATTAACTGCATTTTATTGATTTTCCTTCGCCATTTGTTCGTTTTTTGTTTGCCCTGCACTGTTGAGCGTTTTTATGGTTGCTCCTTTCGCTGATTGCGGGAAAATTCGTTTCTTTTGTCTCTGCCTCTCTGGAGGAACAAAGGAAACTAATTTTCTTGAAATATTTGCTCTCATTGTTGGCTGAGCACCAGTTTTAAAGCAACCAAAATAAAAAATAAAAAAGGCCGCACTTTAAATTCCTGGCAGAGACGTATGTAATACACTTATATATAAATGTATATTACGTATACGTAATGCGCTCACACACGCTTATTAGACGCATTTCCGGCTGCGACAACGACAGCCTGAACAACAATGTCCAGACCTCTCCGATACAAGGAAAATTCAAGCTTGCTCAACCAGTTGCGTAGAAGGGGGGACGAGTTAGAAAAGGGAACAGAATATTCATCAGGAAGCGACTACGCCTCTGGCTTAAGTACAGTTGCGGTCAAAGGAATAGGAGTTTGTACTCAGAAAGAATGGGAATATATATTTTTTTATTTTCAAATAATAATAACGATAAATGCTTAAAATGTTAACCACTTTCAGAAAGTACGGTCAGAAATTTCAGTGCAAATTACGTAAAAATTCATGTTTAATAGTAAATAAATAATTATTTAAGATCATTGGCGCTTATACTCTAACGTCAACTGTAAATGTGTGTAAGAGTCCTTACGAAGGCATTTGAAATGTCCTCCAGCGTGCGCTCTCCTTTGACGAGAAAAAGGAAAAGGACGAGACGACGACGACGACAAACAAGATTGCAGCAATAAAATTTCGACAAGTGAACAACAAATGATAAACGAAGCAGCAGCTTGGGATAAAAAGCAGCAGCAGCAGCGGCAGCGAACGGAGCAGTTCCCAAAGAGGTCAGTTTGCTGGGTCTGTTGGGGAGCACTTGAAATGCTGGTGGCTGGCCAAGGATTTCGTTCGACTCACTTCAGCTAAGTTTGGCCCTCTCCGGAGCAACCATCTAATGTGAGCAGCATCGATTACGCTTCCACTGGCACTTGGATTGTGTGTTTTGGCTGTCGCTATTCTCCCAATCCAATAATGTTGTATCACACACTTGGAAAAAATTTAGAAATATTTAGACTTTTGATATTAAAACTGGCCAAGAATGTTTCTGGGAGAGAGGCAGAACTGGCAGAGCTGACTGGCAAAGAAAAATTCTTTATTTTAAGCTCTTTAAATTCGATTTATTTTTCCACTTACCTCAAAAACATTCTGCAGTGCAGTAAATATCGTTCAGTTGAGTTTTTTTGTGTTAAATTGTCATGAAAATGTCGCTGGGACTGTGGTCAGCTCAAGAAATCCGTCTCCGACTCCTTGTTGACCAAAATTAATGACAACTGTCTGGCCCAGCTGACCCGCCCATACTACTCTCCTTTTGGCCCTGTCGCTGATGACTTATCACAGGGAACTATGTCTATTTCCTGCTATAATTCAAATTGCTTTTGGGGATGTCAACAGCAGCCGCCTCATTAATCATGCCTCCCGAGATAGTCTCACATTGCGTATGAGTAATGTGCTTGCCAGCCACCTTTTTACCAATGCTCACCAAAACTTGGCAACAACTTATCGCCTCATTTTATATCATCCCATTTTCAAGATGTTACTCAAACCCCTGCGGAAAGTGCATTGGGAAAGTTTGACATTTTTTTTTTTTTTTTCAAAATGCAATTTGCTGCTGCACTTGGCTGGATAAGTAGAGATGTTAGCGTGACTCACGTTTATATGGATGGCATCCCTCCGTTCCCTCAACTCTGTGACCTAAGTTAACCCAGGACTTAGCAGGTCCCGGGACTTGGTCAAAGTTTTGTGTTGCAGTTTGTCAACTCGTTTTTAATGCGCGATGTATTGAAAAAGTTTGATTAGGGAACAGCTGGCAGACTGAGGAGCTCTTTCCAAGTAACAAAACTCCACCTGAGTGCAATTTCCAACCAGAAAACTTGATAAAAAGGGAGCTTAGCGGCGAAAGGGTGACGGAAAGTGGTCGTAAGCATTGCACATACGCCATGTTGTCCCAATACAGTGACTTCGACCAACTGTCAATATTCTGACACAAATCCGACAAACAGACGACAAACACAAGTGGCCACCATTAAATTTTATGCGCAGGGATCAAACTAAGTTATTATATGAGAATACATAAATGTATATATATATATATTTTTTGGAGTATATAAATGGCTGGTGGGCTGAGCAAATATTTGAGAAAAACGCCGAGCGAGGACAATTTTTGCTTTCTCTGTGATTTTCTATCAATAAGCTGAAGGCATCCCGTCGGCTTTTGCATATGAGAAGGCTCAGTCTTTTCCCAGCTCGAAATATATAAATATAAATTCCTGCCATGCAAACAAATCCTTTTCGATAGATTGCTTTTGGCTCTCTGACTTTTTTTTTCGCCGCCGTAGCTTTTTATTATTGTGTGCCAACGCCAGGGATTTTTGTCTACTACGACAATTGGATTTTCGTGGAGTGAAGGATGAAGTCGGGTGGATATTTCAAGGCGAAACAAGTACGTGTCCCCATTGGAGGTGGTACTTGTCTGCTTATTGGCATTGGCACATCCAAAAAAAAAAAAAAATAAATAAAAAAATGATTCCGCTCGGGCCGTATCAATGACTTCTGAATACTCACTGTGGATTCCTGCTATTGTTCGGGACATTCTTGGCATCGAATATTGCAACTTTTCCTTTGAATATTTGCAGTGTCTTGTCTGCCAGAATTTGAATGCAGTCTGATATTTTAGCCAGGGTAGGGGAATAGTTAATATCCTGTGCAGATTGTTCATTCAGTCGGGAATCTCTTTTGTTGGGACTTCATTAATGCCAGAAATTTATGCGATCCTCTTTTGAGATACAGCCACATTCCGGTTGATGTAATGTTTGCCGCTTGCTGTGCCGGAAAATATATAACTACTCATCAAATTTTAGCATGCAAATATTTATATGAATATGCAGCTGGGCCTGGCAAATGCTTTATGGCTTATAAACATTTTGTTTGCCAATATTTTTTGTTGTTTATTTAACGTTGTTACGTTGTGCCTTGGCTTGTGCCGTAGTTGGTCTTGTTGTAATTTCGGTTTATTGTTTTCTATATATTTTTCTGCTTGAACGCACTAAAAGCCACTCCACTGCCAGTCAACCATTCAATCCACCTTCCTTTTCGGACGGGTTCCTCCCATATTTCCTCCTCGATGCCGGCATTTGTTTGCTTTATGTCTTTATTTTGTGCCCTGCCGGAGGAGCAAAGTATTATTATTTTTTGCCCTACTCTGCTAGCTGCCGTTCCTTGTTCCTTTTTTGTTTTTTTTTTCACTGAGTGATGGCTCTAGGTAATGCCAGGATACCAGAATGCAAGGCTGGAGGCATGGGGATTTCGGTGAGTGCTCTCTGAGCGGCTTTGCATATGGCCATGAGTGTGTGGACTATCTACTTGATATGTGCTCAGTGCTTTTGGGGAAAGTATTCGAGACTCGGAGATGTTTCAATTATTATTACCGTTTCTTTGTGCCTAAAAGCCAACGCACATCTTTAACTTCAGTTCTCAAGTGCTCGAGTTCTATATATAGCCAGAAAGTAAGCCATTAACTTTTCCCGTCAATCAATTGTCACTCCCAAAGGGAAAACCAGAAAAGGCTGGAAAAAAGGAAACATGAAAACAAAAGGCACGAGACCATGACAAGACATTTTACTTCCATGTGAATGAAATGAAATTAAGAGAAAAGGGGAAGTACGTATGCTTTCGACAGATGAAATTGTTGACTAAGGATTGCTCTAACAATTGGTTTTCTCGGGAAGTTAAGAATGTTCAAATACTATCAACATTATAATGTTTTTATCAGTTGGAAAATTACAAGAGATTTTTCATGGACTTATATCACAATCATATAATCTCAGACTTTACAGTTATCAAGATACTAAAAAAGCCCCTAGAAATCTCTTTACAAATGATAAGAAGTTAATATCTATCAAAAATTAAGTTAAAAGAGAATACTTTTTAATGGAGCTAAAATTAAATACTATCTTATCAATGGGATAGCATTAGAGACATCAAAATGAATTGCATAAAAAATACCATTTATCTTATCAATAAATTCCAGGAATGACTTTTCAAATAGAAATAATAATAAATACCTTTTTGTGCCTATTTTTTAGTTATGAAATCAATACAAGTTTATAGAAAGTTATATAAAATTTAATACTAAAGAGGAATACTTTTCAGCTGATCAAAGGAGCTTACTTACCCCGGAACAAGTATTGCCACTCCATCAGGAGTCAAGGCAGAGGCGAACCGGCCAAAAACTCTTTGTCTTCGGCTCTAAAACAAAAAACCAGCGAACTTTGCCGTCAAGTCATTGTGGTGGATGCTGAGTGAACTTGTTTTGGGCGTTGGTGGTTCAAGTGGAGCCACCAGAAGAGCCACACCAAGACCCAAGTGTTGTTTGGATTTCATTATACAATTATCTTGTTACCAGAAATAATGGTGTCGAGCCGGGCAACATGCCAAAAGCATTCAATGAGCCCGATGCGCCTTCCACTTACCCCACACAGCCCTCTTGGTGGGTGGTTGGACTGTCAGTCAGTCAGTCAGTCAGCTATCCCAAGCCAAACCAAACCCAGACCCAGCCCAATCTCTACCAGATCCACACACACACACCCACCATATGTGGGGAAGCCGGATGCTGAGCGCGTTAGGAAAAGCAGGAAGTCATTAGCCAAAAAAACTCTGGTGATGGCGGTTCCAACTGGGGTTGCTTAAGCGGGGAGGAAAGAGCCAGTAATGCGATAAATAAATGAAAATGTTTGAGTTAAATGAATTAAGTGTGCGATACTCTCCCAGTATGTGTATGCGAGTGTGTGTGTGTGTTTGCTTGTTGGTTTTAGTATGGGGCTTTTTTGTTAGAAACACTTTCTGTGTTGGCCTGTCATCGCAAGTGACTTGGGGTTGTTATAGTAATTGTTGGGCGCTTAATTAGCCGAACATCATTCAAAGTGTCACAGGCACACGGCAAAACTAAGGGGTTAAGAAAATGCCAGTCAAAGTTTGTCGTAAGTTAAATTATTTCTTAAACTAAACAATTAAGGTCATAGCAGTCATGTTCCGTGATGAGCAAGAAACTCTAAGAAAATCAACCTAATAATCAAAATGTTCTTTAATAATAACCACAAATATAATTAAGGTCAATTACCTTGTTGATTTGGTAAAGCAAAAATCTTGATTAAACTTAAAAGTGGTTAAAATTTATTTGGTCAGACTGACCTAAGGGGTTAAGTTAAAGTCCTGTTCTTAATTAACTTGTCTCTCAGATTGCTGGTCATGCTGAGTAAACCACATTATCATAAACATTATTATGGCTAAAACTATTTGGAAGTCAGGCTACATTTTGGCCATGTGGTGACCCCGAAATGCTGAGCTTGCGAATTGGTAAGCGTCTGCGATTCCTTTTTTCGATTTTTTCGGTTGGCTAATTCCGAGTCGACTTAATTAATTATGTAGCCGAATCATGGCCCCACCAAAAATCGTTAATTAAGTTGATTGCTTTGAATTGGCTGGCATTTATTAGCCAGGATTGCGTTGTTGACTCGCCAGTCGAAAAGTCCCATCGCCCCCACTCATCTGTTTGGCCATAATTGATGAGCTGACAGTTCGTTAATTGATTTTACTCTGTGATTAGAGCCACATACGATCCGAGAATTGATTTTATTAGCTGCCAAATGAAACGGAGCTAAATATTTAATTGCTGCGAACTGGGTCAGAGGCTAAGGGCCTTGGCCCAAAGGTGCCAGGACATAAATAAGTAAATTAAAGTCAATGCAAATTCCGGCTACTGGATTTTCCTCTGTCTATGTCTGTGTCCGCAGGCTGGCAAAATATTTTGGCAAATAAAGTGAATCAAACAAAAACCACTTGACCAAGTGACTGTCATTGGGAAACCAACGAAATGCCCCCAAAAACGAAGTTCACTTCAATCAGCTGGGAAATGAAGTTTGTGGCCAAGAAAGAGGCGAACTTTTGGTAGTTCAATCAGAGCATTGCATTGCAACTGGGCAAAGTGGATTTTAAATAAAAAACTTTGCCCATAAACACTAGCCGTCCGTTTTCCGGGTTGACATTTTAACTAACTTTGCCTACACACTCACATTCCCCCCCATACACACAGCCATACCCATAGTGACAACTGTAGTAACTTGAATGTTTTTTTTCAGTTATTTTTTGGAGGGGTTATGTATGATATTTTGTCATATCTAAACCACAGAATACGAGTGCAGGAAACTTTTTGTGCTGTCATAAATTTCCGCAATGCAAACATTTATCAGCACGACTGGACCCCTTAACCCGCTGGTGGGCGTTGGGTGTTCACCATTCCCGCATCCATTTTCAAGCTCAGCTGCTGCTATTTTCCCTGACTGACTTTGTTATGTCTCTGGATTTGGTTTTTGGTTCCTGTTTCTGTCTGCGTCTCTGCTTTTTGTCGTTTGGCTCGTGTTGAGTAAATGCTTTTTATGCGGAACCACAAGACCATCTGGTCCGGACTGCTTTTCAGGCACCACCTGGCATCCTTCTACGTATGAGGTCCTTCTACACTGTAAGAAAAGTGCCTGCCTAGAGCCTCAGAGCAATAATAAGTGTTGCATATAAAGAAACAACTTTCGTCATTTATTTAAATGCCTCGTAATAATTCAAATGTTGACATATTGTCTGGGCTTTTTTTTTTAACTTTCACTTTTGCGAAACTTTTCCTCATTTGTTTTTTTGTTTTTGTTTATTTTCCAGCTGCCTTCGAAGTTTTCAGCTTTTATTGTGTCGCTTGGCAGTTTAATGAATTTTAATGAGCAGGTAACAGCTTGGCCAAGACTCTGTTCAGCTGTCATTCTTAATTATCATTTTTATGACCTATTTGTAATAATTTAATATTTTACTTCATAGTTCTCGTTCATAGTTCAGCTCTGGGTCAATAAATATTAAAAATTCCCCTTGAAATCATAAATCAATAAAGTTTTTTTAAACGATTTTTATATTTTTGCGTTGTTAAAGTTCCTGACTGTTCCCTTAGTAGGAGATGCCAGTGTTGGTCTTGATCCAATCCAAGTAGCTGGTCAAACGGGTGAAGGCAGCGGGATAGCCCTTCTCGCAACCGGCAGCGGCACCGAAGGAGGTCAGACCGATCTGGACCTTCTTGGCCTCGAGCACCAAAGGACCGCCGGAGTCACCGTTGCAGGTGGACTGACCGTTGGGGGTCTGGACACAGATCTGGCCACTGGTCACAATCGAGGTTCCGTAGGTGCTAGCGCACACGGCATTGGTGATGACAGTCAAGTCGACGTACTGCAGGTTGGTGGCCACAGAGGAGGAAGAGTCGCTAGTACGACCCCATCCGGAGGCGACAGCGGTCTCACCAACATAGGTCGAGTAGGAGCTGGCAATAGCTGGGAGGGCGATGGCAGAGATCCTGCTGCTAGAGCTGACGGCAGGGATCTTGATCAGGGAGATGTCGTTGCGCAGGTTGGAGCTGTTCCAGTCGGCGTGGATGATGATGTCGGAGCTGGAGACGGTGTGGGTAATCTCGGCGGAGGTACGCACGGTAGCACCCAGGTAGACGGTCACGGACTGAACTCTGTGATTGAGGCGAAATGGTTAGAAGTGGATTTATCACTTTCATGAAAGGATACTTACCCATCGGTACAGTGAGCAGCGGTCAAAACCCATTGGCTTCCGATCAGAGAGCCACCGCACCAGGCGCTGGAAAGAGCACTCAGCCTAAGGGAAAGTCCAACCTGGTAGGGGAACTGTCCGACAGCAGCGGTTTTTCCTCCGGTGATGCGACCCTCGATGTCGCCAACCACAGGCATCTCACGGCTACGGTGCTGCAGCTCCGCTTCCGGGAAAGCGGAGGCGGCCACGGCCAGGGCAAGGATGATCAGGAACTTCATCTTGGGTATTGTTGCTTGTTCAGTTAAAGGAACTCAACTGTTTGGACAAGACCCAGCAGGGGTCTTATATAGTGCCAAAATGTGTTGCATTTCACAAATATAGCTGTCCTGATTAGATAGGACCACTAAAGTTAGTTCGAACTGCCTTATCTGCAGAGATTTTGGCCGGAAGATATGGATGAATGTACTTCAGACACACGGCCGCCAAAATTACTTTCCCAATCCAAGGGTATTAATCTCGATACGGATCTAATCGGTACACTGGGCCTCAGGTGGATTTCTAGATCTTACCTAGGCGATACCAGAAGCCGAGCATGAGGTTGCTAATTAATTTGATTAGTTTTTTATATATATAAAAGATAAATATATATGTTTATAAAATTGGCAAAGGTGCGGCATGCTCTCTGGCGCGTGACGCGTGCTGATGGCGTATCTAACACCTATAGTATCTTATAGGTAGTAGTTGGGTACTATCTTATCGTCTGTCTATAGGGAAAGAAACTGTAAGCTCATAGTTAAGATGGTTTGACGGTTTGTTTACCTTCGTTAAAGGTCAAGGAGTAGGACGTTTGTTGGTCAAGACCGGCTGACAGTTTAATTTTAGCCGAGGTTTATTATGCTCCCTAAATTATTTCGCTGTCAAATATTTGCGCATTGAGAGTCTCATTTCGATTTACGATTATAAACAAACAAAGTCCAGTTGTTTTCGCAACCGCAGCCGTTCTTTATCATCATCGTATGCCGCGTGATTTGATGACGCGTTGGACTGACCACATCGCTGCGGTTAATGGCCAATTCAGATGGCCAATTAAAGGCGATTAGCTGGAAAAGTGGGAAGGGGAGTTGTAACCAATACAACACCATCGAAAACGGACACTCAACCTAAAGAAGATTTCAATTTCATTGGCGAATTTATCAGCAATTTCCATGGTAAGGTTTCTTTTCTCTTTGTGCTTTTATTGAGCTCCCCAAATTGACTTGGTCTGTCGTAATGCTGAAATGTTTACTGTTATTTATCGGCAACAATTTCCATTCAAGGGAAAACAACCACCCATAAAATGGACCATTTTCACCTTCCCTTCTCGACAGGAACGAACCTGTCTCGGTTTCATTGCTTTAATTGGTTTTATTGTCTGGCCCGACTATATTGTTTAGCAATTAATGGGCTGCAATTAGGCGTTAATTGCATTTAGTTGGTCATTGCCGTTTGCTGTCGGATCCATGGCAAATATGCGGTTATCCTGGCGTAGACAGTGGGTCCCCCCGCCTCGCATCCCTCGGCACTGCCAAACGAGGTGACCCCAATCAGGTAGCTGACATTGCGCCAATGGTACACCAACGGTCCACCGGAGTCGCCATTGCAGGCACCTCGTCTATTACTGCCATCGGTGCTCAGGTGACGTCGTTGGCTAACCAATCCTGGCAGGAAATAGCAGATGCATCGTTCCTGATCAATTATCTCCACATCCAAATACTGAAGAAGACGAGTCTCACTGTTGGTAGAATCTCCTAGACTACCCCAACCCGAAAGGGTCACCACTTGCCCTTCCAAAAACTTTTGATGCATAAATTCTCCTGCCAGCTCGATTGGTTGAACTCGATCTGAGGCTACGATTTTTCTTGGCAGTCGGATCAAAGCCAAGTCATTGTATCCCCCAAAGCCCAAGTAACCTGGATGGACTAAGAAATCTCTGTGTGTAACCATAAACGCTTCAGCAGAGTCACCTTCATCGGCGAATCTTGTGGCTCCTAAGTAAATCCTTCCACCAATGGCATCACTTAGACAATGGGCAGCTGTCAAAACAAATTGACTGGTGATTAGGGAACCACCGCACTTTATCAGATCCCCTCCACTCTGTTGAATTACAAGACCCACTTGATAGGGAAACGTGCCAGGTGTTGCCAGTTCCCCGCCAGCTATTCGAGTGTTTACAGGGAAGGTCTGATTCTCCTCCGCCTCGAATTTCTCGCATCGAAGACGCCAGTTTTCATAGCCCAGCTGCCAACGTCTCTCCATGATTTCTTCATCATCAGTTGAAGATTCTTCTGGGGAATCTTTAAAAGTATCAATCCAACTTGGACTTGATAAAACTATCAATGGGAGTAATAGATAACAAAGCGCTGCGATTGCTGGACGTTGCATCATCTTATGAACAAAAGATATAGAAAATAATATGGAGAATACCCAGTTATTAAACTCCTTATCTTACCCTTAACTCTATTATATATATTTATAAACATGACCTATGAGGGGGTACACTTTTCATTATCAAAAGTTTATTATGTTGAATGAAATCTATGAATGAAATCGTGTTGTTCAGTTTACCAGCGATATATAATCAGATATCTGACGTTGCTTGTAATGAGTAAGTTTAATTTTCAGGTCTGAGTGGACTCTTCATGTGAAGTACTGGGCTTGTTGTTGTTTTAGCTGATGTTTTTATAGCCAACATTTGCGTCAACGTCTTGGTTTCGGCACGTGGCCGCTTCGTCTGTTAATTGAATTTGCTTGGGCCAATGGCAATGATGCCTTGAGAGGGACGAGAAGAGCAGCAGATGTTTGGCATTCAATTCCTCAAGCTCCCGTGTAATTGCCGCACGTTTTGGCGATTATGTTGCTTAGGCTAGGCCTTCGACTCCCCTTTGGCATACTGCAGTTCCCTTAATTGCTTTCCAGCCATTCATTTTCCCGGCCTTTCAATTGCATGATAGCCCACCTTAGCCCTCAACACTGGCCATAATGTCTGGGTCGGGGTCTCTGAATTTATTGACTACCGTTTTATCAGCGCCTAGTTTATTATTTGTTTAATTTACTGCACGGCTTCACTTGCATTTCGACATATGAAAAGGCCATTGATAATGTTCCGCTAGTTTAATAGCTTTAAGGTATTACAAACCAAGGCCCAATATCCGTCATTTAGTTTAATAATGATCGTAAATTACGTATTTAGGTGAGATAAGTAATAAAGGTATTTGTTTAATATATAAGAAGTCAAATATTTGCGAAACTAGTACTTAAAGAAAGCGTCATCGATTTTTTATAGCCTAATGGAAAATATGAATAACAATTTAGTTTGTTATCTTTTGGTGTGGGAAGCAGTTTTTGATTGGTTAATTATTTATAAAAAAAGTAATAATCATAAATATTGTTGTTCTTTAAATGTGCTTTTTTTATTTTTTTAAATGGAAAATTTCTCTAGTACGAAATTCCAGAGTTGATCTTGATCCAGTCCAAGTAGTAAGTTACCCTGGTGAAGGCAGCTGGGTAGCCAGCCTGGCAACCACTGGCGGATCCAAAGGAGGTGATACCAATGAGTTTTTCATTCAGAGCAAGTGGGCCACCAGAATCACCCTGGCAGGTGGAGGTTCCCTGGGGAGTGGCAACGCAAATATTCCTGCCTGTAACAAGTAGACTTCCGAAAGTCTGTTGGCACACTGCGTTGGTGATAACAGTCAGGTCGGTGTACTGGAGGTGACTAGCGACTGCGGTAGCGGTATCGGAGGTCAGACCCCATCCGGAAGCAACGGCGGTCTCTCCAGCATAGGTAGAGTAGCTGCTGGCGACGGCGGGCAGGGCAATCTTGTTAACGGCAGACGAGAAGGTTACAGATGGAGTCTTGATCAGGGAGATATCGTTGCGAATAAGCGTAGATGAGTAGCTTTCGTGCTGGATAAAGTCCTTGCTGCTGACGGTTTCGGTGAACTTAGGGCTGGTACGGATGGTAGCTCCAAAGTAGATGGTCACGGCGGAGGCACTGCATTGGAAATATATACATTAGCCAGGATCCTATTGAGGATTTAAGGGCCACTTACCCATCGGTACAGTGAGCAGCAGTCACCACCCAGGTGTTGCCGATGACCGAGCCACCGCACCACCAGCTGCCAGCAGAGCTAGAGAAACTGAGTCCAACCTGATAGGGGAACTGTTCAGCCACGGCGTCCTTGCCGTTGGTGATACGACCACTAATCGATGGGGTTCTGTCACGGGGATGGACAGGAGCGCTCTTGGGCAGGAGCCCAGCGGAGGCCGAGGCGAGGGCCAGAACCAAAACTACGAAAACTTTCATGCTGATAGGTGCTCAAGCAATGAGTGATTTTCCTCTTCGAATGGTGCCTCTTTTATACCCAACCTATGGAGTCTTATCTACATAGATGGCGGCTAGTCTACTTAAACTTTCTGATTATATTTTGCAAATCAGTTTTCTCTAATATATTTCTAGACTGATAAGATACTTATGTTACTTATGTGTTTATCAAAAATTAATATAATTATATTTTATATGAATGAAATGCTTTTAGCTTAAACTTGCTAAAATACACAGAATGGAAGTGCGTGCCACTATTTCTTTATCTTTGCCTACTTTTTACATCCTTATCTTTATACTAACGCCTAATCTAAAAGCAAACTATTGGTAAGGCTAATTTATTATATTATTATTGGTAAAATGAGAACTTGGTTGCTTCTATTACATATTTTAGACACATCATTTTCCTCTAATCCTTACTAAGCTCCTTGGTTTTTTCTAAGATTTACAATTCTTGTGTCTCTTTGTTAATAAGAAGAGGGTATATAATGACCATTATTACAAGGTAATGTTTACTCATTAAAGTGCAATCGATCAGGATGAAGGTCTTTGTAGTCTTGGTCTTGGTAATAGCCTCAGTTTCCGCTGAGATCCTGTCTCAGGAGACTGCAGTACATCCTCGTGACAGCAATGGTACATCCTCGTCCATAGAGGGTCGCATCACCAATGGAAATATGGCAACTGCCAACCAGTTTCCCTACCAGGTGGGACTCAGTTTTAAGGGCTCTGGTGCCAGTTGGTGGTGCGGAGGTTCAATCATTTCTAATACATGGATTCTAACTGCTGCTCATTGTACCAGAGGGTAAGTTAATATTTCAGAAATACTCTTTTTATATGAACTAAATATTTTATGTTAATAGTGCTTCTAAGGTGACCATTTACTATGGCTCCACCGTTCGTACCAGTGCCAAACTCAAACAGAAAGTATCCAGCTCTAAGTTTGTGCAGCATGCCAGCTACAGTGCCGCCACTTTGAGCAACGACATCTCCCTGATCCAGACCAAATCCGTAACATTTTCCTCTTCCATAAATAAGATCGCTTTGCCCGCCATTGCCAGCAGTTACTCCTCTTATGCGGGGCAGACTGCCATTGTATCCGGATGGGGAAAAACTTCAGATACAGCCAGTTCCGTTACCTCCAATCTGCAATATGCAGAGCTCAATGTCATCACCAATGCTGTGTGCCAGCAGACGTTTGGTTCCTCGGTGGTCACAAGTGGAGTGATCTGCGTGGCTTCTACCAACAAGAAATCGACCTGCCAAGGCGATTCTGGAGGTCCCTTAGCTCTGAATGGAAAGCTAATTGGTGTAACATCCTTTGTGTCCGCATATGGATGTGAAAGAAACTCTCCAGCTGGCTTCACTCGCGTCACCAGTTACCTGGATTGGATTAAGACCAAGTCCGGAGTTTTCTATTAGACGATATGGATCGTTTAAAGTAAATTAATACCAGAAAACCAAAACCATTTTGGAATGTGCTTGTTTTATTTTTGAAAAGGTTTCAGAACAGGTCAACTGGTTCTCTAAGCAGAAACTCCAGAGTTGTCCTTGATCCAGTCCAAGTAGCTGGTCACGCGGGTAAAGGCAGCTGGCTCGCCAACCTCACAGCCATCGGGCGATCCAAAGGAGGTGATACCAATGAGGGTACCGTCCAGAGCAAGTGGGCCACCAGAATCACCCTGGCAGGTTGATGTTCCCTTGGGAGTGGCAACACAAATGACCCTGCTGGTGACAATCAGGCTACTGAAGGCCTTTTGGCACACAGAGTTCTCAATAACAGTCAGATCAGTGTACTGTAGATCCTTGGCTACAGCGGAGGCGGTGTCAGAGGTGAGGCCCCATCCGGAGGCAACGGCGGTCTGTCCAACATAGGTGGAGTATCTGCTGGCTATGGCGGGCAGGGCGATCTTGTTAACAGAAGCCGAGAAGGCCACGGAGGGGGTCTTGATCAGAGAGATATCGTTGCGCACAGTCAGGGACAAATAGTTGGCATGCTGGATCCAGTTGGAGCTGGACACAGTATGGGTGAACTGGGGGCTAGTACGGACAGTCGCTCCGTAGTAGATGGTTACGGAGGAGGCACTGAAAAATGAAGATGTTATTATCCAGGACTTTGCAGGAGATGGTCAAGTTAACTTACCCGCTGGTGCAGTGGGCAGCGGTTAGCACCCAGGAGTTGTCGATGATAGAACCACCGCACCACCAGCTGCCTTGCGATCCGATGAAGCTAAGTCCCACCTGGTAGGGGAACTGATCAGCCACCGCATTCTTTCCATTGGTAATGCGACCATTAATCGAAGGAGTAGTGATCCTATCACGAGGATGCACTGGAGGTATCTGGGGCAGGAGCCCAGCGGAAGCGGAGGCAATGGCCAGAACCAAGACTACAAAGACCTTCATATTGATGGTTGATCGTACAATGAATGATTTTCCTTACCAACCAAGGCTGTTATATACCTGTTCTAAAGGGTCTTATCAACAAGATTGTAGGGCAAATCCCAGTATTTCTAAAAAATTCCCCGATTCTTGTACGGGAAAATCCACATCACCTTACTGTGACTAGATAGTCCATAAACAATAGGCGTGTATGTTAAATTTAAAACATTACATTAGGATAATCAATTTATTATTTTACAAATTATTCCATATTCTCTTACATTTAATTTATTTTGTTTGATTATTCTCTTACTAAAGTTTTGTTAAATTAATTTCACAACTTACAAAATATAAGAGTGGGACTTTCCACACCCATCAGCTAATATTGATAAGAACGAATATTTATCTCTGGTCAAGTGATAAGTATCACTCAATGACTTTTTAGTTTTGTCTAATAGACATTGTCTACGTTGCAGCTTGAGCTACGTTGCATCTCCTTGACGTTGTTGCAGTACATATGACCGTTTGCAACAGTCGAAAATTGAATTAGTACGTATCCATATCCAATTTTAGCACCATAACAGCTCGACTGCCTTGGACAACGATATATCCTGTTTCAGGCTTTCATTAATAGGGTTAATTGGCCAGCCATTGCTAGTAGCAGTTGCAACTTTCGCCAATAAGAAAAAACCCTTGGATAATAACACTTCTGCAACCAAGAACTTTCAAGGTATTGCCATTCAGTTTGCAGCAGTCTGCATTTCCCAAGTTAATTTTATATCTACCAGCATTCTGTTCGTCCTTAGGTTTGTAAAGTAAAGTGATTTCTTCAGGAACTTTTACAAAAGGATCCAGCTAGTTTCATCTGTTTGACAAATTTTTAAGGAATAGGGTGGCATCTGTATTTAAAGTAATGTTTAGAAACATGGGTGTGCCCAGATGCGTGGTCAAAAATAATACCAGCGCGGGGAAATGAGTAGTTTTAGTCGAAGGAATTGCAAACAAAGCACCGCGCGAATCAATAAATATAAAATATATAATAGGTTATTGTAATAAAATAACAAAAGAGTGACTTATTAAACTAGTAAAACCAATCACACAATATTTAAACAAAATGAATATCGATTTCAAAGGAATTATATTTTTATTATGTTCCAAAGTTTGCAATGGCAGTTGGCTAGTAAAATATATATTGGTCAAATAAGTAAACTTACTGTAAATAAGGAAATGAAGAAATTGTATTATTTTTGAAATGCTCTTTATTTAATAAACAGAATTATACATTTTTTCAATCAACTTTTTTTAGAAGGAAACACCGGAGTTGGTCTTGATCCAGTCCAAGTAGCTGGTGACACGAGTGAATCCAGCCGGAGCTCCGACCTCGCAACCATCGATGGATCCGAAAGAGGTAACACCGATCAGAACATTGTTCAAAGCCAATGGACCGCCGGAATCACCACTGCAGATAGAGGTGCGGTTGACACCGTCCACGCAAATGACTCGGCTAGTGACCACCGCGCTGCCGTAAGCGGCCTGGCACACGGAATTGGTGATAACAGTAAGATCAGCGTACTGCAGATCCTTTGCAACAGAAGAAGAGGTATCAGAGGTAAGGCCCCATCCGGAGGCGACCGCGACTTGTCCGGCATAAGTGGAGTAGCTGCTGGCGATAGCCGGAATTGCAATCTTGTTGATGGATGAAGTAAAGGTCACGGATGGGGTCTTGATCAGGGATATGTCGTTGCGAAGAGTAGCCGACACATAGCTGGCATGCTGGATCCAGTTGGAGCTGGACACGGTTTGGGTTAGCTTCGGGCTTGTACGGACAGTAGCTCCATAGTAGATCGTCACGGAGGAGGCCCTAAATAGGATATATTTCCATTAACCCAAGATCTTTTGAGAAAAGTTAAGGCATCTTACCCGCTGGTGCAGTGGGCCGCAGTCAGCACCCAGGAATTATCGATGATGGAACCACCGCACCACCAGCTGCCTCCCGATCCTCTGAAGCTGAGTCCCACCTGGTAGGGGAACTGATCCTCCACCGCGTTCTTGCCATTGGTAATACGACCAGTAATAGAAGGGGTCGAGATCCTGTTACGGGGAGGCACAGGCACAACTTGAGGCACGAGTCCAGCGGACACGGAGGCAAAAGCCAGAGCCAAGACTACGAGAACCTTCATGCTGATCAATAAGCTTTCACTGAATACTTTTCTCCATGAAATCGGGGTATTTTATACCCGTCTTAAGGGTCTTATCTTCATTAGTTGGGAAAAGCCTTTAACAGATTAGTGAAATTGTAAATTTTGTCATAGACCAAATATTGAGGTAAGGGAAAATCCCTATCAGCCAAATCGCTCCGTTGATCAAATACCAGTTAAACTTTGTCTTTGAGAACATGAATAGATATATTACAAGTTCATATAAATTTTATAATTCCATTTCCCTATAAAATTAAATTAATTTCTATAAAAAATTTGCAATTGTAAATGGGTCACGAATGCTAAAAAATTAAACCATGACGAGATTTAGTCTTATGTATAATAAATTTGATAAGTCTTATTTTTCAATAATATGTTATATAAATGATGAAAATACTTGCTGGAAGTGCACTAAAATATTTACCAAATCATATTTATACCAAGTTAATGGAAGGAACTTTGCAGAACCCGAATGGATTATGACCACAATTTAAAATGGTAGCAATCGTTTTGGGATTCGCCTTTGTCTTGATGATGATAAGGGTTTTATATAAAAAGCTGAATTAACGAAGCTAAGGCATTCATTAAACGTACAACGATCAACATGAAGGTCTTCGTAGTTTTGGTTCTGGCCATTGCATCCGCCTCAGCTGGTCTCCTACCCCAGGCTGTGCCAGTGCACCCTCGAGACTCGACCGCAAAGCCATCCATCAATGGTCGTATTACCAATGGAAAGAATGCGGTGGCTGATCAGTTCCCCTACCAGGTGGGACTTAGCTTTCTGGGTTTGAAGGGCAGCTGGTGGTGTGGTGGCTCCATCATCGACAACTCCTGGGTGCTAACGGCTGCCCACTGCACCAGCGGGTAAGTTTTACTTCTTATAATTTAAACTATTCGATTTAGAATTTTCTGTTTTCAGGGCTTCCTATGTAACCATCTACTACGGAGCGACTGTCCGTACTAGCCCCCAATACACCCAAACCGTGTCCAGCTCCAACTGGATCCAGCATGAGAACTACGTGTCACTGACTGTTCGCAACGACATCTCCCTGATTAAGACCCCTTCCGTAACCTTCTCGGCTTCCGTTAACAAGATCGCCCTGCCCGCCATAGCCAGCAGATACTCCACCTATGTTGGACAGACCGCCGTTGCCTCCGGATGGGGCCTCACCTCTGACACCGCCTCCGCTGTAGCCAAGGATCTGCAGTACACTGATCTGACTGTTATTGAGAACTCTGTGTGCCAAAAGACCTTTGGAAGCTTGGTGGTCACCAGCAGGGTGATTTGTGTTGCCACTCCCAAGGGAACATCAACCTGCCAGGGTGATTCTGGTGGCCCACTTGCTCTGGACAGTACCCTCATTGGTATCACCTCCTTTGGATCGCCCGATGGCTGTGAGGTTGGCGCGCCCGCTGCCTTCACTAGGGTGACCAGCTACTTGGACTGGATCAAGACTAACTCTGGCATCTCTGCTTAGGAAGGGTCTTACAAAATGTTCTTGTCCTTGAAAAATAAACTGCATACTTAAAATGATTTGGTGCTTTAACTGTTGTTAGATTAAAGTTTTTAGCCAAATGTTTTTTCTAATCAAGTGACTAACCTACAAAAAGTTAAAGAACGCTGTTACTTATATGTATACATATAAAGACATTTCTATCAATTGTTTATCGGTCATAAAAATCCTAAATTTACTTCGGTTATTTTCCTGAAATAGTTTTAGATTAGGAATCCGGAACTTGTTGACTTGTATTGTAGAAACCTACCAGTCAGTATCTATAAAAATCTGGTTTTGTTATCAAAATTTGAGTTAACACGAAAATTTTATTAAGAGGGTAAAACCCGAACTTACTGCAATCTTATCATTCTTAAATACAAAACGATTTCTTTTGGGAATTTCCTTTTGGATTTGGATTTATGATTTTATGTAATAATTATAACGCGTTAAGTGCAATTATACACCTTGAGCTATAAGTAATTTAATGTCAAATGATAAACCTCCTCCTCCGTTTGAATCCATTTATGATTGATAAAGCTATAGAAATTTATTATGTAGGTAACACTTTTGTTTTAAATTGTTTTACAAACTTCTAACTGCTGAAGCAGTTAGCCTGAACTGATATTTTTGTTGGCTTCTCGATTTGCTGCAGGAAATGCCAGCCAAGTACTTTAGTATTGTTTGAGTTGGATTCCAAATGGCGGCCGCACCATCGAACTTTTGTTTGCTTTTTGTTCAATTTTTATTAGATACCATTTGTTTGCGTGCCATGGCTGTTTTGCTACTCGAGCCGAACCTTCGAGGTTCGAGCTCTGTTTTTATGTTTATGCGGAAATCTGCAGAAATTGTGTCAATATCAATAAAATTAGATTAGTATCGACGAGGACGATGAGAACGACGACAACGACAAACAAGCAACCGAAGTGTGGCAGGCAACAAATAAAGTCCCATCCTCTTGCCTCCGCTTCCGTTCCTAAGCCAATTTCATGTGTTGTGGCCTGCTTCCGTTTTCAGGCTCACTTCCGGTGGCTGGATGTGGGTGGATTGTGTGTGGGTGTGTGTATGTGACAACAGTTTAAATGCCTTGAAATTGTTGCAATTTTGATTCATCCCAATTGGGTAAAGTTTTCGATGGGGCCAAAAGCATAGGGCCCCACTTAATCTCAGTTAATTTTCTTAATGGAAAAGTTTTTCTCAGTTTCTTTCATTCATTTTCTCCCTCTTGACTAGGCTCAAAAATTGCTTTTCACTTAATTCGCCTTCGGGCGGAAAGGGGATTGCTGAATTTTTATGCAGCAACCCAATTTTCATAATGCGCAAATTAGAAAAGTTTTTCGCTTGAAGTTGGCCCAGAGAATTTCTCCCATTGAATTTCCAGTCGTCTTAAAGCTATGCTTGTCCCCTATTGATTTCGCATTCAAAACATTTACGTGGCATTATCGCAGGGCTTTTCATTTTCCCCGCTACCCCCCCTCCCCAACAATAAACAACATGAACAATTGTGTCTCCATTTCTCATCTGGTGGCGTAATCTTTTATATAAACAGAGCCGCGGCGCTCCAACACTTTCCACTCGATGTCCAACTAAGAAAAACATTTGCACAAGGAGGACAGGGAACACCACGGCGAGGAGCGGGCATAAAGCCCGGAAAACTCAGACGGAAAGGGAAGGAGGTCTTCACTCCACGCCGACTGAATCACGTGACGAATGATTGAGTGCACTTCTGTGTGCGCTTTTTCACTTAAAATGTGCGATTTCAATCACTAAAAGCAAAGGTACACATCGGAAAATCGAATCAGCCATGGCTGATGGAGTTTCTGGAGTGGTTACCGCACTGGTTACTCGCTGCCTTTTTTTGGTTTCTTGTCTTGCCAGTCGAAGGACCATTAACCGCAAGGTGGGCAAAAACAAAAGACATTCGCAGTGCATTCAAAAGCGGAAGCGGAAGTTGGCAATAAAAACGCTGAAACAAGTTATGTGCAAAATGTCCGGGACACGTGATGGACTTTTCATACCAAAAGAAAAAAAGGAAGCAAAAACTAGGGAAGGGAAGTAGGGAATTCCTGGTGAGTTGGGGACTTGTGCTAAACATTCCGCACATCAAAAACGACGCGCCACTTAACAAATCCCAAGTTGTCGTTGCGTGCCACGTGACTGGCATACAAAGCGGCCAAAAGGACTCTGGGAGGACCCGAAAACAATAGCTCTGCTTTGGTCCGACGGAATGTTTTGGCCCTTTTGGTTACTTTATGGCCAGCCCGGCAAAACGCTTTCACGCACGCCCGACCCTGCCGCTGTTACTGCCACGCCCCTCTTGTCCAGCTGGCGACCTGCCGCGCTTAATTTCCGCTTGTAATGGACGCACGATAAATCCTGGCAAGCGTTTCCGAATCTCCAGGACTTTTCCTTACGCGGCACGCAATCGAAATATATATATTTTTTGGATTTTTCCTTCCTGGCCTGCTTGTTGCACTTGCCAAGAAGCTTTCTATTAAATTTGTGGTCTTTAAGTTTGGGAATTCCACATTTTCAATCAATATTGAGCCTGTTGAAAGTTATTAAACTTTAAATTTCCTCATGAATTTACTTTGACTTTCATGTCTTAGCTTGCAACTTTCTCCGGTCTCTCTCTCCCATTCCGACCTTTGTAACCCACCAATCTCATCCCATTTTCCGGCCATCATTTCCGAATCGAAAATCCTTTTAACTTGCAACCGCAATGTGCCAATTGCCAGGGCCATTTTTATTGTCGCCCATCGTTAGTCAAAGGCTAAAGTCGGTAACAACTATTGCCTGTCTCTGTCTGGTTGGTAGGTGCCCGCCCATTCTGCCGTTGAATTTTCACCTGAGTTAGCCCACCTGTGCGTGTCGCCTAAGCCGGCGATAAGGCGAGCACATTTGGAAGGACAAACGAACCCCTTCGATCCGGGAATATCCCGCTTTTAGCTACGTGCCTTTCTTTGTGGCTGCGATAAATTGCTATTGGTTTGCAGTTGGGCCAAAAGGTAAAGCTGCTAATTTATTAGCCAAAGCGACAAACAAAGCATAAATAAGCATGGGGTTGGGGGTTGAAATATCTGTAGTCTGTAGTTACCATCCGTCTGACCTTAAACATTCGATTCGCTTTTGGCCATTTCGACTTTAATGTGTGTGAAAGTGGCATATAAATTTCAATGGGGCGTAAGAATCTGCTAAGCTTTTGGCTTTGCAGCCATCTGACACGCCCACTCTTGGCACTGGGCGTATCATATGTGTGTGTGTGTGTGTGCTTGGCTGTGCCTGTGTGAGCCAAACAATGGGAAAGCGACAACGACAACGCATATTCAATAATGTCGCTTTCAACTTTTATGCTTGCAAAATGCAAAAATCTGCAGTCAGGGGAATGGCAAAGGGGGGCTCAAAGGGGGCACAGATAGTAAGTTGGCTAAACACATTCATGCATTTTACAATGTTGCCAAAGCCCGTCGGACTAAAGTTCTTGGCTGTGAACAATAGAAAAACGAATTAAACAAAAAAGCCAGGCCAGCGGCAGAATTCACATAAGTAGATGTTTCTTTGGGCACTTAAAGAAATTTATTGGGAATATGAAAATATTAGTAAATAAGCTGATTATTATATTAATGATTAAAAAATTTTAATAATAAAGAGTTTATATTTTAACTTTCAGCTGATAGATTGCTGATTCCTATAACGAAAAATATTAAAATAAATTCCCTAAAATTCCGTTTAATTCTTTTTAAGAAATGGTAACATATTTAAAGCTAAACTTTTTCCCAGTGCACCACACCGTTTGTGAATGTATGTGTGTGTGCTACAACAATAAGCATAAAGGCAGCAGCTGCAACAATGGCGAACAGCAAAAATGAATGCGAGTGCGAATCCAAGAGAAAGCTTGCCAGGCACACACCAAAGCCTTCTACTGTTGCTTTTACTGGCTTTTGTTTGGCCCGCCACCTCCGACCTGCCAAGCCTCCATTTTCTTTCCACCCCCCCTTTGGCACCCCCTCTCCTTTGTTGCTGCTGCATTAGCAACCATAGTGCACTAATGCTGCATACTGAGCATGTGTATATGACTCTAGATGGGTTGGCTTTGCTTGGCTTTCAACTTGCAAATAAATGCCGGGCATGCTAAACAGGAATTGATCGGACTTCGATATCTGATGTGCATAAATATGAGCCAAATGGGGAATCATTGGCAATCTTTGGAGCTTTGGAGTTATTTCATAACTTAAAATTATGCCTAGATATAGACCTTTATCTATAAAGGGTTAAGAACGAAAGGTTAACTGAGGATATCAAGTTCTTTAAGACTTGAAAGGGCTAGAACCATTTTGAAACAGGGTAGCGCTCGTTTCTATTATTATTTCCATGGCATCCACTTGATGTCCTTTGTTTTATTTCTCGCATTTTGCACTTTTTCGTGCCTTTTCCTCAGCAGCACTTATAGTTGATCGAACTGTGCCGGCAAAGTGTGTGATTTGGAAAAGTTTCAAGTGGCAAGGCAGCCGTCACAGCTCTGGCAACTGCACCACTTGAAATATATATATACGTTGAATCCTGGTCAATAGCATGCAATTTGGGTTAGGCAAACAGGCAAACATGAGGGGAATGGGTTCGGGTGTGGCCAAACATTATGGCATAATCAGCAGGGAACTCATCCACAGGCAGCATTACTACGATGGCCACGTTCGCGTCTGCTGCATTCAATTGGCCAACGGCACTGGACGAACTCTGTCTGCCAATTGGCCAAAAATGCCACAAAAACATATTTGGCAAACGCAGCAGCAACGTCGCCAGCAGGACAAACTGCTCCTGGGTCAATGTTGATGTTGATTTTGGACATGGAGACCCAGCTGCAGCAGCAGCAGTGGCAGCAGTGGGAGTAGCCACCAGAGCTTGGGCCATAAAATCAGGCAGTCAATGAGCCAAATAGCCGAAATGGCTGTTATTGTTATTGCCGCAGCCCGGCAAATTAATGAGGTGTCCTGTTCGGCCATCAACTCCATGCATAATCGAACTAGGACTCTCGGCTGCAGTTTTGTAATTGAGCCTGTCAGTCCTGTGTGGGAGTGTACGGATTTTCCCCAGGCGCTGCTATTTCCTCATATAGCTCACCAACTTTAATTAGGCAAAGCTTTAAAATATACAACTACTTTAGTTAGTTTGCTTTAATTAAAGCTTATGGCCTTAGCTAATTTGCTTAATGTTTACTTTAGTAGGAGTAAGTACTATTAAATTATTTCTTAAATCTTTGGCTCTGTTTTGAGAGGCTACGGAAAATAAACTTAGCATAAAACTGCAGGCAGGCACTTTAATCCCGACTTCCCATTATGTTTAGCACTCTTGTAGTCCTTTTTCATTCCCGACAGTCCCCAGACAATATTTGCATGAAAACTGTTACTGACACTTAAACATATTCTTGCCAAAAAAAAAAAAGAAAGGAAAAGAGGGGGGAAAACTTTTCTGTCGCTGCTACTTCTTTTTATTGTTTTCTGTAATTTTTCGTTGGCTGGCATTGTTGGAGTTTTAATGACGAGCAGGACTGGCAATTGTCGCCTTAATGTCAGCCAAGGCGACAACGTCGACACAGGATGTACAAAACTCTTAGCCCTCTTTATCCACGACATTTCTTTTTTTTTTTTAAGTTTACATTTTCATGCGCATCTCTTTGGGTCCGACGGCCAAAGTTACTTAAAATGCAAGCCTAACAAGTTTTTGGACAGGATTGGGAGAATGGTTTTTATTTCCTTGCCTGCTGCAGGCACTGAAATCCATTTCAGTGGTAATCCCCCAAAAAGTTCCTTTACCTCGGAGTCATAAAGCACTTATAGCTCATACGCCATGTGTTACGCTTTTCAGCGAATAAGAAAAGAAGTATAACTTTCACGACATTTGCCAAACACTCTCACTCTCGGCGGTGTCACAAACATTTTTAATTAGCCTAATGAAAAAGTTCAGACGAAAAGAAAATCCCCTTTTATACTTATATTTTTATTATTATATATCTTGCTGTGGGTTCGGTGGTTCCCTAACAAAAGACAACCCGCTGACAAATGAAGAAAACGCAGCTCAAATAAGCAAAGCAATAATTTTTGCCATTGTGCAGCTGCGAAGTTGCAAAGGGAAAAGGCGGTTTCCCCACAGCTGTAGAACAAAGAAATGCGACTAATGAAAAGCGTTGTAAAAAAATAAAACGAAGAGAGCAAAAATCCAGGGTAAATATAGAAACGTCTCTGTGCTGCAATTGTGTCCTGAAAGGACTTTTTCCTGGGCCCTGCCCGCCCGCCTTATTTGCCATTGAGAATGTTCAATTAAAAAACTTTTTACATGCAAAGGCGACAGGCGAATGCTTAAGCCACTTACAAATTATAAGCTTCCCTTCAAAGTTATATATATGTATATATAATTGATTTTGGACGTCTTCTGTTTGTTGTTCCACTCGACCACTTTGGCTTATTAAATATTTAAGAGGCAAATTGTCAAAAACATCCAACTGAATGACAGGCCATCCCCGCAGATTTCTTTTCTCGATTCTCCTGCCAGTTTGCTTGTCCCACAATAATTGACAAATAAAGTGAAAAAGCAGGCAAAACTTCCCCAAGTCTTTGCCTCATGAATACTTTAGGTCGTATTTTTTGGGGGGGGGTGGAGAGGGAGGCATGGTGATAACTTCTTTGGCAATTTTCGAATTTTTTAAATGACAGCCATTCTCCATTTTTTTTATATATATTTGGCCTTTACTTTTATTTCATTTGCGCACGCCTTCGTGTGTAGCGATGCTGATAATTGCAACAAAGGAAAAGTTTCCACTAGAAAAGTAGACAACACTTTGACAACGAACACGAGAAAATTGGGTTGGGGAAATCGCCGTTGGCCAGAAAGTTTTCCATTGAAAAGATTTGCCACAACTGAGGCAAGAAGGAAAAAAGAATGTGTTCGGGATAGCTGCAATTAAAAAAGGGATTACGATCCTGGCCAGACTTTCGATTTGCTTTTTACCCGCCTGCTGGCTTCTTTCTTCCTTCCTTCCGGCCTTGATTTTCTTTTCGCTTTTCGATTAAAAGTTTAGCAAATTAAAATCGTATAATGACGGTGATTAGGCCAACAACAAAGTGGCACAAGTTGCGAGCCTTTAAAGAGCTTCGAACGCTGAAAATGTGTCGCCAAAAAATTATTAACGTGTGAAAATTCATTTCAGCTGCCAGCTGGCCATGCACAAAATTTGCATAATGAGCGAGAGAAGAGAAATTGATTGTTATTACTCGTGTTCTGTGTTTTCATTTTTATTGTTTTTCTCTTTTTTTTTTATTATAAATTAAACAACTTTATTTACTCAATTATGTTACGGTAGTGAGTTATTTACATTTTTGGGTCGACTTTCGGTTTGTCTGTCTGTTTTGCTTACATTTAAAATATGCATTTCAATTTGGTATATATTTATTTATGCTTAACAGTGGAAAGCAGCAACAACATTTAACATAGAGTTTTCCATATTTGGTATATTATTTAATTTTTGGAATTATTCTTTAATAGGCTTGCAGTTGAAAATGCTAAAAGGAAATTGAAAATTAAACATTCCTGGCTGACCAATTGAATAAGTTGAATGTTTTAATTTTTGTTTTCCATTAACAACGATAAGAATGTGAAAGTGACTTAAATTTCTGAATAAACATTGAAAGCTGGAGATGATATCTTTTCCTTTCTCTTAGTAAACTGCAATGTCCTCGACATAGCTATTACTATCCTTTCGCACTTTTCCTACCCTTTAATGGTTATATTTCGTCAACGCTCTAAACCAAAAACAGGGAACAACCATAAACCCAAACTAAACTAAACTATAGATACTTTCACCATTTATCAGCTAGGCGTTTCATTTGCAGTGTCTGTGTTTTTCTTTTTCATAGAGTATCACATTTTCTCGGTATCGGTCCGATTGCGAGCAAAACTATTTTGCCCAACCGGAACTTAAATGTAATTTTGTGCTACCAGTTGATCGATTTCCTCCATTAGCTACTGCTGCTGCTCCGTCTCCATGTTCTTGGCCCGCAGATACTTCAGCAGCATCTGCAGGGAATCGTAGGTATCAAAGTCGTCTAGGTTCCGCCTTGAAGATGACATATTGGTGGGACGGGGCATTGCCAAAGGGACGGGCAGCAGTTCGGGCATCACCGAATGGTGGGTGATCAAGGCTTTCAAGCTGGAGAACTCCTTGCGAAAGCCCTGAAAGGATAAAAGACCATAATAATAGTTACTCATAAAATATCCTTAAATACTATGTCTTAAGAGTTTTAGCATATATATTACCTTGATCTTGTAGCCCCTTGGGGATCTGAGGATTATGTAGTTGGCTATTTTTGGCCCAGGTGGCGACGGTACGCGCAGTGTCAGGGCATAACATCCTGGCTTGGAGCTGCTCTTACGCACCAGAAACGCACCTGGGCTCTTGCTTTGCAGGACCTCGACGGCTATATCTCTGGAGATGCCCGCCTGGTACCAGCATGCATCTTTCAGCTCGAGATCTTCCTCCTCTGTTCCCATATTGCCAAAAGCGTTGGCCACACTGCTGCTCCGCTGGGCAGTGGCAGCCTGGTTCATCCGCAGGCGATTGGCAAAGATTTTGGGACTGGAATTGGCTAGAATGATTTTTAGAAACTTTATAAATCTTTCGAAAGTTTAAAGCGGGTTAGAAGCTGTATGTAGTTAGGGAACTTTTATCTTTAAAATATCGAATTAAAATCCTTACCGCTGCTCGTCTCCCTTAAATATCGCTTCTTGAGGTTGAACTCGTTATTGTCGTTGAGGTTGACATTGTCCAGCATGGGAATGGCTGTCAAGGACTGGCGGCACGAGTCACCGAACTTGCTGTCGATGTAGGAGTCCTCGTTGATGTAGCCGTTTGAGTACACCGGTTGGATGTCCAAGGGAGCGGTCAAAGGGGTAATGTCGCCTACCAGTGGGCGTGACTCCTCATTGTGACGCAGCAAACCCATTGTCAAGCGTTTGACCTGCACAGGGAGAAAGAAGTTATGTTTTGACTTTATTTAAGATTAATCTCCTTAAAAGTCACTTAAATTTTCCCTCAGTGTAGCAAGAAATCGACTTAAAGTTTAAGGAAATCTGCCAAAAAAAAAGGGATCAAAGGCGAAGGCGAAGCGTTCAAGTGGCAACAAAATTAACTACAATTTAAACACCTTGTAAGCCGACAAGGATCAGCAAAGGATGCTGCAGTCAAGGGCAACGGATGGGTGGTCGTTGGCGTGGGCGTTGCCTTTTGCTGGGTGGAATGGGTCGTGGCCCGCAGCCACAGACAGAGGCGGAGCAGCAAAAAAGGAAAGAATTTATTACCGAGAACCGCAGCGAGACAAAATGCTGGCAAAATGCGCCGCGCCACAAAAGGCGAAAGGCAGGCGGCTGGCAAAATGCAGGCGAAACTTTTTTTTCGGTTGTGCACTTAAACAGGAAACGGATGCTTGGACTAGGCATTACCGGTGGGTGAAAATGTTGAAAAGCGGGTCGCGGGGTTTCATGTGAAAAACGAAGAAAGAGTGCAAAGTGCACAAGGAACAGAGAAAGGCGCATAAATTCGTGGCAGACTCTCGTGTCGGCTACTCTTTTGCTCCCCTCCCACTGCTATCCCTTTTATGGTACATTGCCACCGTCTAAAATGTTGCATAGCAAATGGCGGCTGTGGCATTCTAGGCGGAAATGTGCCGCAGGACTCGGGACTAAGGACCACTAGCAGCGAAAAAGAATAGAGAACTATAGTATGTAGAGCAAGTGTTGAGTTGCGGTTGGAAAAAATACCAATCGACATGGGTTATGCCCTCGTTAAAGGAAAATGTTCTTAAACTGATTTAAAATGCACACCTTAAATGGGATGTCTCAGAAATCGCTAGAGATTGGTTAGCTTTCACAAAGGTGTCGAAAGTTGGAAAGTGGTTTTGGATTAATCATATATTTCTTAGGATTACTTTCTCAAGATAATCTACATATTCTAATGGATACATTCCTCACCTTAACTTAACCCATTACCATAATCAGCTTAATATCCTTAGAGACTTCTGTATTCAAACTGACTAGCATACCCCCTTCTTTCAATGGGTAAACTAACGAAAAAACTAGCGACCGGCGATAATTCAGATGCACTTGTGCGCCCATGTTGAGATCGTGTTACCCTTCCCCCCGGTTTTTATGTCCCGTTTTCGGGGTCAGTGGCTTTGAAAAAGTCTGCCGGCGCTTGTACAATAGTTGTCTGCCCCAAAACTAGACTACAGTCTAGTTGGTAGCCTCGCTTATTTTCCACTACTTTTTTTGTGGCATAATTTAAGGCGACATTGACAATGAGATGGTGGCTTGGTTGGTGGAGGGTTATCCCACCTGCTTTTTCTACTCTGACAGCAATTGTTTGCCCATTGCTGCATAATTCCGAAAAAAAGAGCTCCTCCTCTTACGAGAGAAAAAGAGAGATGAAGGCACCATTGTTTGCATATTTCACGGCGCATTGCACACTGATTTGCGGCCATGTTTTCGTGGGCATGTACTTGTATTGGTGGAGTTCATTTCTTTCGTATTTTTCTGGCTACAGGAATGAGGCCTGTTCCAGGTGTTTACATTTCGGGCGGAAGTGTGTTCCCTTTCCCCAGTTTCTTTTCTTATTTACATTTCGGCTTTTGCTCATTTCTTTCCTCGATTTCTGAATAAATATTGCTTGCCTTTTTGTTTCCTGATTGTGGACTAATTGCCCTGCTCGTTTAATGAACTGCCAGCTAGCTGGACATTAGTGGCAGCTGTTGCAGAACCAAAAGAGGCGGCACGTGCTCTCGACCTCTCCAACCTACGACCTCCACTCCCGCACCAAAAATAAAAACCAACAACGAACACTTGCCGCAAAATGCTCAACATTTATGCAAATTTAATAAACTGCCTTGCCAAAGGATAAGGAGCCAAAACGGGGCTAAATAAAAGGGCAAAGCGAAAGTCGAGCGAGTTTAAATCAAATACACCAACTGACGGTGGGTTGTGTATGTTTGTTTTTGTGGGTGTGTGTGCTGATAGCCTGGCGTAGATGTGGGCAAGTAGGCGTGGCCCACAAAATATTATTTATGACATTCGAGCTGAAAATATATTCCGTGCACACATGATACATGGGTAGGCGTGACGCAGCCGGATCGAAGAGCCGAGTCAAACCAAGTCAAGCCCAGGGACCAGGCCGCATGTGGTAGCTGATAGCTGTCGCTCAATGTGGGCGAGTGGTGCACTGAGAGAAATCAGTGTATCTTATCATATATAAGTTAATTAAAAGTTTTGAGAAACAAATAAGGCATTTTTGGCTTGTTATAATTGACTTGGTTTATGTTTAAACTAGAGATTAAAACCTTTGAATAACCTTTTTTGTTGCCGTGTGAGGACAAGTGGACTGAGAAACCAGCTCTCGTTTGCCGTTGCAGTTGCAGTTGCTAAACAAACATTTAGCGGCGCCGAGTCAACAGCATCGATGCATCAACGCCAGCAGAGAGCAGAGAGCAGAGCGCCATGACAGACAGTTCGTCATTTCCGTCTAAGTCGGATGTCAGTGGTGTAGGAAGAGGGGCAGGATATGAGAGGGAGGAGGGGAATTGAAATAGAAGGACGAGTGATGCCATGGACAAGGATATGCGGGTGATGTGGCACTCAGACTCCGTCACCGACTCAGACAACCAACAGCAAACTGCATAATGTGGCAACGCATTTGTCTTTGACTCCTGCCAGGACATCACACTCCCCTCCGCCCCCTTTGCCACCACACCCATGTCGAGAGGGGTCGCATGTGCAGCAGTTGCCTGCTGCTTTATTTTGCTTATCTGAAATTGAATCAGCCAGCCAAGCAGACGACGACGACGACGACGACGACAGCGATGGCAAGTTGCCTGTTGGGCACAATTAGGGAAGCATCACGCCCCTCTATAAACTCCCCCTGCTTCGCCCTGTCCCGCTCATCGGGGGAAGCAAAAATTAATTTGCTTATCGGGCCGCACCCTGCAACAGAATGATGTTATTGACAGGCAGCAGCATGTCGAACCACAAAAAAAATGAGAAGGATTCAAAAAAAAAACAAACTATGCAAAACAAAAGGATATGCCTGCCGTACCATGCGGCGTATGCGTGTTATTTGCTGTTGCCGTCGAAAAATGTTTATAGCCGAAATTGATTTATTGACAAAACAAGGAGAAGCGCGCTCGCTGCACAGGAATATGAAAAATACCCAAAAAGCGAAAGCACCAACCCTTTTTCTCTTCTTTTTTCCTCTGTTTCCGTTTCTTTGTTTTCAGAACTCGACATATGCGGAATGTCATGGGATGGGGGGGTTGTAGTATAGCCATAGCCATAGTCCTTGTATTGACAATATTTATGGTTTGCCATTAGGGCCAACTGATTGCTTTTCGCTTTCGATACGATTTCAATTTCTCAGAGTGTTTTCGGTCGGAGTGCTGCTGTTGCTGTTGTTACTGTCGTGCGCCGGATTTCCATTGATGTTTCAGTTTTGGTGTGGTGAGACTTGGCCTTGATTCGATTTGATTTCAGTTGCATCGGGCGGGCTATAGGTAACTTCCATACCCACTTCGATGGAGGCCATTAGTTTACAGACGTAATCACCATAATGCGCAATCGAGTCGCATTGCTGCCATAAATAAGACAAACACATAACGTATACGCAGCGTGGTCGAGTGCCAGCCAGCTAGCGTCTCTCTCTCTGGCGTATGAATAAACTCGCACGTACTTATCGCATAGACTATGCTCGACTGAGCACAGCTGCCTCGACTCCATATCTATATAAGTATATATATATAAGGACATATATAGAAGAACTCACACACGGGCATGAATATTTAAGGCGTTGAATTTATGAAAACAACGTGCCGCAAGTCGAAGGAAAGGCTAAAGTTTTGCATTGCAAAACTTCTGGCTCGATCTCGCCCATCACGTGACAAAGAATACGGGCGAAACATTTGATAAACATTATTTCGCATGTGGGCAGCCCTTCGACTTCTACGTGTTATGACAAAGACAAGAAAAAACGATGAAAAAGTTGAAACGAAAAAGCCGAAAAAAAATCCAACAGCCAATCCAGCAAATGGTCCGTAAGGACCGTAAGGGTTGTGGGGGCTTAGTTGTCTAAAGTTTTCCGCCTTAAAAGGGAAGCTTAGCTGTCCTCCTCTTACGGGAATTTCTTTCTGCCAATAATTCATAACAAAGCGTTAAAAATTTGGGAAATGCTTGGGCCACTCTTTTTGGGTATGGCGAAAAATGGAAAACCAATAAACCAAGTCCAAGTGTTGGCACACCCTTGTCAAAGTCAAACCCATCAAATATGTTTGATCTTCTAATGCAGGGCAAAATATTTGCCACATTTCTGGCAGGAAAATCTCTTGAATAATCCTTACACTGCGAAAGGAATTTCAGTTTTTATAATTTCAAATATAAAATAAAGATTGATTGGCTTCGTATCTTTAATTTTTGATATGAAAAATGCTGAACGTAAAACTAACTTAACTATTTATCAGTTTTAAGCTTACCAAGGGAGGCTTGTCTGCTAGACGCTTGCAACTGTTTAGTTCGGTGGGCGAGTTGTCCTCATCAGAGCTCGGTGTTTGGGCCACCTTTTCGTTGTCATTGCAGCTAAATTTAAAATGTTATACGTTAGAATGATTACAATGCGAGGGAACAAATGATTAGTCGATACATTATGCTACAAGTAACGAACTTTAAATATATATTTTATAAAAATTATTATTATTATATAGTATACATTAACTACTATCATTGTATTAAAAGTGTTTCGGGTGTTGTGTACTTTTTAATGAATGTGATTTAAGCATTGAGATAGGAGGAATCTTCTACGAATCGCCTTGTAAGCTACTCACTTGAGATTTGCGTGTGTGAAGAGCTGCAGTGGCCGGCGTCGTCCTAGACTGGCAGGCGAAGAGGGCGTGGCCAGACTTGTTTTACGGCTTATGGTGGCCAAGGGAGATCTCAAAATTGCAGAGTTTCCGGTTCCACTTGGCTGACGATTACTACACGATGAGGATCGAAAACGGGCTCCTGCTCCGGTTAAAACAGCAGCCAAATTGGCAGCAATACGATTATCGAATCGGTTAAAATACGAATTCGAATTGGAGTTGGAGTTCTGATTTGGATTTATATTTGAGTTTGAGTTTGAATTTGAATTTGAATTGGAGTTGGAGTTGGAATTGGTACTGTCTGCCGTGGGCGAGGAGTTGTTGCTGCTGCTGGTGCTGCCGTTTCTGTTGCTCATAGCGACCGATGTTGCCGCTGTGCTTGCGGTCGATGTTGCTGCTGTTATTGTGCTGTTGCTACTGGCACTGTCCTGGCCCTGGTCATAATCCAAATTATTGTTGGTTATCATTGTGGCGGCCTCGCTTTTGGGCATTAACTTTTGGCAGCGGGTGTTACTGGCCGACGCTCTGAATTATGTGCGCATATAAAAACGCTGCGGGCGGCTTTTGTCGCACTGCGTGAGCCCGCCAGGACAATATTCACCAGTTGGAGGACATCCACGGAGTTGGAGCAGGATAATGGGAGAGTGTGAGATATTTCCAGTCACCACCAGAGAAACTCTGGTGCGGCCTTTTATTAAATTTGACTAGAGTGGGTGGCTCGAATGGATGGAGGGTGGTTGGCTAGCCGCAGGGGTTCACTTGCTCCACTCCGACTGACTGCAGGACGAAGGACCAACAACGCCGACGACGACGACGACGATTCGCAGATTTAAACACAGAATTAATTCAAGCGGAAATTGGCAACGAAGGGGGTGGGTGGAGTGTTATCCGGGCGGGTGCGGGTCACACTAAAACCAAAACAAAAATCGAAAGCGTGAAGCATAAACAAAAATGGCAAGTGAAAACGCAAATGAAAACGCATAGCAAAGAGAAATATTGAGGGGGAAAGCCACAAAAATGCACATAAATAGAAATAGGAAAAGAGAGTGGCGGGTGGTGGGTGGTTAACGAAGGGAATAAGGGTCGCAGCCATGACGTCACACCATAAAGCGCATAAATAGCAGGATTCGCAGGATGTTCATGAGCATGGCGATGATGTAGATGATCATGATGATGATCATGATGATGGTGTTGTTGAAATGTTTTTGTTCGGTGGTTGTTGTGATTGTAAGGGAATACATGATTCCCATATTGTTGTTGTTTTGGTTTTACATTTCCCATTTTATGCGATTATCGATTACACAACGATTTTCCACAGTTTTCCCAGTGTGTGTGTTTTTTTTTATATATTTTTCGCCAATTAGTTGCCAATTTTTGCACATAAGTTGTTCGAAGCCAATTTCGTTTCGTTTGGTTTTCATGTTTTAAAGCCGAATTGCATGTAAATAAAAATAGAGAAGAAATATGCCAATTTTGTAGAAAGTTTTTTGCTTTTGTTTTTGTTTTTGTTTTTGCAATTTGAAAATTTGCATTGAAAACTGCCGGGCAAAAGCGAAAGCAATATTGCTGAATCGATATTTCGGCATCCTGTTTTCTTTTTCGGGGGTGGTGGTTGAGGATGGGCAATCGGAAAGCGAGTTTTCAATGCAAATCCGTGGCTAGTTTTTCAAACAATTTTTCCTATCCGTTTTTTGTGCTCTAGTTTTTTTCATATTGATTTACTCACATTGGTTCGGGGGCAACCAAACTTTTCATTGGGCTTTCCTCCAGTGGGCCACGTTTACAGCTGAAAGTTCAGTTCGCTCATGAGCTGCAAGGAGAGTGGAAAGAAGATTTTGATTTAATTAAAATCAAGTTAAAGCTGTGCTCAAGTGTAGGCATGTGTGTGTGTGTTCCAGGCCGTTCTATGGCAATCATTAGACGTTCATAGTCAACACCTCATTAGGCGACTAATCAAGCGTGCGCTGGGCACGAAATAACAACCAGTTCAGTCCACTGGCAACAGATTAAAGGAGGAGCAGGAGCACTCAGGACCCAGGATCAGCAGGAGGGAAATCCGTAGGAGTAGCAGCAGAAACATGGAACAAGGCGCCAAGCCACAGACACTAAACAAAACCAAACCAAATCATCAAGATTGCAGTGGGCGGCGGGACTGAATTCCAGCTAGAGATGAGAGCGTGCTACCCCCAAGAGCCAAAGACAAGCACGGAACTAAGTTACTACACGGAAAAATAATACTAAACTTATTAAAGAAACTTTTCTTTCAGATAAACTTTATGGTAAATGAAGAACTTTTACTTGAAAATGATAATTGAAATAGATTTTTCTCCGTGCACTCAACGCTGGCCGGGCAATGAAGTAAACACGAAGACGATGCCGCAAATAAAACGCACAGATTAAAGGATGCCCGGGTGAAATGTCTTCTTAATTACTTCGCCGAGTCCAGGGGCTGAGACTGCCAAGGATAAACAAGCCGTGGTGGAGTTTGCTGGGACCAAGGATCCCAGCCGGCTGGTCGGGATGACTGAGTCGTAATTGAGAAGTCGCCGGGCTGGGACTTACGAATTGGGATGAGTCCGGTCTTCGGTTGCTTCTCTCGGGTTCCTGCGTCTGCAGCGCAGTTTAAGCGGAAGTAATTTAATTAATTACAAATGAAACGGAAACACAAGCAAAACGAAGGCGACTCCCATATATCCCTTCAGAGTGCATCGTGTGTCGATTGTTTGCTTAATGGGATGGTGAAACCCCGTAAAACAGAAACAACCAGAATACATAGCAACAACAACAGCAACAACAACAAGTGCTACCCAACCCAATTGAGTTTTTCTTTATATTTTTGCATATGGGCCAGCTGGGAGCGGCCTAAGCGTTTTCCAAAACAACGGCGGAAAAATTAAGGGACCAGCCATCCCAGCAGAGCAATTAAATTTTTCTATGCCCTAGGAAACCACAAACTATTCGATGTGAGAGTGCACAGGAAGAAAATGTGGGGCCTTAAACTGTGAGAAATTCAAAATTTGGGATCATTTTAATCTGCAAAATTCGTTTTCCGAAATATTTTACATTTTCCTTAGTCTAATTATTAACTAAAATGAAAGTTTTTTTTCGTTTTTTTATGATTTAAACTTAAATCTTATATTAGTAATCATGATTTTCCTTAAGTGTATACGCACACACACACACATTGGCATACGCATTAAGCACAGCTCATTTGCATTGCGGTTTTAATTGGCACAGAGGGCAGGAGGAAGCCGGGGAGGGAACGGCGAGGGCTGGCTATTACCTCTGGCCTCGGTCTGCATGGTTCGCTGGCAGGGCTTACAAGGATAATGAAAACAATTTAACGACTCTCCCGACAATTCACAGGAGCCGAGGACAGACGGCAAACGAATCCTGGTTAAACAAATCTTGAATCCTTTTTGCCGCCTCTTGCATTTGCGTTGGCCATTAATTTTTATCACCACCCCCTTTTTGGCCCAACTGCCCAACTGAATGCTGCGTGTCTGCGCAAAATATTTTCAGATATTTTTTGACATTTTAATGAAAATATTTTGCGTAGCAATACAGAAAGCAAGCCAGCAAGAAAAAAAAATTAAAAGGCAGTTAGCAAAAAAGGACAGGCGAGTGGAGTGATGAATCCTTTATCCCTTCACTGGCTTAATATTATTTTAACGAAGCGGATTCCCGCGGAGCAGGATATCACACTGGAGTGGGTTTCACTTTTAAGCCCTGCTGATGGCCAGTAATTAAATGCTTGACATGCCTTTGGGTGTGAGGTTTTGCGGCCCAAGGATTAGCGCCACTAAGAGGATGTCTCGACAGAGGCAAAATCAGGAACATGCCAGAGCGCAAAAGGGAAAAATTAATGAGCTTGAATTTCATAACTTCCTGCCACTCATTTCTCGCAGTGCTGGCTGAGAGGTAAATTAACGCTGGAGCTGGCTTTATAATTATGGCATGTAGTTAAGGCGATTGTTGAGCTGAAGCTGTCAGTACTTGAGTGAGGCTTTTTTTTAAAACTTCTCTAAAGGATTGGTATAAATAAATGGGGTAAATAAAGGCAATCTGCGCCTTAAAAATAGTTAAAAATGAGCATGTGCAGCCAATAGCCAACTTCCCTGACAATAATTATCAGTTTGTAAGCAAGCGAATCCCATCCTGTTGCTCCTGCTTATCTCCCTTATCCTGGCTCATTAAATATTTACAAGTTCTCAATTTGCTTAAACGAGCATCGTGGCTCGACAAAGCCGTAATAAAATCAACAAGCCTAAACAAAAATATTTGTCTGTCTGTAAAATAAGAGGAGAGAAAGGCAAACAGGAGACAGGGAGAAGGAGCTTGTTCGCAAATTAAAAGAAATCAAAATCATATGAGAATTTTCAAGTGATTGCCGCCCGAGTCCTTGTTCGCATTTTTTGTTCGCAAGGCAGGAAGCGCGGGCCAACATAAACAAGCAATTTAACAGGCACTCACACACACACTCTCACACCCCCACAAACTCACACACGCATCCTTAAGGATCCGTCGCCAGTTGGCAAACAAACGAAGCGTTCAGGCGAAAAAAGCCAGCGGAGAAGGAAAAAAACTCGGGCAGCCTCGAAACAAGCAAAGCGTTTTATATGCCGACATCAATGTGGTAGTTTGGTTGCATGGATGTGTGTGTGTGAGTGTGGCACCGCAGATTTCTCTCACCATTCCACACACCCACACACTGACACATATGCCAGCCACAGCCTTAAAGTATGCCGCAAGTTTTTGCCGCTCTTTGTTAATGAAATTTTAATCAAGCTGCAAGCGAAAAAGAGTTTGCCGACCAAGTTTGGCATGTACACATGCCGCACTCCTTTGCTGTGGCTCCTTTAAAAACGAGGATTTCCCTTTTTTCTTATTCTCCGCCAAATAGCCGGCAGCTTCATTAGAGACGCCTCGGCCATCTCTGCGTATGCGTAATAATTTATTTAAAATGCAATTCGTTTATGCCAGACATTAATCATTGCGCTGGCAAACGCGATAAGACATCGAGTAAGTCACGTACCGGAGTCGGCTGCATTTATTAACAATTTACGTCATAAATAAAATTGAAAAACATTCATAATGTCAATGGCGGTGCGAAGAGAAAGCGAGTGAGAAGTGAGTGAAAGACGTGAGAGCATGAACTGATGGCAATTTCATAAATAACATCCAGTTGTAGATGAAGAGGGGTACGGCTAAAGGGTATGTGGTAGAAGGATCTGGAGAAGGTGTGGATGAGCGGCTGGTTTACATAAATTAGACAACAAATTTACCAGCAAAATGGGAACAACGCGCAGGCAAAAGGTAAATCACAAGGCGGCCCCTAAGAATGACAACATTAAAAGCAGCCAGGTGGGGTAATGTACTCTTAAATGGGCACTGCGAGAACAATTTGGAATTACTTAAAATATATAAGACAATATTATACAGCAAGGTTAGGTTCCCTTTTCTTAAACTTTCAATGCAGCTCGAATTATTTCGTAGAGGATACGAAATAAGCATTATGTTAAGTTTATTCCATATTCCTAACATACCTATATTCAAACTATAACTTTTCCAAAGTTTTTTTCTCAGTGCTACATTTTATGAAAACACTTTTACTTAGAGCCTTAATTCTCTGGCCATTTTTTCGTGGTATCAGGCCGAGTTGTTTAACATATTTCTGTTTTGCTGTGGCTGTTACGCCTTTTCCTGGCCGAATTCGAGTGAATAATGTTCGCTTAGCACGGCAAATAATTATTTCTCGCTTACTGCCAACTGGCATGCTATTTGGCAGGGGCTTTAAGGATTGCTTTCGGTCCTTTTCAGACCGCCCAACTGCGCCCATCACCACCCACACTGCTGAGCTCCCCATTTTTGGTCCCCAGTTCATTATGTGAATTTTGAAATTGTTTTTTCTTTTTGCCCCCCTCTCTCTCTCTCTCTCACTTATTTCTTTGTGTTTTTTTGCTGCGGGGTATAACAGAAAAAAACAAAAAAAAGAGAGAGAGTAAAAAACAAATGCCAACACGTTGGCTTGGCTGAGCAACCCCTCAAAAAGGTGTTGAGTTGAGCCAAATTACAAAAAATTGCTGCTGATGTTGTTGTTATTTCTGTGCATTTTCCTTTAATGATTTGAATATGCAAAACGCGCCGAACAAAGCGAACGAAAAGAATTTTAATTAGTTTTCGGAATGTTTTTCGGTGCAATTAAAGCCAAAGTCAGAGCAGGCAGAGCAATAAACAAAACAATTATTATTTCCAGCTATGTGGCAGTCAGAATTCTCTATTTATTCCCGAATATGAAAGCAAAAATGCTTGGCATGCCTTTGGTTAAATGCTAAATTATATTGCAAAATAAAAATGGCAACTAAATATGCATGGCAAAGCGAATTGATTCGAGAAATCCGTAACGAATTTTTCAAATTGAAGCAGGAAAGGAGGAGAGAAGGAAATCCAAGATGCCAATAAGAAACATAAAATTCACAAGGATCTCTGAACCTTTGCTTTAAAAGGACAAGGAAAAACTATTCCATGTACATACCTACAACGGAATAATTCGACTACCTTTCGTCCAACGTCTGGCCAATGTCCCATGACATCCACCTCCCCCTCCCGCTCGAAAGCAATAAATGTTCAAATCAATTGAAACGTTTTGCCAAAGCCTCACACCCCGTTTGAATCCACCCCCGATTTGTATATATATATATATAAATCGAAGGAGCAGGGAATGGATTCCTGGACAGCTTAAGGCGGCGATTTGGTTAGCCCCCAAACAACAGAAAATCGATAAGGGATGCCGAGGAATGTCAACTTGTT